ATACACCTCTCAGCGTTAAACCAGATCACATCATTGCGGCTCTCAAGGCGTATCTACCTTCCACTAGCGGTGGCATCCCCTCCACATCCTCTACCAGCAGCGAGACCGTATCCAAGGTCCGTAATCTTGGCCTGCAAGTCAGACTGGCTCTCCTATGTATGCTTCTTGCATCGAAGCGGATGGAGGCAACTTTGACACTGTCCGTGTCCACTATCTCAATGCCTACCAAGTCTCCTGTGAAGCGCACAGGCTCTGCCATTTCTCAAAAGACTGCTGGAATTGATGTTGCACAACTCCATGCATACTACTCAACTGCGCTCACTCGTGCGGACAACGACAGCTTCACTCCAGTTTCCCGTAGCGAGTTTTCTGTCCGTCCGTACTTAGTTCAAATTAGCCAAGGAACTTTACCCAGGGCGCTTCCGGCCCACGCCCACGCACAGCTTCATAACACTCCTCCACTCGCATTCCTTATTGCACACATGTTTCACTCAGAACATAGACAGTACCCACTGGCAGTATGAATACTTCTTCGGGCGATCCGCTTTACTCAACCCCGTTCTCTTTCAACCATGGCTTTGCTTCGTCAGCAAACGCCGTACATCTTCCCATGTCCATATCTTCCGACTCCGATATCGCTGGAAGAAATCGGGTCTCTTGCGTCATGCCGGTGCTCCCATGCTTGCAAATCCTCAAGGTTCATCCGTACTTGTCCCTGAACTTTACTCGGACCATAATCAGTCCTGGCTTGGATGGGGAGAGAGCACAAATCCAGCATTGTCCATTGCCCAAACTAGTCCACCTCAGTTCGCGTCTTTGGACGAAGCTTTCTCACAAAATCAATATGGTGCGGACGGTTTAGATGATTTCAGCTCAGAAATGTTCACCGGGTCATTCATTGGGTTAGCCTATTGGCCTCGCAGAGGCTCTGTTGATTATAGCGACGGCAGTAGCGCTCCGCAATCCATCCCTTCCAGCGCTACTTCGTCCAATGTCCATATCTCCCTCTCTGCGGGGGATATGTACCAAGGCGCATCAGAGGATTTTCAACAGCGTATGCTGCTTGACCCTCAACGTCGAGGAGACTCCATGTCCTCTTCCTCTGCGCCTGAATCCCACGACCAGCAATCAGAACATTCTCGAGGCAGTGAAGGCAGGTTCTCCTCCGCATTTGGACTCATGTCAATTGACGACCCAAATGTCCTTGCTGGGCTCTCAACAGATGGTGTACCTTTTTTCTCAAATGCAGCAATGAACATGCGACCTCATTCCCCGAATGCTACTCCGATGCCGCCCAAGGCGCTGTCACAACAGCAGCTCAGAGACCGTGGCATGTCCCTCTTTGCGTTGCCCACGCCTGGCTTGGGTCGTGATAGCGACATTTTGTGGAAGACGTTCATGCGCACGCCCATGAGTGGACCAAACTCAGAAGCGCCGTTTGCTTTCAGCAGTTCGGCGCTTTGATGGAAGCGACGATGATCCCTCCGCCACTCGCATGGCATGATCGGACTTGTACAGTCTACTTATATGTGCACAATCACGGATAACGTTTACCCCAGCGCTGGGACGCTTGTCCCATGTTGATGTATTGACACGGTATGGTTTTGCGGTACATTATTCTGCGTTGTATTTTCATAGCTTGTAGCTTCAATAGCATTTCATTAATGCTTTGTTTACTTTCAAGTTGTCTAAATACATCTCATCCATCGATTTCCGTGTAAGCTTGAACGTGGCCGCCGGGCCGTATCCCATCCCCAGAGTCACGCCCCGACAGAAGCCTCAGAAAGCCTTCAAAGACCGTGCAATGTGACACACAGGTGAGAGTATATGAGCACCTTCAACAAAACCGGCACATCTGGAGGTGCGTCTCTTGCCTCGTGTGATTGCAGAATGTCGCGCCGTCGTCGAGAACTGGCATGGTGCTCTAGATTTGTTCGCCGGATGCGAGAGCCACTTCCGATCGGAAAGCCTTCAATAGTCATGCAATTTCGGTAACAGTATGACGCTGGATTACATAGCCATCCCTAAAATCTCAAGCTACTTGACAAATGAGAAAATACATCAAGGTTGAGACAAGTGCGCTGCTATCTCTTTGCTCTTGTCATCGCACTCCCCTACAATCTCGTAACAATATTTAATTGTGCTCCTATGTTCCATATCATTCATGTCTATTTAGTCGCGCAGAAAATTTATTCGTGTATTTATAGTGTTACAGTGCGGTAGCACGATTACGCTTGATTACAATAGCCATGCCTGCCATATCAAGGACTCCCTGGTTCTCTGATGTCAGTGATGCGGCTCGAGCGGGTCTTCTATCAGTAATCCTCCTGTACTATGAATCTTGCAAGGCGTTCCGAAATCCTGATCACTGAGCCGCCTCGGATACATCTGGGTGAGGACAGTGAGGAGTCTTATCGCAAGGATCACGAAGCGCAACCGATGTGGCGGAAACTGTATGGAAAATGTGAAAAGGTCAGATATCACGCGTTCGTCCAGTTGATATAACAGATTCCAGATTCTGACGAGGGAAGTCACGTATTATTACGGGCGCTTGAGCTGTCTCGGACCATACCCGATCGACGCCTCTGAATTGATGCTGATGTGACTCCTGGAAGGATCTGCTTCGGTGGCTCGGACTGACGTCCAATGTTCTTTTTAGCTGCTCACGGCTAACTACGATGGTCTCTAGTACCGGAACTGATTGGATGGTATCCACGAGACGCGAAACGATTTCGCACCGATCCGGACTGTACATTGACCAGTAGCATTCCGACAGGACATTTATCAACTGTAGCACGACTGTAGGAGTAACCGTTAATGAAAGGTTTGTTTCTTGTCAAACACACATTGCTCAAAATTACTCCTACCTTATCGATCAGCTGCGAATGCAGGCATAAAGTAGGAACGACTGTCTCTTTCTTTCAACGTCTGACTAGGGGAGAGGACAGTCCTCCCATTTCGCGTCACTTTCTAGGCGACAACTCTTGTTTCACTATGTTGCCATTGACAGGCCAAAAGGTAATGTTGGTCTCCTAACAGATCCAGAAGATATTATCCGCAGCTCGCTCCAGTGCGGCTCTTGGACACAACACACATCGACCCTGATAGAATTCAAAGACGTACTGACACTCGATAACAGGACAAGTTTTACCGTTGTGGTCGCACCCTCTGCAATGGGCCACTCGAGACATTCCCTGAATTCGGAATGGCAGAATGGCAAGCAGAGTTTCACATTTCCACCATAAATGGGAGTGGTACTTCTGCACGATGGTCCGCTTGCACGACGTAGTTGCCGATTTTCGCTAATAGGGCCTATCAGCCTGTCGGACCACATAATTCTCGACTGTTGTACAACTTATCCCACACCCAGGTAACAATCCCTTGACCTTCACCATCATCTTGCTTACTTTCCATCAACTTCTGAACCTCCAAAACTGTGTTCGCCATGTTTATAAAATAAACGAGTATGACCTAGCCATTGCGACACTCCCTATAGCTATGAACATTTTGAATTAGAGCAATATACTCGTCAATTTGCGATAGAAGTTGCAATTGCCGATCGAATGACGAGAAACAGAATATCCGGTTAACTTGGACAAACACGTGAGCTGTAACAGTTCGACGCCCGTGATTTCGTCCAAGTAGTGCTTCAGCCTGACAGATTCAAATAAGTATCATTGCAGTACCTCTAGCTCAAGTGCTGTTATGCTCGCCAGGCGTTCTCTCTTTACAGTTCGTCAGAGACCGTTCAGGAAAATTCATATGTCATCTCTCACCGGGCCACGTCCAGTTGACTGGAAAGCAGCTGCCCCTCCAATATCCAATTTCTCGCCCCAACATACCTCTCTTCCTCGTTTGCCAGTTCCAAATCTCACTGCTACCCTCGAGCGACTGAAGACGTCATTGTTGCCGTTGGCACACTCGGAAACTGAATTCACTGATGCTGTTAGGAAGATTGACGCATTTGGATCACACGTTGGGTTAGGGAACCTGTTGCAGTCTCGTCTCCTGCAGCGTGCAAACGAACGCGAACACTGGCTGGAGGAGTGGTGGGATAATCTCGGCTACTTGGGCTATCGAGATTCAGTATGTATGCCCAGCTCTACTACGCATGGTACTATATTGACACGTTCCCAGGTTGTGGTGAATGTTTCATATTACTGTGAGTTGTACGGTGGTTCTTTATAATCTTCAGCCCTGACAATTCATACACAGATGGCTTTGATGGGCAACCTGCCCACCTTCCGCAAAGCCCTGCTGCTCGTGCCGCTGGCCTTGCACGTGGAGCCCTCACATTTCGGCAGAAGCTGCTGAGCGGTCAGGTGAGCCCTGACAGCACAAAGGAGGGTCAATTTTGTATGGACACATATCGGTACGTGTCGGTGTTTCCAAGTTGTTTTCACCCTTCAACCCCTTATGAAGATGGATGTTTGATTGCTGTCGTATACCTGGCCTCCAGGGTCTTGACTGGAGCGTATCACATGCGGGTGCCAAGGTAGATGAATTGGGGCATATCATTATTGTCAGGAGGAACAGGTTCTGGAAGCTCAAGGGTATCGTAAATGGGCGGGTACTCAGCATGACTGAGTTAGAGAAGTGTGTCACCCACTTTGCTAAATGTGCCCTAAACTCACTTCTGTTACAGACAGATTCAACATATTTACGACTCTACCACGGAGGAATACCCAGGAGTTGGCGTTTTGACGGCGTCAAATCGTGACGTATGGGCCAAGGTACATATATCCTTGCATATTCTTCTTGACACATCCTGAAAAAAATGTCAGGACCATGCTCACCTGGCCGCGAACCCGCACAACGCATCTATCTTGTATACAATACACTCCTCTGCCTTCCTCATCTCCCTTGACACCGACATGCCCACCTCTCCCATTGATCACAGTCGCTCTCTTTGGCACGGTTCGCTCTCACCCTCTACATCGGATGCACCTGGTCTCAAGAACCGTTGGGTCGATAAACCTGTCGAGTTCGTCGTTTTTGATAATGCAAACGCCGGACTCATGGGCGAGCATTCCGTTATGGACGGTACGCCTACAGCCCGCATGTGTGATGAGGTGCTCGACTGGCTGGCCGATCCCGATTTTGACCTCGGGGTGCCCTCCGCTACTCCGCCACCAACACCCGAACCATTAGATTTCGTGGTAGATGCCACGACGCGTAGCGCAATCGATAAGGCGTCGAAAGCTGCATACGAGCTTGCTGATTCACAGGCAATGTCATACCACCTCACATCATATGGCAAGGCCGCCATCAAGGCGTTTGGTGTGTCGCCTGATTCATGGGCTCAGATGATTATCCAACTGGCGTATGCCCGCTTCCTCCGTGCACGCGGGCTGAATAGGGAAGGAGGGACATATGAGGCAGCGACTACACGCAGATACTGGAAAGGCCGGACAGAGACAATCAGGGTCGTCACTTCACAATCGGATGCTTTTGTTTCGGCGATGGATGACCCTCATGTCAGCCGCGAGGACCGACAACAGCTTTTCAATGCGGCTGGGAAAGCGCATATTGCACTCGCTAAGACAGCAGGGACTGGGGAAGGAGTAGATCGGCACATGCTGGGTAAATGTTTTCCCACCCTTGTCTTTTCAGAAGGTGTTCTGCGATGCTGACGAGCAAATTCCAGGGTTGAAACTCTGCCTGAAAGAGGGCGAGGCAGTTCCCGAGCTGTACAACGATCTGTTGTACAAACGTTCCGGAAACTGGGTCCTGAGCACGAGCGCCGTTTTCTCGGACCATTTCCCAGTGTACGGATGGGGTGAGGTTGTGCCGGAGGGTTTTGGGGTGGCATATATGACTGGATACGACGGTACGTTGAATGCTCAGGTTCGTGTGCCGGAATTCACGCGTGTACACAGACCGTCTGCAATATACCATCACCTCACGGAGGGAAATGCCAAATCAGGAGTTCATGGATGAGATCGCGAGGGCTGCAGTGGATTTGTATGATTTATACGCTGGTCAGCGAAAGGCCATGTTGTAACCCTTTTCGTGTACTGTGGGCGGAGTTCTGCAGAACAACAGCGTCGGCTTTCGTTCAGCAATCATTGCCGCAGAATTTGTTTATCCAAATCAAGAAGTTAGTGCTTCGACCCGACGCCCCCTATGAGTGAACTGAGCAGTCACTAGGGCCAGAGTTTGTCGAGTAATACACAATGTTAAATTAGATGAACCATGATATCAAATATTTTGAGCCGCTGGCCTTGTCTTCACTGATGAACTTGACCATCACGTGACAACCCGATTTTTAACAATTTCTCGAGTCTTGAGGCCTGACTCCTGAGAAGCCTTTCAGTCATGCTTCCCCGCCATCTCCGTAGCGTTGCAGACCAGCGTGTGCGCTCGTTGCTTGCGCACAGACAAGTAGTAGCGTTATCCTCACTGCCTTGTTATCCTTCTATCAGCCATCCTCTGTCACGACGCGCAAACACTTCCGCATTTCGTTCCTTCCATTCCTCATCACAAAGGCACAACGAACTTCCGAAATCACCCTTCCAAACATTTGTCGACGTTCTCCGCGATGAACTACGAAAAAACCGGGACCTTCAAGAGAATGTCAGACAACTTCAGGGTGATGTCGACAAGCTTCAGGATTCGGAGGCCATGAAACGGGCGAGGGAAGTGTATGAGCGTGCAAGAGTCCGTATTTTAATTTCTCTCATATTCAGATTGAATCTCACACTGCTTCCGCACATAGCTGACGTCCAGCATCAAAGAGAACCCTCGGCTTAGGGCGGCGGCGGAGGAGCTCAAGAAGACGGGTATCAAGGTGGGAGACGCAGTATCAGAAGCTTTGAAAACGATGGAAGAGAGCGAGATCATGCGCACGGTGCGTTTTTGTTCCCTTCTGTGTTATACTCAATCTCATAAATCTGCAGATTTCGCGGGCAACGTCGTCCCTCTCAACCACCATTGCAACCACAACCGAGCCGATCCGTCGGACGGCTGCCTACCAAACCCTTGCAGAGACTGTCGTTGACGCTCTGGATGATTCTGGGTCTGCGAAGCATGCTGGATTCGAGGACAAGGAAGCCCGGAGACGACGTAGGCGAAAACGTCTCGAGAAGGCAGGCCTAAGCGGACGTCGACTGATGGAGGAAAACTTAGAGTGCGTCGTTTGGAAATGAAATGTGTGTGCTGGTTATAACGAGGATGATGTCTACAGAGCAGGCCAAGCACTGGTCTCCGTCAAAACCTCACCCCGCACTGAGGCCTGGGAGAACTTCAAATCCACGAACCCTGTTATGCAACGCTTAGCCTCGCTACACGCCGCGTACGAAGAGTCGGAGTCTCCCCTCATCACACCGGTTCGTGCTGTGACCAGTACGATTGGCTCGTGGTTCGAGGAGAACGAAACAGCACAGGTGACACGGATGATCCGCGCTTTGGATCCAAACTTTTCGAGGGAGGCGTTCGAGAGGGAGCTGAGAGAATATATCATTCCTGAAGTCGTAGATGCGTACTTGAGCGCAGATAGGGAGTCGCTTGTTAGGTGGTGCAGTGAAGCGGTGAGTGTATGCATTCGGAATTGTATTCCACAGGCTAAACAACCCCCTCTTTGTAGACGTACAATGTTCTTTGGGCAACTATGGAACAATATCTCCGCCAGGGCCTCGTGAGTGATAGCAAAGTGCTTGATATTCGGTCGGTAGATGTAAGTATTCCACTTTAATCATTTCCCCGCCGCCGAACTACATAATGTAGACATGAAATGCTGAATATTTCCAGGTCTCTGATGGAAAGATTCTCGACTCTTCTATCCCTGTCTTCGTTGTGACGTTTTCGACACAAGAGGTTCTTCTCTTCCGCAACGCAGCCTCGCGTGAGATCGTCGTGGGTGCTGAAAACCGAGTGGAACAGTGCTCATACGCCGCAGTGATAACGCGCGTTCGCGAGGAGTTGGCAGACGAAGTCACCGGAGGGTGGAAGGTCGTCGAGGTGGGTTTTGAATCTTCACGTGCTGCTCGTGCTGATCTTCTTCTGTGCAGATGGCACGCAGGTCCGCCAGGGCGTATCTATAGTCGTGTTAATTGGATACCGGACACTAACACACCACGCATTGATCACTGCCTTGCATAATTAACCACCACTCATCTCGTCATATCAGTATCTTATTACATCGACTATATAGATTGTTTCTTCTAAACGTTGGAATGAGTGTGATTCACGTGACGTGGTGTTATATTGGCACTCACTGCAAACGACCGGCAATTGATGTCGCGGTCATCGTCCAAGTCGAAATCTGCGCATACAGGACCCCCGCAGTCAGCACGTATTCGTATTGCAAATGAAAGCGCTACACCAGACAGAGACGGGCCCATTCCTTCTTCTTTATCTTTACTAACTGCGCGCCGTCCCTCGTGGGCTCCTCCACTTTATGACCATACACAAGAAATGTCCGTTGGACTTGGTTCCTATCGTGATGTACCATCTTTCGGAACGACACAGACGGCGCATCCATCTTCTTCCCCCGAAGACGGTGGCAACTTTCGCAGAAATCTCCAGATAGACATGAAGGAACTTGTCGGGGATGCAGTCGGAAATGTGCGTATCCTTCGTGTCATCAAAAGGGCAGTGTCTTGACCAAAGTATACAGATGAGTATCAGCCCTGCGAGCAGAGACATTGTCCTTGCAGCGTGAGTCAGCATATGTTGTGCCGAATGCTTTCTCAATTGTGCGAAGTCGCCGAGGTTTGTTTATCATTGATCTCGAAGCACCCCTCGAGGTGCCACGTTTCCTTCCTCAAGGCGGAACCTGGGATGTCGCTGACGTGCAATGGAATCCACACCGCGCTCGTGCAGAGTACATTGTGTCTACCTCATCCGAGAAACTGTGAGCTCTCCTCTATACTGTTATAACTGGAGCCTTTGACTGACAGAGAACTTGGAGCCTTATATGGAATCTTATGTTGGTCGGAAAGACGTCTATTGAATACATACTTCACTCTCATTATCGTGCTATCACCGACATTAACTGGCATACCTCGGAGCCCGATACTGTAGCTAGTGTCGGCATTGATGCTTGGGTGTGGTCTTGGGATCTAAGATACCCAAGGAAACCCGTGCTAGGTGCGTTTGTCGACCGTCCCACATCAAAATGTAGCTTGAATTAGTACAGGACTCTGCGCGTTCAACGGTAAGCGTGTCCGGGATTGTACACGCGAGTCGAAATATGACGTTTTGCACAGCGGGAGGCACACAGGTAAAATGGAACCGAAAAGATCCCAATGTTCTGGCATCCTCGCATATGAATGAAGTTCTAATCTGGGATCGTCGAGTATGTCGCCCTTTCTAGATTATCCTCTGGCGTTTGTCACCCCTGGAGTTGTCCACTGATCAACTTGGCAGAAAGGTTCGCTTCCTACTGCGCGAATAAAGGCTCATACTGCGAAGATTTATGGTATAGACTGGGCGCATGAGCGGAAGCACGACCTTGTTACTTGCTCTCTTGACAAAACCATCAAAGTGTGGGATGCGCATGATGCTCCTTCTTTCTCCCTTAATCAGTCCTCGCAAGCCGAAATTGAACCACGCTCGACGATCTCAACGCGGTATCCCGTCTGGCGCGCCCGAAACCTTCCTTTTGGACACGGCGTGTTGAGTTTGCCGCAGCGCGGAGATACGACCCTTGAAATGTACACACTAGAGGGGAGTGAGGTTGGAACGCCAGTAGAAGTGTTTGAGGGACATGCAGATGTAGTGAAGGAATTTGTGTGGAGGAAGGGAGGATTAGGTGAGCGCGCACACTTCTGACGTCAACCGTCGTGTGATCTGATGGCAACAGGAGGAGAAGAGCATCAGCTTATTACATGGTCCAAGGACAGAACTCTCAGATTCTGGCCGGTTGATGCTGAAATCATGGAGGTGCGCAATTATCCATCATGTACATTCGCACCTACATTCAGTGGACCACATCTTCTTTATCACAGAAAGTCGGTCATACGGCTACCACTCAAGCACCTTCACACCCTCATTTGCAACGTTCACGTTTCTTCACGGACAAGTCTTTTCGCCACCCGCCAACAGCGCCTGATGCGCACCCCTCGTTTCTATCAGCACCTATTGGGCCTCGTGGAATTCTGGCTGAAGTGAGAGCGAATACACTTCCCCCTCGAGTACCAACAACCACAATTACTGGCGCTAGTGTTCTTGCGATCAGAGACAAAGACCATAACCCCGTCCTTCAACCACACCACGGATCTGCGGCACGGGCCCGTGGTGCACTGCTTCTGGACGCTCCTGGGTCAGCCGCACTCAATATTCCCGGTATTATGTTAAAGCCGCACATTCAACATATCCCTGGGACGCCCGCAACGATGACGATGACCCGTGGTCATGCGCTTGGCGGCAGATCTGCGAGAATGGACGCCTTCCAGTGGCTTGCAAGCATCAAGGTTGGCGAACGGCGCGAGGACAGCGCTTCCGGACCAGAAAGTAGGCTAAGTTCAGGAGAACGAAGGGAAGTGCGCGACGGAAGCGTTCCATCGGGCCAGAAGAGGAAACGGAGTGGGAGTCGTATCATGGATGGAGAAGGAACGCAGAGCTTGCAAGACGAGTGAGTAAATCTAATGACTAGTCTTGCTGCTACTGATCTTGGTGCGCAGGATTACTTCTGCGTTGACGAAGCTGCAGACGTCCAAAATAAAACTTGAAAAGGTCTTTCGGATTTCTTTGGCTGCATGCGTTGACTTACTTTACATTCGTAGCACGATCTTATGAAGCGACGTACATGTACCCTTGGTCTGCATGGGCCATGGGGCGAGTCATCTTCTGTCAGCGTGTTCATACGCGTTTCCTTCCGATTTCCTAAGACATACCCTCAATCTGGCGTACCTGACATTGACCTTGAGCGAAACCCCCTGGTTTCGATGCAAAGTCGCGCATTCATGTTGAGACGGTTGAGAGGTATTCGAGAAAGAAGAAGACCGTGCCTCGAAGCCTGCCTGAGATTCTTACTTTTTGGGGATGAAGATGAGAGAGTTGGCATCCCGAGAGGAATTGATTCGGAGTCATCCAACGAAGAGGAGGAAGATAATGCACGGAAAGGAGAGGGAGGGAGAAAGTCAAGGGATTTTACGGTTTCATTGTTGAGGAACAACAAGAATCTCGCGGAACCAAGGACTTCACAAGGTGTTTTTGGGCCGAACGGTTGGTACATTGCTAGGTCATTTTCAGCGTACACTTAAGATCACATCAGGAGAGCTGGTATGTTTCTTCCGTGCGCCGCCCCGGATAGTGCGCAATCCCATGAACGAGATGTCGGCTTCTCCGGCCACAACTCCAGCATCACGCTCATCACCTTCTGCTCAGAGGTTGTTCCAATCTCCCGCATTGCTCTCTGATGCCGTCCGACGGCTTGGTATGGCTGCAATCGATCGTGACAGGCTGGACTCCCTTCCACAGTCATCCGGCGATAACGACACAACCATGCGCATAATGACCAACCTCCTTACCTTTTCACACCACCACCACAAGCGACGCGAATCGATGGCTACTTCAGCCAGCTCCCTTCCAACCGCCAACCCGAATTATGCCAAAGTACCGGTCCTTACGCGTAGAAGCACGGTGTTCATCGAAGGTCCAACGGATACTACATTTGCTCAGCGGAAAGTAGCAGAAGCGTATGTGTTTGGGCGCGACGGCGAAAGCGTAGGTGCTATATGTGAGGCAAACGCAAAAGTGGCGCATGAACATGGGCAGTGGAGCCATGAACGAGTGTGGATGACACTAAGAGGCTTGTTCCCCACATCAGTGACCAAGGGCGCAGGTCCAAGCACGGTTGCGCGGAAAATCATTGATTCGCTGTATGTTCTTGTCCTTCACAGTATTCCAAGCGTTAACTTTTTACAGATATAAGGAGTACTGTGCAAGTCATGATGTCCAGATGCTTGCAATGCTTGGTATAATTTTACTCAGAGCTTTCGCTTCGCTTCCTGATACTGGCAAGCCTTTTATTCACCCATCGGAGTATTCCTTCTGATATTATCACAGTGCCAAATACACCCTCTGCAAATGAACCGTCGTCAATTTCACCGACCCCCGAAGAAGATTACTTCTCGTTAGTGCGGCGGAAAGGCCCTCGTGCGGGAGCCCTCTCTCCCGGTTGGCCGCGGCTCTCATCGACATCTCCAACAGCTCCACCCCTTATGATTTCGTCGCTTTCGATGTCTAACTCCTCCCGCGGTTCGTGGTCTAGCCTGTTCAATACTGGCAGCATGCGACAGTTTATGTCCGGCGTGCAGGAAAGTATCTCGACCCCTCTTTCGATAGATACCCTTCAACTCCCCACGAGGACCCCAATGCCTATGCCTTCACCGTTGCCTGGTAGCGAAAGTGCAGGTTCTGTAGTACTGAGGCTACCAAATCTAGACACACCGAGGCGACGCAAAGGGTCGACATTAATGGCACCAATTTCAAAATCATGGTCAGATACATCTGTCTTGGCAACACCTGCGCCTGCCGCACCCCTTTCACCGGCGGTACATGGGCGTCGACCGACTTTTTCGCAGGTTATCAGCCCAAAGCAAGTGATCCATGAAAAGAGGTTGGTCATAGAAGAAGAACCTATCGAAGAAAAGTACAGTATTTGCTCTTGCGTGGTGGGCGGATCTTCACTTATCACAAGCATTTAGACCAGCCGCATATGATCAACAGATCCTTTCTCAGTTCAAGTGCCATGTTCTTGCATATGCGGAGATGCTCTTTAGATGGGAACTCCTGAACAAGCGACTTGAACTGCTGAAGAGTGCCAAAATCACGACCCTCCACTCCAATAACCGAGAGGCTATCTTCGGTACGCAGCGAAACGCAAAATTCATGTGCCAGCTGACAACTTTCAGTAGATGTGCAGCATGCCTGTGGGAAGTGCAACCGCACTCTTGACCCCCACATAGAAACATGTTCATGTTGCGGACTGCGGACTCTTAAGCCGCGGTGCTCTTTGTGCCGTTTACCTGTGAAAGGTACTGCAACGTGACACTCGTCGATGATGTTGACTCACGCTCGACGTTCAGGTCTCTCACGCACTTGTGGAAACTGCCTCCACGTCACTCACTTGGGATGCTGGCGAGATGCTATGTCGAATGTGTGTGGCTCTGGGTGTGGATGTCGGTGTAGAGGAGAGCTGCGTCCCGACTCACAAGCACCTATAGTGCAATCCCCGACACCTCCACCTTCAGCGTTATCAAGATAGGATCAAATGTCCCTAGACTCAGAGACTAGAACACACATGATGCCTGGGTGCTTGCTGAGCGGTCATTCATGTACCGTTTAGGCTGGGCCTCTTGGCTTGGGAATAATGTTTGGTTTGTATTGTTGGAATGGTGCTTGTCTTTATTGCTATAATATGCGTATCCATTTGCAGAACTCACCCGCAGCACTGGCCCACCCTTTTTTAATGCACACATGAGGGCCGAGGCAAAGCAGGATCCTGACATGACAAAATTTCCCTGTTTGACGCCACCATGACGCCAGCTTCGGAAATTTCGGTGATCGGTTGAAATTTTCTAAATCGAGCAACTTTCGCAGATCAGTGAACTGTCGTCGTTCGGCCTTCAGAGTCCTGCCCGGCCTACTATTAGATAGATCCTTGAGTTCGCAGTCCAGACTTTGACTTCCCCGTGTGCCCTTTATTGCCCCTTTATCAATTGTTGCAACCATGTCACCCCCTGCACAAGGTCGTGTTTTGCTAGCATATTCTGGCGGTCTTGGTAGGTTGAGACCTGCGTGGAGGAGATTATCGTTAAATATCAATATCTGCAGACACTTCATGCATCCTGGCATGGCTGATCGAGCAGGGCTATGAGGTTTATGCCTTCATGGCTGACGTCGGTCAAGAGGAGGTACTGATATCTTCTGCTATACGCCGCCAGTTACTGATTGTTTGTACAGGATTTCGAAGCAGCTAGAAAGAAGGCACTCAGTGTTGGCGCAAAGAAATTCTTCGTGGAGGTTTGAAATTCTTCCAGCGTTGACCTTGCTGTGCTTGTCGCTCACAAACTCGCAGGACCTGAAGCGTGAATTTGTGACACAGTTAATCTACCCTGCTGTACAAGCAAACTGCATCTACGAAGTAAGTGCCTTCCTCTGACAGTTATCATGGGCTGATCGTCATCACAGAATGTATATCTGCTTGGAACTTCTCTCGCTCGTCCTGTTATTGCTCGCGGGATGATATCCGTTGCAGACAAAGAAGGTTGCGAGTAAGCTTCGCCTTCATCTTCCACTCACCTGAGCTTAGCGATTTTCTGGCAGCTATGTCTCGCATGGCTGCACAGGCAAAGGGAATGATCAGGTTCGCTTTGAACTTGCCTTCTATGGTCTTAAGCCCGATATCAAGGTCATCGCTCCTTGGAGGCTTCCTGGTGATCCAGTTTCCCCAACTTACAAAGCTTTTCGCTAACCTTTAGCATTCAGAGTTCTATAACCGCTTCCCTGGCCGTCAAGCACTACTTGCATACGCGGAGGAGAAGCAAATCCCAGTACAACAAACTGCCGCAAAACCATGGTCAACTGACGAGAACCTCTTCCATATCTCCTATGAGGCTGGGATTCTGGAGGATCCGAACACCACACCTCCCGATGACATGTGGAAACTCACCGCATCCCTCCAAGATGCACCAGTGGAGCCTGAACAGCTGTCGATCGAGTTCAAGGCTGGTCTTCCTGTGAAGGTTGTAATTGCTAACCAGGCCCCCCTTACTGATCCCGTCGACATTTTCCTCGCCCTCAATGCGGTCGCGAGGAAGCATGGTGTCGGTCGTATCGATATCGTCGAAAATCGATTCATTGGCGTCAAGTCTCGCGGTTGTTATGAGTCGCCTGGAGCGACTATTTTACGTGTCGCACATATGGACATCGAAGGTCTCACTCTCGACCGCAATGTTCGTGCTCTTCGTGATCAGTTCGTCACTATCGAACTAGGCCGCATTCTTTACAATGGCCACTTCTTCACCCCTGAGCGCGAGTTCGTAACTAGTGCCATCCCCGCGAGCCAGCGCACCGTCAATGGAACAGTGCGCTTGAAGCTCTACAAGGGTAACGTCGTTGTTATCGGCCGCCACTCTGATGAGGTAACGATTTTGATTCATGACTTTGATGCTGTCTTTATCCGCTTTCCAGGGTCTTTATGATGAGCAGCAATCTTCCATGGACGAACTCGGTGGCTTTGAGCCAACAGACACCACAGGTTTCATTCAGATTGAAAGCATCCGTATCAAAAAGTATATATTTTTAGTTGATCCTCATTACAACCTACTCACTTATCTTTCAAGATGGGGCCAGGCCAATGCTCGCAAAGGTCAAGCTGGTGTCGAGCCACAGGATGTTTATGGTTCCCGCATATAGTCGAGTACTACAGTCTGACGGAAATGAATCATCTAGCCAATTGTAAACCTTACCTTGCTATCGTGCCCTGGTCCAGCCAATCATTAAGCACTAGCCAGTACAAGCCTTAAATTTCCTGAATGTTCTCATTCAAGAACCGACGGAGTAACTTGCATTGATGTCATGGTCATACATGAATATATGTTGTATAATGTACACGAATTTCGGGGTGTTGAGACCTGGCGATTTCTCAATCAAAATAACCCAACAGCTACTTCAACGGGCAACCTGAGTTGCAGGGCGACCAAGTGGGATGGGCGCGTGGGGAACAGGAGCGTGAGGCGTCCTGACCTTGATGCCTAATACGTGATTCTTTTTAGCGATGGCAATCCTTAAAAAGGTAGCAAGTTCACTAACCAAGGTCCTCACAAATAAGATCTGCTCCCTTCTCGCCGACGAGGAGAGCAGACGAGTAGGTGTTCGTGCCCAAATTGTCCTATATAAGGTCAGAAAGAGCCCCTTATTCCACGACAATCGCTTACAGGACAGATACTCAAGTCGACACACTTCAAGTTCTGGGTACCATAGACATTGAGGCGAGAATCAACAACACCTCCCTCGGCACGAGGCTTCATAGCTAAGAGCCAATTGAGTGTCTTTTTCGATTGTTCATAGAGAGACTGCCTCACCGCAGGTTCCTGTTTGAGGGATTAGTGTCATTTCGTCACAAGTCATTCTTGATACTCACCTAGACTGTGCCAAGTAGTCTCAACGTGATCTGGGCAGTTTTTAAAGCTCAGAAGCGAGATCACGGAGAATCTCCCAGAGTTCTTACCTGCAATCCAATTATCGATGGCCTCGTCATCCTCCTCGGTGTACTTGATCTCATCATGCACCTTGCTTGCGTCGTATGGTTCACCAGGCTTGTGCCAGGTACCTAAGAATGGCGGGTCATTCGACAAAGCTCCTGTCCAAGGAGAAAGACAGTCACGAACCCATGTGGATGCCAACAGTGAAGCCGTTTGGCATCAATTGCTTAGCTGTCTTGATGTCAATGTCACGAGCAGCAGCAGGCGAAGCGGGGTGGAAGTGTGGGTGATGAGAAGTAAGCTCGCCGCGGAAGGCTAAAGAAGAGCGAGTTGAGTTCACAAGATAAAATGTTCGGAAATGGGCTTCGCTGACCATCCATGCGTCTCGCAACCTCGCGAGTCTTCTTGTAGCTCCAGCGGATTGGAGCAAAGTCGGCCTTGTTGTTCATAAAGCCGCTGTCAAAGAAGGGCTCCACATAAGGATTGGGAGAAGTGATATGGATCTGGCCGCGCAACATGAGTTCAATGCTAGATTAGAGCTCGACGTTGGCTAACCTTTCCACGGCTAGCAGGGTATTCCAGGTACTGGAACATTGTCATGTACTTGCCAGGAGGAAGGAGGGAATGATCCGCATAAGCTGGCATGCGATATAGCTATTAGATCATTGTGAATGTCATCTCAATGCTCTTACCTGCAGAGACGATAGATCCAAACCTACGAAGACAGTTGAGCCGAAAAGAAGCTGGAGCAAACTTCAAATACCTACATGACGGGCTTATCAGGCTTGTCTTTGAAGTACCTGTCCCAGAGAGCGTTGAACTCTGGACCCATTTCTTTCAGCTCCTCTTCAGTAGGACGAATCTGCTGATGTGCTTGAACCTAACTCAAGTCTAATAAGTACTTTGAAAGCTGACCTTAAAGCCAGCATCGATAGCATTTGATGACAGGCGTGCCTTCTCTGGGCTGACTTCCCATTCGGCGAAAATCTAGTGCCTTGAGCGCCTGTACAAGCGTTTGCATTATCATTGGGCTCACCTCCTTCTGAGCCTGTTCATCACCACGCAGGAAATCGTCCAAGGTTGTCGACTCGTTGGAGACACGGTAAACTAAGATCACGGCCTCAGCAGTGAACCTCGATCGAGTACTCCGTGTACTTACTTGACAGAGTTGTGTAGTGATCTTGGTACTCCTCGCTGTGTCAAGTGTTAACGCTATCTTCACAAGGGTTCGTTATGCACGCACCCCACGCCAGGAAGGTCACTGACAACCTTGACATCGAGTTGTTTGAGCAGACCTGCAGACCCGACACCAGATCGCTCCAAAATCTACACCAAAAATATCAGGTTATCAAGTGAACAACACTTGAATGTAATATCCTACCTGCGGAGTGCCCAAAGTTCCACTGCTCAAGACAACCATCTTACGAGCCCGGACCTGTGGCTTTTGTTAGACATACATCAATGTGGTTGAGAGTGAAGCTTACAATGGTCTCCTGAACAGCAGCGTTGTTCGCACGATTCCTAGACGATACGTATGCGACACCGACAGCTTTGGTGCCCTCGAATATTACGCGAGACACACGGGCATTCGTGCGCAAGTATAGGTTACTCTGGATGTCCGTGACTCCGTGGACGTATGCTGGATTGTGTTAGCTAAACATACCCAAGTGGCGAGAAGCATACCCACCAGTGGCAGCATCACTGCGGCGACCAGTGTGACGATTGATGTATTTGGCCCAGATCTCAGAACCGTGAGCAGTAGTCAGATCTGTATCCAACGATTAACAGGGAGAAATGCAAGCCAGTTATCCATACCCTGAATGTCGTCTACGAACTACCAGTCAGTCTGTTTCATCGTGATGGAACCTCAAATCTTACCGCTGAAGGGAACATCGATGGCATGTGCAGCTCTCAAAAAGTCCTGAGCAAGGGGAGTGACCTGGCCACCGTTACTGATGGCGATTGGACCATCATATCCGTGAGTATCGTTGTTAACCGGCTTCTGATAGTTTTCGAGCTATATAAGAGCCGTTATTAATATTAATTGCTCTTCTCTGATGCAGGGCACGAACTCGTTTCATGAGAGGAAGAAGGTCTACGAAGCTCATCAATTATGGATGTCGATCATTAGTGTGCTCACACGTACCCTTGGCTGTCCAACCTTCGGTCTTGAAGTCATCTGTTGAGTTGATTTAGTTGTCCGCGATTTCATCTTGGTGAGACGATTTCAACAAACCCCAATCAGATGCGGAAGCCTGTCAAACTAAATTTAGCGCACGGTCTTTTGTTTAATTCTGGCACTCACTCTTGTGTACATTTGGAAGTTGATGCTGTAGGAGATGTAATTAGTTCCAGCGATATGTAAGCGAATTGTGCAGCTCACCTACTGCCGCCGCCTGTGCGAGTTCAATAAGCTTCGTGAGACATATAGCCAAACAGTGGAGAAAATCAATACCAAGGATGTTAGCGCAGCTGGAAACAATGGTCAGTACTCATTCAGACGATGATCGCAAACAACGTACGGTACAATGCTCTGCCTTCCTCTCAGGTATGGGGAAGGTTGAGCATCAGTGTAGAATGTAGCCTTGTCGTTGCTGACAATTCTTGTTAGCAGAACAAAACGCTAGCATATAGTAAAAACCAACATTCCGTCACGTTGCATGTTCTTCACGTATATACCAGGTCTATTGAAAGTCAGGATCATTGTGGTCGTTTGTGTGAAGAGTCTACCTATAAACCCAGGGATCATCGCGGTTGTTGGCACCACCTGTGGCTCGTGTTGAGAGGTAAATAAAGAAACGTTTTCAGCAAACATACCTTCGATGAGCATAACTTTGAGGTTGGGGTCCGCATACGCAAGGCGTCCGGCGACGACACATCCTTTGTAGAAAGTGCTTTAAGTTAGCTGCATGATGACACATATCCTGCATGTCCACCGCACCTGCGGGGCCTCCGCTGTGATAACTCTTCAGTACATTATCAAAGCACTAAGACGTGAACGTACCCAGCAATGATGACATCGACTTCTTCTGGGTGACCCATGTTTATTTCAGGTGGAGAGGTGAAAGAATGATGATGATCTAACCCTGCTCCCCGTCTTTTATATGCAACAAAGTCCCTGAGAAGGAGCCTCTGAAGTAATAGGAACGGGATCTGCACACACGCGAAACAAAGACGAGGAGTCAGATGATAGTCATATAGCTATTCTTCGCAATAACCGATAGCAGGCGTGACGAGCTTGATAGGGGATATGATGGAGCAAGAACCGTTGTTCCCATCGCGACCAATGCGGACTTGCAAAACAGCCAGACATTCACAGGGGATAAGATCCGCATGCTGGGCCCCTCGCGGTATTTTCATAGACAACAGTCATTGAGTAGGGATATACCACTCTGCTGACTGTTTCAACAAGCCGTCTTCAAGGTCTCCAGCGATAGCACAGAAGAGGGTACAACTTCAGGTGTTCTCAAAGTGTCGTGGAATGGCCTTCAAGTTGCTCTGGATGAAAACGCGAAAGCCTAACCAACAATTGTGACGAGAGTTTTGGAAACCATTCCACATTTGTATGACATCTTGCGCCCGCACGCGTATCAGCGACTCTCATCTCGACATTGTTCTTTAGAGCAAAGTTTGCCCCAAAGAAAGGACAACAACTCACCTGAGTGCAGAGTCCAGACAGATAGGCATGTGAATAGAACCGTGGACTTCAAGTTCTTTTGAAATACCACCTTCTCAAGCGACTAGTCAGGTGTTCCAGTTTCTTTGACCACTAGAGGCGACGTACCGTGGAAGTCTTGTGAATCCGCAGCTCAATCTGCTTTCGATCATATGTATTGCGGGGAACAACAAGTAGTCAGGGACGACCCAATTCGAGAGCAAGTATCCAAGAGAGACTGGAATCCATAACAAATGGCGATTCATTGGAACTGTTAGAGCGGTGCAACGTCAGCATGAAGATCTTGAAGATTATTTTTTGTGTTCGAGTCCAGATGCTCTGTCCTCATGAATCCGAAGATCACATTACTCTTAACCGCCCTATCCGACCTCATAGATCTCAGATATGTTAGGAGTCTGTGAGCGAGGGAAATTGCTCATTGCTGTATGATCACAGTGACGTGTATATGTATCACATGGCAAACCCTCCAGTAATATTTTGACACATAACTTGAGGCTACCCTAAGGAAGGGACGATTCGTCTACGTTGAGAACCAAAGTGGTGTAGAATCGGATCATCTCAACGAAGCTATTGATGGAGATTGCTGTAGAACAATGAGCCTTTCAATTGCCGAGAAACTGGTCTAAATGCGTACCTTCGTTGATTGTGTGGACGCCGGAAGGAAGCGATCCACTGTCAGCTCCCCCCAGGTGATTATACCGGAAAATATGGTCAGTCAACTTCCAATAGAACCGTGTATCTGTAATTAAATCGTGACTAAGCTGGTGCGATGCGTTCTAAAAAGCCTACCTGTGTTACCGGACATGATACCTGGGCTCACGATGATTGCATCTGAACCAGAAATATTTCTATGGGAGTTGTAGGCTGCTTTGATACTCCCAGATAAAAGCTGGAACGGCGCAGCGTCTTCACCAGACGGAGTGACCGGTGCTGGCTCCAAGCCCTCACCAAACGCAGTGGAGAGGGTCAAGGTGCCATATGAAGGTGCATCCTCGTTGGAAATATGGGAACCAAAGGCTGTGTAAGATAGATTGAAGTCGTTTGCGATAGATTCCAGCAATTCGATGTCGCGCACTTTTGTGGCGGAGATAGAACTACAAATAAGAAAGGGCGTATTAGCGACAGTATCCGCATATGCATCAAAACTCCTACCTTTCAGTAGAAACCCGGTGATTCACGATGGCCCACGCCTGTTCTGGGAGAGCATTTACCTTCACTCCACCGTCCACGAGATCGATAGCCTGAGTGGTACCAACAAGACTCATAAAAGCACGATTCTTAAAGAGTTCCTGCTCAGCGGCACGAAGTGCTCCATCACAGTGCTCTGCGCGCAACATGTGTTCCTTTAGTGATGAACTGACGCCTGGTGCGTGTTGAGCCATGCACTGAGCGTTCCGGTAAGTCGGTGACCCTCTTGTCTGCAGGAGAAACATCAGTGTCACATCACAGTCAGTCTGTTGAGGCTCACCAGGTGGACCTCGAAGGGGTTTTTCTCATACTGGACGAGAAGCTCCGCAAGCATGCCAATGCTCTTAAAAAATCAGAAACGATCGGTGAAGAAATGAGTATGAGTAAGCTCACAGTACGAGGTGGAGGAAGGCTCGAATGGCCACCGGGAGATGTAACTGTGATTCGGACGTTCAACGAACCTTTCTCGCCAATTCCAGGTACTGCAATAACACGACCATATACGTCGCCGTACCCAGCTGTCAACCAAAACCACATTATTCATTGTATTAGTTAGTCCAGCAATAAGCAACTCACCGCCTTCGTCGAGAAGCATGGTAAAGGCATTTTCTCCAAACCTCTCCAGCATTTTGGTAGCTAAGGAAGACGCGCCCTTCGACCAGTATTGAATGTCAACGGAGCTATGCAGAATATTATCAACTTACCCGCTCTCCGCTTACTTCCTCGTCAAAACCTGACGCGATCACGACCGTGCGAGTCGGCTTGAAGCCATTCTCTAGCATAGATTCAATCGCAGACCTACGGCAATCAGTCGTACTTTTCTTGAACATTACAAGGATACAAACATAATCCCTAGAGACAGCCCGTGAGTTCAGGGATAGAACTAGATGTTGGAACACCTACCGATTAAACCGCTTTTATCATCGCACGACCCGCGACCCCAAAGTTTCTCCCCTACCAAGGTATCAGTCAGAAACATGATATCCGTCATGGAACTATTGCACGGACCATCAAAGTACCCAGAGAATGGAGGATGCTGCCATTCGTCAATCGTCGTTTCTAAGACAGGGACAACGTCTAGTGGAATATGTCGTCAGTATGGGAATGCGTATGATGCACAAATGAACACACCTTGGTGAGCAGCGAGGAGGAATGGCTTCAAAGCATTGTCTGAGCCTTTCCATACGTATAACAGTCCGTATGTATTGACTTTCGTAAGTTCCAAATTTGAGTGACTGAAATATAACGTGAACTAGGCAACTGGTAACGACGAAAAGTACTTACAGTAAAGGAAACGAGTCTTTCAGATAATCATGTAACGGGAAAAACTTCTCCCAAACGGGCTCTGTCACATCTCCCATGTTATCGAACGTTTCTGTCCTGCATGAGGGCCGTATTTAGCGCAGACACACCCAGCATATCGCAGGCGGAACAACGTACGGAATTCGCACAGCTCCCCCAAGCCAATCTATGGCTCTCGCTTTGAACGCCTCAGTACCGTACGTGTGTTGAAGACTCTCCCAGATTACCCCATTCTTCTCAGGGACAAGTTCATCCACCTGCGGACATAAATCTACGCCATCCTCGAGGGTACCGACAGGGAAAGCGTTAAAGGGTCTTTTGACGAAGTACGTTGAAGCAAAGATTGCGAGTGTAACGAGTGCGATCTTGAATGCGATAGTCTTGGCCTTCGAAAGCTTCTTCGTTGTGGATGTGCGGTCGTAAATGCCTGGAAGCCGCTCGTCAGCTTTCTTCTCGACTAGGTTAGCTTGCGACATCATGCGACGGAAGACCTTTGAAAAATAAGGAACGACCGTCTTCCTTTTTTCAAGCTGGGGACTAATTGGAAAGACCACTACCTGGGTGACCGTGTACTACGGGCCTTTTTGGAGATCCATTAATACCAATGCTAGTCAGAAGGTCAAGTGTCATCAAACTTAAGTTCGCCGCCCAAATCTGCCCAAATATACAAGTCATGAGTCGCTGCTACGTATCTTATCTGTGGACCGTGGTATCTACCATCAGTTCAAATGCTGTAAAGCCAATTCCTTTCCACCGCAAGAACTTATTGTATATAGACCCTCAATGCAACTCCGATTCATCAACATTGAGGATAAGTGTGGTGAAGAATCGAATCATCTCAACGAAGTTGGTGATCTTAATGGCTGTCATGAATTTATCAAATACTACGTTTTGAGAAAGGAAGAACATAGTCTCACCCTCGTTGACAGTGTGCACTCCAGAAATGATGCTTCCACCCCTAGCACCGTCTGTATGGCCATAGCGGAAGATGTGCTCGGTCAGCTTCCAATAGTATCTTGTGTCTATCAAGGGAGTAAGGATCACATGGTGATGTCCAGACAGATATCGCTAACCTGTGTTGCCCGACATAATTCCAGGACTGATGATAAGGCTATCGTCATCTGAAAGACCTCTGTGAGAGTTATATGCCGCTCTGATAGTGCCAGATAAAATTTGGTAAGGCACGGCATCATGTCCAGTGGGTGAGACTGGAGCAGGCTCAAGTCCATGTGTATAAGCTTCAGATAGTGTCAAAGTGCCAAATGCGGGAGCATCAGCATCAGTTATCCTAGCACCGAAGGCGGTATATGATAGGTTGAATTGGCTTGCGAGTGATGTAAGTAGCTCAGTGTCACGCTGTTTCGTTGCGGTGACCGAACTGGACTCGCTATTAGCATGCAGTCGTGCGATCCTGATTGATTACCAACCTCTGCGTCGAAATGCGATGGTTCACTACAGCCCAAGCTTGCTCTGGCAGTGCGTTGACCTTGACCCCTCCATGGATGAGGTCAATAGCTTGAGTGGTTCCGACGAGACTTTTGAACATCGGATTCTTGAAGAGTTCCTGCTCAGCGCGGCGAAGAGCACGTTCATTATGTTCTGCGTGAATGATGTCTCTTCGCAGTGACGCAGGAAGTTCAGGTGTGTGAACAAGACATTGTGCAATCTTGTAAGTCGGTGAACCTCTTTCCTGCGAGAGTTGTGCGAGAGTGTTATTTATTGCTCTGTTGGTGTTCCAGGACTTACAAGATGAACTTCGAACGGATTTCTCTCAATATTGACGAGCATGTCCGCTAGTATGCCAATGCTCTGTGTTGGCGTAAGCACAAAGTCATTAATTCTAGAGCAGGAACCTACAGTGTGAAGTGGGGGAAGACTTGAGTGGCCACCAGGAGATGCAACATTTATCATCACATCCATATACCCTTTCTCGGAAACGCCAGGAGTTGCGATGACTCTGCCAAACTGTTCGCCATATCCAGCTGTGACCCAAAGCATTGCCAGTTAGGAATGTTTGGCTGTAGAAAAGCTAGCAACTTACAGCCTTCATCCACTAGCATAGCATAACCATTTTCGCCGAACATCTCTAGTAACACCGGCGCCAATGTTTGAGCGCCCTGTCAACGGTTCAGCCTAGTTGTCAAACTGTGTGTTAATGTCCTTACATGAAGGCCGCTGGTCTCCTCATCAAATCCAGATGCCAAAACTACGGTTCGGGTTGGCTGGAACTTGTTCTCCAGCATACTCTCCATGGCGGACCTGACGCAAAGAATAAGTCAGAGAGAAAGAAAGGGCATGAGAGATATCATACATGATGCCTGTTCATCCATGATCAGCCGAACGTGCAGCGTATCACTTGAAAAGAGCTCACCTATCAGCCCGCTTTTGTCGTCTTGCGAGCCACGCCCCCATACTCGCTCACCTATCATGCTCATCAGTGGTTATCGGATTAATCGTAAGAGAATGGACGGACCGTCGAAGTACCCAGAGAAAGGTGGATACTGCCATTGGCCAATTGTGGTCTCCTCCACAGGAACAACGTCTGTGTCACAAAAATTCTAGACTCATCACACAGGAAGGGTACTAAGCTCACCTTGGTGGGCTGCAAGCAAGAGAGGCTTGAGGGAGCTGCTCTTTCCTTTCCACGTGTATATCAGGCCATACGTATTAACTTTGGTCACCTCAAGGGTAGCATGGCTGTGTAATCACAGTGATAATCAGTTTAGATGCAGTGAACTAGCAGTATACCTACACCAGTGGAAAGGCCTTCAGCAAATAGTCGTGGAAAGCACTGAATTTCTCCCAGCGTGGGTCAGTCCCGACAGGGCCCATCTGGTCATAAGATTCTGTTCTAGTGCCAGTGAGTGCTCTTGTGGGGCTCGCAAGGCGAAGGATAAACTTACGGGATTCTAACGGCCCCTGAAAGCCAGTCCACCGCTCTCATCTTGAATGTATCAGTTTCATAGGTGTCACCCAGAGTCTTCCACAAAGCACCGTTGTACTTTGGGATGAGCTCAGATACCTGGGGACAGATGTCTGCATTGACTTTCTGGTGGGAGTGGTACGGCCCAATGCCATATGGAGCCCTCCATAGGAAAGTGGATGCGAACACAGCTAGTACCACCAGACCCGTCCTCAGTGTCAATATCCTACCGCTCGACAACTTCCCGGTGCGCGGTGGCAAGACGCCAGGGAGGAACTTGTCTGTTTTCTCGTTCATGGTAGACGTACCGAGCAATCAACAAGGTGTATCTTGGAGGATTCCCGCAGCCGAAATACATACATCACGGCCCGGGCAATGCGGATCTTCGGACCTCACCTGGCTCACGTTGTCGTGCATGTGACTCAAGAGCGCGCGAACTTTGCCAGTGTCATCTGAATCTGATGGTGAACCGTGACATACGGGAGAAATGTTTGACAATAGGCTTTTGAGATTGGGAGAAGGACTGAAGACATGGTGTCACTTGATTTTACAAGCACGTGACGAACGCGTCATCGTCGATCGAGTTTGTTTATCGCATCGGCAAACACGTACACACCTTGAATCAGATCCTTGATCAACTAGGGTACAAGTACAGCGTGCCCTCGCGTATCAATGGCAGTTCAGCGATTCCCCTCTTCTACGCGTACCAGCATGTTCTTACCATCTTCATCCTTCTCAATCAGACATTTGCTATTATGATCTACCACCGTGTGATGGCGATGCGGGCAGTAATGGCCATAATGACCATGTCCATTACTGTCCGCATCACCATCACCGGCTTTCTTATGGTCTCTTGCTTCGACTCGGATCGGGTTGTCTGTGACGATACCGCATAGGGTCCAAAGCAGAGAAGGTTTCCACTGGCCTCGTTGCATACTGTGCCTGTTTGTCGTCTATCATGGTTGTTCTCGCCGCTGACGCCGCTGCACAAAGGATTCTCAGTAAGGACGTTAATCATATGCCTGCCGCTTCGAAGAACAACGATGCCGACCCTGATGCTTCATCCACCAATAGAAACACCACCTCTGCTACGCCTAATCCTGTCAAACAACATCATTTGCAGCCATCTCCATCCCCATCGCGTTTAATTGAATTGCAGCCATTTCTGTCTCAATTTCTGTCTTCTTCGCATGCAATCGAACCGACAGAAACATTATCCGCTCCAATCATGTCTTGTACTTGTGCATCTTGCATCTATCTCACTTCCCCGAACCTGTACTGCAAGCGCCTGGCTATTGATTCCAACGCCACGCTTGTGCCCTATGACGACGACCTGCTTACCTACGTCTTCTCGGACGATTCCTCGGACACTGACGACTGTGAGTCGTTTGATGACGTTTGAGTTTCTAGAACGCCGATCGTTCTGAACCTCAGCCGCTTGACATCCTAATTGCACAAACGAACGCTCTCACTCTCGATGACCCGCCTCGTACTTCCAAGTTTCGACCGCTCATTGTAGTCACCAAGCGCAACACGACACCTACTATTATTTATCCTCCGCTCCCTGAACTCGCATACCATATGGACGAATTGACCCGAAACATGCAGTCGCTCTCTCTCTAATAGTCGACCTAGTTATCCTGGCGTCTCTCTTGCTGGACCCGGCTGCCCCATAGGCGCCCTCGCTCTCCGATCGTTCGTCTTCTACCTCCAAGCTGAAGCCTACTTCTCGTTACGAAGTGTGCACCTGGTTAACTCAAGCCTCTCCTTCCTGTCAGCACTCTACTTTGACAATTTGCGACCAAATGGACAACGCAGCGTCAGACATTGGCCTTTTTCACTGTTCACCACAACCTAGAGCCCATCAGCCCAAGTATTTTAAGGCTGCCTCCGTGCTCACACTGCAACCTACGTACAATATGTCTCCGACGTCAGGTCCCCTACGACTAATCCGGACGACAGCCTTCTTCTGCCCCCTACGACCTGGAGCCCACGAAGTTGAAGGCCACTACCAGTGTACGCACACTATGTCGCTGATCTTCGACGCCAGAGGTCCTCTACGATTCAATCTCGACGACACTCATAGACCTTGTTTACTATCCCCTACGACATTCTATGGCCACCGCTACGGTTAAGCGCATATCTATCAGACAAGTCATTTTTCATTCCATTCTCTGCTACCTCTTTGATCTGTATTCCCCTTGACTGGACGAGACGCACATTGGACTCATCTCTGACATGTACGTTTCGTTCGTTTCATTTCGTTCTCTGCATCATCTTTGATTTTTTTCCCTTGACTGGTACGAGACAGACATTGGACTCATTCTCTGCTTATCTCTGGCACGTATTTCCTTTCCTCCTCGATATAGTGACTATCTTCGATTTATTTTCACCTTCACTGGTACCAGATACACGACGGGATCATCTTCATTACGGACTCATCCCTGGCATGTACGTTTATTCCTTGCTTTCATATTAGATTTCACGACTACTATCGCGGTGTATGATTATTTTATCGATCTTGTTACACCAGACCCTTTATTTTTGTGCATGTACGACGATTGTAAGTATATATCATTGACAACGTAGGCTTGAATACATTTTTCTTGGCCCAAACAAGTCGGACTGTCCACTTGAATGCACCAATTTCATAGGTGTCTTACATAAAGCATCGAGCTGGACATTAATGTGATGACGCGGCGCTAAGCCCTGAAAATTTGACACCTGGGGGGGACCGCAGATGTCTGCATTAATTTCCAGGTAGGAACGGTAAACCCCAAGTTGAGAGGAACTCGTTTGGTTCAACGTTTGTGGCAGACACCCCAGCAATTAACAAAGTATATCTCAGAGGACTTCTGCGGCCGAAAAACACTTGGAATGCTTTCGCAACCCGGATAATTCGGGTCTACTTGGATCAAGAGCGGCGGAGCGCGCGAACTCGTACTTTGAATATCAAACGTCGCATCACCTGTACCCTGCAGGGGTCATAGTGTCCCTATGTTGCCCTTGGGTAGCCTGATGAGTAATTAGAGAGGGGAAGATGTTTGACGGTCTTTTGGAAGAGCGTGAGGTCTGCAGCTGTACAAAGACAATTTCAGCAAAGGCTGTCAGTTCGACAACTCATTTCATGGCTATGAAAAGACATCTAGAAGAATAGGTTCAACGAGGTGTGGGGAGAACGCTCTCGTCGATACTCCCTAGTGCGGCTGGTACAGATACGCGCCTCGAGAATCGGGGGCCGCACTAGGCTGTGGTTATAAGCAAGATATCAGAATCCAGGATGTAAGGAAGACGGTCGTTCCTTCTTATATAGGGACTTCGCGTGGTTCTTAAGACTTCAAGGGTGAACTGTGCAAATTAAGCAAGATTGTGTACTATACATCCAGACCGTCCCGTCTCGCCACCACCTCTTCTAGTGTCGGTCGCTTGGGAGCAACGATATTGCTGCGCCCTGAGCTCGCATACATAATTTCCGCCTCGCCGAGCACCCCGGGGGTGTATGATGCCTCCGATCCAGCCTTGTAGATATTACCTTGCTTGAAAGGGAATGTCGACGAAGGAACTTGGAGAAGGTGGTCTGGTGTCCGAGTGAGGTATAACCGATGTAGCGAGTCTTCAGCTGCCTGTAGTACCTACAGTAAGATAGTGATACATAGGTATACCTGGAAGGTGCTTACCCGGTATTCTGCCATCTTCAACGAACTACCGAAACCCTCGCCAAGCTTGTCTTGTCCAGAAAAAATGCCCACTACAAATACGGGCGAATTCGAATAACGACCGGTCTCCTTGAGTAATCTGTATGGCAAAGGCTCTTCAGTTGAATGAGACACGAACATCATATCCAGGCAGCATACCTAGATTTAGGACGTTCATGACCGAATTTTTCCACAGTTTCTATAAGGGCTCGTTTTGGATCACGGAATTTGATCATGCCCCGAAGGTCAACCTGCCTACTCAAGAAAAACGACTGAACAAATTTCCGTGCGGACTGGAGTGATATTTCTTGGTAGACAAGGGCAGTTATTGCCCTCGGTATCGATGCTAGTGCATCCGAGTGCAGCAGCGCTGGAGACATTGGTGTCGTAGGCTGAAATGTTCGATCAGTGACAGGGAGCTTCTACTACAAGAATACAATACTCTACCTGTCTATGCCACCGTAGTAAGGGTACCGCACCCATTTCCTGAGCGACACTCGCGCATGTCAATGGACCAACATGTGCGCTGACTGCAGCCTTTAAAACGCGAGTCGGTAGATGCGGGTATGCAGCATGAAGATGTTCGGATGCAAACAATCCCATCAAAGTGTTTCCTAGCGTCGCAAGATTCGCGTTTGTTGGGGGTGCAGGGCTCGAAGGGTAATATTTAGCATGAAGATTGACAAACGACTTGTGTGTGCAAGCGCGTCGAACTACATCTGCGGACGACAAGACGTTCGCAAGACCTATTCTGTGAGCGAACGCGGTGAGGGCAGATGTAGGTGGGGGTTGAAGTGTTGCCCATGATTCCGGGTCAAAGAAATTCGGTTTGCCAGAGTCTGGTCTGAGGATGGCCTCTTTTGGCGGAAACTGCTTCAGCTGTGAAGTGGAAACAGCTAGCTTTGAAGCGGAGGAATAAAGACGTTTTGAGACATGACCCATTGGCAAAAAATGACGCAGAATGAGTCGTGTTCGACACTCGAGCCGTCGTCTTCTGATGCTGACCCCGTTAAACTTGTTTCCGCTCAAACCTGCCTCAAACCAAAAATTAGTCCAATGTCATTTCGGCAAACTCCGCAAACAGGAACCGGATCCCTCTCAGACTGCTTACCTTTTTTTGTCGGTTCACTGCTGTATAGCTAGATATGCATTTTAGGAGCAACGTAGCTGACAATGTTTTGTATTGAACTCGAACAGTAAATTTTTGTGCTACAGCTGCAGGTGAAACGTTGACGTCTTTGGCAAGCGGTCATTTCTACCCGATATGTCCGCCACGTGGAAATATTGTTACTGCCTGAAGGCCCTTAACACACCTTGTCGTCTAGTACTTACCCCACCAACGGTTGGAGCAGTGCACCTAAACATCGTTTTACTCAAGACTATACCCACAGAACTGTTCAGAGCGCTCTATATATTCATTCATGGCAGTACTATCCCTGCCGTTAGCATTTACTAACTCGTTCTGGACTCAGGATTATCGGAAAGGCTTGGAGATTTTGTATAATAAGCTTGAACAGGTGAGGACGCGTCTCTAACTCGGGGCGTTGGTCTCACATCTTCACAATCTTAGGGTACAGTGGAAAACCATGAGATTGTTGCATTCATAAGAGTGAGCTCCTTCGCGATACTCCAGATGCCCTGAAACGAGAGATATCGCAGGCTCGTGCAGCCGCTGAGGCTCAAATTGCAACATCATTGCAACACCCTGCAGCTATTAGCTCACATGGTCAGTGGATGTGACCTATCTCCTAATACCGCAGACTCACCTCCTGCAGGCGCCGGCTTCAACAAGGATGATGGAGCTACATTATTGATGGCCTTCCGTGGACTTCAGGCAGAGTCAGAAATACAGGGCCGAGTTCACAAAGACATTTCCAAGGACCTACGAGCTCTTGTAGCTGACCCATTTAACGAATGGGCCCAGGGATACGAGGTAAACATACAAACACATGTTGTCTACTCGTGATCTCATTCCTCTATAGGAGCGTCTTTCTTCCAGCAAAGCTGTGGTTATGAACAACTGGCTGCGTGCCTATGAGGATTCACAGAAAGAGGTGTGTCTCAGCGAGAGACAACGCAGACCATATGCACGAGATCCTTACCCAAAATGCTCAGGTTATTAAACTAAAAAACTCCTATCTGCAAAAGACACGCCGGGCAGATGAGGCAGAGGATGAGTGAGTATTATTCTGTCCTATTTGCATCCACCAAACCTGACACAACGTTCACTACCAGCGCGAAGTTTGCACCTAATAATGATTTAGGGGATCATTACACGACCTCTCCGCGCCTGTTGCCACGCGACAAGAGCACGCAACCACAACGCTCGGCTACGGTGTCCGAACGCATTGCCCAGCGCTTCAAGGAAATTCAACGCAAGGCTGCTGGTACCTCGATCTCAAGTGTGGAATCTGATGCAGCAAACGAGACATCAGAAGAGAAGACTTTCACGAAAGTGGACAAAGGCAAAAGGAGAGCGGTGGAGTCGCCGTCGCCTACGCTAGTGGAATCTCCGCCTCCGTTGTCACCTCCGTTGCCTCCCGCAAAGTTGGAAAATGCGTCCCCATTAATCATGGAAGCACCCCTGCCTCCGACCCCCATTCTATTGGCAGGTCTGGCAATACCCCCGGCTACCGTTTCTGCATTGCTTATACGAGCTGCTACTGAGCTGAAGCCACGTTCCGTCCGGTTCCCCTTGCTTGGAGAATATACAGATTGCTTCACGGGTGAAGAATTTGTCGCTTGGTTGAATGTCAATGTACCAGGCTTTGATGGCAATCTCGATCGAGCTGAAGATGCCGCAAGGGAGCTGACAGAAAGAGATGGTCTCCTTCGTCGTATTGGAGAGTTTGGAAACGAGTTTGAGCATTCTGATGAAGCGTACTATCAGTTCCGAGCCAAGGTGGGTGTTGATTGGATATGACGATATCATGAAGAGCTCATTTACGCCACTAGGCTTTCGAACTTGGATCCGAGACTGAAACTGCATCGTCTGCGCCGAAGCGTAACCTTGCACCTCTGGCGGATAACCTGATCAAGCGTTCAAACAATTTCGTGAATGTCGTTTCAAAGGCCTTGAACTCCAACACGCAGACTGAGCCCGCCCATATCAGGCTTCGTGAAGAAGCCGAGGAGGCCGACAAAATCTATCGTGTCGCTGTCAGAAAACTTGACAGACAGAGGCTTGGCCTTGAGGAACGTATTGAGGAAACTTTGAAAACGCTTCAGAGAGGAGAGATGGAGAGGCTGAGAGCCGTCAAGACAGGTAAGCCCTTGTGGATCAAAGGTCAAGGACATGAATTCAAGTCGTTGCAGTGCTCCTTCAGTACCAAGGAACCTTGGCCACCATACCCAAGGCATTCGAGCCATCCATTGAACGCTCTGCCACTCTAGTTGCCTCATACCAGCCCGACGGGGATTTAACCGCGCTCATGGAACGTTACCGCACCGGTCCCTTCAGACCCGTCCCGCAGTTGTATGAGTCTGTCGCACATGATGAATCAGACGTGGTGTTTGGCATCGACCTGCGCAAGTGGGCTGAAGGTGGTTGGAACGCCCTTACTTCTGGCGAGGAGAAGAAGGACTTGATTCCGCCAGTGTTGACGGCGTTGCTCTATGCGCTGAAAGAGACATATGACCGTTTGCCAAATGACTCAGGTGAGTAGAATCTGTCATACAGTCCATACAAAATTTGAAATGCCTGTCCAGAAAAACGGAAAGCCTGGATTTATGAAGTTCCGCTTCCTGCACTGCATCATCTCAGAGAGGCTCTCAATGGCGTTCCTCCCGATCAGCCCTTCTCGCTCGAGATGCTTACCAAATATGGTGCCCCTGTGCTTGCAGGTGGTATCAAGCTGTGGGCCCTTGAGCTTGATCCCCCCCTCGCTCTTTGGGAGGGGTGGGATGATATCAGGAAACTCTATCCTACTGGTAGGTTGGCACATGTCCTGGCGAGCTTTGAAGACTAACGATGAGGGCAGTTGGGTCTACGAAGACTGATGCCGATGATTCGGAAGAAAAGCACCTCCAGGACTTGCAAGTGGCTCTGCAGCGTCTGCCGAAGGTCCATCTCTATGTCCTAGATGCTATTGTCTCTCATCTCAGAACGTACGTCTTCTGCGTGTGATTTCATGATACACTGCTGAGTTGCGCCGTAGTTTGATCGAATCGACAACTGTGGAGGAAGCAGATGACGTCTACATCACGAAGCTGGCTCTGTCAGTCGGCCGCAGTATGTTCCTAGTTCCGCGAGTTACGATACAGAACTAACACAATTTGACAGCGATCATCAAACCCAAGGTGGAGACGGAGCTGTCCATCCAGGACCGCCACCCTACGCGTAAGTGGCTGTTTCGTTCATAATGTCCGTCATTTCATACACCAGGCTGTGTAGTTCTGTTCATCGATCTACTCAAGAACTATGATGATATTCTCCCCCCTACTATCGCCAAGAAGAAGCGGGAGTCCGAGCGACGCATCCCAATCCGGAAGCGCACAGCACCTATTGACATGCGTATGAGCCGAGGCAGAATCTCTGTCGGTGCTCCGACTCGGGAGATCTTAGCTGCCCAGCAAGCAGCACAGAGAGTCGCTGCCCAGGTTCCGGACGCGACCATTCCTGATTATGCCCCAGCAGCTCCACTCGCAGCAGTCCGGGCTTCACCGATCTCAGAATCGAAGAGTTTCGACACTGAACCAGAAACGTCTGAGGCAGCTGTCGAGGAGGGCGAGCATTTTGATCGTACCGAACAATCTGACTCCTCTCCTCCTGTTGTTGAAGATGACTATGCACCCCAACGTCCGGAGTTCAAAGAACCACCCCCCGAGTTCGATGAACCCCCCAGGCCTATGTTCAAGGAACCGCCCCCGGAGGTTGATGATGTCCCCAGCCCTAGTACGCAACCCGTTTCTTTTGTTTCTCCACCTGCCTCGCCACCCCCTGTCATGGACGAGAAGCCACCCTCGCCTGCAGTGTCTGTGACGCCTGCTACGCCCCACAACCCAATTAAGACACTCAGACGCAACTCAGCCATGCGCTCTGGCAGTGCATCCCCTGCGCGCAGTCCGTCTCCCTTAACTTCACCTGCCACGCCTGCCATCCCGGCAGAAGATCAGGCTCTGGGCACTGGAAGAACCGGTTTGTCAAGGCATTCTTCTGGACAGACGGTTGTGCGTGGTCCACGTATATCCCGTGGCCCACGACCGGCTGGTGGAGGGAGTGTAAGCAGCATGGTAGCGAATTTGAACAGGAGTTCGATGTCAAAGTCCCCTCCTCCGTCCCCGAACTACAAGAGGCTCTCTGGTGGGACAACACGTCCGGGATCGATGTTGGGGGGTGCAGATGGGAAAGGAAAGATTGGCAGAACTAGTGCATTCTCCAGGAGGACCATGGCTAGTGATGCAGAGGATGAGGTGGTTGACAGGGCATGAGGTATCACTGAAACGCTCGCATATGATTCAGATCCATGGAACAATAATCTAGTTCAGAATGACCCCTCATATTTAAATGATGTTCTTGACTTGCAATATAACTTATGTCACAAGTGCTGTCTGCTTTTCGATGGGAGGAGTGCAGCATGTTGTCCAGCTTCAGCTCCAACTGAAGTACTGAAAGTTTCCGATGTCTATGGTACAATTATGTAGATTAAGGGGAACGAGTACAATGATACAAAATGTGGGGTAAAAATCTGTGCAACGCTCTAGACCTCTTGCGAAGCACCCTCCTTCTTGCCCTTGCTGGTTTTCGTGGGAAGAAGTTCTGGGTTGATAAATGGCACCACACCACCCTGGCTGATGATAACATCGCCAAGAAGTTTGTTCAACCTGACGAACATGAACACATGAATATCATATCAACAGCTGAGTATAAGGGCTTACTCCTCGTCATTACGAATGGCAAGTTGAAGGTGGCGGGGAACGATACGTTGTTTCTGTTGACGGTTCATTACTGCATGTTATGAAGGAATGAATATCACGGACCTTGTTATCACGGGCAGCATTGCCAGCAAGCTCCAGAATCTCAGCAGCAAGGTACTCCAAGACAGCAGCAAGGTATACTGAACGATTGTGAGTATGATAGTTTCAGTAAAAATGGTGGATGTAACGCACCAGGAGCACCAGCACCAACACGCTGTGCGTAGTTGCCCTTCTTCAACAATCTGTGGATACGCCCGACAGGGAACTGAAGACCGGCTTTTGAGGAACGCGATTGAGCTTTTGAATCGCTACCGGTCTTTCCAGAGGAAGATTTTCCACTGTCAAGTGGATTTGAGCTTCCTGCGCTTAGCTAGGGGCAGGTATGAACTTACGCTTTTCCTTTTCCAGACTGCGTGAAAGTGATTTAGTTCATGACTCCCAAATGTAGTAAAGCGTATACTCACCATGTTTTTGTTACAAACAAGCAGCAGACGGCAAAAATATGGTGTGGTAGAGGGGAGAAGCAAGTGTGGCAGGCCATACAACTTCCTAAGTGCCTGGACTTTATTGGATTGGATTCGCACTCCGCTCAAAACTACAATCAACGCGATAACCAGAGCGCGTTCGTGTGTGACACGTGACTGACGCGCCTTTCATTCTCCCACGAATTCGGGGGTTACGGAAACGGACATGGCAGCTTGCTGTGAAGAGGCGGGGTTTCTCAAGTGCTTATAACTTCAAGCCTTGAGGCGTCCACGAGGAAATTGACTCTCAAAATTTGCGTTCACGCCTCTTTCTGCTGTTCTTGATCTCTTGTTTCTCTGCTATTTCTTGTCTTTGGAGGGCCTTCATCGATACGGCAGGCATTCTGCCAACCCATGTATCCAAGGGATGTTCCCATTGCTACTCAGGCATCTCAAACGCCACCACTCACTCCAACTCACGACCAGGTTCGTGACGCTTTAAATTGTCACGTACCGCATGGCTTACCTGTGCTAACCATTCTCAGATAGTCGTTTTATACGTTGTACGTCTTTCAAATCCACGTACTCTTTCAATGACACCTTATGTTTGAGCTCGCCCACAGACCGTTGTTTACGCCGTGGTTATATTTGGAATCTGGAATATACCAGTCGCGCGCACGCTAATTAACCCACTTAAACTCTTTACCATTGGGTGGCATGAGTTTTGCCACATCGTAGCCGTGAGTTTGTCTCGCTGCCAGCACAGCTCCTCGTTGAACAATGCCATCTGGTGTCTAGGCCGTACTAACTGGAGGGACGATATCATCGGTCACGATCGATCCAAATCTGGGTGGTACGCCCGAGCCATTCTGATTCCGAACCGTATTTTATAACGAGCATAACAATAGGCGCGACCATTGTCGAGGGTGGCCGTCCACCCATCATACTCGCGGCAGGGTATGTGGGATCAAGTGTCTTTGGTGGCGTCTTCATACTGGCTGGCTTTGATTCACTTGTCGCCAAAATTCTGAGCTTCGTCCTTGGCCTGGGGCTCGTTACTCCGTTGGTCCTTGTGCGGGACAAGCTGTAAGCCCCAAGAACTTAACCTCGCTTCCACGGATGCCCTCTGACGCCGATGCAGGACCATCCTACTCACATTGTTTTACGAGGGTCTACTCGTTGGCTTCTGGTTTATCGGACATGCGTAGGTTGAGCGACCCAATCACATCACCTTGGTGCTGAAACCTAAACAGGCAAGCTCTTCGATGGTACTGCTTATTCGTCGGCGTCATGAAGTGTGTATTCGTACCGTATCTGTCCTGCGAGCTCAACCTAACGGAAGTTGTGACTAGCGTGTTCTACGTTATTTGTATGCTTCAATTCTTCTCATATGTCATCCATTCGCTTGATTCGTTGTAGGGGATTTGACAGATGACAAATTCTTTCGCAAAGCGAACGATTCTGACTGCACGCAGTTCAATCTCATGTTTCCAAGAATATCTGCGCATGGTGACATTTCATGTTCTTGCTCATTGGGCGAAGTTGATTGAATTGCTCAGTGTGGGCTTGCTTCTGGATAATGTTTCAGACTGGAGTATGCATATCGTTCCTATTCATAGGAATTGTGTCTTTCAAGGTACGTTCTGACCTTTTCGATGCTCGCAAAACCTACAGCGCGCATCTAGCTATCGACAGGTGATATGAACACGCAAGCTGGTGAGCACTTTGACACGACCTTCGTTGCAATTGTGGCACTGACTCCTGCGCAGCCGTTTTCTTGCCGACATAGCAATGGCACAGCTCCACGAGTACGGAAATGATCACGATTGCACCCACTCATAGAATTCACGGGCTTCTTTGTCGTTCACATATGGACTTGTACGATCGGAGAGTGATTCAATTACATGTATCTTTGCTGCACCATTTACCCCGCCCAGTATCTATACCACACATGACAATATTGCGGTTTCACACCGTCAGTGACAATGACTCCGTATTTTTTGACGCATTATTCTCGTCTTCGTAGAACACTCGGTAACTTAATGTAATTATCACTCTCGTGCACTCGATTCACATTTAGGTTTTAGTGGAGTAGAGAAGGTAGTATATATTTGACAGATATATAGCATTGCGTCCATAATGCTCAAAATCTAACGACTACTGTACATACAGACCCAGTGACCCATATTTACGAGATAGTGTATTGCGCAGAGGGGATAATCATGATATAGAATAATTTGTGATGCAGACAACCAGGGTGACGAATCATGATGCGATAGTGTAAATAAGAAGTCGTGTCAGAGTTCTGCATTTCGAGTTATTTGCGGGTTGCTCGCCGTATGAGACCCGCAATGAGGAGGGTGCCTACTGCGGCTACGCCGCCTGCAAGTGCCATACCAACGTATCCCTCTGCCGCATCCAGATCAGTAAAGCGCAAAACATAGCCGAAAAAGCGACGTACCTCGTGCAACACCCTTGTCTATCAGGGATGCTAGACTTTGGGCCTGCAAATTGGTGGGCTCCCTTGAAAGCAGGAGGTCTGGGAATCGCGTATAAATAGCCAAGACGGTGTAAGGAGGCATGTTTCGACATACCGTTGAAGCTTCTTGCATCTGTGAAGTTGCCCATCTTATAGTATCCAAGTGCTAGGTAGTACAAACACTCCCGCCGTCTTGTCGGCTCTGTCCGGTATATATCTGAGTAGCGTCAAGGTCAGACACCACGGAAAGGAGACACCAAAGCAACGCAAACCTTGCAGCAGGCGCACACCCTCGACGTGGTGTTCGCGTACTGGGCTCTTCACCAGTCCCCATGCATAGTTAAATTTAGTCTGGACGGTGATGTGAGACTGCGCAAGCTCCTTCTCGTATTGTAGCCGTAGGACCTGTATAACAAAGCTTAACAGACACCAAGTTGAGCACAGGGAAGTGCATACCTCGAGCTCGTCGTAGGATAATGAGACTTCAGCGTCAGCAGCGTATGGAAGGTCTGTAGCCATTGCAGAACAAGTTCAAGTGCACAAATTACTTCAAGCCTTTCCAGTGGAGTACTGCCGTCAGAAGGATCGGCTGACGTAACTTTTTCACATCGCCAAAAGCTTTGACCCTTCCTTGAACACGAACCACATCGAGCAACAGACTCAAATATGGCAGACGCACCAGGTGGGTTTGGTCTTCCATTCTTCATGCGTCATTTTCACGAGTAGGCGCTAAAAAGCCGACTTGTATTCCTCGAGAGGCAACGCTGGAGGTACTTGTTCTTCGATTCACCTTTTGCTTGGAATTTTTCCTGCGAAAGACGATAGGCTCATGGTCTCATGAGAATCGTCCTCTTTTTGCCCCGTGTTTCCTTTTTAGCTAGCTACCATACAGCAAATGCACCTCCTCGCCGAACTGCTGATCCCGCCAGCAGCATCACACATTACTCACTACCCATGGTTTTCTTCTTTCTCTAGAGCACAGCTTCCGTGAAGAACGCGACCGCCGGAGGCGTGACGACGGACACCGCGATTACAGGGACCGTGATAGGGATGGCCATGGCCACAGGGATAGAGGAGGAGACAGAAACAGAGAACATTTCGGTGATCGTCGAGATGACCGACGCCGCGAGTTCGGTCGTGACTTCGATGACCGCAGGAAGCGTGGCGGTGGTCATGGTGGTCACGGCGATGACCGTCGCAGAGAACACCGGGAAGAGAATCGCGAGCATCGACACGGTCGAGGTCGTGAGGAGGGATCCCCACGCCGTGGTGGGCGTAAGGGGCGGGATGGGCTTGGCACTCCAGAGCGGCGGTCCCCTACACCTGAGGGTGCGCTTCCTCTGGCCCAACGGAGGCGCAAAGCTTCTGGTTGGGATGTTCATGCTCCAGGATACGAACAATATTCCGCCATGCAAGCCAAACAAACAGGTTGGTTGATCATCCAATTCTCCATGTTTATTTGAATGCCACGTTTTTAAAAGGTCTTTTCAACCTTCCTGGAGCGAACCGTACACAAGTTCCTCCCATTCTTGGCATTGCTGGTTTGCCACCTCCAATCCCAGTCCAGACTTTTGGCATGGGAATTGGGAGCAACCCAAACTTGTCTCGACAATCCCGTCGCCTCTACATTGGGAGCATCACACCTGAGGTCAATGAGCAAAATCTCGCCGACTTCTTCAACAGCAAGATGATTGAAATGGACATCGGCACCGGCGGTCCCGGAAACCCTGTCCTTGCAGTACAGTGTAATTATGAGAAGAACTATGCATTTGTCGAGGTTTGTGGACATCGTGACCGGCGTTGGGCATGTTTGACCTTATTTCTTTTATAGTTCCGCAGCGCAGAAGATGCAACGGCTGCTATGGCCTTCGACGGTATTATATTCATTAACGGTCCACTCAAAATTCGGCGACCGAAGGACTACGGTGGCATTGAGATCACTGTTCCTAGCGTCCATGTTCCAGGCGTTGTTTCAACCAACGTCCCTGACTCCATCAACAAAGTGTTTGTGGGTGGTCTGCCGACTTACTTGAATGAGGAGCAGGTACAGGAGTTGCTCAAGAGTTTCGGCGAGCTCAAAGCTTTCAACTTGGTCCGTGAAAATGGCAATGGTCCATCCAAGGTAATCTTCCATCTCTGATCCTGATAATTTATATCTAAACAGGCATATGAGCAGGGTTTTGCGTTCTTCGAATATGTGGATGCCTCTGTTACTGACGTTGCCATTCAAAGCTTGAACGGCATGGAGCTAGGAGACCGCTATCTAGTTGTACAGAGAGCCTCGGTCGGCGCGAAACCCGGTACACCGGGCATGATTCCAAACCTCCCTTACGACCAATTTCCAGAGATTCCTCGACCCATCATGCCTGCTGGCGAAAGCAACAACGCCGATGCTCGTATCCTTCTCATGCTTAACATGGTTACGCCCGATGATCTCACCAATGACGACGAATACGGCGACTTGTACGAGGACGTCAAAGAAGAATGTTCCAAATACGGGAATGTCGAAGATCTGCGCATTCCTCGGCCCGTCAAGAAAGACAAATCGAAATGGGCTCCAGGCGAGCCTGGCCATCAGACCGCCATTGAGGCTCAGCGCGCCGATGAAGCAGCGGGTGTAGGCCGTGTCTATGTCAAGTATGTTGATGCCGAAGGTGCACAGACAGGTCTTAAGGCGCTTGCTGGGCGGTCCTTCGCTGGACGCTCTATCATCGCTACAGTCTTGAACGAGGACAGTCAAACGACGCCCCCACTTAACTTGATCTTTGCCCCTCAGCCAGATGCTCCTCCTCCACTCCCCACCTCTTGATTGATCACTTCTTTTGGGAGGCTGGAAGTGATTATCTAGTTGCTCAGTCGTATGTACGTGCTGTACCGTTTCTGATGTCGTTCCGTACAGATGCTTTGATTTCGTGCAAATGAAGTGCCTATTTGATAATCACTGAAGGGTTTTACGGCGTTTGATGCTCGCCGTTTTATCTTGTTTGTCCAGCTTCCCTGAGTTTTCATTTTTCGCTGAGGCTTTCAGAAGGATGCAAGAGATTATCCGGGATACGTGAGCGAACGACATGCGCAGCCACCCTCGAAGGGTACGCATTGTCAATGCCTTATCTCCTGTCCAAGAAGGTCATCGCTCTGCTCACGAATCACATTTGGTGATGTTCCTTCTCTCATTCGTAACAGTATTAGACAGTTAAAAGCTCGTATCGCCCAGATAGTAGTAACCCGCAAAGCAGACTCGCAAGGAGTCTATACATCTCACCTCACTCGTAGTTGACGGGAGGTCTGCGCCATGTCTCAACAGATGTGCGGCAGAAGCGGAGAGCCTTTCTTGGTTGCGAGTATCAAGGAGGACAGTACAGAATGGCCATCGCAAGGAACTGATGACTCGCGTATCATGTACACCTCGACACCACCGCCACGACCAACACCACCTATCCTCGCTGTCTTGTGACTCCTGTCAACTCCCCCCTCCCCTCTCTCCATCATTCCTCATTCCCTTCACATGTGGCCGGTTCGGCGGGAGTACTGGTTACATGATAGCGGCCTTACAAAACATCCTCATACTCACCAGGGTTCCGCGTGGGTTACTGTGGACTTGTGCGCTAAAATGCCTGGCAGGAACGGCATACCGGTGGAGGGCGTCGGGACATCTGGAGACGCCGGCGTATGCAACCTGCTTTAATTCTTTTAACTCATGGCATAGGGAACTTCAGCTACTCGTGTACGCGAGGTTATATACTGGTTGATTTTCTAAACGCGTGACGAACGCGTCGCGATCGAGTTTGTTTATCGTCCGCGCCACAAACCTCAATATTTCAAGGTATAAATACAGCGTGCCCCCGCATATCAATCTCAGTTCAGCGATTCATTCCCCTCTTCTACGCGTAACAGCATATTCTTACGATCTTCATCCTTCTCAATCAGTATCTACCATTATGATCTCTTCTGGCATTACGACTATTACTGCCCGCATCGCCGTCACTGGCTTTCTTACGGTCTTTTGCTTCAAACGGACCGTAGTCGACAATACCGCACAGGTCCTGTCCGGAGCAGAGAAGGTCTCCGCTGGCCTCATTGCATACTCTATCTGCATGTCGACCTTCACGCTTGTTCTCGCCGCCGATGCAGCTGCACAGAGGATTCTCAGCAAGGACGCCAAGGACATGCCCGCCGCTCCGAAGGACGGCGACGCCGACTTTGATCCTCCATCCACTAATGACAACACCGGCTCCGCTACGCCTAATACTGTCGAACTACATCATTCGCAGCCATCTTCATGTCCATCTTCGCCTCCATCCCCTTCGCGTTTAATCGAATCACAGCCATCTCCAGCTCCATCATCATTGCGTTTAATCGAACTACAGCCACCTCCGTCTCCATCATTGCGTTTAATCAAACTACAGCCACCTCCGTCTCCATCATCGCGTTTAATCGAATCGCAGCCATCTCCGTCTCCATCTCCATCGCGTTTAATCGAATCACAATGTACTTGTACGCCTTGCATCAATATCACTTCGCCGAACCTCTACTGCAAACGTCTGTCTACTGATTCCAACATCACACTCCTACCCTGCGACAACGACTTCCTTACCAATGACTTTAAGTCGTTTGTTGACCAAAACTCGGAGGTAAGACGCAGCGTAGTCTCAATTTCCACATTACCTGATGTTTGAGTTTCTAGGACAATTGCTCTGACCCGCCACGCCCATCCAAGCTTCGACCCCTCATTCTAGTCATCAACCGCAACACGACAACTACTATTCCGTATCCTCCGCTCCCTGAACTCGCATATCTTATGGGCGCATCGACCCGACGTATGCAGGCGCGCCCTATAGACGCCTCTACTCGAAGCATGGAGCCACTCGCTCTCTCCGGTCGCCCGTCTTCCACCTCAAAGCTAAAGCCTCTATTTCTGGTTACGAAGCACGCAGCTGGTCGACTCAAGCCTCTCGCTACTAAGCTTCGACCACTTATTCTAGTCAGCAACCGCAACACGACAAGTACTCGTGTGCAGGCGCTCTCTCTCTCCGATCGCCCGTCTTCCACCTCAAAGCTGAAGCCTCTAATTCTGGTTACGAAGCACGCAGCTGGTCGACTCAAGCCTCTCGCTCCTACTAGCACTCTATTTCGACAGCTTACGACCAAATCGACAACGCGGACCCAGACATATTGGCCTTATTCACTGTCCCCTACGACTTGGAGCCCACCAGCCCAAGTGATTTAAGGCCGCCTCCGCGCTCACAATACAACTTGAACGTACACACACCATGTCTCCGGCGTCAGGTCCCCTACGACCAATCCGGACGATGGCCTCCTTCTGTCCCCTACGACCCGGAGCTTCACCGCCCAAGAAGTCGTACCAGTCTACGCGCACACCATGTCGCCCATCTTCGATGTCAGAGGTCCCCTACGACCGAATCTCGACGACACAATACTCGGGCTTCTTCACCATCCCCTACTAGGCGACATTCTATGGCCACCGCCATGGCCACGCATACATCTATCAGGGTAATCCGATTTTCATTTCATTCTCTACTACCTCTTCGATCTGTATTTCCCTCGACTGGTACGACCCATGGACTCATTTCTGGCATGTATTTTTCATTTTTCGTTCCCTTTTCTTCGTCGTCGTCGATTTTTTCTTCTCTTCTTCACTGGTACGAGACAGGCATTGGACTCGTTCACTCTCATCACGGACTTATCTCTGGCACGCAGTTTTATTCCTCTCATTTCCTCGATATAGTGACCTTCGATTTGTTTTCTCTTTTTCTGATACGAGACGGACAAAGGGACTCATTTCCATTATGGCATCTCTGGCGTGTACGTTCATTCTCTACATCATCATCTTCATTTTTTTCCTTGACTGGTACGAGACAACATCGGACTCATTCAGTTTCATCACAAACTTATCTCTCTGGTATTTCTCTTTCATTCTTTCATTTTTTTTTATCTACATCGTCACCGGCCTTGTTTGATTTGTTTCCGCTTTTCTCATACGAGACTGACAACTATGACGGGACGCGCTGGACAATATAACTTTTCCACACAGAAACAAGAAAGTAAAACGTAAATTCATTTTTCAAATCAGCAAATCAAACAAATCAGTTGTCTTCTGATTTCGATTTGACTGTATTTGGAAACGAATCGCATGGTACCGTAGCTTAGTCAGCTAGCGTAGCGCTCACCACCTTGTTGGCGTCGATGACGTGTTTGTTGTGGCCTCGCACGTCAATATATCACCCCCGTTCCAGGAGGTGTTAGCTCAATGTTACTCATGGAAAACGTATACAATTCTGTTGTCCGTCTCTGGCAAAAGGCTCGGGAATGCAAGATCAAGCCCTTAGCTTGGCGAACGAGGATTGCATATATTACCTTTGCTTTTTAGCAAGGCAGTATGACAACGGACAACGTCTTCAATGTCGAGGGCGAGTGTCCTCATCGCCTGAGCCTTACAGAGGGTATGCTTAGTGTGACTTACTCAAGTACACTAGTGGTTCTTGATCTTGCGCCGCCACGCCGTCGCAGTTCAGGGCCAGTCTAACCCAATCCAATCAACAGACTCTCGATTGCCAGCAGTTGCCAGCTCACTTATGAGTAGCAACGGACATTTCCTTAATGTCGCCGAGGACATGCTCAAAGTCAGTCACCTAGAAAAGGATGTAAATACAGCCTGCAGCACAATTACACCCCATCGCGATGGAGGGCGCTGCTGTGCACGATGACTCCACTTTGGGCAACTCAATATCTCAGACCGCATCGCTCCCAACATCAGACGCCAACCTTTATGATCTGCCTTCCCATGACATTGCATTCCTCAAAGCGCAACTCGGTATCGATGATGACGATGACTTGAAGAGGCATATCCTGGAGGTTCAGGCGAAAGCACGCGAGGCGAGTCACTTACAGAGGATTCCACTATCAGTTGTATAATCCCTGCCACTGAAAGATTGCGCCATATCCTTGGATCCGTCAATTTGTCTTTGTTCAGTACGTAAACAGTAAATCTGCTTATGCATCGACATTAACAAGGGAACCGTGCTCAGGGTGAACATATCGAGGAACCCTGGGTACGAACACGTCCTCAAGCTTGGTCGTGAGCGCCCCGATGCCGTGTTACTTGACGTTGCCTGTTGTTGTATGTTAAATCATTGTCTAATGTCTTGGATAAATTTGACTCTATTGAAGTTGGCGTTGACGCCAGAAGGGCTGCGGCAGATGGTTTTCCCGCGAAAAATATCATTGCGTCTGATAAACATATCGGTATTCTGTTTCCTCTGTGCATGATCATTCTTGTCAATGATGTGTGTGTACAGAGTTTCTCCAACTAAGCCACGATCTCTTCAGAACGACACCGGCTTCTTTCCCTGCATACTTCCTTCCCGGAGATATCTTCGATGAAGCATTTCTCTCCATAGCGGAGCCGTCTGACGACGTCTCTCCGGTGTCAGCCATTGATTTTTCCTTGCTGAAATCCCTCAATTCCCTTCATGGACGCATGAGCGCAATCAATGCTTCTCGGCTCTTCCATCTCTTTGATGAGGAGAAACAATTGTATATTGCCAGAGCTCTCGCGGGTCTTTTATCTGCACAGCCAGGTTCTATTATTTGCGGACATCAACTCGGAATTCTCGAAAAAGGCATCACACTTTCCACTGTACCGGGCTTCACGCATGAGTCATTCTGTCATTCTCCCGAAACTTGGACATCGTTGTGGGACGGAGAGGTGTTCGAGAAGGGCAGTGTAAAGGTACTAACGGAGTTGACGGAAATCCCGAATCGTGGAAGGATACTGCTTGTGATGAGGTGGTCAGTGATAAGATTGTAAATACACACATCGCAGTCGATTATTTTATTTTAAGGGAATGCATTGCTCATCAATGGTAGAGAAAGTCTCTCAAGACCTTGGAAGATGCGCTTCAAAATTGTAACCTGATAATTTATATTGTTGGTCAGTCTACGCCAAGGTGCCAAACCTCGCCGCCACGACAGAAGCATCACTCTTTGCAAGTATCAGTACCATTGAACAAAGCTCTGTGTACGTTCATTTTTTACATCATCTTCGATTTTTTCCTTGACTGGTACGAGACAACATCGGACTCATTCGGTTTCATCACGAACTTATCTCTCTGGTATATCTCTCCCATTCATTCATTTTTTATCTACATGGTCACCGGCCTTGTTTGATTTGTTTCCCCTTTTCTCATACGAGACGGACAACGGACTTCATTATGGACTTCCCGCGACGTATGTCTATTTCATTGATTTATACTTCATTTTGTGCATGTATGAGGACGAATATATAGGGTTTTGAATACAATTTCTTCCGCATGAACGTTGACATTAATTCTATGTGACCAACATTGATTAATATTAAATCGTGACTTGCGACTACCGGTACGCTTTGAACGGCAATCCGAAAAGGGGCTCATTCACCCGTTCTCTTACTCAGAGTATGATACTCGAAGTTCGAGTTTCAGTCTGCAAACTCAAAGGTAACCTGGCGGCTGAGGCCAAAATGCCACCTTCGAAAAGATAGCACAGAAATACTGGGACGTCTATCACGTCTCCCCACGTCTCAAGACCGTTTCAAAATTTAGGGAAGAGGAATTCATCGATGAGAATTGTGCTCCCCAGACAGAACTCGTTGTGGTCCATACGATGCTGGGCGACCTCGCTCCTACCTCCATGCCAACAGAAGTTCTGAAGCAAATCTATCTCCTTATTACTCCCCCATGAATTGAAGGATAACACTCGCTACTAACACTAGATATGACAGCCGCCAGCTGCTACCAGTGACGTGCCATAACATAATATTGCCCCCATCCAAATTATGACCCTGCCTTCCCTGACATGCATCAGGCTGCAGGGGACCACATCGGACTGTTTGAGCATATGAGAGCCCCTCGCTTGGAGGCATTCACACTCGTTCCTGCGAACCACTTTGGACATTTCTGTTCCCCTTGCTGCTGTCTCTGTGCTGCGCATGCGTCAGAGGTAGAAAATTCTTCATTACTTTGTGCCGAGCTGCAGTATAAAGGAGATGTCGCAGAATTGTTAAAAAGCTTCAAAGAAAAGTGACAGAATGGGCTTAACGTTGCCATCCTTGAAAGTGACAAGGTGCACTAGTTCACGCAGGGTTGGTTTGAGCATACTGAAGGATACTGTCATTCGTCTGGGTGTTAATCACATCGACTCGGATGAATTTCGAATCTATCTCGCCTGGACGAAGAAAAGAATATTGATATCGGCAGGACTTGCTTGAGGTTGTAGCTACATAAATACCCTTGTACCTCAACAAAGCATGTCGAGCGTACTGGAGAATTTACGTTGTCGTCTTCATGATTGATATCATGCCGCGCAAAAAAAAATTGTGTTTAATAGAACAACTGCCCAGAGGACGCATATCCTCGCATATCACTCAATGCGCCAGTCACTTCGACGCGTTTCATACAGGTGTAGGTCGGCCAGCTCTACGATCCTCGCGTCTCTGCTCCAGCTGGAACATATTCAGCATGAAAGTCTCGCAGACATAGAGAGATGACCTCACCCATGCCTTCTTACAGTCTCTATATGCCTGGAAGAAGTCCATGCAATTGTCGCGGTTATAGTCGTTGCGGTCCATGCAGCTCAACGATGCCTTCGCTGCTTGTTCACATGGGCTGAACACCAATACGATAAGATTACAGAAGAAGGGAAGTGGCACTGAGCAGCAAGGAAACGCACTCTGTATGTTGGGTGTATGATTGTCGGGCCTGTGGTTATGGTGAATGCGGACGACTAGTTTGAGATGACACGCGAGAAAGACATACAGCGAAAACATTTTTATAATCCGCAGGCTTCACATTATCCTGTGGTGAAGGTGTCGACGATGGAGTGGACATGACTGACTGCAAAGAGCACCAACCGCAATCACACGAAACGAAATAACCTCATTGGTAAGTTGTTGTGATGCCAAATAGTCATATACCACTTGCAATTGCCGAGTATCTCAGAGAGGATGTCAATTAGCGTTTCTTTACCTCGGGATTTCACAGATGAGCCTAACAAGGATGACCCAGAGCCGATTGTATAACGAGCTAAAACAAGTACTACAATCTTCTATTGATCTTCCACTTCTCCAAAGAGAGAGATACTTTGCATCATAAGAAAAATGTTTTTCTTGTCGTCTCAAGCTCAGGCTATAGAGCAATCAGCACAAGGTTCATGAACGACAGCGGACAGCACTATACCTTCCAACGCCAAATGTACTCATTATCTTTTGGAGGATTGCTCACTGGAAGGGGCTCGGGCGGCTTCATCTCCGATTCCTCGTCTTGTTCTGACATGGGCGCTTCTTCCGGAGGTTCTGGCAACTCCTCGGTCCCAACAGTGATCTCCAGGGATTCTGGCGATGCCCCGAGGTTTTGAACTGCTGGTAGCCCTCTTTTGAGCCATCGAAGTTTAAGAGTGAAGCGAGGCCCGATCTCTTGTAGAGCAACTTTCTCAGGCGAGCGGAAAGCATACCTAGTCAAGTCATATTAAGAACCCTGTGGTCATTCAGTTGTTGTGATCTTCCTTACCGATGACGCCTGAAAAACAGAAAGTCACGCTGATTGTGAAGTGCCACTACTTGTCGCCCTTGGAATTCAGGTAATGGCGGGAATAAAGTCTGGAACATTCGTCCAACACCGTGTCCTAGAGTAGTGGAGAAGTTATTGAGAACAAGCTCAGGGTTGTGTGGCGTTGCTCTCGCATGTCCCTAATACAGGTCCATTATTTCTGCACATGCGATGAGATGGAAGGCGGGCTCACATATATCTGTTTTGTGAGTTCTATAGACGTAAGCTTGAAGTACGCCATAGGGCCATTAGGGAGATACACCAAGGTGATAGCATCTAGAAAAAGCATGAGTCTTCAATAGTGAAGATGGCCGAGACAACAAACTTGGCTTCTTCATATCTTCGTTCACAACAAGCAGATGCTTATAACCACGACCAGCAGCCCAACCGGCTATTCGACCCATCTCGAAGCCTTTCCCCTTTTTCCGTCGTATAAATTCAGCACCCGGAAATACTCCTACCAACTCATCGCAAAACTCATATGTGCCCTTCGAGGCTTTTGCAGAGGTTGTAATGAGAACCTTCGGGGGGATATTTGGATCCTGCGTGAAGTTGAAGTAGTCCGCAAAAGGATCGGATGCGATATCATTAGAGAATTCCGCGTGCTGGGCAGACGAAGGGCCAGCTGCAGAGAGCATAGCTGGGTCTGCCTCTCGGGTATTATCGAGCGTACGGGGCACATTTTCTGAAATACGTTTCTGATGCGAGGTCAGCCGCGCAAGGAGCACAGATAGATCGTTACACGCACTTTCTTTGCTGCTGGATCATTAGCTTCGACCTTGGCCTGATCGAGTCTTTTTTGTAGTTTTGCCTGGCTTTTGCTCTTTTTCAGCTTCCGCGAGACCTCCTCCCTTTTTATCTTGTTTTTGATAGACGACGGTTGAAATCGTGCGGGAGCCATGGTATATGCAGAATGATGAAATGATTCGCAGGACGCAGTGAAATTTCTGAGTATGCAACACGTGACTTCCAATCTTCTTCCTCGTGAACTTTGAAGTCATCGGTTCAACAACATGTTCACCTTTCGCCCTTCGGTGCTTCTGCCGTCTTTCCTTCTCTTAATAACGACAGTCAACGCCCTTCACTTCTACTTGGATGCAAACGAAAAACGATGTTTTGTGGAAGAATTGCCATCAGACACGGTGGTTGAGGGTAGGCATATTCATCACTGGTCGGGGACGTCAATGTCTTACTATGTACCATAGGGCACTACAGAGCATTAGAGTGGACTGACAGCACACAACAATACAATCTAAATGAGGAACTCGGAATTGTCGTCGAAGTAGAGGTACGTCTTAATGGCACCTTTACGAACAACACACGTCTCACACGCAGATTTCTGCGAATAGGAAATGGAAACGGCGCACGTCGTCACAAAGACGAGAGGTCCGCCCGACGGTCGCTTCACATTCACCTCTCACGAAGCTGGCGACCACTCCATTTGCATCTCCACCAACTACACGTCATGGTGGTCAAGCACGCACATCAAGCTCTATCTCGACATCGTGGTAGGAAGTACGAAACCAGACATCGAGGGCGACCGCACCCACATTGGCGAACTCAGCAGTAAGCTCCGTGATCTCAACCAAAAGCTCGAAGATATTCGGAGGGAACAGCAGTACCAGCGGGAGAGGGAGTCGGATTTCCGAAACCTGAGTGAGAATACGAATTCGAAGGCTGTTTGGTATAGCGTGTTGCAGATTGGAGTGCTTATTGCTACGTGCACGTGGCAGTTGCGACATTTGAAGGTGAGTGACGCGGTTTCTTTTTTGTGTGCTGCCGCCAGTTAATGTATGCATTCTCAGCGTTTCTTTGCGGATAAACGGTAGTCCTGTCTTAGATATTATTCTAATGGACCTGTGTTTGCCTTGAGATTGACGGGTCAAGCTATAGATCCTACCGTTGTCAAGCGGATCAAATTTAGTGACATGCAAACGAGTCCCTCACCATGAACTATACACGTGAAGCGTTGCTAGAGACTTCGGAAAGTTCAAGGCACCCGCGGTTGTGACATTTTTGACATTTGCTTCTTGCAATGCTCATTAGATTGCGGTATTTGCCACCCTCACCCTGGCTCAGTTCAACTGTTTGGGATATTACTCAAATGACAGGCACATGCCATCATGACATTGGCAGTGCTGCTACGTTTTCGCCCACATAAGTGTGCGTTGTTGAGCCCATTGTGCTCCCATAGACTGCCTTCTTCCGGTCTGCCTATGGGAGGCTAAGAACACCATCGTGACTGACTACAAACAAGTAAATAAATTTGATTGGTTGACGCCGACTGCCATTAAAAAAATACGAAAGGCACGGGCCGCACCACATGGGATCGATGCCGTCACTTGGCAAAAGCACATGCCCAAGTGAGTTCTGTCTCCTAGGTCCACACGTTCCTGAACTCTCCCCATTTGTGGCCCTGGGTGTGTGCAATCACTGAACTGAGGGACCATAAAGAGGTCGATGCTCTCAGATTCAGGACCGGACGTCGGCAGTCATTGTGACAGTACTACCAGAGATACCATGTCTCTGAACCGTCAGTCAGTCGATTACAAGCGCGATTTTGAGGATACGACATCAGCGCACTCGGTCGTAGACGCAAGCGATGTCGCGCGAGACTTTGTCCGGCCCCCGATTGACTACTCTTCCGCAGCTGCTTTCACCAGCAGTTCCTGGGCTAGGTGGAAGAGTATATGGACTAGGCGCTTCGTACTTTCGCTCTTGGCTGGACAGGTGGTTTCTCTATGTATAACAGTGACCAATGTCACGACGACGGAGCTGATTAGCAGGAATTGGTCGTTGCCGACCACGCAGACGTGGTTTTTGTGCGTATTTTGATTCTTGTGGTGATTTGTGACGCTCATATTCGTTCTTGCAGGTATTTTTCGCTGTTTATCATTTATACGCCGTATACCATGTATAAGTGTAAGTTTGGTTGTTTTTCTTCCTTGGTCGATTCTGATGCAGATGAATATTGAAGATGGTCTGAAGGGTTGGGGTCAGATGGTGTTCAGGGATGGGTGGAAATGTTCGTGATATCACTGTCTTTGCCAGCGAGAGATTCTGACACGTCCTAGATTTCATCCTTGCAGCCTGTGATGTCGAGGGCAACTTCTTAGTCGTAAAGGTGAGCATGCATCTCCGCCCATTTCGATCACGGATCAACCTTCTCCCATTGGACAGGCTTATAACTATACCGATTTGCTCTCTTGCATGCTTCTCGATGCGTGAGTCGTATTCGGCCGCTCGTATGTGTACTGCCTCTCACGGAGATTGTCTTAGTTGGGCAATCCCTGTGTGCCTGTTCTTTTGCTGGGTGTACATGCGTACGAAGTATCACTGGACTCAGGTGTTGGTGAGGAATCATGAAAGCATAGCTATCTCCATGTCTAAACAGGTGTACACAGGGCGTCTTAGTGTGTGTCGGAGGGCTCGGCATGCTAGTAGCGTCAGACATGCTCACGGACAAGAACTACCCTGCACTAAGCAGAGGCAAAGGCGACGCCTTCATGATCGTTGGAGCGACGCTATACGGCTTTAGTACGTTACCCTTCAGGTGAACAAGTTGTCGTATTGACGACGGTCATCAGCCAATGCCACAGAAGAGTTCTTTGTGAGGAGATCACCGCTTTATGAGGTGAGTGAGGCGCTTTTAATGGAGGATCGCTCGTCTTACCCTGGCAGGTCGTTGGCCAGCTTGGTATGTGGGGGACCCTGATCAATGGGATTCAGGCTGCTAGTCTGGAGCATGTGGCCATGACTACGGCGTCATGGAATGGTGCCACGAGTGAGTCGTTCTAGTATGGATATAATGTGGATTTGGTTGATTGGGTTCTCTAGTTGGCTTTCTGGCCGCTTACACAGCTGGTGGGTTTCTGATAAATTTGAGCTTGATCCTCACGCTAATGCTCGTTGACAGCGATGTTTATCCTCTACACGACTGCTCCTCTGCTGTACCGCATGGCGTCGTCAGCTTTCTACAATATTAGTTTGCTCACGAGCGACTTCTATGGTCTTATTTTTGGTACGCTACCACCTTCCTTGCGAGTGCTCACATGATGACTGATTGTGTGCTATTGAATAGGTCTCTTCCTCTTCGTAAGCGCTGCGCGTCTATGAAGGTCAATGGACACTGATGTTTTCCAGCACTTTTCGCCCTACTGGCTTTACTTCCCTGCTTTCTGCGTAGTCGTCATCGGCCTCATCATCTACTTTTGGCATGCCACGCGTAAGTCTCTTAGTTGTGTTCGTCTGAACTATCACTAATGCGGATAAAATAGCTGAGGAGCAGGGCAAGCTCGATCCTAAAGCTCCGGCATATATACGAAGAATGCACCTGGATGACCAAGTTTAGTTGGATACCTGTAGTGATACCCTTATGCGATACATGTCATCGACTGGTGTCAACGAGAACTGAGAGCACGATATTATATAGTGGTTTTATTACAATGCCAGAATCCAATTAAAAGGATAACGAGGGAGGGGCGATGATGTATAAATATGATGCACGGTTCTTTGATTTAAACAAAACGAGGAGGATTTTTTTTTTGCCTCTCGAGTTCTTCTTCGTATTTCTTCTGTTGTTGTTCGCGTTGGATCTTGTGTTGGGCGAGTTTCTGGATGTTGATGCTGAGAGGCTGGATCTGAGGAATGAAGGGGAGGGCGTACGTTTTTCAGTGATTCCACAGTAGAGATGATAGACTCTAGGGTGGATTCAGACATATCAAGCATCTTTTAAAAACCGGTATGAGTGGAGATACCAGACACCATTTCGTTTCACTCACTGCATCCTCTGTGCGCTTCTGAATCTCCTTGAGGCGCTCCTTGTCCTCTTCCCACTCTCGTTGATTCCAACCCGCAGTTCCATCCCCATTACGGTCAGGCTGGTTCCTATAGATAAAGTTCCACCTGTGTTCTTGGGATGCTGGGGCGTCGCTCTTGGAGGAAACAGGGGGAGTATTAGGTTGTTCACCGCTTCCTTCTACGCGACGTGCTTGCATGACGCATGGAAAGTAGTGTGCTCGATTTTCGCGCATTTGACGACCGCAATTCCAGAAAGTAGCAGCCCCTGCGCCGAGCATGAACCAGAGGATGCGGGATGGACCACGGAAGTACTGGTGGGAATAGTAGGGATACATGTTAGTCAGGGGGTTCGATGATGTTGATCAGATGGGACGACATCCAGGTGGGTGACAGGGGTTTATATATATACGTAGGTGTCGAAGGAACGCGCCGTCGACGAAAGCGCTCGGCCTCTAAATTTAGATCCGAGAACGCGCAGTTGTTTCGGCGCGTCCATTGTCGGTCAGCCGTGTTCGTGACAAAGCCGATCGGCTCGGACAATGCTAGTAGCCGAGTATTCGTCGTCATCACCTCACACTGCCGCCAAAATCGTGCCATTTACATGATGGAGGGACGTCAAACTTTCATGTCTGGGTGCGACCAAAGGATTTCAAGGACCTGTAACGAGGTTGGAAGATCCCTGCCTGGCCAGAAAACCCTTCTCCTTTCGTAAACTCAAATCGCTCATCCGGTAACCTTAAGCCGGGGTAAGCTTACTTCTCGGCACTTCCACGCTGATTCGACTGGAAGAACCATTATGCCTTTCAAGCTTAAAAGGATCGAGTGTCTTATGTCGCCAAGTCGAGGTGAAAGATTTGAAACGGCATGGGGACTGCGAGGTAAGTACTTCTTCACAAGCGGAGTCCTGCCTTCAAAACATAAGGGGGAAAATGGTGTTCAAGCCTACGCTGTCTGACCAATATTAAAATGATAATCGCCATCATACATGCACGAAAATAAAGAGCCTAGTGTAACAAGTTCAATGGAATAAGGATACATCGCGAGGAGTCTACAGTGAAACTAAATGAGCCTGTTGTCCGTGTCGTACCAGTAACGGAAAATACAAATCGAAGTAGATATCGAGAATGAAAGATACATGCTAGAGAGGTAAGTCCGGAAGATGAAACTGATTGATCGTACGAGTAAAAGAAGAAACAAATGCAGAGAAGGAAATGAAGGGAATAAATAAAGGTCACTATATTGAGGAAATGAAATACGGGTCAGAGATGAGAGAATGCGTCCAATGCCTGTCTTGTACCAGTAAAGAAGAGAGAGAAAATCGATGATGACGAAGAGAAGGGAACGAAAAATGAAATATACATGCCAGAGATGAGTCCATGAGTCGTACCAGTCGAGGGAAATACAGATCGAAGATGTAGTAGAGAATGAAACGAAAATCGGATTGCTCTGATAGGTGTGTGCGTGGCCGTGGCCATAGAATGTCGTCTAGTAGGGGATGGCGAAGAAGCCCGAGTAGTGTGTCGTCAAGATTCGGTCGTAGGGGACCTCTGACGTCGAAGATGAGCGACATGGTGTGCGCGTAGACTGGTAGTGGCCTTCGACTTCTTGGGCTGTGAAGCTCCGGGTCGTAGGGGACAGAAGGAGGCCGTCGTCCGGATTGGTCGTAGGGGACCTGACATCGGAGACATGGTGTGCGTACGTTCAAGTTGTATGTGAGCGCGGAGGCGGCCTTAAAACACTTGGGCTGGTGGGCTCCAGGTCGTAGGGGATAGTGAATATGTCTGGGTCCGCGTTGTCGATTTGGTCATAGGCTGTCGAAGTAGAGTGCTAGTAGGAGCGAGAGGCTTGAGTCGACCAGCTGCGTGCTTCGTAACCAGAATTAGAGGCTTCAGCTTTGAGGTGGAAGACGGGCGAGTGGTTATCGTGTTGCGGTTGCTGACTAGAATGAGTGGTCGAAGCTTAGTAGCGAGAGGCTTGAGTCGACCAGCTGCGTGCTTCGTAACCAGAAATAGAGGCCTCAGCTTTGAGGTGGAAGACGGGCGATCGGAGAGAGCGAGTGGCTCCATGCTTCGAGTAAAGGCGTCTATGGGGCATCCAGGAAGGGGGACGCCAGGATCGCTAGCCTGAGGTCGACTATCGGAGAGAGGGCGCGCCTGCATACGTCGGGTCGATGCGCCCATAGGATATGCGAGTTCAGGGAGCGGAGGATACGGAGTAGTAGTTGTCGTGTTGCGCTTGATGACTAGAATGAGTGGTCGAAGCTTTAACGGGCGTGGCGGGTCATCGAGAGTGAGAGCCTTCATTGGTGAAATTAGGATGTTGAGCGGCTGAGGGTCAGAGCAATCGTCCTAGAAACTCAAACATCAGGTAATGTGGAAATTGAGACTACGCTGCGTCTTACCTGCGAGTTTTGCTCCTCAAATGATTTACAGTCATTGGTAATGAAGTCGTGGTCGCAGGGTAGGAGTGTGATGTTGGAATCAGTGGACAGACGTTTGCAGTAGAGGTTCGGCGAAGTGAGATTGATGCAAGGCGTACAAGTACAGGTGATTGGAGCGGATATTGTTTCCGTTGATGCGATTATATGCGAAGAAGATGCTAGAGATTGAGACGGCTGTGATTCGATTAAACGCGATGGAGATGGAGATGGAGATGGAGATGGAGATGGAGATGGAGGTGGCTGTGGTTTGATTAAACGCAATGATGGAGCTGGAGATGGCTGTGATTCGATTAAACGCGAAGGAGATGGAGGCGTAGCGGGGGCGGTGTTGTCATTATGGGATACAGGATTAAGGTTGGCGTCGGCGTCCTTCGGAGCGGCGGGCATGTCCTTGGCGTCCTTGCTGAGAATCCTCTGTGCAGCTGCGTCGGCGGCGAGAACAAGCGTGATGGTCGACATGCAGACAGAGTATGCGATGAGGCCAGCTGAAACCTTCTCTGTTTCGGACAGGACCTGAGCGGTATTGTCGACGACGGTCCGTTTGAAGCAGGAGACCGAAAGAAAGCCAGTGACGGCGACGCGGGCGGTAATGGTCATAATGGAAGAGATCATAATGGTAAATGCTGATTGAGAAGGATGAAGATCGTAAGAATATGCTGGTACGCGTAGAAGAGGGGAATGACTGAACTGAGATTGATATGCGAGGGCACGCTGTATTTATACCCTGGAATATCAATGGAATATTAAGGTTTGTGCGCGCACGATAAACACACTCGATCGCGACGCGTTCGTCACGTGCTTGGAAAATCAACCAGTATATAAGCAAGCGTACAACCTCCTACAGCTGAATTCCCCATCCATGTGAACCTGACCAAAGCGCAGTGCCTACCAAAGATAAGGTCGCTCAAAATATTTGAGTGGAGGCGTGCAGGAAATCCTAAAAATCTGATTCGCTTGCCGCCGTGCACCTTCTTTCCGGCCAGTCTGGAACAGTCCGCAATGGTCCACTGCACACCTTGTTCAGGTTAGGAGTCCCCATGACTTATACATTGCGTTGACGTACATAACCCAAAAAATGATGCACATGCTTGGCGGCCATTCCTGAGGTGTGATACGTACTGATTGACCATTTGGTGCCATCGTCGAGCGCATGTGGTGGGTAAGGGATGAAAGCGTGCAATATATACAATTTTGCTTGAGCATCAGCGTCAGAGTCGATGTCAACAAAGTTCATGTGTCAATTAGGTATCTTTGAAAATTTGAGACGGGGAGATTGCAGCATGATTATAATTCGCACGTACAGGTAATTTTATGCAACCGTCAGCCCCAATGATCTGAATAAATCGGCTTATGAACACGCCATTCCGAGTGTCCGAGTCCATGTTGGGCCACGCCGTGTGCGGGATTTGAGTAATTCACAGATCGCCTAGCTGTCAGATTCTCAATATACTGATTGAGTCACAACGCAGGATCCTGCAAAGTTTCAACATGATAGCATACATCAAGGTTACCATCAGGAAGAAAAGCGATGGTTGGGAAGTTGATGACGGTCGGGGATTCGTATGAGGAAGGATTGGTAAGATGTTCAGGAGAAAGAGATAACTTGCCACAAGCACCCACGACCGCAAACCACACGAAAAGGAGCGAAGTTCAAGGGACACAATGACTGTGGGACTAAATGTCCGACCGGAATATGAAGAAATGGACCCATTGCATATTGTGAAATTTGTCTGGAGATGTCGGAAGAGACAGGTGTGTACCAATGAAGGCAGGATCCATTGTGGCCTTCAAGCTTGAAAGGATTAAGTATATTGTGTCGCTAGGCCGAGCCCTACGAGCTGATATTACTATAATTCAGGGACCCCTGACTCATCAGTAAACTCACTAGATGCTCCACTGGAATACGAAAAGATTTCACCCATTGCACATCAATGTCAATGAAGACAGGATCCGTTGCGACCCCTTCCTAACAAAATCTTATGACGGGATGTGTCACCAATTGCGTCAAGGATGAGGTGGGAGATTTGAACTCAGATACCCTGGCGACAGTTAGGCTGGAAAGCTTTCAAAAGAAACACCTTCGCATCCCTACAATCAACAACTGAGTACGGGAACTTTTTTCTTAACGAGCATGACCTCACTCTGTATATAAGTCAGCCAGATTTTAGTGACATGAAGCATAATTATCTGGTCAGCTCACTTGCTCACTTGCTGACTGTATAAACTGTCGCTGCGGATGGCGAAGCGCCACTGCCTGGATTGTTAGTACTTTCCTATTGGAGAGGGTCCTGATGGCCCGGGCAGGTAGACTCGCGCAGTCACAAGGTTCGGAATAGCAAACAGGCTTGCATAGAATACTGGCGCAACACAAGTTCGGTTTTTGACAGTTAACCACAGTATTTGGAGCGTCGGGACAGAGATGATCAGAAAAAGGTGGTTGCTGTGACGTGTGACATATTGTCACGGTGATCCTCGTTCCTCAGTAGACCTCACCGCTTTTGCACCGTTCTCCAGCTGTGGTGCTTCTAGCTTGATTTCATTCTACTTCATCGCTACCTGGGACATAATCCTACTGGGTTCCGCATGAAAATCGTCAAGGATCTTTCTCAGAACTGTTCCAATTAACTTTGGGGTACTAATCATCGTAGTCAGGCCTGGGATCATAATGTCTTTTGATTCAGAAACGGCTCGTCTGCGCAAAGAGCACGATGGTTTATCTCATCTCGGTGGTTCCATTTATGCTCCACCGACACCTTCAACTCGTCTACCCGATCGTCCTCATTTTCCTACAAGAGCTTCGACTCTTGGCTCCACTCAGGACCTCAACCGTAACAACCTTTCCGCGAAGCATGATCTAGTCCCTCATGCTTACAGTGATGACCTCAATCATGCTCACTCGAGCAGACCTTATGAGTCAAATGGTATCTCCGCTTCTCTACCGCCTCCATCACCCGCCTTTCGTTCTCGTAGCCGTCCTACCACTCCCAACGGTTCCACTCCATATAATCTCGTTTCGTACGCAGAAAGGAACGTAGAGTTAAGGCGTCGAGACAGCGTAATCTCGTATTCCTCCGGACATTCTGCGTCATCCAGCTCTAGTTCCCCGAACAAGGCTGGTCCTATGACGTCCACGTCCTCTGCGACATCCACTAACATCTCAGCATCGTGAGTCCGCCATTTCCTAAATACTCCCCTAGGAGTCTGTGGTTTCGATCCCTTATCTGACTCCTCTTCTTTGTAGACCCTGCTCTGCATGTGGAAATACAATGCAAGGTGCTTTCGTCCGCGCGTTAGGCACCGTATATCACTTGAACTGCTTTAAATGTTTGGTACGAATATCCTGACCTTTCATATAGCGAGTTCCGCTTATGTTCCATCAGGACTGCGGCGATGTCGTTGCCTCAAAGTTCTTTCCCATTGATGGGCCTGATGGCAAACAACATCCTCTCTGTGAACGGGACTACTTCCGTCGTCTGAATCTTATATGCGCCAAATGTGGGCTTGCTCTCAGAGGCAGCTATATTACGGCATGCAGTTAGTGGTTCTACTCATCGCTCCTTTCTTGCTAATTAATATCCCTATACAGACAAGAAGTATCACGTGGAACACTTCACTTGCTCCCTATGCCCGACCCTTTTTGGCCCCCAGGACTCATACTACGAGCACGATGGGGACGTGTATTGCCACTTCCACTACTCGACACGTTTTGCGACAAAATGCGCAGGTTGCAGCAGCGCTATCCTGAAGCAATTCGTTGAAATAAATCGCAATATGAGGGACGAGTGTTGGCATCCCGAATGTTACATGATCAACAAGGTTCTCGTTCTAAAAGGTCGTGGTTATATATCAATTCTAACTCGGCCTTGCAGTTTTGGAACGTCAAAGTAGTTTCACGGAGATCGAGCGTGTTGATTAGTGATGGGTCGGAATTGGAGCCATCTTACGTTGAGGAAGAGAAGCGAGAAACTCCTACTTCATTAAAGGATAAACAAGTCAGGATGGAGCAGCTGGTCTATCGCATCTGGACGTGAGTGAGTCTCACGTGGCCTGAAACACAACTGATCGTGTGCATCACAGGGTTCTCTCGGCGTTCGAGGAATCAAGCGCTGCGTGTATATCTGATATGCTGCGACAGGTCAGCAACGGGCAATATCTTGATGCTATCAGGATGGCCGAGAAGTTTATTCTACACGTGGAAGTCTTGTTCGGCACTATCGATGACCTTGAGTGCCATTCCGCTAGGCTTAACTTGAAAGGTGCGTGTATGTCTCATGTTTTATCCCCGGTATCGCTAATATTGTTCCAAGGAATGTCTCATGTCCGAGAAGCCCGCATGCTATGCCGAAAAACGGTCGATCTGTTTACCCTTCTTTCACGCACCCAGGAGACTGGGTCACGGAGAATGGGGATGACCCAGGAACTACTTGCGCTCGTGACAGGGATAGCCCATTACCTCAAGATTCTCATTCGAATAGCATTAACTGGCGCACTAAAACTGGAGAGGGAACAAAGCGTCCGGGAAGCTATGCCTTCATTCCTCGATAAGCTACATTTACTCGCGGTGCAAGGTGGCGATCCAGCGGCTAGGCGGATCATCAAAGGCGGAAGTGGTGAGGTCATGAGAGGAGCAAACCTTGGCACACTGGGTGTCACTTACGGCTTCAGGAGCTTGGCACCAGAAAATGCAGGAGAATCCCCGTTCACAGCAAACTCACCCTCTCGGCTGACAGTCAACAATCCGCCTTCAGACCGGTGCGTCAAGTGTACACAAGCAGTGGAAGAGGATTGTGTTCGGTTGGGGACTTATCAGCGTTGGCACTCCCAGTGTCTGCAATGCGCCAGGTGTGACAAAGTAGCTGCTATTCCGGTACCGAAAGATCCGACGCCACCCAAATCTGCAGAAGACAAAGAAAAGGAAAAGGAAAAGAGCGAAAAGGACCCATCAAAGCCCTCCTCTGTTCGAAGACCACCGGCAAATGTCGGCATCTTTATGTACGAGCTTGATTCGGTCAAGGACACACCCTCATATGGTGAAGTTCCTACCGTTACTCTGTGTACCGAGCACGCGCATGCAGGGTGTCGAGACGGATTCCAGGCCGTGTCTCGGCTGGAGCAGTATGCATTCCTGCTGAACATTGCCCTGCGTAGGTTGTACCTGGTTTTAAAGCAACAGGGCGTGGTTCCTATGTCACCAGGTATGTTCCCATCTCTCATACACTGTGTTTTGCATCGTAAGCGTGTGTTGTCAGTCGCTTCCACGACGCCAAGCGTCAACCCCAAGTCAGGGGACCAAGATCCTTATCGTAACTCGGGCGATATCATGCGCATGAAATCCGTACATCTGGATCGAAAGTTATCTGCTACCGCACGGCTACCTAAACGATCGACGATCGTGGAGAGTCCATCAGGCAAAACTGTCCAAACCTCAGAGCCATTGCATGCTCAGCGATCGCAACCAGATATCAAAACTCCACAACCTCAGAGGGCGCCCCCACCAGGGACACTGATTCCAGGGCGTCAGCCCTCCCAGCCTGGCTCTTCGGGAATGCCATCACAACCTCTTTCGCGAGCGCAAACTCGCACTCCCGGTACGCTGGATACAAGTTATCAAGCGCAAGTAGTTCGTACTACTATCGGGCGGAGTAACACAGAGGTGAAGATTGTGGACGAGTCAGCGCCCAATTCTCCAGCAGGCGGCCCAGACGAGGCCCCGTTACATACTCCTGATGACGGCATCACGTTAGCTGATATACCTCAGCTGATGGAAGCTGCACAAGCTCGCGAACAGCAACGCTCATTACCACGCCAGAGCACGGTACCTCATGTCGCCGAGTTGAGCGCGCTCGAACTTACTATCGTCAAACACTCTGCTGTCCTTGCCCTTCAGCGTTCTCCGCTTCGGGATCAGCTCGAATTGGATGAGTTGCTAGAACTGGTAGAGACGAAAAAGGGAGGATTCTGGAAACAGTTGTTTAAGGCCGGAGACAAGAAGAACGTCAAGAAGAAGGGTGAGTTGTCCGCGATTGCCAAGCATTGGGTTTACCTTATCGATGATGTACAGGCGTTTTTGGTGTTCCACTTGAGCTCCTAGTTGAGAAAGAAGGCTCGGATTCCTTGTTGGGAGCAAGCCGTGCAACTTTGAGGGTGCCAAGCTTTATTGATGACGTTGTCTCAGCCATGAGGCAGATGGGTATGTTATTTGCGGTGATCTTGGCTGTGTTTTGATGCTTGTCTTTCTACAGATATGTCGGTGGAGGGCATCTTTCGCAAGAACGGTAACATCAGGCGGCTGAAGGATCTCACGGAGGCTATCGATCACGACCTGTCATCGGTAGATCTCACGCAGGACAACCCCGTGCAATTGGCTGCTCTCTTGAAGAAGTTCCTCCGCGAACTACAAGAGCCACTCATGACGTTCAAATTACACCGGTTATTGATAGCGTCGCAGTGTCTGTCTTCACACTTTCAAATGATTCGCAATCTGACATCCAGTTTTCAGCCCTCCCTACGGAGGTAGAGCGGAGGCGTTGTCTCCATCTAGTTTCATTGCTTCTTCCCAAGAGCCATCGTGACACCATGGAGGTGCTATTTGTGTTCCTCAAATGGGTGGCTTCGTTCGCCCACATGGACGAGTCCACTGGCAGCAAGATGGACCTATCAAACCTAGCAACAGTTATTTGTCCTAGCATCTTATACTCACGCGGGCGTGACGCCGTTCGAGACGAGAGCTTCGGGGCTATTCGCGTGGTAACCTCGTTACTCGAGAACCAGGACGAGTTTTATTTGGTTCCCGAGGAGTTCCTGCCTATCCTTCATGATCAGGAATATTTCTCCAACAGCACGGAGCTACCAAGCAAAGAGTTCATGAAGAAATGTGATACGTACATGCGCCTCAGAGCGACCGGGCGTCCACCGTTGGTAACAATGGGTTCGCCGAACCCTGCCAACTCACCCCGCGTTTCGCCACCCGGAGATCGACCACCGTTGACATCAACTCCGAGTGAACCACATATACGGAATGGTCGACAGCAGTCGCCACATCCACATCCAGGCGTCATTCATTCACCAATGTCATATCCTGCTCCTACGCATCCAACTTCCCTATCGCAAGGTGTGGCTATGATTCAGGGACAGCAACAATCTCGCTATCCCCAGCCGATCGAGACAGATTGGCCCGCTGCTCAGCGACCCATTACTGGTACCATATCCTCATCTCCTCGACCATCGTCCTACGTGCATCCGCGAAGTAGCGGCGAGCACTTACATTCGTCATCGTCGCCCAATGGAATTCCTGCTACTGCAGCGCCCCGACGATGACCCCGTTGGACTCTAGATTCTGTCATAATGGCGACTCACTTCCACTCTTTTGCCTTGCTGTGCATTGCACCTGCTCTGACATTCATTTGCCCCAAGCATCTTTTGATTTCTCGCATTATCTGTAGTTTACCGTACGGTTTCACTTATCAGTATGACATGGACGAATACTTCGCAGTATACTCATTATACCCGTGCATTCGAATGTACGCAATTTTGAATGAATTTAACCCAACTGAAACGCTATTTTGTACCATTCATTCATTTATTGATGGGCCCTGGTGGTCAACGATGCTGGACTTTTGCATGCATATGATGAGATTGCCGTTGCTTCCGACAGTTACAAAAGTGAGACCAGCATGTGTTTCGTATGGCATAAGCATACGCATATATTTTGATGTAGTGAAGCAAATGGAGGGACATGCAAAAGATATAAGAACCCAGTGCCTTACTTGAGAGGAATGAAACGAGATGCTGTGAGGGAATAAATTGAGGATGACGTTCGATTTCCGCAATGAATTCCATGAATACTTACAGTGCGTGGCACCGATCTGTGCAAGACATTGAGCGAATGTCCAAGATATAAGAACAAGACACTTACACCAGGACGACCGTGCTTGACAGGTCGGTACGAGCACGAGAACTCAGCGAGGTAGTGGCCTGTCATCTCAGGCTTGATCTCGACAGAGTTGAATACCTTGTAGACATATGTTCAGTTGCGCATCCCAAGAAAAATTAGAATAATACAAACCTTTCCGTTGTAGATACCAACGACGCTGCCAATCATCTCAGGAACGATAATCATGTTGCGGAGGTGGGTCTTGACGACTGCGGGCTTTTCATTCGGGGGAGCTTCCTTCTTGGCTTTGCGCAGTTTCTTGATCAAGCCCATGGGGCGGCGCTTGAGGCCACGACCGAACCGACGGCGGGCGCGAGCGTGAACGAGCTATTATGGAGAAGAGGTTGGTCAGGGTGAGGACATGGTGACTGAAAGACATGCATACTTCAACGAACTGTAAATCAAGGTTTAGCGCAGAGTGTGAGAGTATCCACGATAAAGACTCACCTCTTCATTGTTCATGTCAAGGAGCTTGTCAAGGTCAACTCCGCGGTAGGAGAACGTGCGGAAGGTTCTCTTCTTCTTGAGCTCAGCAGCGACCGTGGGGTCAGTAACCGATGAATCCGCCTTTCATTCGAGCAGAAATCAGCGATCTGTGGTCTTACTACTCCAGAAGGACAAGATACGTACCATGTTGCGTCGTGAATTAGTCTTGCGGTTGTCGTGGATAACAGCGAGCAAGGATTTCGGCAATTCTGAGGCGGAGTCGGATTGTAATCAAATATGGAAATTGTGGCTGGATGTAGTCACGTGGAACTGTATAGTACCATCCCGAAGTTTGGCAGAAGCTCAGAGGGGGACACTATCATCAACGTCGTCGGATAGAATCTACAGGTCTTCCCTTGAGGATTAAAGGTATGATCTGTGTTTCTGCACGGTGCTTGAATTGAATATTTAACGGATGTTTTTAGTGATTTGTGGCTGCCCGCATCCCCGTCCTAAACATATCTTTTGTGAATAACAATCGTCTAAAGTATGTCAAATCACTTCGCGAATGACACGCTGCGTCGAGAACACGCTGACTTTGTGATATCAACAGATGCGTCATATCGCTGCTTATCTTCTCCTCCAAATCGGAGGCAATGCCTCCCCTTCGGCTGGCGATGTCAAGAAGGTGTTGAGTGCTGTCGGCATTGAGTCCGATGAGGACAGACTCGAAAAACTCATCTCCGAGTTGGAGGGCAAGGATGTCAATGCTGTAAGAATTTTTTCCCCCGCTTATAGACTGCATCCGTTTCTGACGTGTTAATGCGTAGTTGATTGCTGAGGGTTCTGCTAAGCTCTCATCCGTAAGTGACGATCAAGATGAATACAAGTAGCAAGAGCTGATTGGTCGAAATTGTTAGGTTCCTTCTGGTGGCGCCGTTTCCGCTGCTGCTCCGTCGGCTGGCGGTGCGGCACCTGCCGCTGCGGTCGAGGAGGAGAAGAAGGAAGAAAAGAAGGAAGAGAAGGTGAGTTCTTTTATTGCGCATATCGGGGAAAGCGAATTAAACCTTGAGATTGCAGGAGGAATCCGACGACGACATGGGCTTCGGTCTCTTCGACTAATTACATTACGATATGTTGTTCCTGTACGAAAACACGAGCAGATGCACCGTAATAATGAGCAGTTTTTCTTTGGAACGTTCGAATCAGAAGATTTTTGCAATAATAGGTTGTCCGAAAGGGTGCGGTGTATATGGCCGCCGGAATTGTATTCGGAATTTTTATGACAAATTGAATTAAAATTGTGTGTTGACCGGCGGCAGGCACATGTGTGTACGTAAATAGCTGTGCAGTATAACGAGAATGGAAAGCCGCCGATACGTGCCGTTTCGCTTATCAGTTATGCCGCGAGAATATATATTATTTCTGATTACATGAAATGTGATGCCGCATCGGTAATATTAGGTGAAAACTAAGCCGGCGGCGCGAAGAAGTGGGAAAAGCCGGATTCGGCCGGCGGGTTGGCTTAATTTGTATTGAATGATCGGTTTATTGCAAGGGCTTCCTCGAACTGCCGTGAGTGCTTCAGTGTACTACTGGTCTGTTCCACGCTCTACAATCACTTCACACTAACCATTTTATCTAGCTTGTATACCTTGCTAGGTGAGTTATCTTTTAAAATTATTATTCTCATTTCAATTCTCTTTCAATGGCCCCCTTCTCCTTAATAAGTTCAACCAAGTCAAACTCATATCCTCTTCGCGTCTAGACATCGTTTCCCTCCTTCCTCCTCATCCTGTGCATGTCTCCTCGTCGTCTTCCATAATCTCCCCCATATTATTTGTCTTTTAATGGACCACTTCCCTCGACCTCGAGACCATCCACCAATGCAGGCAATCACTTTCGCTCCCCCAAACCAACCCCCTCCAGACGGCTCCCGCTTTCTCATAGACCCTTCTCAGGACTCAGACAGGACTGACTCTAATATCGCGTTCATGAAGGGTCCAAAGCGTAAACGACTAGCCAAGGTATGTGTACCCTCCAACTCGTTCACACGTAAGACGCGTACCAAGCATCTTACTATGTAGGCGTGCGATGCCTGCCACAAAAGCAAACGGCGCTGTGACGGAACAGGTACGTTATCTTCCATAACACCCTCCATGCTATGCCAATCCTGACCTCCATGTTTTCAGCTCCTTGTAGCAATTGGTACGTCATACAAAAATCGTTTGCACCTTTCCTAATTCGTCCTTTCATCCATTTTTTTTGTTTTGTAAAAAGCTACTTCGCCTCCAAGAAATGCACGTATACAGATGCTTCGGGCAGACCTGTACCCGCACCTAGGCCGCGCAAAGGGGCTAACACAGACCCACCAGTCGATACTCGTCAGGGCTCGTACACAACCTACCAAGACGGCACTCAGGGTAGCCAACCTTCCTTCATTGTCCCTGCACTCCAGCAAGAGGATGCACTTGGGAGCCAAGTCGACCCTGATGAAGATCTTCTATTGCGCAAGCGATTTAGGCCAGACCTTGGCCAGTCCACGTCTCCCATCGAGACGCCTTCGAGAGGCCTAGCTCCACCGTCATTGCCAAGCACTGAGCGCTCTTTGGAGCGTGACCCGTCACTCACAAGAGAGCTTGTGCACCGTAAGTTCCCCTACATAACGGAAGGCTGCTGACACTAATTAATACGGGCCGGTGCAGTGTTCTTTGCGCACCGGCAACCTCAGCGTATGGTCATCCACGAACCTTCGTTCCATTATGCCCTTTCTCATGGACTCGTCCCATCTTATCTTCTCCTTTCAATTTGCGCTGTTGCCGCACCACTCTCCCGGCGTCCTTGTTTTAAGGAAGGGCGTTCAAGATTTGCTGGGGAGGTCTTCTTTCAAGAGGCAATGTCGATTATGTTTGATAAAGACCAAAACTTGATTTGCGAGAGAAATCTTGCAACTGCGCAGGCTCTATGTCTGCTGCAGTTGCATGATCGGATGGCTAAGTCATCTTGGAGAGGGCGATATCATGGTATGGAAATTTGCCATTCCCAGGGTTGTCAGCGCTTACGCTATGTACTTCGCAGTGTACGCACTCGAGGTCATTGAACAGCTGGGCGTGTATAAGGCTGATAATCCGATCATGACACCTTCACCCTCACTGGAATTTATCGATGCGTCCATCGAACGAGAATGCGCACGTCGTGTTTTCTGGCTCATATATATATCTGATGCTCTGGGGTCTGTTCTCTACCGGCGGCCTATCTTGGCAGAGGAATCACAATTGAAATTACGTCTTCCTGTGGATGAGACGAACTTCTTGTTCACTGTACATGACGCCGTCCCAGGTTAGTCGCCGAGCCATCGTTTCAGCCTTGAGCTCATTTGGTCCGTCAAGAATATCTGGACAAGCCTAGTCCTTTATCGAAATCCGAGACCGGCCAGCTAACTCGTGTCCTCTCTATACACGAGCAGATAGAGAAGACCATGGATGAATTCAATGGTGAGTGTTACTCGCTTCGCGGGAGCCCGGATATGTCCATTCAATTTCATTTTTAGACCGCGAGTCTGGCAGACATCCCGTCAACACACTGCTGGATCTTGACATGAAACTCAAGGTAAGGATGAAATTCCAGGGTCCATACAAATCTAGTATATTGATCGCTTCCGAAGGCGTGGGACGGATCGCTTCCCGACAGTCTTTGTTTCACCGACGAGAATCTTGATATTCAAATGTCGTTGTTTGCCACGAATTCCAACGTGGGAGCATGGTGCTTCTGTGCTATGCACATTATCCACTGCTCGTGTATTTTTGCATTGAACCAGGTGGGTTACCTTGATGTTGTTTAGATCCGCTGACGAGACTGACGGATATGGCGATACTTATTTGTAGGCTAGGAAACGTTGTCGTACGGCCATGCCGGGAGGTCCAACGTGGGCACACGAGCGTCTGAACAAGATTCTCGCCGCTTTAGGTGATAGAGCAAAAAAAAGTATCCTCCGTAAGTGTTATGATGTGAGATTATGCTTCGTTGAGCGTTTCACTAATGGTGCATGTCTATAGTGGGAGTTGCACTTTGGGTATGGTTTCTGAATTTCCTCAATCATCTCACGCTGATCATTTCCGGATCAAACAGCCTTTGTTCAAATATTGTAATGGTAATGGGGACGACCCACGGCTTTTGGAATGGTCGAGCCAGTTTGAAGAGGTGTATGGTGTTCGTATTCAAGACCTAGCACCACCGGCACCTGACTACACCAAAGATCTACAACCTCCACCGCCTGCGGAAGGTCGCATGCATCCAGCGGTGTCAAGCTCCGGAGGATCTCATGGCTCTACGCCCGTCCCTAGTCACCCATTGGAGGCAGCGGCACCCCAAGTAGCCATATCTCCGGTATATGCACCGCCGGGGCGCCCATCTGCTGATGCCCGATTCTTCGGTCAGCCTTCTTTTGGTGATATTCGAGCCCACGCACATCCGCCTCTTCCACCACAACCTGATCCCAGAGAGAAGAGAAACATTGCGCATGATGCCAATATCGATCCTGCCCTGCAAATGCCACCAAATCCTAGAGTTCACATGAATACGGAGCCAGTTTCTGCCGTATCCGCACTATCACTACCCTCACTGAAGTCGAGCGGTCTTTTAGATTGGCAACGAGCCAATGAAGGCAATCCACCACCACCTGGTTGGCAGACATCCGGGCAACATCTCCCAGCCTCTAGCCAGGGCTCACGGGACGCAACTGGATCACCATTTTCTTCAGCCTCACACATAGATTACTCTACTCGTCCTACAGTTGCCACGGCTTCAACTAGCATGCCTGTCGGCTTGCCGTGGCTGGCCAGCGAGTCGACTGTCTCTAGGACAAGCTAACATTGCCTTGTTGCCTAAGTTCTTGAGCGTTTGATTCCATTCCTTATTGTCACCTGTTATGTATTTTGTTCTGCACCTTGCACGCTTGTCGTTCCTTGATATCTATTTGATAATTCGTACGAACCTTTAATTAGCAGATTGAGGGTATTATTGCTCATCGAAGCACCCAATGTAGTATTGTACAAGTCGAGTCCATAGCAATGAAGTTGATCATTGTGATTCTGAACCACCAGCCCTCTTGAGGTTCCGATGCAGCTCAGGCTTGATCAATAGAACACGGTCCAGTAGTTTCTTCACGACCGCATCTTTGTTTGCTTCATACGCATCTGTGATGGCCTGCAACTTTACGTTTGTCTCCTCGTCTACTGCAGCCTGTGCATTGGAGGTGACTCCTGCGTGCTGCTCGCTATGTCAGGTTGTGCGTGAGTGAATGAGAGTGAATGTCACACCGATGCTTCAAATGACTTGAATTCAGCTTCTTTGGCCTGTCTGTATTCTTCTATCTCTCTGCTTGCTTCCGAGCGCGCGTCCTTTAATCTCTGGAGGCGGTCTGGGTTGAAACAGTCAGTAACATGAATTCGATTCAGACTGACACCGACATTGACGTGACTGCTGCACAATCTTGGCAGCTTCTTTCTCTGCTTCAAGAAGGGTTTGTATTCCCTGTGAATGTTGAGCTGCCTGTGATAATTCGTGAGTCTCTATTGTCATAAGCTGGTGTCCGTCGTTCATACCATGATTGCGGTAGAGGAGTGATTTAGAACTCCGACAGGATATAGTTTTCAGGACGAGCCGCTAACGTTGCAACTTGCAAGGATGGCAGGAAATCCGGTTGACCCGTTGCATACACTTTCTGCAGCTTTAGCAGTACCGGCAGACTCTAAAGAACAAGCAGATATACTCGCTACTTTACGTGAATCCCTTGAAGCGCACCCAAATCCCATACCCATCCTCTGTACAACGCTCATCAAAACTGTGTCAAGTGCCGGTGATTCTCTCCTCAAGAGATGGGTTCTTGATCTCCTCCATTTTGCTATCAGTCGCTCTAATCTGTCCAACGAAGTTCGCACACAACGTTAGTGAAATCTTTGAGTACTGCCAGCGTCTAAGTCTTTTAATGTTATAACTTCTTAGTCGCGTCTCAGTCCGTCGAAACGCTGGCCAGTTTGCTGCATGATTCAAATGCGCGTACTGTCAAAGTGTCCATTCAGTGTTTGACAACTGTCTACCCGCTCCTTTTCCGTTCATTGTAAGTCATCCGTTGCCGGATTCAACAAGGTCTAATACCCACCCCCTCGTGGTGACAGGTGTACAAACCGTACCCTACGCCAGCAATGGGATATTCTCTCGCAGTGCAAGGCGCGCATCCTGGAGTTTATTTGGTCGCCGAACGCCAGCAGCGGTGTAAAGGTCTCGGCCATTAAGTTCATGCAGCGCATCATCATTGTCCAGACGCGGGGTATATCGGACCCTAGGGTACCCTTCCATGTGCTTCTCCTTCATACGCACGCTCACTGTACCATACGCTCTATAATCTACAGCTTCAGAACAAGAATGATCCCAACATTTCAAATGTCCCTGTGGATCACCCCTTCCTACCAGGTCCTGCGTTAGAAGCCGAAGGCATGAAACTTCTTGAGAGCGTGATCACTATGTTGTACACCAGCCAGTGAGCATGTTTATCCAATGCGTGTGAGAACTCGCGTATCTGATGTCTCTTATAAGGAACCCTGAACTTCTGAGCGCGATACTTCACTCCTGGAGCAATTTAGTCAAGCAAAGGCCCGCCCTGGTACAGCTAGTCGTTTCATCACTCTCTTCTTGGACTCCTGCCGCTCTCTCCGGACTCCCTGCACCATCTATCAAAAGCGTTGAAAAGGCTGTTCGTATATTGCTCATCCATATCTCGAGGTGAGTGACGTCATGACATTGTTGAGCCAGGCGCGCTGAAGTCAAGCATAGAGGACCCCATGGTTCTTCCTTTGGAGCTCAGATCAATGAGGCGCTCTCCCAACAAGTTGTTCGCATGGAAAGAGCCTCTGCAGAGGAAAAGGCACGAAAGGCTGCCGTTGCTGCGTCTGCAACAGAAGCTACCAGGAAACGTCCTTCTTCTGCACCAGCAGAGCAGCCATCTGACCCTAAACGTATGAAGGTCGACGCTGATATTCCCGGAAACGCCTCCGCTGCATTCTTAGCTAGCTTTGACTTCACCACGCTTCCAATATCCCTTATAACCGATCTTATTGTCGCCAATCTGCAGGCGTTTACAGAGCCTGCTTTACTTGAGTTGGTACAAGCCTACAAACAGAGTAGAGGCTTGACTCCTAGTCCTCCTGTCTCCGGAACTCCGCAGCCCGCCCAACCTACACTGGAAGCGACGCCTACCCCTGGTCTTTCTGCAGAACCTGCTGTGAAGGATGAGCCGGTAGATCCACTTCAAATGGATATTGACGAGGAGGAAATGGAATATGAGCCTGATAGGCTGAATATGGAGGTTAGAGCATTTTACCTTTAGGTGACTTGCACTCACTGCAATTAATTTTACGCCGTAGCTTTCGGGCGACGAAATTATAGCGGAGGAAGAGACGATTCCGGCGGACCTCCCGGAAGCCCTCACCCTTGATCTCATCGATTCTTCGCTTCTTGGGCCAAAAGAATTGACTGACATTGAGCGGAACACTTTGATGCGTGGATCCGTCGGCCGAATATGGGACGGAGCAGAGGAACTCAAGGCTGATTCAGTCACGCCATCGCAATGGCCCGGCGCCTCTCCTACCGATATGTGGATGTTGCTTATTGTTCGGATGGTCACACGGGTGGCACATCTTGATGGTGACCAATCGCCAGAAGATGGTGGAGACGAGACGACAGATTCACAAGACAAAAAAGCAGTGGACTTCTATTCGCGGCAAGATAATTTACGACAAACATTATGCGATTACATTATGGCTGACTTCCCTTCCCGGTACGTTCCCGACGTTTCATCATCACAAAATTGGTTACTGACGGCAATGAAGTCTCCGTCTTGTCACAACGTGGATGAATGAAGAATGGTACAATGATCGCATCAGAATGGCAGATGACCCTCTTTGGGTGCGTATCATGTCTTTATTCTTTGTGGTATGGTTTGGCCAACGGCGAACTTTCTAGCGACCAAACTATGAATCGTGGCTGAACCAAGTAGTTTCCACGTATCAGACTGTCTTAGAAGGCAAACCTGAGGGCAAGCCCGATGGCAAGGACAAAGCTTTTGCACGGTTTCTATTGGATTTACCCTCCGTGCCCCCTGATGTCCTCGGCCTGTTACGTGATCTCTCCGTGGACCCTGACAAGTTCGTTCATTTGTATTCTTTTGGCATTACTCGGACCGAGCAATCAACAGGATGCATGTCGGGTTCACTAGTCTTCGGGAGTTTGTTTTAGAACGGCCATCCCTCCGAGCAGAAGCCCTTCAGGTCCTTTTGGAGTTGACGACTCATCCAGGTATGTCAAAATATTTTTTGTTGAACCTCGATTTAAATATTTTTCAGATCCTGTGACCAGGCGCGCAGCAATCAATACCGTGCGAAGATGGGTTCCTGGTATTGAACCCATGGATAGCATGATACGTGACTTCGCTCTTCAAATACTGCGCCGCTTGCAGAAGCGTCCGCCAAAAGGGGAGGCGCCAAAGGTCATCGATGAGCACGCCGGCGCGGGCGACGAAAATATGGAAGATGGTCAACTTCCATCCGAAGACCTTCTGCAAACGCCCTATCTACCAGAAGGGATAGAGTTACCCGCGCAGAAGGCTCACGTACTGCAACACGTTGAACTCCTATTCGCTCTATCTGTCAAGATCCCGGAGTTCTTGGATGAGTACGCCGATCCTAATATTATTAATCACGTTTCTTGTCTCATGCCTTTTCAGGATCTTCACGGCGTATGGCCAAATGGAGTTGACAGTTCAAGCAGCGGTTCAAGACTTGATCACTGCTCTGATCAAATCTTTAGGCTCAAGCAATGGCAAACTGTTGACCCTCATGCGCACATGCCCACCGGGGAGTGAATCTCTTGCCCTACGTGTTTTGACGATCTTTACAGAGCACGGGAGACCGAGCGCACAACTCGTGGCATTGGTGAAGGGTCTCATTAGTGACCGCGATCTCGATGCTCGTTTCCTTATTCCAATTATCGCAGAAATGGACAAGGTATGTTCCCGTGGAAGTCGTCTCGGCCTTGCTGAATATAATTTCACAAAGCCGGACATACTAAAATACCTGCCCCGAATTGTGTCCATCCTGAACGGTCAGCAAGAGCCCAAAAACCTGGTTCGATCTGTATTCAGCTCCGTTGTCACAACACCTCCACAAACTTTTGGGAGCGTGTCATCAAATTTGCCTCGTGTGAGGCAAAGTGAGCTGCTAACGCCAGCTGAGTTGATGGTGTTACTCCATGAAGCTGAGAAAGAGATCGGTCTCAAGAGTGCGATCGAAGGTGACAGTGACGTTCTCCTCGCCGGCCGCTTACTAACCTATTTCGGCGCAGCAATTGGCGTCTGCTTCTCAATGACTGATGTCTTCCGCTCCGAGATTCTTGCGGTGGTTATGCAACAGATCGTGGATGAACCTGTGCTGCCTGTTCTTTTCCTTCGTACGGTGAGTGGATTTCGCTGTCCATGCTTGCAGTTATTCAGGGTAATATACTGTCAAATAGGTCATCCAGGCTGTCACGACGTATAGAACGCTGGTTGGCTTCGTGTCTACCACCTTGCTGTCTCGGCTGATCACCAAAAAAATATGGCAAAACCCTCACTTGTGGGAAGGGTTTATACGATGTGCCAAGGTTATTGCGCCGGCGAGCTTTGGCGCGTTGTTGCAACTGCCCAAAGAACAGCTACGTGAACTTGTTGACAAGCAACCGAGCCTAAAGTCTGGCCTGCGAGAGTATGTCACAAAAAGGGCAGGAAACAAGGCACGAGTGGCTGGTTTCTTGGATATATTTGGTGAGGACGATGATGCGTCTCCTGTTGCGCCAGCGACACCGGATGTGGTCATGGCCTCAGTCCCTGCATAGAATGTTGAGCGCTTGAATATTCTTAAAGTATTCCACTATTTCATTGGTGTAATTGTTACGCGTCGGACATAAAGTGGCTTATCCCCGTGTATTATTCGGATGATGGAGTAATCGCAATCCATTGTCCACAGGTTATCGTCGTGATGCATCGTGTCGAACAATGCGGTGAGAACGGCTAAATCCTGAAACACAACTTCAATATTATAGCATCCAGCGTTGGGCAATTCTACTGCAGTTTCAGACCTCTTCTGCGAAAGTACTAGTGGGGAAAGATTGCCACGTCTGCGACTTCCCTTCTTTGCGCTCAGGCATCCAATCTTGTCCTTGTTAAGCACCCCGGCCTGCTCTGGTTCATACAATGTCAGGAGATGCCAGGCGGAACAGGTCACACAGCGACGACGAGTCATCCTCTCCGATACCATCACCAGGTTCTGGCACTCAAGATCGTGGCCGATCAAGAACACGGCGGCCTTCCAATCACCTCCCAGAACACAACATGAGGAAACGGTGAGATCCATCATACCCTCTCCATTACCGGCTTCATTGAATGAGGTGCACCAGAGGGTACCACTCATTTATGACTTCCTTTGGTAAGATGTTTCACGTAGAGAAGCGCTGGAAGATGGTACGAGAAATGGGTTCAGGTGCATATGGCGTCGTCGTGTGAGTGACAGGTTCGGCGCTTTGGTGGTGGGATGTATTGATGTGCCCGGGATAGATCTGCTGTGGATGAGATCTCTGGTGAAACGGTGGCCATCAAACTCGTCACTCGAATATTTGAGAAAGTCCAGCTTGCGAAACGGGCATTGAGAGAAGTTACTCTTCTTCGGCATTTCTCAAGTCATGAGAACATTACTGGGTTGATTGATGTGGATGCTATCTCTCCCGATTTCCAGGAGATGTGAGTGGACTCCGTTCAGTACTGGCAGTAAGAGGCTTACTAGGCTTACCAACTTTCAAGCTATATTTTCATGGAGGTGCGTTAATTCGATGCTGAGGAGTTCAACTACTGCTATAATTGCGTATATCTAGCCCATGGAAGGTAACGTTTCAAATTACGACATGAAGGTTGTTCTGAACCTTTGACAGCGGATTTGCACCAGATCATAAAGTCTGGCCAGCATTTGAGCAACGAACACGTCCAGTACTTCCTATATCAGATCCTTCGTGGTAATTCACTCTGCTATTTTGAGTGATCACTAACGATATCATTGACAAACAGGCATGAAATATGTGCACTCAGCCGCCGTCATTCACCGCGATTTGAAGCCAGGCAACTTACTCGTCAATTCGGATTGTGAACTCAAGATATGTGATTTTGGCTTGAGTCGGGGATTTGACTCCGCCCCAGACGAGCAAGTGGGCCACCTCACCGAATATGTAGCCACCAGGTGGTACAGGGCGCCAGAGATCATGTTGGCTTTCAGGTGCGATTATCTTTCCACTATGATGGTATCTCTCTTCACGCGGGCTGGTAGCAGAGGATACACGAGAGCCAGTGAGCTCATCCTATGAATCAATCGTTGTTGTAAATGTGAACCGAGGATATAGTCGATGTTTGGTCTATAGGCTGCATATTTGCAGAGCTTATGCTTGGACGACCCCTGTTCAAGGGTAAAGAGTAAGTTTAGACATGCATCACTTCGCAGAGCTGACAGCCACGCATATAGCTATGGTTAGTATTGTCATGAACATCAAAGCATTTGTTCATGTTTACATTTGTCCTCCACAGTTGATCAATTGAACAAGATACTTGATGTTCTTGGTGAGTTTCTGACGAACCCCCTTCAATCGCGATCTGACCAGTATTTATTGCAGGCACCCCAGAAGAAGATGTAATCAATCGAATTGGGAGCGATAAGGTAGAGATAGACGCCGTAGCTTTATTAGTCCAGTCCTGACATCATCGGAAGGCACAACTATATATCCGCTCACTTCCAATCAAGAAAGCTGTACCGCTATGGAAGTTGCTTCCGACTGCTGATGTACAGGGTGACTCTAGCTTTTCTGTAGCACTAGGTTAACACTGACGACTATCCAATCGCTAGCCCTGGATCTCTTGCAAAAAATGTTGTCTTTTGACCCGTCGGCACGCATCTCAGTTCCTGACGCGCTCGCACACCCTTGGCTGGCATCCTACCATGAAGAAACCGACGAGCCCGATTGTCCCACCACGTTTGAAAAGTGGAGAGACATCGAGAAGCTCGAGACCCTTGAAGATTTCAGGAAGGCACTATGGGAGGAAATAGAGGATTACAGAATGGAAGTGCGAGGTATCACACGCGAGCCGACAGTACCTAACCCCCATGAAAATGCTTGCGGAGAGACTCCTGGTTCCCCTGAACAGTCTCTGGAGTCCCGGAAGAGCGCTTCCGTATCACGGAGGATGGAAAGTCCCGAAGCTATAAGGGAGAATGTGGCCTCCGATAGTCTTGCCCCGCCAGCTGCCTTGGACTACTTCCGCCCATGCACGCCTGAAGACCCCGTCGTCAATTATGCGCGGCGCTCCAGCATACTTCAACCACAGCGCCAGCCGTCCACATCTACATATAACTCGCCACCAGCGTCAACCACGCAACACCCATTCGTACCCATGTTTGAAGGCCTGCCGACCAGTGCTAGTGGCATCGCATTTCCTAGCGAAGGTTACGTCTTACCTGCTCGTTCCCGTGCGGCTTCAACCGCAACAGCAGGAGGAAGTGAAATAGCAGTGCGGAAATTGTTGCGGACTTTGTCGACAGTATCGATTCACGAGAGTGTAGAAGGATTGCCGGGAGGATTGGCCGGTGTGGCACCCATCGGCAAATTCATTGTTGGGCAAGAATCTGAAGCAGATGCCCCGCCCAGTGAGATGCCGATGGAGTTCAGTGTTCGCACCAGGAAGGAGGGGGGTAAGGAGCTTGCTATATAATTTTCTCTTGCATAGAATCATCATTGTCTTCCAGTGTAGAATCTATCGATACACATGAGTTACAAATTTCAATGAGGTCGGTACTAGAATTGTCTGCGAGTTGAACAGCTAGAATTACAAGGCACTCTCGCCTTCCAATATCTTTTTGATCTCTGAGAATTTATGAGTAAAATACCTAGGCGATGGAACATCACTCACTGTCAATGATATCAAGGTATGCACCCGACGCTGGGCTGTCGGGGTATTCGTCCAAAAAACTAACACCATAATCTGCGCTCTTCCCAATTCGTGGGTCAAGTGGGACCCTACCCAGCAGTTGAATCCCAGATTCTTTTGCTAGTCTTTCCGCACCCCCAGTAGTTGGCCTGAATATCTGACTCTCCGTCTTGCATCCAGGACAAACAAAACCTGACATGTTCTCCACTAGGCCCAGCACTCGTATGCCCACTTTCCGGCAGAAGTCTATTTCTCTCCGAACATCCTGCAAGGAAACCTCCTGCGGCGTAGTTATAAGCACAGCACCGTCTATGCCGCTTTCCTTCAAGTACTGAACCACACTAAGGTGCTCATCTGAAGTGCCAGGAGGTGTGTCGATAACGAGGTAGTCAAGATCACCCCAGTCAACGTCCTTAAGGAACTGCGCAATGAGTCCATTCTTCTTCGGACCACGCCACATAACGGCGTCTCGCGACGAGGGCAACATGAAGCCGACAGACATGACTCCAAGATTATCCTGTACATAAACCGGAGACCAGCCGGACGACGACGAATGCACTTGCTCTGAGGCAACGCCGAAGATAGTGGGTATGGATGGTCCACAGATATCGACATCCATGACACCAGTTTGTAGCTGTTCATCCGCAGCAAATGCCCAACCAAGCTGGGCAGTGAAGGTAGATTTCCCGACGCCGCCCTTGCCAGATAGCACGAGGATCTTGTGCTTCACGGAAGCCATCCGATCACGAATAAAGGGTAGTGCTGGGTCGGGACCCTTGGGTGTGTTGGAAGCGCAGATTTCTTGATTTGCGCATCCGTTGCAGGCATCGGTTTTGCCAGCTAGCTCGGATTCTGTGCCCTGCCATTCAGTGCAATTAGTGATGTTAGGAATGTGATGTGCTTCGTTGATGCTTACAGGACAGTGTTCCGGTGCATTTGAAGGAACTGACAGAGGATCTGGAACCACAGTTGAACGTTGTACTGCAAGCATCCGGAGGAGAGCTTGAAAGTCGAGTGCAAGAAATGCACTGGCAGGTGATCCTTAGACTGACCTTACTAATACTGAGTCAGTATTTACTACCGAAGCTTTAAGTCATTGTCTAAAAAGGATTTGCTTCTTCCCACTGTCAACATGTCAACTCCTCTGGGCATATGGTCGATCATTTCTACGATTCATGCGACGACAATGTGCAGTGTTGAAACACAAGATGTTCGACTGAAACCTGCTCGTGCAATAATAGATGCGCACATTCTATGCCTGGTGTGGGCGGGGGATGCTATTTCATTTGCGCATTTCGTTCCGACTTGCCTTTTTGCTCAATAATTGTTGGTATGCGGCGAACATGTCCATGCTGCATCTTCCGCATCAAAGCTTCCCTACGTACAAGTAGGGCAGGCTTGGCTCGAACGTTCATTGACCACAGCCAACGGACCTACTTCCCAGTTCCGTCCACCCCGAGCCGGTTGAATACGCGCCAGCACGAAGATGATTCACAGATCATCTACGACGGTCCACCCAGTCTTTTTTTTTTGTGGACGCTCGAGATCTCAGCTTATCCACGAACTTCGTCCCTCCCCTTCCGTCGACCAACTCACAAATCCCATTGTTGTCACGGACGGCGTTCTTCGACTCGCTTATAGATACTAGGGTAGATCCATGCATTGTTTTTTGTCACTGGAATTTCTGACAAGCGGTGAGCTCGAGCCAGAGCACAAATTTGTGCATCTGAGACTGAGAACCGAATTCCTCCAATATTTTTACGGTCGCATAAGCCGAACTTCAAAGGCTTGGTTCCCAACTGTGCGGGAACTTAGATCGTCCCTGGAAAGAGTAATTGTGATTGTTGTCTCATTATTCATTTGCTAAACCTGGTATTGCCCCCGCGCCAGATACTTGTCGGAGAATAGAAAGCCACTGCCGCAAAACACTCCCGACTGCTCAGTGAGCACGCGCTTGCCATTCATCTCTCATTGCATTTCATTGGGGAGATAGGTCGGGAACTCCACACATTTCGGCACAAGTGATACCCCGCTATTATGGCGTAGCCTCGAGACCAAATACGTAAGCTTCCGTCTACTTTTATGCAACTGAATAGACCAGCTGAACATACCTCTATTTACTTGTTAAGACCGCAATTACAAAGTTCAGTTATTCCAATCCGCGCAGACGGTATTGTTATTGTTACGACTTCGGACCTGGACACGAAGGATACTGTGAATAAGGGTCATCAGCCAAGCTCAAGCCCAAGATGAGGCAGAGGAGTGCAATTTAGGTACGCACAGCGTTAACCCTGAAAGTCGACGTCTCGTCGGGAATAGGGCTTCGGAATTATGTTGGTAAAGTTGAATCCCGAAATATGAAATCACAGTAATTGCCAGCACTACTATCGGCAGCGCCGTGTTTTCCTATCGCCGCCTTTCGAGTACAGTGCAATGGGTATCTGACTGCCATGAATATGGAAACACCACGGAGACCGCGGTTCTCAAGGAGGACCTGAAGCTTCCGGGCAGATGACAATGTCACAATATCCAGCGCCACATCAAAGCAGTCCTCACAGGCCCCTCCTCCATCTTCTCCATGTGCTACATGACGTGATTCACGGAGAAAGTTATTCTAGCGGTGGGCAGCTCAGTCTAAGTACCAATCTGTCCGTTCAAAAAAATTATATCCTATTACCTGATATTCGAAGGGGAAGCTGATATCTTAATTGACAGTTACATGACGAGGTCGCGCCATGACACGGATGACGCAATGATATCAATAATGAACAAACTCAGACCGAGCAAGACCTATGGAGTTTATTTTGAAACCCCTATGACGAGGCGAAGTCCTTATACAAGTTCAGCATTAGGAAATGGTGACCAACCGCAGTGATGAAGGCGGAGCGCCCATTAGTCCTCCGATGGTATGTGCATATGTCCTACGAGTTCCTGACACTGATTCTTGTGGGGTATCCCCGGAAAACATCGTGAATCATTACGTTGTCTCGGTACAGACCGACCTTTATGTTTTATGGTTCAGCACAACGAACTTGCCTTCCTGGATCTTTTCTGAATGCAAATCTCCGTACGCTGCTGTAAGCTCGTCACATATTGCGTTCCACCAATTCATTACGGAGCCGTTCATGACGTAGTATGCACCGTGACCAGCGACGAGGTCTCGGGAATTGCCCTAGCTACCCTGGCCGATGAGTGCTTTCTGACAGGTCCAAGAAGCTTAACGTAGGTACCTTGCTTTCGTTCAGTGAAACGGAACCAGCTCATTCATTATAGAAAGAAAGACTATCTCCCTTTGATAGGTCTGGCTAGGGGGAGACTAGATGTCACATCCTAGTGATACCTACTCGTCAGTTCGGATATTTCAAACCGCACATTTTTTGGGCTCTCGCTGGACACACTGCAATGTCCCCGACAATTCCTCCATGTTTATAGGCGTGGCACACTCCACCCCCTTTTTGCATAGTGTACGTATAATCGGGTTTGTCCGCCAACGTTGCCTCTCTTGCTGGCCGATCCAACATCACTGCCGGCAGTGAGCTCGTCATCGAGGTAGCCGAGGCGGTCAGTGTGATAGGCTTGCTTGATTTTCTCCCCTGCATTTATGTCATTGAGGTCTACTAGACGCCTGTTGAAGTTGCGCTTGTCGCTTCTACCTACCCCTACCTACCCATGCTTCACCAACTATCGTACACTGTTCAATGCGACAGCATTGGCAATATTACATGCAACGGTCTATTCCGAGTTCGGAAGCCAAACCCAAACCCAAACCCAAACATGACCAGCCAGGCCCAGCAAAACTTCACCGTCACGCCATTGGACAGAAGGGGAAATTGTTGGTCACCAGGTGAGCTTGCCTGACTGTCTATATTTCCTTAACACTATTTCCTAAGTCTTGAACTCAAACCACAAGGTTGTCCGATCTACTCGAGGATCCCAAGTCTTGAACTTAATTCACGGAGTGGTCCGATATACTCGAGAGATCGACGTATGTTGCTCCTGATTACGCTACACAAAGTTTAAGCGGCCCGGGTGGATGTATACGTTGCGTACCAGGTTCACAGTGGCTCACATTCTCACAGCCAAGGCCATTAGGGCTACCTTGCCAATCTCAAGGTTCGCGGGTTCTTATTGATCGTCCAGCGAAGTAACTGCGTTTAAGAGGTCGTGGGCAAGCACGCAATAATCATATAAACGCATTTGGACTTGGGGTTTCTATCCTCTGGAACGTGTTTTTTGTTGGGGTACCAGCTACGTCACTCTGAAGAAGAGTGGCACAATGGGGTGAAAGAACAGAACCCTCTGAAAATTGACCATTTTGACCTAAAGCATAACTCCCAATTGTGGTGAGTCCGTTGTACTCACTACCTGAGCTTGGCTTCTTAATGATTTTTGATAGTGTTGACATGCTAATCCCGGCGATAAGGCGTACCCTTTTGGGAAACTGGTTTGACATCTGCGCGCCTATCTTGGCCATCACCCCCAAAACCACGATTGAAACGCGGAAGCTTGATAGAGTTGATAGGACCAGTCTGGACCAGTCCCCTAGTCCCTGAGAGCCCGCTGCAAGGAGTAAAACTTGTGCACGACGTGTGTTCCATTTACCCGCGGTCTCTCATAATGCTGATTCTATCTACCGCCATCATCATATCTATGCGCGTCTAGGAATGTTGGGATGTGTCATTTTGGCCCACCAGCTGGCTACACTGTAGACCGCGTCATTATCAGTCATTCTCAATGGCTGCCGGCCGTGAGCAAAAACTGTTAAAGATGTCGTCATGACATTCTTCTAGAATGTCGTACTTTCCGTTGTGGCACATTCTTGATGGCATTTTAGGGTGGGCGGTCACGTCATGTTATGGAGGCAAACTCAAGGTAAAACAGGGGACCAAGACTTGAAACCAGACAAGACCAGACAGGCGTGCGATCCAGACTCTTCTGACCTCCTTGAAATTGAGAAGAGAAGATTGTTAGGGTGATGCGGTCTGGCGGTGTCTTTGACCAAGCTAGAGCGCTTCTAGGTGATGAAGAAGTTCTATAAATTTAGACGAGACTTCTGTTTAGCAAAGCGTGCACGGGGGATAGACCAGGGCTGCGCCCTCTGCACCGATTTCGAATCGGAAAACTGTGACGACCTTTCAGAGTTGTGTGAATTATCTTCCCGGGCAAGGGATAGGTTTTTCTGCGATTTCTCATTATAAGCATTGCTGCGGTTTCGAGGCAAAGGCCGGGATGCGAGTGTCGTGGGAAGATGTGACTGCTTTTGGTTACCGGAGTCAATCTTGGCCGGTATGGCCCTCCCCGCACTCTATCATAACACTCGTAAGTACAATTATGCTCTTGATCACCGTGCCCCACGCTCCCGCCGGCTTACTTCCAAATCAGCCTCCGCTCATCGCCGCTCACGACGTGCTCTGCGGTTGTCACGCGCACTGACTTATTGACTGCGTCCCCCAAATACATAAATCCGGATTCCGGACTGAGGTTAATCCGCGGTTCTGATGTAAGTCCTTTGAGGTCAGCCAGTTTGCACATGCGCAGTGTTAGGTTGACTTACAAAACCGTCAGAAATCCATAACGTTTTTGTGTTCCTGCCGGGCCCGGGTCATCCTGGATTAGCCTGGATGCCCTGATACGGACGGTTCTCGCTTAACGGTACTCATATGGGAAGGGAAGCCTTCCTCCATCAGCCGGATGTCATAATGGTACTATCGGCGCATGGAAGAAAAGCGATTAATATCCATTCCTTCTAGCAACCTTGACACTGATATCAGCCCATCTGTCTTTTCACCTCTATCATTCCCTATATCCCTCTTTTACCAATCTGCACTACTAGGCCCGCGACGTACTTCCATGTCATCGTCGAAAAGAAGAGCGCTACTCAGCATCGAGTTCATTATAGTTGGAGCTGGTAAGTGAACCAACAACCTGCGGGATTATATTTGCATATAATCATCCTCGTAAGGTGTTGCGGGTCTGGCTACCGCGCTCAGATTATGCCAGGCAGGGCATCGTGTTCGTATTCTAGATAAAGCTTTAGGACCAAACCGGGTGGGTCGTGTGTGCGAAAGCGAAGTCAAACGCTAAAATAAATCTTACAGCGCGCTGGTGGTACACATCTCCCGCCCAATGCTACTAAAGTTTTGGTGGATTGGGGATTCAAGGACCAGCTACTGAAACACGCACTCAGCACGCGTGCTAGCAAATTCATTTCAAGTAAGGAACTTTTAGCACATAGTTGACGTTTCACCCCAGCTCATAAATTGATCCGGACAGTCGACACTGGAGAAGTCATAGGATGCCTCGAATGGAAGGAAGACGTTCTTCAGGAGACAGGAGCGGATTATATGGTTATAAGTGTAAGTTTGTACACGCCCAAGCATCGTGGAAGTTATTTATTCTGCTTGTCATTTCTGGATGCCCATTGCAGTATCGCGATCTCTACGACATGCTGTATCGTGAAGCGATCGCCGCGGGTGCCCGTATCTCATTCAACACACCAGTTGCCAAAGTGCACGCGAACCCGCCCCGCGTCCAACTTCAGGATGGCACCGTCCTCAAAGCAGATATGATCATTGGGGCTGATGGCCCACGGAGTACAGTCCGCGAGGCGGTCGTAGGGTGGCCAAGTGAAGAGGTGCCAGAAGGGCACAGCGCTTACGTGTAATCTGCCTTTCTCATTGTCACATGTCGGGAACCGCCGCTGACAGGGAAACCTGGAGCAGTGCGATTATACCTCGGGATGTCCTTCAAAACGACCCTGAGCTCAGCGACCTGACGCAGTTCCACGAAGATAGACCTGACGTACGTTGCCCGCCCATTCCTTTTAACGGGAGTTCACATGGTGCACATCCCAGTACCCGATATGGACTGGAGACTCTAGACATGTCATCGCCTTCACGGTGGTATGATTTCCCCTTCGTGGGTTTTTTATCACTCAACCTTTACAGGCAGGAGGGACTGAATTTGCCATCCATGCTTTTTTGCCTGACAGCGAAGTTGATGGCATTGGTGACGAAGACGGTTGGGACGTGATAGTCCCCCGTGAACGGCTCCCTTTTCATTTCGAACCGAAGTGCGCTATTTTGATCCGGCATCCACATATTTGAGCTAACATCATCATTATTTGATAAGGTTGCAGCGCTTGCTGGATATACCTGCTACCTATCAGAGGGTGCGACTTTTCCAAAGAGAATGTGCCGAAGAATGGACAGACGAATCAGGAAGGCTGCTCCTCATGGGAGAGGCCGCCCACCCTTTATATGTAAGTATGAGCTCAACACTGCTATTGGTAATATTAAATTATCCGCAGCCTTGCGTTCTACAAAGTTGCAGTATGCAAATAGAGGACGCTGAAGTGCTCGGCACCCTCTTCTCTCGATTACGAGCCTGGGATCAATTACCTCACTTGGCCGAAGCGTTCCAGGAGTTGCGAGAACCACGTACTCGCGCCATATATGCAAAAGAGACGAAGGCTTTTGATTTAGTATGGGTGCCCCCTGGGCCACAACGTGATGCACGAGATCAGGCCCTCTATAGCATGATGGTCGAAGGGCACAAAGGCTGGGACGAGACCAAGATGCGCTGGCAGTGGGACGAGATTTGCGAGGTCTTTGGCTACAACGCGCGAGACGCAGCTGAAGACTGGTGGGTCATGTGGGGTATGTTGAGGGAGAGAAGTATAACAAGGGATGGTCATTGTCCTTCCAGTTATGCTGTGCCTTTCTGTATGGGGTCAACCGTCACACATTATGCAGAGCCGGTCGTGTTGCGAAACTGATCTCCGGTCAGTGTCTAGTTATCAGTAAATGTGTCATGCAGGTAGAAGAAATGGAGGAACCATTATACCCCACCCCCGCTACGTAGTACTGTATACGTATACCCCACATTTTCTCTATTATCATCCTTTGCATATCATTCCAAGGGTCTATATTAGATTTCCCAACCGTTGAGTCCACACCCAAACGTTGGGCCCGGCGGTGATCCCAGAAGTCTTCAGTGTAAATGTGTGATATTATGTAATAGCAGGTCGCATGGTACCATGAGAGTCAGCAGACACAGCAGCTGATATACTCCCAGTGTGGGTTTGCAGTCGCATGTCATTGACACCGCGCTTGGCGATTATCGTGGCCGACAGTATCATATACACTCGATGTTTTTGGCTTGCACGTAGACTGTACTCAATCTATAGTTGTCTCACTGGTCTTGTGCTGAACATCCGGATCTGACAGGTCTCGCGAATCTCAAAGACTGTCAGCGTTATACGGCAGCTGACTGGAATAACCTGATAGTAATGTATCGGAGATAGATGCGATAGTGATGAAATGACACTAAAGTAGCATCATGAAAGTACGGTCCGTGCCTTACTGTCTATGGAGGACGCAATGTGTCATTGCTCGCGAATAGCAACCTCTGTAAATAATGGCAGGAATATGAGTGGGCTTCAACCGGACCAGGAGAGAATAAACTCACTGAAAAATTCATAAGATAGCCAACATAGCGCATTGCTAGGCATGTGCGTCAAAACCCGTGGCGACATTCCCCGTCCGAACCCTTTTATTCCATCTCTCCTCCATATTATACGAAGCGCATCCATCATTCCATTGACTCTTCGAATCTCGGGATCATGTGATGAACCTCTAGTCTGCAAGAGGGTTTTCGCGACATCCAGAGGCGTGGTTACACCTGCGGCCACGCCGCCCGCCATACCGCCTGCAATCATATGCGTGACGGGTGAGTAGTCGCCCGACGGATTTAGAAGCTTTTTCATATGTTCATAGACTGTGAATTGCACGGCCGTGAATGGAACCGACATCGTCAGGGTAGTGGGATACGAGACATAAAACGCGGCGAGGCCCTCCTTCTGGTACACGACCCGCAATGCGGTGAACACGGAGCGGAACTCCGACTGGTGCACCTGCATGCGTTGCTTGATGACTATAAGTGAAGTGTGATGGGTTGGGGAACGTGGTATGAGTAGGTGGGAGCTCACCGTCGAAGGGGTTCATCAGGGCATCGCTAGCAATGGTGGCGGATGCACCTGCCAGTGCTGTGAGAACGCAATGGTGAGTACATGCTGACTACGTGGCAGACAGTCTTGGAAAGTGGAATCCAGACACGGGTGGTAAAACGGTATGGAAAGGGGATAAAGGGTATGGTCGGTAGGGAACGAACGCGAATGGTGGACATACATGTTGCAAGCCATTGATTTCCAGCAGCATTCCCGCCCGCCAATTCCTTCATCGCCTCATACGTCCCAAAGTGAACGGCATGTGCTGGTCCCGCACCCAATATCACTGAAGAGACTCCTCGCCACAGAGCTCGCATGCCCTCCGTAGATGATATCCGAGTGAATGCATTTCCGATCCCTGTGTAAACGGCGGCAGGTGACGTGGCGAATACTTGCATTCGTGTCTGCATGCCCTGTCAGCCCTATGTCGTTGATCAAATGCTGGATCCTACTTTTATGCTGTCTATTGGGAACATGACTGCGTGCTCTGTGATACCAGCCTGAGCAAAAAGTTAACATTCCAGTGCATGAATTCGTCCCAACAGATACGTGAAGGACCATAAATGAAAACTCTAAACTTACCAGAGCTCCGGCGAGCATGTTAACCTGTAGTTCTGGTTGGTGCAAATTTTTCAAAGAGACCAACTAAATAGCTCACCCCAAGGCTTGCATTGGATGGGAGTGCCTCATAGTCGACCTCTTCAGCCATGCAAATAGTCTATGTGGAAGAAAAGAAAGACAGTGGAAATGTAAGCCTGCCAAAAGCCGATTTTTCGCCGTAAAGGAGTAACGACAAAAACTTTGAAGGATGACCGCGTTGCCGTACGGAGACTGAACCCGTGTCTGTCTGTAGTGCGGGAACTCTTGGAAGAGTCAACCTTGTGCTACCCTTGTGAGTCTTGGTCGGAAGTATGATCGCGCAGAGAAAAACGCGACTTGTCCGAACAAAACCGTGAGCAGCAAATAATTCAATTGGCGGTGTTTGCTAATACTAACTTCCAAACAACGCGAAACCGTTTTTCAAAAATTGGTTCCGTTTGCATGTCAAAAATTATGGACAGATGTCACAATGACATAGATCGACGCGACTGAAAAGTTTTCTGCACAAGCCAAGCACAAGAAAATCGATCATGAAAAGGACTTGGTCCAGAAGCAAATACTTTATCAGCATATACATACATCCTGGTCTATATTGTCAGTGCTCGTTTGCAGTCTTCTTCTCCTTGTCCTCCTTTGCGAGACGGTCATGCTCCTCGATATCACTGGAGTCGAAGAAAAAAATGGATGAATAGTTCATCAAGAGTAGGAAAGGCACTTACATGGCTTCCCACGGATAATCAAGCCTATATTTCGGTTAGACTTCTCATCACAAGTCAAAGCTCTAAATCTCACCACTTATCCTCTACTTCAGCACCGAAGAAGTATCTGGTGGGAAATTGGTGACAACATGTGAAGCGACATTCGTTGTGGTACTCACGGGATATTTGGTGGTAGCTCTCCAATCTTTGGCTTGAGCTTGTTGTGTACCACGAAGATCGCAAACTCGGTGCGTTGCGAGTCACGCTCGGACTCTGGAAGCAGCTGGAGTTCTGATTCAACATCTTTCTGGAGCTCTTTCAATGCATATCTGCACAGTGGATATGACGAGCGTGTGTCAGGTACAGCCGACAAGAAACTATTTTTGATCGAGCTCTTACTGGAGAGTTTTGCGCGAATCGTCGACTTCGTCCTATCCAGAATATCGGTTGGATTCATATACCGAGGGGTTAGAGCTTACAATAATCAACGCTCTCCTCCCGAGCAATCTTTTGCCTGGGTCTGGTCCTCTGCCAAAAGTACCTGTGTCAATACCAGATCCTGTGTGCAATAAATAACACCGTACAGCCACTGGGTGCGAATAACTTCGCTGCCGAGCTGCTCTGAAGTTGTACCAGGAAGAGATTCGTAGAGTGAGAGACCAATGGCTTGAATTGGGATATTCCTTTTCGTTGACGGGTCTTTCAGGAATGTACGCTATGAGACCGGACACACGAGGCGGATTAGAAGGTCGGTCGGGCCGTATCGCCTCTACGCGACATACCAATACACGAGCTGGGAAAAAGCCACTGTCGGATGAGAGTTGGAGCTTCAGGTCACAATAAAATAGATGGGATAAAACTGACCCTCCTCCTGTTCATGGACAAGATGAGCGTTGAAAAGCGACGGCTATAAAATTAGGATACCTATCGCAATAAACATGTCTGGCTTGAACTCAGACGCAATCTTGTCCGATACTCCTCTGATGATGTTGTGTATGTCATTGTATGTCGCCCTGATATGCTCTGGTTCTCCCATCGTGCGAGAAATTGAGAACTGGGCGCAACTGCAGCTAATCGCCTGAATGGAGGTGCAAATCGCGGTTTGCTACTTGATCAAAGGAAAGTTGGGAAACGCAGATCAGTAGATAAACACGTGGCTGTGCACACCTGTGCACTTAACTCTTTTCACATATTTATCTGGTTTCATGGCAGACAGTAGCAATGTGGGCGCGTCCTCGGCGCCATCGAGCACACCAGGACCGTCCGTCCCCAAAGCCATAGGCAGTCTGGCCAAAAAGCCTTCTGATGTGACCAGACAAGGATCACAGAGGCTCAAGTTTGTACCTACACTACCATCCCGAAGAAAGAAAGAGTGAGCCAACTCTACAAAGTCCATCCACGGTCGCTCATGGCGTTGTTACCAGGGAAGTTAAACAGGTATGTGTCCTAGAGCACATCTACGCTAATCATCATCCTGAACTGGACGCAGGAAGCCCCTCCACCAACCATCCCTAGTGCATCTACCGAACGAGGACGAGGACGCGGACGCGGACGCGGAAGGGGTAGGGGAGGCGAAGGTCGTGGTGCCGCTCCCCGCCCGCCTCCAGTAGAAATGACTGCCAGTGGACCATTCGCCATGGGACCCGCTCTCGCAGGTACCTCAGCACGGCGCAGTGCTCCTCGCTCCAATTTCACACCCATTGTTCCATTGGGTCCTGGAAATGCAGCTGCTCTTGGTGCTGGTCTCTCTGGAACTGCGGGTCCGTCGTTGAAGAGGGAGAAGGAGACTCTGGCACCGAACATCCTTGTCGAGAAGGAGATCAAAAAGGAGCTCGATGACGATTATTACTCTGATCCAGACGAAGGCGTCGAGATCATTGACATGGAAAACGTGAGAGAGATGGACTGGATGGCTCCAGAGAGCTTGCGAAAAGAACGTAAAGAAAAGAAGAAGAAAAAGGTCATCCAAGTGAAGATCGAGGATCCATCATCGCCTTCAAGTTTGAAGAAAAAAGGTAGACCCTTCCTAATATTTTCCTGCCAGCTGAAGCCCAGACGATATCAGAAGAGGCTATGGACATCGAGGATGCAGCTGCATCGGGGGAAGTGGACTTGGCGAATGCCCTTGATCTTAGTGAGAGCGAGGAAGAGGAAGAACTTGAGGATCTCATAGATGATTTCGCGCTGCAAGGTGAAGCGGACCAGGTCATTATCCTAAATCTCCATCTGGTGCTCGCGCTCATTTTCATTAAAGGACGCAGACGTACGGCAGGAGCGTCTCTACTTCTTCCAGTTCCCTGAGCCGTTCCCAACATTTGTTTCCAATATCCCGCCAACTGATCCGACGACAATGAGTGTTGATGAGCCCCCCTCAGATACTCGCCCACGCAAAGTGTCTTTTGCGGCAGACGTAAAGCCACCAGGTCCTAGCGGAGATCCAGCAGGCGCGTCTACAGGACCAGAGGCTGACCAAACGAAAGAACTACCCACAATGGATGGTGTCATTGGGCAGCTTGAAGTATATCGCAGCGGGGCCGTTAAAATGCGCCTTGGTAATGGCATCCTCATGGATGTTCGTCTCATCTTTATATTTTTTGCTCTTATGGCTCGTGCTGATGGCTTTATCTAGGTGACTGGCGCAACTCAGCCATCGTTTTTGCAGCAGGCTGTCCACCTGGATATTCAAAACAAACGTTTGCACGTCATGGGAGAAGTCAACAAGCGCTTTGTCGTCTCGCCAGACATAGATACACTGCTTCATGCAATGGAGTTGCGCGATCAAGCCGAAGCCAACGCCATGCCAATCGACGACACGAATATGATCAAGATGGACTAGTGTGTAAAAATCAAGTAATGTAAACAAAGACAAGCGTGATGTGCAGGAGACAGCGGGCAGCAAAAACGTGCGGTGTGCATGACGAGAACATGAAAAGAGTGCGATGGATAACGAAAACACGATGGATGATTATGCTTGGTCCGGAATGTAAGTCTATGAAAAAATGGTGATGGGCGCCATATACTAGGGCTTCATTACTCCCAGGCTGTTGATGTATTTTCGCCAAACTTCCTCCTGGTTATTATTGTGATAAGCTTCATTGACGTAAGGATTCTGGGGCGCCACTTGTTGATACGATAGAGTTTCTTGCAGAGGCATACTCGAACTGGGGCCTGCAATATTCTGATTGGAGTGCGTACTTGGCTTCATGATCGCGGCTTGCAGCGCAGGGTCAAAGAACGGTGAAGGCATGTTTATATCCTCCTGCGAAGTTGCAGTGAAGGGTAGCTCGAAAGACTGAGCGGACGGCAGCTCGAATTCCCTCGTGGCTGGCAATACGAGATTGGGATTTGCTAGAGCCGCGTAATATTGAATGATAGATGGATCGGCCTGACGTACGAAATCATCGGATAGTTCTAATGATCGTCGGTCTGAACTGGGTGCACTTGAAGCTGGAGAGCTGGATGACGTGCTGGTGGTGACGCTCCCCCGGCGTCCGAGTACGTCTGGATCACCAGGGACACCAGCGATGACGGATGGCCGACGCGATTGCGCGGCGTCTCTCTGCGCAGCTTGGAGGGAGTTTAAGGCACGCTCACGCAGTCTATGAAGGACAAGCTAGGAATGCGTCAGAAAGCATGCGGCCGTAAGGCTTGGACTGCATTACCATAGTTGCTGGGGGCCGACAAGGAAGCGAACCCTGTTCGTAAAGCACCATCCCCTGATCCAGTTCTTGCAACGCGTTTGACGCGAGAGTACATAGTGGACTATCCACCACTATGGCTCCGAGAACGATCTGTTTACCGCATAAGATGCATTGTCAAAATGAACTGCATAGACTTACGCATGCAGAAAAGATGGCCGACCAGAAGAACCACGTTCGATCCGTCGGGTGTGGGTGCACTCGATACAATCCCTTAAGGCTGGAGATCAATCGGCATGCACTGCGATATACAGCTAAGACAGAGGGCGCATATTTGTGCTTAAGGGGGTTGGCAGGGGCCTCTCGAACAGCCTGCACGAACCAGCTCCGATGGATATACAGCAGATCTGCCGAGCATTAGTCTATTTCTGATCCGAAGCACATTGATGCCAACTTACTTGCTTCCCTTTTACACAACGCACCATATTGCTGCATTGCCCTAGGGGCTTCTGCAGACCAAGCACGACCGGCTTCCGAGGCTTCCATTGGCGATTGTAGATGTGACGGCAGGTGAAACTTCCGTATCTTTCGGTCCAACTCGAGCAATGCGGAATAGCTTGGAGCACGCGTATTGAAAACATGTTGTACGGAGATCCCCAAACAGCTTGCCGAGTAGCGATACTTCCAGGCATGCCCTAAAATACGTAAAGGGGTTGGCATGAAATGCTTCGCGCAGAAAATAGTCAGATGAAACTTACACCCCATTTCGACCGCACCTGATGGTTTTGTCACAGTGTCGAGATCTTCTGGAAACCAGCAATCTGTGTGGTTGATGCTTAACGCAGGTGGGCGGCCATTGAGGATGCTCTTTGAAGCAGTTCGGTGAAACAGAGATCAATGAAACATGAAAGAACGCACCGTCCACGCGTCGACCGAGTAGATTTCCCAAAATAAGATGCGTCGCCTTTGTATTTCTTCGTGCCCTAGACCCCATCCTGCGTTATCGCGTTCTGTGATTCGTCCATCAGTGCGCGCCGCCGGTCTGGTGTGGGGATAAACTTACGTAGGCCGATCTATGGTTAAAAATTTGTCAGTTCTTTTGATTCTTTGAAACGGCAGCATTATACTCACTAATTGCACAACTCTTGCTACCACGCCCATCAGAAGCCACCTACCTTCATTGTTCGTACGGTCAGACTGGTAAATATGTCCGAAAGCCATGAAGAGAGCCTGTACGGTGGCGCAAGTAGCGTCTTGGTAGATCGGATCGAGGGATAATGCAGCGCGAGAAAGGGCATGATACTGTTCGGCGAGCACCCCTGAAGCAGACGATTGTTCGTAAAGGACTCCTGAAGCCAGCAAGATGAAAAACACGGAAAGTCGGTGCGAGTGGATGCTATTGATGTTAGGGGAACCAGTGTGACCGTATAATGGGGTTAGAATATTTGTCATGAAGTCATCTCGGACGATTGGGTCGAACCTAAGATTACGTGGGTGAATGAATTTCAGCTGCAACACGCGAAATAAGCTCACATCCATGCAACGTTTCGATAATATATGTCAGTAAGCTGCAGGGCTCGTTCACGTGGAGGGAGAAAAGGTAAGAAGAGAAATTTCGTGTATTGACTGTCCTTCAGACCGAAGGGGTATGCGTTGCAGAGATCGATGATCTCAAATGGAAGTCCCAAATATTTTGGGTCAGTGGGGACGCTCTGCTGTGGTGGATAACCATCAGGCTAATGTGTGTAATTTACATGAGTAAAGATGCCTTCTGAAATGTAGTTGAACACAAACCGGAAATAATGGTTGAAAGTACTGGATGGCGCATATAGTCAGCGGCTAGATGCAAAAGCGACCAGAATAGGCTGCCTCACCTCCGACCCAACAGATTCGCCGTGATATTTTGTGCGGCCATTGACATCGATCGATAAAGATCCGATGCTTTCTGATACATCGTGGACTTCATCATCGTAAATGGTGAGAAGCTCGGGAAGTTCAACAAGTTCGTTTGACTGGGAGGGTGTTTGCAGTAGAGGATGCGACTCGCTTCCACTACGATTGGATTTCTGAGATTCATCAAGTGCCTCTTCAAGCTCTTTGATTCTCGCCGTCATGGATTTAACCTGTTCTGACAGCCGCTGAGCATGGGCCATGAGAACCCTATCATAAAGTTAGATTCCGAGTCGGAGCTGAAGAATAGTAGCCGAGATGGACGCACTTGTTTCCTTTCGTGGCGGCGAGAGTTCCTAGGGCGTCGCGGATGAAATGAATGAAGATTATAAGAGCGAAGTGCTTACCCTCCGGACAGATATTCGCACATCCACGTCGTATACATGACTGGCACGGGAACACCCTGCAGAAGTCAGCTACTGAAGTGCAGATGGACTTGCTTATTGGGCTTACCTGTCGCACTTGAGCTTGGATCTAGACGAATTCAAGGTCAAGTGGGACTAGTGGTCACAAATGGCGAATATGACATACCGACGACATTCCGCGCAGGACAAACCGGACTTTCTGGCACCCCCTAGATTATCCATACTAGGAATGAGGCTCCTACTGCTCTCGGGGTCAATATTCATGATGGGACATATAAGGCGTTATGTCGTGAAGGTGAAGAAGATGTAGGTACTGTGATGGTAGGCATTCAAGAAGAAGGGTTGGCCGTGATTACCTGATTTCAGTGATGAAGCCCCCTTTCCTCTTCCTAGGGAGACGACTTGAGGTACTAGCCCGGAATTTCGCTGGTTATTTCCCGGAGGCATGAGCCAAAGCGGTGATGAAGACATTAGGAAGGGAAGAGTTACCGGGGTAAGGTGGAGTCAAGACAAGAACACGTCTCAGTTCACAAGAACTGGGATTTGAAATGTTGGACTCGGATGATCGACAGACTTATGCTGCTGGGTCCCCTGCATGCATCTGACGGGACTGGGCTGTGATACTATATAAACGCCTTGCAAACGCCCGTTGAGCTCATCCACATTTATCCTTACGGGACACTAACGTACTCCTCAACGTTCAACACGGCCGCCATCGAGCAACCAAATCGTCTTTTCCAGCTCTAGTCACTCATTTACCTCCGAGATCACCGTACTTGATTAAACTGGAGGGCGATTCAAGCCTATAATCTTACGTTCCCTCTCGATTCCACCGTGTACCACCATGACCCTGACAATCCCCTGCCTATCGCCCAATAATACCGTCGGTATCTTAGTACTGTTCTCGCCAATCCCTTAGCATCAAATCGTGGCATCAAGAGGTAAATTCAAGTATGTCACATTTAACCAAACTCTACACACGTAGTACCCTACGGAGGCGAGTAGCCACATCTGTGTCTATAAAAAAATTGTCAGCGATCGTCGGCAAGCCAATCGAGTAGGAAAGGAAAGAATCAGAAAAAGCGGGAGGATACTGCCAAAGCAGCTCCCCCGAAGGTAGCTGAGATAAATTTCTGCACCGCAGGGTGCGCTCCTGCTAAAGCCAAATGCCTCAAACATCATGTACAATACAAGTGAACCTAGACGGTTCAAAGAATCAATAGACAAGACTCACCATATGTATGTGCTCCGAGTTCAACGCAAGTCCACCGATTGAGTGAAGGTGATAAAACTACAAAATTTACTTGTGGGAAGATTTTATACTGCCGCCATCGCCTGGCTAACTCCGACAGGCTTCTTCCGGCGCTCACTGTATCATCGTCACGGTAGATCATGTCGACGCCAGGACCCTTTGCAGACTCGCCAACCGCTCAATCTCAGCCTTCTCCTTACACACATTACCCCCCGGGAACATTTCCTGATGTATCTCTGCAGCAGTCTTCCCAAACCACCACCACTACAGCCGCAGCCTCGAGCTCCTCCACAGCTGCAGCAAGTCAGCCACAATCGCGTCAGGCAGCCGAGGAGGCCCGCAAGGATCGAACTCTGGCTGAATTCCTAGTCATGCTCGATGATTATGAACCCTTGGTACGCGTGCAGCTCTCGTAATCCAAGTGGAGCTAAAAATCCTGTTCAGATTCCCAATGAAGTAACAGACTACTATCTCCAGAGGGTAGGATTTGAATGCGAAGATGTGCGGCTGTGAGTACCCTAGGATTTTTTCTGGTACGGTCTCATTACGTCCGTTTCACACAGAAAACGTCTGCTTTCCCTGGCTGCACAGAAGTTCGTATCAGATATTGCTGCCGATGCCTACCAGCATGCTCGTATACGTACGAACGCTGTTGGTGGCCGTGCGCGAGGCCCCCTCACTGGGCCAGGGTCTAAGGTACGTCATCGTTCTTCACCGCACTGCCTTGCGTAAAATAAAATGCTCCCAGGACAAAACAAGGACCGCACTGACCATGGATGACCTGAGTGCCGCGTTGGCTGAGTACGGCATTAATGCGAAAAAACCAGAATTTTATTTGTGAGCACGCAGAGGGGTCGCTTAGATTTATCGTTTTCACTATCACTTGTCCCAATGTATTTTAGATAGTAGCAAGCACCGTAAAAGCGGGAACACTATGAACTCGCATGGACTGTCTTCTCCTTGTAATCCGCGGATATCGGGTTGAAATTGACTCCCTCGCTTGTGAACGATTTCGTTCCTGTTCTTACTCTTTAGTGGCGACGCCCTTTGAATCGATGAACCTGCAATAGGAAAGGAGCTGCCTACGGTGTCTTATGGCCGCACTGTATCGTCGAAGAGGCGTACGCAGAACGAGTGCGATGCCAGCGCAGATGCTGACTGCAATTTCAACTTATTTGAACTTGACAGTTTCAATTTAGTCAAGGCCCTACATGCGCTTCACAGGCAGGAACCACATCTACAAACTCAGCCCCTCGTTCACCATTCTGCCCTAAACATTGCAGTACGCCGCAACCTTTAGCACTACGACCAAAATCACAACCCCAACCCTAGCCCGGCCCCCTCTGTGCTCTTGCTTGGAGACGATCGAATCCCTTGATCTGATTCTATTCCCTCCACTCTTCTGGGCCTTCTTGGTTGGAGAACCGTGCCCGCCGGGACTATCGCTTGCGCTTTGGATCTGAGCTCCATGTGATTTTTTTTCTTCACAGCGACAGGTGCTTCCAGCCTTACTGCAGACTTGCTGCATCTCGCACGGCTGAGCGCATTGCTAAAAATATAAGGGCATGGCGTCAATCAGCTGCTAGCCATTCTTAGGGGATACATCTCTAGATCACGTCCTTACGCTGGTCGTGGATGTTCGTGCGGCATGTCCCTATCTGATCGTCGAAGTTCAATTCATCCCTTGACCAACCAGCACCGTCCGTGCGCAGCGCAAGACCATTCCGATCCCAACGCGCAGAGATATACGCGTCAAATGTGGGCTTTTGGGCCAAGAGTAGACGAATGTCTCACCCCAAAGGAAAGAACGATCGGGAGACCCGCAAATTGCCTGTACAGTGGCTACGTTTAAATTCGACAGACCCTCCCCTACTAGCATGGGAGTCGTGGATAATCCACGAATGTGTTAATGTCACTTCCTCCTGACCACATGTTTCGTTCGCGTTGAGCTTGAGCCACAACATCGCAAGCTTTCAAACAAGAGTCGAACGACGGTCGCCCAGCCGTGTCGTATATCGACGGGCTAACTGCATGCATGACACGGTGCCACTAGCTATATACCTTCCACGTCCATGTTTTGTCCTTGGTAGAAGATGAGGCTGAGCAGTGAGAATAAGAGAAAGATCTGGACAGTGCCGTGCACCAGTCTTCCATGTATCGAAATCAATCATGTTTCACCTGTACACAAAAGAGCCATAAACAATCGGATCTGGGGACTAAAAGCTGTTAATATGTGCTCACCACCGTGCATGCACGAAAATGTGGAAAACACTGTCAATGAAAAATAATTTGGAAGACCTTTATATGGCGAAGGAAACCGAAGAGACTTGGGTTAGATGTGGGCAGGGGACCGCGAGCATTGGCCTTCGCGGTGGAGCTTCAGGTCGTAGGGGACAGAGAAGGAGGCCGATAGGTTGTTGTTGCGTCTTCGGGATTCGGTTGTAGGCCTGACATCGAAGGCTGCAGAGATGACAGGCTGCGCGTAGAGGTAGTATGGCAGTGGCCTTGGACCTCGTGAGAGGTGTAGTCGTAGGGGTCAGCGAGGGAGGCCGTTGTGTGCCTTCGGGATTGTGTCGTAGGGGACCTCTGACATCGAAGACTTGAGTAGTGTCGTCCGTCGTGGTTAGTGTATGGGGTCTCAGTCATGAAGACAAATAGCGGTCGAATTTCTGAGTTCCATGGTGGCCGTCGCCTGGTTCGGAAACGATAGTCGTGGCGATATCGATAGCATCGAGTGTTAAAGCTAGCTTCCTTGAAGAATAAGACTGCGGGGCTCGGACGGTACCGTTGAAGGCAGTAAAGGTAGAAATCATCTTTGCAAGCAGTAAATGCTGTTACGCGTAAATCTAGAAAAATGACGGACGCTGAATGAGAGGGACAATAATATTGGTGACGGGCATTGGACGGGCGAGCATGACGCGTCAGTCACGTGTGGAAAACCGTCCCGCCAGTTCAGTGTGCTACTCGATTCTGAAATATGATTCAGATAATGCTTGGTGTTTTTCGTCGTGAAGAAGTTGACTGAGAATGGGCATGATTAATGAGTTCCATATAATTTACCAAGGCTAGAGGTATTCGTAACTTGATCACGAATAGTTGATCAGATACACGACATTCGAAACAATGTCTGCTAGGGAGGCGCTTGCGTTAAATGTCAAGGAAAATCCTTAACTCAAGCTAGAACGAATCCAAGTGAAGCCTTTGGATGATATTATCGACGTCAGATAAGCTCGTCTCCTTCCGAGCAACCTCGAGGAAAACCTCCCTTTCTTCTCCACCGACACTGTCCCTTTTTGAAACATGCCAGTGTTGCGGGTGTTGACCTCGAGAAAAAACTTCGGTGATATGCGGTTCCCTATTGCAAAGCCGTTAAAATTATTTTTCGAATAGAAAAGGTGTAACACATACTGTTCTAATAGCTGCTTTCCGTTATATAGGTAATCTGACTTCGCGAAGAAGTCGGGACTGGCTGCAGTAAAGTCGCCAAAACTAATCAGATGATTGTCTTTGGGCTGCAAAATCTTCGTCGCCGAAGGGAAGGTCTCAGAGGCCCTGCAATGTATCTATGTGAGTCCTGCTCTTCTGCTTCAAGTCCTGTACATACCGTGTCGCCTCCGCAATGATAAGGTTCTCAACTTCCTCCAGCAATTGAGATGCAGCTTCAGATATGATATGTGTATCATAGTCTTCTACATTATCAGCGTCCGATATGAGAGCCACGGCCAAGCTTTGATACTAGTAAAGCAATGTAAATGCAAGGAAGAATGAGTACGAGATGGTGCTTACTCTTAGATGTATAACTTGCCTTCGGTGAGTCTCCAACGGGTCACCGCTTTCAGCTAGAAACACGAATGTACAAGCAAAATCCAATTGACGATAATGAACTGGTTTCTCGGGTTCAAGAGAGGATGTGGATGAGTCATCTGCGGGAAGCGGCGACGGGACTCGCGAAGGTCGTGGAGTGTCTCCGCTGTGGTCTGCCTCCGAATCCCCTTGACGTGCAGCATCAGGATCTGTGCCAGCTAATCCATCATTTGCCTTCTCTAGCAGGCCATGTATATCGGTGGAGGACATCGCATCCTCCAAAGCAACCCTGTCAACTTCCGTCACAGTGCTCGTACTTTCGGCCACGGAGGGATCAGGCTTAATTCCTTCTTGTCCTGCTACCAGCGTTTTTCGTTCAGCACTCTTCCCAAAAGTTAACGCCCCAGGCCAACTCCAGTTCCGAACCCCCATAGTCATGGCGAGACTAGAAGGCATGCCCAAGAACCCGCTGGAGGGGTTACCGCCAGAAACGACTTCTTTGGCTGCAGTGCTTGTAGTCGCTCCCTTTTCAGCGGGTGAAGAGGCTTCTGGGCGATCATCCGCGTTATGCCGTGGTAAGTGAGGTGGAATCAGAGAGAGAAGGTGTCGCGAGAGTGCGGGCGGATGATTAGATTGTCTGTATCTGGTAGACGGAACTACATGAGGAGGAGAAAGAAACAACGCGTCCAGTCCAGCTGGTAACTGTGACGAAAAGGTATCCAATAGAGGTAGAATAGAGGGGTATAAGGGATGAAGGGACAATCCTAGGTCAAATCAATAAATCAGCTATAGATGCGAGAAGTCCAGACGTGCGACGCACCTAGGTCATTGCTCAACTCAAAACTCTTGCTTAAATCCCAGGACCACGCCCATACAGTAAAGAACCGTTCTAGCTGCAATTCTAATGCTTCTTGCCCGAGGGAAATCAAGATCGAAGTGAAAGACCCGTGCGTGAGTTTGAATTGCTCGTATCCCCGGAGGAAGTGCGCATGAAGTGCATAATCGTGAAGCGAGCCGTCGTGATAGTCGTAAGAGGGTAGCAGAGCACTTGCTTGCTCTTTCTCTTTGCCCTTTCCGTTACCCTTGCCCTTGCCCTTATTGGATTTAGGCGCAAGCGTCCGCGGTGATTTTGAAAGCTCTACCGCCTAGCAAAAACTAGGATAAGAGGGCTACAACATATCGAGAGTCGGCGTACTGCGTGAATCCAGAAGTCAGGTTCGGGGTTGAGCATTATCATCCTTCTCGACTGAGAATGTACATTGTGGCAAGAGTCGGTCGGATGGAATATCCTGCTGGATAGTAAGCGTCTTTGCGCGTGAAGGCAAACCCGGGACTCCTACTCAGAGAAATTGACGAGCGCCTTGGCGAGTCCGACCTGCCTAAGCATCTTGTCGCGCGAAGCAGCGCGTTCTTGTGAAGTGTAGAACAATATCTGTGCTTGCTCTTCTGCATCCTCGTCGTCTTTGGACACCTCTTCATTGGGACGTAAAGTCGGGTTATAAATGGTGAGATAGAGCAATGCTGGATGAATCCTGCTCATGTAGCAAACCTTGGTTATGGTGGAACGGGGGAAACAGAGCTTATTGTGAAGGTCAACTTGAGTGGGTATCACCCACGCCCACGATGCAAAGGTATCCGGCAGAAAACATTCTAAGTAGTAACTAATTAAGATACGGGATTATGCAGGTAAATTACAACTGGCGGCTCTATAATCGTGGTATTTCGTCAAACGTCCATGCTATCATCAACGCTCTTCTTCTGCGAATTCATGTCGGAAAATGGGTTCATGTCGGAATCAGAAACCGCTGGTGAGGGTAGAATGTTCTGACTACTGCCAGCCCAAGAGTTAATGTTTGCGTGATCGCGGAATAGCGAACTGCGTAGGGGTTCTTCGTCACAGTCAAGTTCCACCTCGACTGAGGACGTCGGAGAAGCCCTTGCTGACGGGTCAGGGAAATCAAACTGCTGAGACGCAAGTTCGAGAGGACCAAGACCAAGACCGTCATCAGCGATCAGATCATCGCTCTGCGCCTCCAACGTTGCCGGATCACCATCATCAAGGGGAGGTGGTGACGATGTAGGAGTTGACCTCGTGTTGGATCGCGGCGTCAGGTACCCAGCACTACTGTGCTGTTGCGTGAGGGGAAAGGGAAAAGGAGCTGCGCCGCTTTCACTGGGTGGTGTTGGAAGCTGCACATCCTGTGCTGCATCGTTCTCTGCTTCCACTTCGGCGGCAGCCTTACGGCCAGCTTCCTCTATCTTCTCGTTACTCTTGCCCCCCAACGGAGCGCTACTTCTACGCTTATAGAACAACAGGTAGGCGTTGGAATTCTTTTAGAAAAGATTGTCAGATGGTGCCAAAGAAAACAGAATAGAGGTTAAACTTACCACTGCATGACTGGCGTCAGAGCGAGTGACATACGAGTCATCAAAATGATACCACTGCTCCGTCACATGGTTGAGGGCATACGCGCGATAGTGCCCACCACCAAGTCCCCCAAGATGCTCATCGACGGCATAGAGATCATAAATGAGAGGCTCTTCTACGTCTTTGATGCCAAGATCGTTGATGTCGACTCCACTCTGCGCAAGCCTGGTCCCCACTCGCCGTTCACCGACGAGAGCAGTAAGGTCGAGACCCTCAATAGGGAAGTCGACGAAGGTGTCGATCTTATCGCGAAGCGCACGGCTGTTGCTGAAACGCTTAAGGTGCACAGCAAGGATATCCGGGACCTTCCAAAGGTCGAACTTCTTCGTAGCTTGCTGGTGTTTCTTGCAACGCGGGCAGTACCACAAGTCATCTTCACCCAACTGCTCCTCCTTCATGAACTCCGTCAAACAATCATCAAGCGTTATCCCTTTCGTCTTCTGTGCTGCGGCCGCCTCTTTGGCCTCCAGGTACTCAGGGTGCACGAAAGGGAACCACTCATCCCACCGCGAGTGCTCGATCTGCGAGGTGCCGAAATAGTACGCCTTCATGTTCTCATCGAACTCGCAGAGAAGAGCGTCACCCTCCTTCAGTAATGGAGCACCCGGTTCGACATCTTCGATACGTGTTTCCCATTGCTCGGATCGGCCGTTGCTGGAACCATAGCCACCTGCGGTGTAATCCTTGTAGCCAGTATAAAGGCGCAAATCGAAGATGCCTTGTTTCGTGCCAGTCATGTAAGTGCCAGGTGCCATCCCAGACTCATCGTCAGCGTAAATTCGCTGATCTGCGATATCGCCTTCTATGACCATCCCGTCCACTTCGCTAACGTCGCCGTTCTCCTTGATCTCTGTGAGGGAATCGGAGACCGTTGAGATAGGGATCGTGACATCATCATTGGGAGAAGGATCGGTCTGCCAGGTAAATAAGTCCCTCTCGTGGACCGTCCATGATTGTAGGCGTTCGATGATAGCATCATACATGCCCCTCACGGATCGTGCTTGGTCTCTCGCGACCACCACAATGAATGGAAGGCCAAAGTTGTTGGTACTACGAGAATAATTGGAGTAGGCAGGGCGAGGAGGGACCGCGTCCGCCAAAATCACAGGAATGATAAAAGGATCAGTGTCTTTCGGCTTGTACGAGCGACTCTGGCGCGAATGACAGGGCAGTTCGAAACAGAAAATCTGGTCATTATCGGCCATATCGCCACACATGACGCTATCATCGAGATTCTTGTAGAAACGGTGATTAAACACCTCGATGGTTAGCAACTGGAGCGCAAATGATCAGCAGAGGGGTCCCAATGGTGTGTGAGTGTGCACTAACCCTTTTGGGCTTAGCTCCCATCCATCGACCAAGCAGATTCTTGAGGTCTTTGAACGAACTGTCGCGACCAATCTCGACGGGGACCTTTTGATACGTTGTGTTTAGTAAAACGAATGTAGGATGGGACCAAAATCTTACCTTCCTATGAGGCTGGGACGGGTCCCAAGGAACGTAATGAACAATGTGCCACCACTTCTTGTTTACGGGCAGAGGAAGTGTGAGATACATGAACGGATCGAATGTGATAGAAACCTGTGAAAACGATATTTAAAAACGGAGGGTGATAAAGCTTTGCGCAATACGTACTTTCTCACACTCAGGGCACACCAGAGTGCTCTGGTATTGGCCTTGGAAGAGGTCGACGATTACGCTATCGTTGCGCTTCATGTATCCGTCCCATGATGTTTGAGCTAACTTGGCCAATTCGAGATCACGGCCTCCTTCCCAATCTGGTTTCTCGACGTAAGGCTTTTTGAGGACGCGATTAAGATCCTCGTGTAGCCCATCCAGTAGGAACGCAACCAGCTCCTGTGAGTCATGCTGCTGATATCCGCTAAATTGTGGGGCAAATCTCTGCAGCTGCGACTTGAATTCGCGCGGCGAGTACGAAGTGCTTGTTGAGTCCTGCGCCCAGATACGATGCAAGAGGAGTCCAAACGCCTCTGCGATAGCACCGTTCATGCCGAGCGGGTTGTCGGGGTTGAGTTCCTCTTGATAGACACCAGCTATGATATGATGATATTAGCGTTACTGACTAGCATCCGAGGCAAACACTGACAAAGAAAATAATCCGTCAACTCTTTTGTATGCGCGAGGCATTGGAGCGCTGAGTTCATAAAGCAAGTATTTCCCCTGTGCTTGTGTCAGTGGATCGGCTGCTATTTGACAACGAGGCGTACATGTTTCCCAGACCAAGAGTGCCCGGTTCTTGGATAATCTTACTGCTACCCTTTGAAAACCCGAATGACTTGAAGGGAGCGACAGATGACTCCTTCGCCTTGGATGAAGAGCCTCGCCGCGACGGCGACGGCGTGCGAAAAGGCTGAGTACTTTGATATGCTGATGTACGTTGATTGCTCAGACGGCCGAAGAAATCGTTCTCGTTGCTAAAAAGGGGTGGTGGTACGTGTACGTGTACTGCTGAAGGTGGAGGTGGTCGCACGACTTGAGATGCATCAACAATCCAAGCGCCATTCTCTTGAAATTCGACCACAAAAGGATCTTCATGTTCTATCATGTTGTCCTCGACTGTCCTGTCGGTCCCCTCACTCACTAGCTCTGCTCCCCACGAACCGAGTTTCGATGCAGGAAAATGAGAACCGGGAAATTCACCGGGTTCGAGCTTCCAGATTCTGTAAGGAACGTTACTGCGAGCGGTGACAGCAGAGAGGAGTGCCTTGGACAGGGACTTCATGGAGTCTTTGATAGAGACGGTGGCATAGGAATGTGGGGGTCCTGTGATTTCAGCATCGGGACCCAAATCTTTGAGTACCAAGACCTTGAGACGCGGGGGACGAAGTTCCAAAGCGGACTGCAAGAAGGCCTTGGCAATGACGGATCGCGGGAGGGGATTTATCGGCTGACCATACCTGAAAGGATATGAAGAAGTGAATCAAAGAAGTCGGAGAAGTGACACGTACCAAGCCACGAGCTCGGACCAGGCTTCTTCTGGTAAGAACTGGACGTCGATGTGTTCGACTAGACTCGAGGTAAGATTTCCTTGTGAGTCAAATAGAGAAGAGTTGTCTGGTGGACCGATATCCTTCTCCTGCAATGAGTCGAGTGACTTGTCTGACAAGATTCCGCAAGCGATCTCCCAGGGTCTGAACCATTGACGAGATATGATATACCAAGTGTCGCCAGGGACCATAGGTTTGTCACGTAGGTACTTGATGCGCGCCACTTTCTGTTCGATGGTGAGGGGACATATGGGTTGAACTTCATCTTCGCCCTGTTCTGCCATGTAAGCATCAATTTCAATATCGTGGTCTCTTGCAGTATCAATGGAAGATATAGTAGGATCTGTCATGATAGGGATGGATGAAGGACCTTCTGAAGCAGAGCGCTTTATGGAAGATGAAGAATCTGATTGCATAGATTGGGACCGCTGTCTCTTTCGACCTGCGGGAATCAATTCAGTTGGTTTTAAGGAAGGTGATGCTGCAGGTGATGGCAGACTCATGACATTTAAATCAGAAACCCACTCGACCAACAAGAACGCGTATGTAACTCTTATTTTCCCACGGGGGATACGGATCGACGTCGTAGCCGCGTCGAGTCACTGTAACCCTATTACATGTAACTCTGGCCATGAGCCCTACTAGGTAAGTACGCCAGAATATGGACTCCATCACGTATTGTTGACTGGCGCTTTGCAGCCATCGCGTGCATACGTGATGCTCCCCTCGATACTCACACGCATTCGCCGACAATATGATCAATGTACGGACACCGCAGTACACCAGATACGTACAGAAGCAAGTGTATCTCTTTGATATTCGCTTTTCGCTTCACGGAACATGCTTCGGCAATAGGTTGCAGCAACATGTGGCGCTCGAAAACTTTTGAGGTTGCTATTACGAAGGCGCTACCAGGAGGGCAATGTGTCACTCGATACAAATGATTCATCGATTGTGCCGCTATAGCCAGACTTTGAATGGGCCCGATGATCCGACAATCTTCCGGTTCCAGTCACGTCGTAAATCAATTCAATTCATAGATCGGCTCTGCGCTGATCAGCACTCCTTACACGCTCTATGCTCGACCTACAGCCATATATGTGACAGACAAGGTGTAGCCGAATTTTAAATGGGGCTCTACCTTGCACAACCTGGCATTCTTTCGGGTTTCAGTATCCGGACTCAAAAGTAAGTCCGCTCTCTTTTCTGAAGTGAGAATCTAATATAGGCTAGAATGCCACCTTTGAAAAGGCGGCGAACACATAAATGCTGAAACTTCCCAGGCCGCGTCATCAATTCAAAATTTGGGAAAGAGAAATGCGTGAAGAAACATGTGCTCCCCAGACAGACCTGGTCGCAGTCCATGCGAAACTACACAACTTACGCTCCTACATTCTTGCCAATAGAAAAAATCTCGCATTTCCATGCTGTTTTCCCCTCAACTCAGACCAGGATGACACCAATTACAACCAAGATGCGATAACCATCCGCACCTACCGGACCCCCGAACTCGCCCACTTAGCGATGGGGCACCTAGCCCTAACCCACACACGCGGATTCGCCATCGTAACTTGGGACCGAAGCCTATCTTTGACTGGGACTCTGATCCCACTCCCATTCTAGAATCCATTACGATCAGCGACTCTACAATTCCATGTCGTACTTTATTCAACTTCAAAACCCCAGCATTACACAAGCTCATCCTGGAGGATGTGGAGCTCGACAGTGAAACAAAACCCTTCGTCAAAGATGTCACACGCCTAACTATGCCAACTATTATTGATTCCGACATCGTCAATGTTCTGCAGGGATTGTCGTCCCTGCAAACCCTTGTACTGTACCTTGGTGAATCTGATGATCCCTTGCCCATCATAATCTTGTCTTCTCTGACTTGTGTCAGGCTGGAGCTAAATTATTTATTGGGCGACCGCATCGAAATGCTCTGATATTCAGGTGATGACCCTTGGCTCGTCCTGAGATGCAAATGAGTAGGCTAGGGTTGGACCACCTGAATAATTGCAATGATAGTATCTAAACAAACGGAATTTAATTGCTGGTCCGGGGGAAAAGGTGGTGTTCGAGGGAGAGTAGGATGTGGAAACTGTGAAGATCGTACGGATGGCCACCCAGGATACGATGTCCAGTTGGGTCAACGATGGGTGTCATGCGACGAAAGTGAGCGCCGCTTGACTGAGTCGGTCGCAACGAGGTGTTTGAAGATAAGGGAGGCTCATGACTACATTTGAAACCGTGTTCTTGATGGATTCGTGCGATCCGTAACCAAAAAGACGGAAAAAATTTAAGTGGGAGGCAAGAGGCGGGGTGAATGAGATATCAAGAAAACTGGGAGGATGAACCTCGATGGCAAGATCTGTCAGGGATGGCACCAACAAAATGTCGAGGGGGGGATTGTCTTCGACTGTTAAGTGGGTGTAATGAAGGCGCCGCAACTTTTGGGAAGGGCCGCGAGTGTCAGAACCCCTTGGCGGTCATGCATATATAAGGATTGAGTGTCTTATGTCGCCAAGTCGAGGTGAAAGATTTGAAACAGCATGGGGACTGCGAGGTAATAAGGACTTCACAAGCGGAGTCCTGCCTTCAAAACATAAGGGGAAAATGGTGTTCAAGCTTACACTTTCAGATCAATGTTAAAATGATAATCGCCATCATACATGCACGAAAATAAAGAGCCTAGTGTAACAAGTTCAATGAAATAAGGATACATCGCGAGGAGTCTATAGTGAAACTAAAGTCCGTGTCGTACAGTAACGGAGAATACAAATCGAAGTAGATCTCTATGTAGAGAATGAAAGATACATGCTAGAGAGGCAAGTCCGGGATGAAACTGAGTGAGTTCGTGCCAGTAAAAGAAGAAACAAATGTAGAAAAGGAAATGAAGGGAATAAGTACATGCAGAGATAAGTCATATCGAAAATGAGTCCCGCTGTCCGTCTCGTACCCGGAAGAAAATAAATCGAAGGTCACTATATTGAGGAAATGAAACACGGTCAGAGATGAGAGAATGAGTCCAATGCCTGTCTTGTACCCGTAAAGAAGAGAGAGAAAATCGATGATGTAGAGAAGGGAACGAAAAATGAAATATACATGCCAGAGATGAGTCCATGAGTCGTACCAGTCGAGGGAAATACAGATCGAAGAGGTAGTAGAGAATGAAACGAAAATCGGATTGCTTTGATAGATGTGTGCGTGGCCGTTGCCGTGGCCATAGAATGTCGCATAGTAGGGGATGGTGAAGAAGCCCGAGTAGTGTGTCGTCGAGATTCTGTCATAGGGGACATCTGACGTCGAAGATGCGCGAAATGGTGTGCGCGTAGACTGGTAGTGGCCTTCGACTTCTTGGGCGGTGAAGCTCCGGGTCGTAGGGGACAGAAGGAGGCCGTCGTCCGGATTGGTCGTAGGGGACCTGACATCGGAGACATGGTGTGCGTACGTTCAAGTTGTATGTGAGCGCGGAGGCGGCCTTAAAACACTTGGGCTGGTGGGCTCCAGGTCGTAGGGGATAGTGAATATGTCTGGGTCCGCGTTGTCGATTTGGTCATAGGCTGTCGAAGTAGGGTGCTAGTAGGAGCGAGAGGCTTGAGTCGACTAGCTGCGTGCTTCGTAACCAGAATTAGAGGTTTCAGCTTTGAGGTGGAAGACGGGCGATCGGAGAGAGAGAGCGCCTGCACACGAGTAGTTATCGTGTTGCGGTTGCTGACTAGAATGAGTGGTCGAAGCTTAGTAGCGAGAGGCTTGAGTCGACCAGCTGCGTGCTTCGTAACCAGAAATAGAGGCTTCAGCTTTGAAGTGGAAGGCGGGCGATCAGGGAGAGCGAGTGGCTCCATGCTTCGAGTAAAGGCGTCTATGGGGCATCTAGGAAGGGGGACGCCAGGATCGCTAGCCTGAGGTCGACTATCAGAGAGAGGGCGCGCCTGCATACGTCGGGTCGATGCGCCCACAGGATATGCGAGTTCAGGGAGCGGAGGATACAAAATAGTAGTTGTCGTGTTGCGGTTGATGACTAGAATGAGTGGTCGAAGCTTGGATGGGCGAGGCGGCTGAGGGTCAGAGCGATCGTCCTAGAAACTCAAACATCAGGTAATGTGGAAATTGAGGCTACGCTGTGTCTTATCTCCCAGTCGTGGACAATGCTTTGGTCATGAAACGACTTACAGTCATTGGTGATGAAGTCGTTGTCGCAGGGTAGGAGTGTGATGTTGGAATCAGTAGACAGACGTTTGCAGTAGAGGTTTGGCGAAGTGAGATTGATGCAAGGCGTACAAGTACAGGTGATTGGAGCGGATATTGTTTCCGTTGATGCGATTACATGCGAAGAAAATGGAGATTGAGACGGAGATGGCTGTGATTCGATTAAACGCGATGGAGATGGAGACGGAGATGGCTGCGATTCGATTAAACGCGATGATGGAGACGGAGGTGGCTGTGGTTCGATTAAACGCAATGATGATGGAGCTGGAGATGGCTGTGATTCGATTAAACGCGAAGGAGATGGAGGCGAAGATGAAGATGGCTGCAAATGATGTAGTTCGACAGTATTAGGTGTAGCGGAGGCGGTGTTGTCATTATGGGATGGAGGACTAAAGTCGGCGTCGGCGTCCTTCGGAGCGGCGGGCATGTCCTTGGCGTCCTTGCTGAGAATCCTCTGTGCAGCTGCGTCGGCGGCGAGAACAAGCGTGATGGTCGACATGCAGACAGAGTATGCGATGAGGCCAGCAGAAACCTTCTCTGCTTCGGACAGGACCTGAGCGGTATTGTCGACGACAGTCCGTTTGAAGCAAGAGACTGTAAGAAAGCCAGTGACGGCGACGCGGGCAGTAATGGTCATAATGGAAGAGATCATAATGGTAGATGCTGATTAAGAAGGATGAAGATCGTAAGAATATGCTGGTACGCGTAGAAGAGGGGAATCGCTGAACTGAGATTGATATGCAAGGGCACGCTGTATATATATACCCTGGAATATTAACGTTTGTGGCGCGGACGATAAACAAACTGAGCTCGATCGCGACGCGTTCGTCACGTGTTTATAAAATCAACCAGTATATAACCTCGCGTACACGAGTAGCTGAAGTTCCCTATGCCATGAGTTAAAAGAATTAAAGCAGGTTGCATACGCCGGCGTCTCCAGGTGTCCCGGCGCCCTCCACCAACATGCCGTTTCTGCCAGTCATTTTAGCGCACAAGTCCACAGTAACCCACGCGGAACCCTGGTGAGTATGATGATGTTTTGTACGCTCGTCGCTTCCTGCGGTCATCGAAGTAACGACCAAACTCGCGGCGTCGGCCATCTCGACGATCACCGAAATGTTCTCTGTTTCTGTCTCCTCCTCTATCCCTGTGGCCATGGCCATCCCTGTCACGGTCCCTGTAATCGCGGTGTCCTTCGTCACGCCTCCGGCGGTCGCGTTCTTCACGGAAGCTGTGCTCTAGAGAAAGAAGAAAACCATGGGTAGTAAGTAATGTGTGATGCTGCTAGCGGGATCAGCAGTTCGGCGAGGAGGGTGCATTTGCCGCTGTACGGTAGCTAGCTAAAAAGGAAACACGGGGCAAAAACAGGACGATTCTCATGAGACCATGAGCCTATCGTCTTTCGCAGGAAAAATTCCAAGCAAAAGGTGAATCGAAGAACGAGTACCTCCAGCGTTGCCTCTCGAGGAATACAAGTCGGCTTTTTAACGTACTCGTGAAAATGACGCATGAAGAATGGGAGACCAAATTGAACATAACAGAGTCGTCGACTCACGTGGACGAGCCATCTACTACGTCACGGGCCCATATCATGAGCTTGTTACATGTAAACTCTTTCTTCCTTCCCACCCCGCAGCTATCATGGTCGTACAAAGTAAGGCCTCGTCAATATCATGTCATTGTAATACTCAGCCAACTTTGAGCGCAGGCAAGCATTTCCTGAACACAGCACCCTCTCTTGTGCTCGATTCCTTAGAAGGACTGTGTGCAATCAATACACATCTAGCTCTTGATCCGGTTCATAGAGGTGACACTGCCAACCAGTGACCAGGGTCCTTTGCTTAAACAAGATCTAGTCGTGTATCTTGCTGATCAGGACCGCTCCAAAGTTGCCCTCCTCTGCGGAGGTGGCTCTGGACATGAGCCATCGCACTCAGGTTTTGTAGGTAAGTAAGCCCTCACATCATTACATCCCAGAATGCGTTGACGTGGATGCAGGCCAGGGGGCTTTGACTGGTAAGCAGAATAACTCTATACTAGTACTTTGTGCGGTCGTGACCTAACCTACATTCATGAAGCTGCCGTGTGCGGCAATGTTTTCGCCTCTCCAAGCGCTGGTCAAGTTCGCCGTGGAATAGATCTGATTGACAACGAAAAAGGGTGATTTCATCGTTACGGCTGTAATCTCATTTGCTAACAGTGACTGCGTTTGTTAAGCACCATCATTGTAGTAAAGTACAACTCATCGCGAACTCTTGGATCATATTCGCTCACGAGTCTTCTAGAAATTACACCGGCGATGTCGTCAATTTTGGTCTAGCCAAAGAAGAGTATGCGGCCCGTCACCCCGAAAAAGCTGACCGCGTCAAGTTCGTCATCGTAGGAGATGACGTTGCTGTAGGAAGAACCCAAGGCAGAATTGTCGGAAGACGGTGTGAACATCTCTCCAAATTCCAATACATTACCTGAACATCCCATAGTGGTCTCGCTGGTGTTTGTCTTGTCTACAAAATTGCAGGTGCCTTTGCCCAAACGGGCGCCTCTGTAGATGAGGTCTATGATGTCGCCCAGTACGTTTCCACTAGGCTCGGCACTATAGGCGTTGGTCTGGACCACTGTCATGTACGAGTCAACGTTTGGATATTCAGGACATCATTGTATTCATGATACACCATCGCTTCATGCAGGTCCCCGGCACCGCTGTTCCCGACACACATTTAGGTGTAGATGAGCTCGAAATCGGTCTCGGAATTCACAACGAAAGTGGTCACCGCCGCATCTCTCCTGTTCCGCCTCTCAATGAACTCATCCCCACTCTCCTCGAAATGATCACTTCCACAACGGACAAAGAGCGGTCTTTCGTTCCCTTCAAGAACGACGGCACAGACCGTGTCGTTCTCCTCGTCAATAACCTCGGAGGTCTCAGTGAACTCGAACTCGGCGGAGTAGTCGCTGAAGTGAGGCGTGCGCTAGACAAGTCTGGAATTAAAATTATGCGCTTGCTTTCTGGCTCTTTCATGGTTTGTTGAAACCCTCTGAGTTTGCTAGAATTGATGATAAGCTCCTGCTAGACAAGTCTCAATATGCCCGGATTTTCAATTACTACGCTCCTGCTCCCTGCCGCAAATGATATGGGAACTCCGTCTGTCGATCTTATCCTTTCTTTACTCGACGACAGCACCAACACCCCAGGATGGAAGTGGTCCTCCAGGTCTGTCCCAAAGCCACCATCCGTCTCTCCGTCCCTCCCGGCTGTAACCCACACGAAAACCTGGCCAGCCTCACTCAAAGCCCCCGATGTCAATCAATTCAACAACGCCGTAGGGCGTGCATGCCAGGCCCTCATTGCTGCTGAGCCCGGGATTACTCGCATGGACATCATCGCTGGTGATGGGGACTGCGGACTTACCCTCAAAGGCGGCGCTACAGGTACTTTGCGATAAGATAATGATATCCATGCATGCTCATTATATACAGCTGTGCTTGAGGCTTTGAATAAGAACAGCATCTCCGGTAACGACGTGCTTGGCAGCGTCATCACTGTCTCTCGTATTGCTGAGGAAGCGATGGGAGGAACGAGCGGAGCCCTCTATTCGTGAGTGAAATACCTTCCAGTCTGATTCCTGTCTCATAATTTCTATGCATCAGAATCTTCTTTTCTGCCCTCGCTCAATCGCTCGCTAAAAGCTCCTCCGAGACCGCCACACAAGAAGTGTGGTGCACGGCGCTAGAAGCTGCTCTAGCTCGTTTGTACACTTACACACGAGCACGTCCTCCTTCTCGTACTCTTGTCGACCCTCTCTCTGCGTTTGTTCGTGCGCTGCCATCCGGCCTTGCGGCCGCCGTAAAGGCCGCCGGAGAGGCTGCTGAAGGGACGAAAGACATGGAGGCGAAGGCTGGAAGGAGCGCATATGTCGATAGCACAAAACTGAAGGCCGAGCGGGTCGCTGATCCTGGGGCGTGGGGCGTGAAAGTTGTGGTGGAGGCACTAGCTCAGTAATTGTATTCTAGGCATCTCAGGCATCATACGGGATTGATTTTACAAACACATGACTGACGCAGTCACCATCAAGTCAGCTGTTCGTAGGGATGACCGGATCTTGAGTCGAAATCTTGATGATTGCGTTATGACTTCCATAGACCAAGATCCTCGTTATGTTAGATTTGACCATAGTCATCTCCCGACATGAATTGACCACTCCACTGTTGGACATGAACCCTGACATCCAACGGAAAGGCTAAGTCAACTGTCATAACTGATGATGCATAATGACGAAATAAATTTTTCGTTTTCATAACACTCCCAGCCCTACTGAGTCCTTCTTTCTATGTACACTCATGTGTCTCGCAAGTTGGTCTGGCCTGGCGAAAGACTTTCCACACCCATCCTCAGGGCAAGGGTAAGGGCGTGCACCTGTGTGCGTTCGTAACTAGAAACATGGTCTTATTCAGAAGCTAGACCTGGGATGAACACAACGGAGCCTACATGTTTTGACAGATTCGATGACTCAGTGAAGGCCCTAAAGACAAAATCATCAAGCACTTCAACATCAAAAGGAAGAGACTCATACTTTTCGCAATACTTGCACTTGAACGGTTTGACACCATTGTGCGTCCGCTTGTGAATCGTCAGTGCACCCGTAATAGCAAACGCCTTGCCGCACCCAGGGAAATCGCAAACGTATGGTTCTACAGTGCCCAATAAGTTGCTAGTCAAACGCGAAACGATGGAAATCAGAAAGAGTACATACTCTCTTGGGTATGCCTCCGCATATGCTGCTGCAGCGTAGCCGTTTCCGAGAAATGTGCATTACAGACTTTACACTTAAATGGCCTATGTCCCGTGTGCGACTGCATGTGTCGTGCGACTTTTTGTTTGCTTGAAAATCCTTGAGTGCCATTCCGAGAGCAACCCTCCCAGCAACACTCGTAGTGCGCTTTACCACTGCCGATGTGGGCGGCGAGGATGTGTTTTGTAAGGTCATCGGGAGAAGAGAACGTTTGCGTGCATCCACTCCATTGACAGGGTTTGATGGCGTAGTCTGTGGACGGGGAGTCTGGCGGACAGGACTTCCGAGGTGAAGGATCCGAAGGGGCATCTGCGGGTGATTCGTCATGGGCAATATTTTCCATACAAGTTGGAGGGATTTTCTGTGGTGGTGCAGTATGCACGGTCGTCGATTGCAGGAAGGGGTAGTTTATGCCAAGATGATCTTGCATCAGATGCGTGGTAAGAACGTTGAGGACAGTATCCGTAAATGCAGTCGTCGAAGAGCTTGAAATTGATTCTGGACTGGGGTACATAGCGCAGTCTCCCCAGTGGCACGACAGAGCGTTGGGTTCGAAATGTTGATTCCGAGGAACATTTGAGCATACCTGCTGAGAGGCTGATTCCTTTGTTAGATTTTGGGGACGAAGATGGTCCAAGTTGACATGCCCGACTAGCTCCGTAATGGTTGGGAAGGTAGCTTTGCAGTCTGCCCACAAACAATTATACATCTGCGGCAGGTTTTGTGGTAGGCTGACAGGTGTGAATTGAGTAGCCGCCTGGGAAATGGGTGACGCAGAAAACGCTGAGCTAGATGACACTGGGTGTTCGGGAGATACGTCACCCAAAGGGCCGGCTATGCCACTGTGTTCTGACAAGAATTGGGATATATGTTGCTCGCCGTAGTCGGTCTCGTCGCATCCACAAAAATCATCTGCTGACTGCGGGTTCCAGTTCGACTGTGTGAGACTTGGGTCAAGGGACTTTGGCTGAGACAGATAAGAATGGTAGTCGGTACAGCATTTCAGCTTAAAACGAGAGCAATTAGAAAGCGCATGGAACACAAGATATAGCTTACCAATTCTTCAAGTCCAGAACAATCGACGCAATCCTCATTAGGGAGGCACGGGCTGTCGCAGATGATGTCATCGTCAGCGACATGGCAACTGGGCTCAGGGTGGGTGGGATCGTTACAGGCGACGACGACACACTGGTCAGTGCATTGTGATGTCATCTCTAGTATGGGGCATGCCGCTTCTTTGCATTGATTCATAGACCCTTGTGGACAGTGGGAGCACGGCGGATAAAGCGGGTGCGACGAATCTTCACGATTCATACCAACGTCAAACCCAGAAAGGTCAAAAGGGTCGTATGAATGGCTATGGAGCTGCATGGACAGATAATTGTTCCTTGTCCGCAGATCAGAAAGATTGTGGTAAGGCGGGCTGATCGTCAGCGACGCCGATGGCGACAAGCTAAAGCTGTATTTATGTGGTGAATACCTGGAAGAATGACGAGTAAGAGAAAGGGAGAAGTTCCCTTGGTTAACCCGATGTGTGATTGCGGTATTTTCCATCGTGAGCTTATTAGCTTGGTGACTGTGGAGGTCCTCCAGCCTGTTAGTGCAAGTCAAGTGTCTCTTACGTTGGATTAAAAATTATTTATATACTTTTTGACTTATCATCACGAAATCCATAATCAAATATTGAACCAATTGTATGTCTGCAATTTGAGCTCATGCACAAGAAGTCTAAAAGAGCTGCAGTTGGTAACTTTCCCTCTGACGGGTGCTACAAAGTAACGTACGATCTAGATCGTTGCGCATGTGCTCGCCGAAATATGTCTCTGCGAGTAAAGTGAGGCTCAGGCTGATACCAATCAAGCAGGTAAGAGATTCGATGACAAGTCAAGTGTGTGCAGAAAGTGTTCATAGAACCAATATTCTAAAGTAAGAACAGCTAAATAGCATAAGTGGCAACGCAGCACAGGTGTAAAAGCCCGTCATAGTTACTGTACGTCAAAAGTAAGCCTCTCAATGTGGAAGCCGCATCGGATCCCCCCGTATCTACCCTCGGGCTGGCTGCCTCTGCTGTCGAGCGCACCTCTCCGCCAGCTCGTTCGTCATGGCTTCAAGTGCCTCCATCGCCCCGAGGTCAAGAGTCTTGCTGTCGGCGGACGTGGTAGTAGAAGTTTTCGGAGGCGAAAGGTTGGCCGAGTGCGAAAATGTGTTGTGGCCGGGTTGTTCTAATACCATTTCTGCAAGTTCTTGGAATGGCGTGATGTCTTGTGACGTTTTATAAGAACCCAAAAGTGGAGCGGCAGTCAGTCCGGAAGTCATTCGAGTGGGTAGGACTCGTCCTGAGTTATTCTTCAGTATGTGCAACTTTTCTGAGAGGGAATAGATTATACCTAGTCTCTTTACCGTGTCGTATCCTTTGAGTCGTTCCTTATCAAATTCGGGGTTAACAGAAGAGCCCTCCTCCAAAGCAAGATAATCGATACGCTTGTCCATAATAAAGCGATCGTTCACTGTCCATGGTCCGTCATATAGCACTTCATCTACCCAGCGACAGTGCCGCATAAGCTCGCAACGCTCGAGATGTGAGAAATGAGGTGTAGCATTGTGAGCTCGACATTGCTCATCCGAAAGCACTCCAACAATAAGATGTACGGAAGGGAATGAGAGCTTCGCTTGACGGAGCTGATGTGCATGCCTTGTATGACCTTTAGTTATTGTGAAACATCCACCACCGAGCGGCGTACTCACGCAGTAGTCAACACATCAAATACGCCGTCAACATACACTCTCAGAGTCCTGTTGTCCCGTGGGTATTTCCCCGCACCAGACGCGTCAAGTGCATTCTGCACATACGTTTGTATATCCACAGGACTCAGCGCCACTGTGCTGAGTCGTTCCCTAGCTGCATCAGATGGGGCAGGTTCATGAGTCGTCAAGGCTGGAATATGATGCAAGTCGGCAATGCTGGACTCCAAGGAGCGCTGACCAGGGTTAGAGATGACATCGTAGTCCTCGTCACTCAGGACAGACGAATTATCCATGATGAGACAGGTGGAATGGAAAATACGTCAAGACGGTCTCCGGTACGTACGGTGGCGTTAGAGCCTTTGCTGGCAAAAATGCAAAACACGAGGCCATTCCTCCTTCTGCAAGGGAACATCGAAGTACAACTTGACCCTGCTTCGTGGGAACTTCAAAATTGGGCATAACCCGAGCTCGTCTAACTTATCCTGACAATACAACATCTCTTTCTCTGGGACTCCTTGCTTTACACTATCATCTAGAGCGACGTCCATCATCTCTGGTGCTTCTCCCGTGAAGAGGACCAATCAATTGCAAGTAAATTGATGTTCATAAAGCTAATGGTGGTATAACACCAGGCAAGAAGGCAGACCCTTTGTTCTCCTCATACCATTTCGAATCATGAGCAATCAATACTTGCACTCTTGGGATTCCCAACAGCGACCGGATCCTTGCGATATTCTCCACCGCTTCTTCCTTATTTCCATGCATGCACCTGACGCGACCTGATAGATCAACACTGTGTGCGACTTCTTTCTCGCCCGTAATCAGTCTGTAGTCGTGAGCGGAATCTCCTCCAAGGAGAATCCACGCGCCATCTGAGGAGGTACGCGCAAGTATGTTGATGTGTCCTTCGATGTGTCCTATAGCGCCGACTTGTTAGATCGGCGTTCTGGGGCTTCCAGTCATGCGACAAACCTGGCGCGTCGATTATATACATGCTACCATCGCCGAAATAATCCAATGCAAGTGGAAACGGTCCGATAGGGAGATTGAAGTCGGATGGAGAAAGAAACCTAGTGCGCTCAAGCGGAAGAGCGGTCGAAGAGAAGAATGAGTCGGGGTTCACAGGATATCCTGTAGTCAGGAGTTCCCTAGACCCTTCTCCCACAACAAATGTAGCTTTGGTGAATGGCTCATGGTCCCCGATGCTAATAAAGAACAGCCATCAACGTCTTGTCTGTCAACTCTCCCTGACACTCACTGATCCCAGTGCAAGTGGCTAACGATGATATTTTCAACCTGATCAAGGGAAACGCCTCCCTTAACCAGCGACTCTGCGACTGTCTGGTTCACAACAGGGGTGAACCCCATGGCCTTGATGCGCTCCTGGGCGAGAGGTGTGTATCCTTCGAGGTCGCGCCGTATACCTAAGTCGAAGACAACCCATGACTTAGTCTCGGAGTGTCGCAGTGAGAAGGCAAGAGATGGACACGAGATGGACTCTCCCTGTGGGCCACCGTCCACAACCAAATCACAAGGGATGTGAATATTTCCTCCCTCAAGTGCCGATACATATATGAAAGGCTGGTCTACACTGGGTGGAGGGAGCATCGGCCCAGTTGATAGTCCTGACATGATCGATGATGGAAGAGGGACTCGTGACAGTATGCTCACGCACATGATCTCCACCCTTTATGTACCCTCTGGGCTCTCGGAACACCGCGATGGGCCTGGGCGGGTAAAGAACTGTTTGGGATATCAATGTTTCAACTCTAATTATAAGGGTTTTCTGTCCAATTTCCGCCATATCTCCAGTGCTGAATGCACGCAATTGAGTTGCCTTTATAACCACAACTGTTGTAACAAAATAATCACGGAGGAAGTGTATTTTCTTTCAGTGGAATCATGCTTGGATCTAATCAAGCAGCAACTGACAAGGTCGGCCCTAGTATGACATCTCCCCAACGATCATGTTTTTGCTGGAATAACTCCCGGGTAAAAAGCTGGCCCGCCCTTGTTTTCCTTGTACCAAGGAACGTCGTGGGCAATCAGCACCTGCACCTTCGGATTGCTGAGCAATCCCCTGATCCTCCGGATATTCTCCAGTGCGAGTTCCTTGTCCACGTGAATGCATCTAAAGCATCCATTGACGTCGGAATAGTGGCCGATCTCTTTTTCTCCCGTGATCAATCTGAAATCTCCAGCAGAATCACCCCCGAGGAGAAGCCACGACCCTTCAGCAGATGTACGCGCCAGTATGTTCACGTGGCCCCCTATGTGTCCTGCATATAGCAAGATGGTTGAAATGTCAATGGAATGTTATTCGAACATGCACTTACCTGGAGCGTCTACTATATACATGCTTCCATCTCCAAAGTAGTCGATGGCATCTGGGTATGGTCCAATAGCTGAATTCATATCTAATTCAGAAAGAAATCTAGTTCTCTCAACGGGGATGGCAGTTGACGAAAATGGGGCGTCTTCTGTCACAGGATAACCTGCCGCAAGTATTTCCCTGCATCGTTCACCGACGACGAAGGTAGCATTCTTAAATGGTTCTGGATCGCCGACACTGGTGTGCTTGATTAAACAGAGTCTTCAAAGAAGGTCATACTCACTGGTCCCAGTGAAGATGACTGACAATGACGGTGTCAATCTGCTCTGGCAGTGTCCCACCTGCTTTCAAGGACTCTGCCACGTCTTGTGGAACTTCCGGCTGGAAGTCGAAATATTGGATGCGCCACCGCACAGCTGGAGGCAGAGAATTTATATCTCGGCGTATCCCCAGATCGAAGACAACTCGATGACCACTCTTTGAGTGGCAAAGCAAGAATGCAAGTGAGGGGTTTCTAATAAAATCCGTTGGGGATGATCCAGCGACGATATTCTGCAGAGGTACATTTAAACTGCCTGCCTCGAGGGCGGAAATATTCATATAAGCTTGATCTGCTACTGGAGAGGGGAGAGACATGGCTGTTGTCTTGATGATACCCTGAGCACTGGAGGCAGCAGATAAACTGTTGGCTTTGGCGGGGGTCACCAGCGAGGTCACCAGGCTGGGGTGGTACCCGGGGGTATACTCTATATATATGAGCCTCACGAGGTACGGGTTTCCGCTGTTCCATGTCATCATCTCCACCGTCATGATATCTGCCAATGGATGCTATGATGAGAGCATAAGAGTATATGTAGCCTTGGTCAGGCTAGGAAGTTAATTCAGTCGTCTGGCAGGTCTGCACTGGCAAACCAAGTTGAGATCCAGCTTCAGTAAGTTACAGGTAGTGCGTACTTTATTGGCAGATGCATTCAGATGATCTGGTCGCAGTGAGGGCCGTAATCCTATTGGGCAAGACCATTCAAATAAAGAAATACGAGGACCCGGAAGCCAGTCGTTACTTCCTTTACATCGACAATGGACTCATCGCGCACCACCGAAATATGAAAGTACGGTGACATGAGGACACGATTACAATAATGCATATGTTGTCTGGCAGTCTCAGAGGCAGGACACGTCCAATCACGTTCTTACAAAATTATTGAACCTCGGTTCCGTCGAGTACGTACGTGCACCGCGTCACTGCGGCAGCCGAATGACTTAATACTATTAATTTAAAAGGCCTTGCCCGAGTAGACGCCGATTCGATTCGTATCACTGCTGCCTTCGCTGCTCGAGTCATCATATCTCGCGAATGGGTCTTCCACAACCAGATTTATGTAAAGCCACTGGCAGAGCATCGAGGAAGCATGATAGCAGCTGGTCTAGGTTGCCGTTTGCATTTCGAGTGCTGTTGTGCAGCTTGGTAGTCATTTCACTTGTACTCTATAAGAGCTGTGGCTCTGCCTTCTTGCCAATCTGCCATCTTCCTCGTTTTTGGCTCGCAGGTTCTTGTAGCGGGCTTGCCGGATCTCTACCCCCGGACGTTAATTCTACCACATGTCCCCAATGGGCGGCTCTACAACCAACCAAGCATCGTGGGCTCAGCGAAGACCTAGATGTGGCATACAACTCAGAAGACTTCAAGCAAAAAGCCATTCAGGCCCTTGGAGATGCAGTTCGTGTACCGTAAGTCCTAATGTTGCATACTACTGTGGAAACATGGACGCGCTCTTAGGACCGAATCGTACGACGATAATGGACCAGTTGGCGAAGACAGTCGATGGGATACATTTGCTGAACTTCATCAAGTTCTTCAGGCCACTTTTCCTCGCGTGTACGTCGAAATATTCAAGTCTGAGTTGTCTCTTCCATGACTCATCTTTAGTCTCTAGTTACGAGTCCCTCAACGTCACCAAAGTCAATACATATGGGCTGATTTTTCAGTGGCAGGGATCAACTACGGCCAAGCCTTATATCTTGGCCGCCCATCAAGGTTATTCTCGTTTGAACATCCTACCGAATCCCGCGTTGACGTCGTTTCAGATGTTGTACCAGTAGACGGTCAGACAGTTAAAGAGTGGAAACACGATCCGTATTCAGGGCACTATGACGGTAGGCAAACTTTGAATCCCCGCGAGGTGCTACTTGCATCTCGTATCGTCGCAGGCACCTGGATATGGGGTCGTGGTTCTTGCGATGACAAAAGCGACTTGGTACGACAATTGCTTGCCATCGATTCCTTGTTAAAGCAGGGTTTCTCTCCTGCACGCACCCTTATACTTGCGTATGGATTCGACGAAGAATCCAAAGGCATTGAGGTCAGGAAAACCTCTACATACAAGTCCCATTATTAATAGGTCGCTTCAGGGTGCTGGTCATCTCGCCCAATACTTGGAGGAAACGTACGGGCGCGATTCTATTGCCTTACTTCTTGACGAAGGAGGTACGTGGACTAGATATTCCAACTGGCACGATTTAACTCTGCGTTAGATCTTTACACGGATATCGGTGGCACTGTTTTCGCGACTCCCTCGATATCTGAGAAGGGCTATCTTGATGTTCAAATCACGCTTTCAACTCTGGGTGGTCATTCGAGCATACCACCTTCTCATACGGTGCGTGTTGATCGCCACACCTTCTTACTGATAATTGATCGGCATTACACAGAGCATTGGTCTCCTCTCCCGCTTCATAGCAGCGGTGGAGGATAACCCACATCCAGCTGACCTTTCCCGAACGGGAACCCCGTTTGCGATGACACAGTGCCTTGCGGCTTACAATCCCATGTACCCCGAAGACTTGCGAGTGCTCGCAAGAAAGGCGGTTACAGATGATGGAGCCCTGAAGGTGCTTCAAGAGCGACTTTTGGCTTCAGATCCACTGTACAAAGCAATGCTTGGGACCACACAAGCAGTAGACCTCGTCGAGGGTGGCGTGAAAGTTAATGCTCTCCCGGAGCGCGCTAGCGCAGTGGTCAATCACCGCATCGCAGAGCATAGGTATTGCTTTTTCTGTGAGATTTCCAGGACTTTGTTCACTTCTTACTTTAGTTCTGTCGGCGAGCTGCAGCAGCACCTGATCGACCTCCTGGCTCCCGTGGCAGTCAAGTATGACCTTGCACTCGTCGCGTTCGGCAATAACGTGACTTGTGGTGGCTCTGGTCAAGTTATTCTGTCCGACTTCCTTGGGGCGGCCTTGGAACCTTCGCCCGTGACACCTACGGAGTATGGTCCTTGGGCACTTTTGCAAGGAAGCATTAAAGCTGCTTTTGAGAGCTCCCCTACCCGCAATAGCAGCAAGGTTGTGGTTATGCCGTATCTATCTCTTGGTACGTTGGTTGCCTTGTCAGTACTACACGATTCTGACGGATGGTATCAACCAGGCAACACTGGTAAGCAAGTGTGATCCACTCCTAACAACTTATCCATTCACACGGTTCCAGACACTCATTCCTACTGGAATTTGACTAATCACATCTTCCGCTTTTCGCCGTCCTTTGACACTGATGTTTACAATGGACTACACACTGTCAATGAAGGCAAGTACATAAATGTCAAGCTACTTTCCTCGCTCATGCAGTTTCCGCATAACCAGCTTACCGCGCGGACAGCTTGAATGAAGGTGTTCGTTTCTACACCAAGTTTATCTTGAATGTGGACGAAAGTGATTTACCATAAACATTTTTTTTTTGCGATGGACGATGTCGTGTAATATTTGTACATTACGTTTGATACCCACCAACATGCGTTTGTTGGAAATGCTGCACAACTACAAGTTTATAGATACACACAAGTAAGTATATGATACACCACACTTGGCATTGTCATGTGTTATTATTCTGCCTCGGTCTCGGTCTCCGTGCCACTGGTCCTACGATTGACCTCGGATCCCTCCTGTCCTGTCCCAACAACACGACCTCGCCCATCTGTCGCAGCTGCTCCACTCTCAGATGTCTGACGTCGAGCTTTGATGGCAGAATTTGAGCGGTGTCGCTCACGGGCCTCCGCTTGAGTCTGAGTGTGAGACGGACCACGTACTGTCCTGCTCCATACCACTCTGCCTCTGCCATCAGTGACAAATGGGGGGTCTGTATCGTGTTCACATTGCGGCCGGCCGGAAGGAGCCGTCTGGTCTCCCATACTGCTTGCTGGTACTTCAGCAGCTCCCGAAGACACAGGTAACAACCCGTTGCCCTCTTGTGAGTCAGAGACAATGGGTATAGATGGCGAGCGAGTGTCGCTATCATCGTCGTTATCGTTGTCGGTATTGGGCGGACGTGACAATACGTTCTCCTCTGCTTCATCATCTTCGTCCTCGTCCGAGATCTCAATAACCATAGTCTCTCGGCTGCGGGAATTCAGCACGGTGCTGAACCTGGACGTATTTGATTGCTGAACGGTAGACGTCAGGGAGGCTGGTGAGATAGACGGGAGACGAGGGGACGGTGTGCGGGGCATCGCCCAGGGAAGGAAGCTATGAGAAAGCGGCCCAGAAACCTCCGCAGAGGACGATGGCCTGAAAGGCACCGGAGGTGTCATTGAAGGTCCCAAGGCTGGAGATGCACTCCTAGCCCTAGGTGGTATTGAAGCAGTGGGTACTGTTACGAGACTCTCGACAGGTGAATGCGGACTTCCCTCGTCAGCGAGGGATGTGTAGATGACAGGAGGGGGAGCTCCCAAGAGCGTAGCTTCGAGTGACTGTTCTACAGCTATACTCTCCGCCTATGGTAGAGTCAGAGCTACTAAACATACACATGTCATGCGGCGAAGGGATCTAAAAGTGGCTCACCGGTAATTCAAAGGACTGATTGTCTTCATCGTCATCACCCATAGGAGTATCTGTGGTTGCACCAGATCCCGCATCCATGCCATTCCATAACGCTGGAAGGTGTTGTCGGACGAAGCTGAGGGTGACGTGGAGATTATTCGTTGGGTCCCCGAGGATGCTCTGCAGAAGCCTAAGGCGGTCTGAGAAATCTGCATCTGAAGCCGACCCGGTAAATGTGCGGCCACGCTGCCGTTGTTGTCTCCTGAATACCTGAGAGGGCATAAATATAAAGGCACAAGATGCAGATGACGCTATACCTTCATGAAGTGATTTGCCCCGTATTGAAAAACGTGCGGTGTACCATCGGGATTGAGATGCTGATAGAAGCAATCGAGGCCGAATGGACAACAAGGCTTGCCCGAGGCCGATGTTTCCACGAAGTATCTAAACGGTTACGATCAGACCGGTGAGAGGAATGTGAGGAAACAGTACTGACTTGCATGAGACACGAGCCATGCTATTCTTGTAACTATCTATCATGTCCTGCTTGCGTGGGTGGTCCTGAGGGAAGAAATGCGTGGATGGAGTGATGAAACGCGATGGACTGCGGCAGAGTGGACAGCGTTTTATTACGCCTGACATCACCATGTCCGATGACTTTCCTTGCGGCTCCCGCCACTGGCGGATGCACTACTCGACATAGTAAATTATTTGCTGCATAAAAGAGCAATCAAAATAGATCGACCTGAAGACAGAATACATGACCGCAGCCTGCTGGGGGACGATGTCAGATGACGTTCCAACAGCCAAAATGGCAACTCACTCAAAAGACCGTATGTCAAAGGTTTCTCCAAGCATATGTTACACATATTTTCATCGAAATGCTTCAGCTCTTCATCAAGGGGGGCCTTTACGAGCTCATGGCGAAACCAACACTGAGCTCCTCGGGTGCAGTTTCCTGAAATGCCGTCAGTTGCCACCATCATCATCAAACTACATCTTGCTTGCCTTGGATATAGTATCTGCACACCTTAGATTTGTCGTATGGGGTAAGTTTTTCCTCAGCACCGTGGAGGAACTTGCAATCGTCACCAGCGTAGCAGCCCCTGGAGGTGTTGTAGTACCGACAGATTCCCCGCGACTTGGATGTCACCGGGCGATCCATGTCAACATCTGACGTTTCTCCTTCAAAACTACAGACGACAAGTCAACGACGAGTATCAGAATATTCCACTGCAGGCAAATGATCAGTAGACAGTCGTGGACGATGGACAGAAAGGTGGTCCTGTTTCCCACGATACCTCTCCATGATACCCTTTTCAATGTAAATCAAAGTAACGACTGTCTTCCTTCTCGCGTACGGAAGACTAGCTTACACGCGTTGCGGGCTTGTCTTGCAGTTGACTTGTGCTCTATCGTAAGTACCCAAGTTGAATCAAGGTGCTCGAGTGCGCGCCACGGGGGCAATTTGGCAGCTTGCCCGCCAACTGAGTAGAATTACAGTGAGTTTTCGCGGACACAAGCAATGCGGTACATAATGCACGAGTTTCGTCGGTCCCTTACTTAGGATTCTGCGAACTAGGCCGCAATGTCTGGCTGCTGAAATTCGTCACGAAGCTGTACCAGCATGCTCAAGCACACGCTGGGAAATACGCCTCCCTCAGCTTGCGCACTCAGACACTGGTGACTGCTGTCACGCATGAAACGGCCAGCAACTCTTCCACTTATACAGTCGTGACGAACCTACAGGGTGGGTGATAAAACGGTCCTGTATTTGTGTTCCGTATAACACTCCGTAGTACGTACCATGCCGTTCGCTAAGCGCTTCATCCACCACCAATACTATTGTCATGTACGGTATGCGGGTTCGCCGTCTACCGTACGGTGTGGAGCCCTATTTTAGTGTGCTGTTACTTCAGAAGGGGTACTGCTATAATCTGGATGCAGAAATTGGTGAGGTGGTACGACCAAGGTGTACAACCCTTGGTGACTTGTCCGTGAATCCAGCATCGAAGTTCATACGGATCCTTTGAAATTAATTGCTGATCTACACACTAAGTAAAACAACAGTTGATGGCTCCAAAGAAATGGAAATACATGATGCTGCAGTATTAGCTTAAAATTTATGTAGAATACTTTCCCGCTCGCGAGGTTGTTCTTTTTCTTTCCTGCGTGTCAGAGTCGTCGAAATACGCATCTGTACCATGCAGCTAGCTCATCGACTTTGGGCTCAGCCCATAGTGCTATATAGATACATCAATATACTACTATAGCCCTAAAATAGGGATACATTATCCAGTCTACTTGTCCACTGTCCACAATGATATATCCAATGGTGAATCACAACAAGCAGTTTTAGGCTGCAATTTTGGCTCCCCAAAGCGAAAATTCATGATATATATTCCATTTTGGTAACCTCCTCATGTCAGGCCTCCCCACATTATTCCCACACATCATATGTTCGCATTTTTCAGCCCCACAGTGTGGGAATTACCCCACAACACCAAAAACATCGCCCATTTTGGGAATCTCCACAATATCAATTATTCCCACACCCTTCCCACCTCACTGCAGCTTCACCACCACCCCACAATAGGTCCCCCTCCATATATAAGTGATAGTTTGGTATATATATGTATATTATAATATAATGGTCCGCTTTTTTTGTTTATTTGTGTACCTGCTCCTCCTCCAGGGCCCTTTCAACATAACCTAGGGTACAGAACACTTTCGCATTTTTGCCCCTATGACAGGGAAGTGTTCTAAGGCATTCAGAACATGTTCAGGAGTATATATGAATGTATTCCCATCTTTATTTTACCCCCTGAAGCGCCCTACATCAATAGTTATAGCATATATACATAGAAATACAAAATATGTTCCCATGTGTGCATTTCCAAGTGAACAGACTTGAAAATTGTATCCCCACAATCCATTAAGCAGTATGAACAATGTATCAGGAGATCAGGACCACAGAACAACACCCTGTTGTATGGTATACCCCCCTTCTTCTGGTGGTTTACCCCCTGTGAAAATTTTTCCTGGAAGGCTGGACCTTAGATATGGCAGGGAGTCTATTCCTATACATATTTGGAGTATATCTATCACATAGCTACCACAGGAAGCCTTTAGGGTCCTTCAATAGGAACAAAAACATAAAACATCACATATTTCACTTTTTTGATGTTTTGCACTACCTTACCCTTTCACAAATAATACAACATGCTCATATATCATTAGTGGGGCATGTATAAATGTTTCCTATGCTAAGGATCAGCTGGATATAGGGTGGAAACATTAGATCTGAGGTAAAGGGGGTATTTCCACTGATTAGAAGGCCACATGGAAATAAAGGGTTTTATCAGTGATCAGACACCTGGGATATATCTCATATATATCCCTAATGATAGCCCTAAATCTATAGAAAGATCCATCAAGGTTTGAATGAATGGCAAGGAAAATGACATATGTGTGAAAAGTGACAATTGACATTTTTTCACAGAAAGTCATATTTATATATGAGACAGGTCGAAGATTTTATTAAAAATGTGTAGGATACATGATAGACTACCTAAGGAACCTATACTACACACTGCCCTGAGGGTAGAGTGTTGGTGGAAGGGATGTAATGTGAAAGTGAGTTGATTCAGCATTAAAGTCCAATAACCACTCAACCTCAAACTACCCATTTTCGATGTTTTGGGCATTTTAATTTTCCCACACTCAATTTTTGATCTATTTCACTTCCCAGCTCTGAGATTTGGGTGGATGTTTCTGTACATTTAGGCCTATGATGCTGAATATATGTAAAATGTACTCCAGGTGTCTGATTATAAGATTTCGATGTTTTGAAGGTATGGGAACCTAATCAGTAGATTTAGAAAGTATATACACTATTCCACAACTATGGCCTATTTTGAACTGATCTTTGGTATATAAAGCATGTATATATGCCCCACTAATGATATATGAGCATGTTGTATTATTTGTGAAAGGGTAAGGTAGTGCAAAACATCAAAAAAGTGAAATATGTGATGTTTTATGTTTTTGTTCCTATTGAAGGACCCTAAAGGCTTCCTGTGGTAGCTATGTGATAGATATACTCCAAATATGTATAGGAATAGACTCCCTGCCATATCTAAGGTCCAGCCTTCCAGGAAAAATTTTCACAGGGGGTAAACCACCAGAAGAAGGGGGGTATACCATACAACAGGGTGTTGTTCTGTGGTCCTGATCTCCTGATACATTGTTCATACTGCTTAATGGATTGTGGGGATACAATTTTCAAGTCTGTTCACTTGGAAATGCACACATGGGAACATATTTTGTATTCATCAGTAAATTCACCGATTACTTATTTCGCCTTATTTCACTTAATGGCCCTTATTTCTTGCGAACGAAAATTTGGAACTACCTTAAAGGCTGCTTTTTCTAATTATTAGAAAGTGGGACCAGCGTGCAAACAAGTTCATGTGCGAAGTTCAAAAAAGTTGAATTAAAGTGTAATAAGCAAGGACCGTACAGAACAAGTCTAAAATGCGATTTCAAATGCGTGATGATCTGCGTATTTATTAACATAGAACTTGCGGAAAACATCATAAGTCTGATGGTGCTGATGTTGCGGAGGAATAAATTGAGTACCGTATATAGGAATAAGGTGTGCGGCGCGGTAGATTGAGTCAATATGAATGATGGAAATATGGGGAGAGTTGTTCGCGTGATGAGCAGGCTGTACCATCCACATTCCGTTGTCTTCGTTGGGTGAATCTCCAATTGTATCGAACCACCGCACAACTGCGCATGGGTATAATTCAGCCTTGTATGTGAAAGAGAAAAAACTCAACACTCGCGCAACGTCCATACCCCTCATCCCGTCGAGATCCGGATTCGTGTTGACGAAGACACAATCATAACGAGGGTACTCATTTCTCCATATTGGACATGCGCGAACATACTCGCGACGCATGCCCCCGATACCACTTGGATCGCTCGGGGCAAAGAATCTGGAACATGCGGAGTTGAAAACACTGATTTTGTCGTTGTATTGAGGACAACAAGTAAGGGGAACTTCGGAAGGGTCACGAGGGTCATCTGGATTGAGTTGGGTAAAGAGAAAGCGGCGCAAAAGGTTGGGGAGTTGTGGGATTGCCAATTCAACTGCTAACGCGGCAGGTGTGCGAGCTCGTTTGCGTTCTAAATAATATATTAGCCATTGGACAGAAACAGGTGCTGGAGCACTTACGAGGCGTTTTGGCCAATTCAACATGCGCTTCGACATTAGTTGGCCCGTCGTCAACTTCGGTATCGTTGTTGTTGTCGTTGGCCTCTGTGCTGTTGTTGTTGTTGTTGGCCTCTGTGCCGTTAATCATGTGCGCACTGTCCACATCGCCTGGCTCAAGATTCATAGTGCGCAGTTTTTCTATTTAAGCATCAGCGCGAGCACGATAAAGACACAATATGCTACTTACCTACTGCAAGTGCAGCTGCAGAAAGACAGGTCCCATCAAGCATTTTGCGTTGGGTGAAATCAGCACGCGATGCCGCGAGTTTATCAAGACGTTGATTTGTGACCAACATTTGGCCAAGGGCCTTGTACCGGCTGGAACGCCGCCACGGTTCCTTCACGGCTTTGATATGCTTTGCTTCGGTGATCGATGAGCACAGGCCATTCGGGGCCCCAAAAAGACGAATGAGGAGTACATAGTGTTGAAGTGAGTGTTGGCGAGGGAGTGAGAATGTAGATACAACACCAATCGTTTCGAAAGTTTGTCGGTATCGATGAAAGCGGTCGAGAGCTTCTTGTATGTTCTTGAGAGTCTTCTCCGTAATGACGCTACGCCGGACGAAGTAGCAAAAATCGAGGAAAGCTCGAAATGTTCGAACTATATCTACAGGGACATGTCCCTCGATGGCGGACAAGTATACCTTAGCTATGTGTAAGTACAACATCAGTAGTCCAATCTGTGAGAAGAACGTACCTTCATCAGTGCCTTTGAATCGTCGCCGGTCCATTGCTTGAAGCCTCGTCCTTGCGGGAAACGTCGAAGGCCAGCGAAGGCGGGAACAGCAGCAATTCTAGATAACTGGTGAGATAGCTAAATAGATTATTAAATAAAACCTTTACCTTCGGTCAATATCATCCATGATGCGCTGGGCCTCTTTCTTCGAGTGCGTCTGATACAGATACTTCTCGACCCATTCCACAAGATGGTCTTTAAATGTGCCTTTGATGAGCTGGTGAAGGATATCGGGGGCAATGAGCTCATGGATATCAGCGCGAGGGAAATCGTTTGTGAACGGCTGATAAAGTGTTAAGAAGTTGCAAAAACGTAGCACGAAAGATGGACTTACAACGAGATCACCGACGATACCATACTCGTCCCACAATTCACCAAGGGTCCCCTCCTCGACAAGCACATCTGTGTGATGACGACAGCGCCAACCGGCCTGCTCGTCTAGATTGATACGTGAAGATAAACATCTGTCCAATAATGAGTCTAAGTAGTCAACTAGAAAGATGCACGAGTACATACCTTGGGCACCAGCCACGCACGATGCACGTCAATAACACTTGCTCTTCGTAGTCTGCTATATACGGTCCCAGACCGTATATAACACGGCGAAAATGGCCATCGCCAAATCGCGCGACTTCGTACTTCGTGATACCGGGTCGAAGTGTCTCGAGGATCTTGGAGAGCGAGCAGTGAAATAATTGCCGGCGGAACTTTCGGAACATTACATCCCCAGTTGCATGTTCCTTAGTTGCTAGTAGCTCGGATAAGCAATGTAAGAATATATGTTAGACAAATGAAACTTACTTTTGGGAATAGCAAGAAACCCAATGATACTTACTGCGTCACGATGAGCTCGTCGGACATTGTTGCGAACATTGCCGATAGACGCATAGAGTGGGTAATATTCGTTGTTTCCCGTTGCGACAGACACAGTAGTCTTGTCGCTGCCCAAAATAACAGGTACGAACGTGGATCCATGTGATTCCGGATCCTCTGAGATTATGTCCTGGAAACAATTGTTAATGATAAGTTGCAATACGTTAATAGCTAATGATAAGTTGCAATACGTTAATAGCTAATGATAAGTTGCAATACGTTGATAGCTAATGATAAGTTGCAATACGTTGATAGTTGCAAAACGTTGATAGTTGCAAAACGTTGATAGACTCACCGCCTGATCCCATACCCAATCACCGGACATGAAATCCCTCCACTGACGCTCATCACCATCGGTCAAGAATTCGCGGTAGGGTCGGTAATCGAACTCTTCGATATAGTCCGGATTCGCAAGCATATTGCGAACAACTTCTCGTGGATCACGGTACCAGACGTCAAAGTCTTGGTCCATCCACGGCGGCACATCAGCGGCTGGTCGTTCACCATTGTATCGAACTGAAAACGATTGCCATTTGACATCACCGAGTGGTGTTTTGTCAATGGTTTTATGAAGGTCGCGGAAATCTGCAAATGGAGGCTTATCGCCGTGTTTCTGGAGGGTTGAAGCCCAGAGATCGAGTAGCTTATTGATCTGGGCTGCAGGTGTCTGATTCTCGGTGAAAAAAAATTCCGCGGTTTCGAACTCGATACGGTTTCGGTAAGGCGTCCAGTCGTCAGGAGATTTATCAGAGAGTGGCTTTGGTGGGCTTCCAGGGGGAAGAAATGTGCCGTTCTCGTCACATGGACGAGCTAGAAAATATACGGTGAAATATGGTTAGAAAGTTGTTCTAATAGCAAAGTAAAGTATTACCGTCGAGGTCCTTGTGAAAGTTCCGATATAGACGGTCTCCTGGCCCCCAGAACTCAACGTTGATGCTGGGAGCTGGTGAGTCCCGTGTCCCATCGTGATCCGTCATATTCGGGTCATCATGTTCGGCTTCTTGAAAGTCAAATTGTGCCTCAGGCTGCTCAGGTGCCGGAGGGTGCTCTTCCAGCTCTTCAGAAACACTGGGATGATAAGCATTAGCTGCCCTTGCAATTGTAGGATGCGCTGCGTTCCAATGTTTCGTTCGTCCCGCTTGAGTTTTGAAATAACGCCGACAATTTGAGCGTCCGCAAGGAAGTTGCAGTGCGTTGTGATCCCGTCGAGAGTTCTGGTTCCTTTAGACAATATTAGCCAGTGAGGAGCGTGAAAAAATGGAGTATGTACATAGTTTATACTTAGCGTTAAGAAAACAAACTTTCGGTTGAAAGCAAACCGAGCTGCCAGCCTAGTAAGTGTTGGGGTCGTAATCAGTATGCGTTGTCCATGTTTGGGATCAGGGTAGCGCACTTAAAAGTTTTCACTTAGCTTAGACCGTCTCTTGTTGCTCCCTGCTACCCGCAAATTCCTGTTCACCTCTCTTGCAGCTTCTTACGTGCAACTTTCACCTCAACATGCCTGCTCAACGTGCCGCTACCACTCCGACTCGTCGTACTCGTGCGTCTAACGCAACTGCGCATCCAGGTGCCATCCTCTTACAGGCAAAAAAACCCCGACGCACGACAGAAGAAGTTGCAGCTGCCCGAGAAGAAAAGGCGGCAAAGGTAGCAGCACAAGCAGCTGCTGCTGAGGCAGGTGCTAAGCGTGTGGCCGGTATAGAGCTGGAGATGGAAGCGAAACAGACGAATGTGCTGACGAGGAAGGTCAAGGGAGTCCGCCCTCGTCCGACGCCTTACAAAGGCAAGAAGGCTGCAAAGGACAGCCCAGATATTGCAGCAGCCTGTGGTGGAGGTGATGATGAAGTCGGAACCAATCAAGGGTTGGGAGTACTCACTCAGAAGGCTGATGTGCCAATGGATATCGACAACGACGCTGTCGATCAAGACTCACACACTAAGAGTGGTACGATCAAGAAGAAGGTTATCAAAGCTTCGATGAAGGATGCTGTCAATCAAGCGCGTAATGAAATCAAGCGGAACACTGCTGATTGCGGAGATAAGGCAGCACGTGTGGATAAGAAAGGCAATGTACTTGATGCGTAAGTCTCTACTTCACACTCATCATGCTTCTACTCACGGAGTCAACCATGTTCTTCCTCAATTTAACTCTGAACCGCAGGAAACAGCCTGAATTGGCTCTCACCAACAAAGTGAAGAACTGGGCTTCAGGCGTCAAGACGCCCATCAAATCTCAGCACGCGAGTCACGCAACTCATACTTCGGCATCACCTCCCCCGTCAACAATTTTTTCTCGCCTTACAGGCTCTTCCATTACCTCTCACAGCACAACTCTGACTGATGCTTCTAAACGTCCTCCTCAATGTATTGGTGCAGCTGAGGATGCGCTCACTGGAGGTTTTGCCGACGATGAGGATGAAGATGACGAATTAGAACGCCTGGCTGCGCATGGGATAACTGCCAAGGAAGGGAGGTCAGCTGCAGCGGTAACTGTTCACTGATCTCCCACCAGAAATTTCCACTGATAATGTTCAAAGATGACGGTTACTCTCACAGTCGATGACTCCGATGACGAGTCAGGGATTCCAGCAGAGTTCCGTGCTCCATTCACCCAGTTGTCGCCATTAGGTCCGACCAGGGTTGCCGAACACCAGCAACGTCCTCAAAAGGAAGGCTTCTGAAGTCCTCGATCTTATCTCTGGCAGTGAAATTGATGAGTTTTCGGACGACGAAAGTGAGTCAGCGCTGTTTGCTGATGCCAACACCCTGAAACTCACTGCACCTCTAGTCAACAATACAATGGACATCGACCTACCGGACGAGATCGATCAGAAGCATGAAGCGGAGCCCGAGAAGCCCAAAGTGAAGCTAGAGAAGCCTTCCCGCACTACGACTTCGGTGAGCATCCAACCGTTTGGTTAACTAGTCCTTCCTGACACAAGTTTTTCATTAGACAACGGTCATGACCACAGACGTCAAACCTTTGCCAACTAAAAAGGTGAAAGTGGAACCATCTTCGACATCTATCAGTGATGCTCCCGCCCCCAAGGAACAGAAATCTGTCAATGTCGACACACCGCACAACGAGCTGAAGCCCCGAGCGCAATACCGAAGCTGCGACCTCCCTGAACAAGTGCAAGCAGACAACCGCTGGGCCAAAAAGTTCCTTCCGATGATGATATTGTGGGCTGGCAGCCAAGAATCCCTCTGGACAATCCCAGATGTGACTCTGCTCACACACATTCAAATCATTTTTCAGGCAATCTACCCAGACTTGAAACTTACCATTGTTCTGAATGGTGCCGTTTTTTCGCTCGTAGGTGCTTCTTGCTCCAGATGTCAAAAACATTTTCTCACTGTATCGACTCCATACTCAGACTGTTCAACGTCTTTCTGAGTGGCGGAGCAACTTTGGCTCTACAGCCATTGTGCTTATCTACGATTTTCTGATGAGCAACAGCGACTGCGACCCAGAGGTTCTTGCAGGGCTCCTTTTGAAGAATTATGCCTTCATCTTTGAGGATATGGACAAGCGTGACCCCGACGGTGCATTCCACTCTGTATTCATCCTGCAGCTCCTTGGAAAGGCTCACCTCAATGTCGTCGACGGTCACGCTAATATTCCCGCATTGAAAACCAAAGACCTCGCATCGAAAGGGATGGCCGGTGTTATTGGATTTTGCGCTACAGCAGTAAGTCTATTTTCTTATCATCAATGATCCCTCTCGATGAATTCGCATAGCTTGAGCGCGCCGTCACATTAATTTCGGACGGTGATATCAAAGTCGAGGATATCTTAGCGTCGACCACATCTCGCGGCAAGGTGGTCATCAAGCTGCCCAAAGTACTCAACAAGCTCACTGGCAAGGAGACCAGCGCTCCGTATATGTTTTCGCGTGATCTCTGGCATAAAGCGAACACTGGGTACATGAAGAGCATCAAGAAGAAGAGCAAGGACTTCGTTGAAACTACAGTAGAGATGGCGCGGTCAGCTTTGAACGAAAGCACCGCTGCGGATGCAGCCATTTCGCACAGCTCTGATGATGACCGTGCCTTTTTGTGTATGTATAATCTTTCCCTCTTGTGCATCGTTCTCTGCTTTATTTATTTGTCGTGTTCACCATGCTGATTTTGTGGATTTGACAGAGCCATCCGCTGCCCCATGGGCCTTCACGAATCAGCACCATCCTCAACCTGCTATCATTGTTCATATGCTCCTCTGGTACCATTTTCTACTGCTCTCCGACTACTACACGCATAAGCTACCATTGATTTTCGCTGTTTTATCTTCCCTTAGTGATCCACTTAATTGCTTTCGCGTCGTGCTTTTCTGAATGGACAATGCCCTTTTTTCTGCTTTATTTGTGATATGAAAGTAAACTAAGTTCGAAATAAGTGAAAATTCAGACGATGAGTGGCCTTTTTCAACCTGGCGGTCACTTATTTCAGCCTTTGCTTATTTCGCCTTATTGTGTGTGAAAAGTTGACAATAAGTCAGAGTAAGTAACTTGTCGTTTTCCTGATGCACGCTGTTGCCTGACGCATGATCGAAGTTGGCGTGGTTGAAGAGGGGGGCGATTTCACGAGTGACCCTCTTGCTGATCCCAATCTCGAGGTCATATGCGCGCTCTATGAGTGTGTCCTCCAGGCCTGCGACGGTATGTTCCAAGCGTCTGAAGCGCAAACTCAGGCTTCGACCATCCTGATAAGGAATTCAGTTAGTTAATTTGGTGCCGATGCGCACGTTCCACCAAACGAGATGCAAGCGCACCTCAGCAGTCAGTTCAGCCTTGTCAGGAAGTGAGATTTGTGGGTTCCTCAAGTTGGGCTGAGTCGAGCACGGTGATTCTGTCGGTGGTGAAGGAGCGGGCAGCGCAGTGACTTGTCGTGTAGTAGTAGGCTTGCTCTGCCAGGCTTCGACGTTTTGCAGGACTTCAGTTGCCTTGCCAATCTCGCCCGTTAGCATGCGCTGGTAACACTCGGAGGCCTCGAGACTTACCCAAGCATCATTGCTGTTGATGTCAGCGGGTGTGAGACTGTGCACCATGCGGCTGATGCCACCCCGCTTGCTCTTGTGCTGCACTAAAGTCAGCTCGTGCTCCCCAAACTGCGACGTGATGCGCTGCGCCGACAATTTCGCCATTCGTTTACCGGTGTAGCTTCCTCTCGTGCCCTTTTGTGCGGGTTGGAAGAGGCTGTGAAGCACGGTCAGCTTGCCAGGAACATCAGATGGAGCCCCAGCCTGATGATCAACTCACAGTCTCCAGCTACTGTCGTCAGTCGCATACTCACGCAGTCGTTCGATGAGGTCGACCTTCTTTCCAGTAGACTGGAGGCCATATTCCTTGAGCTTTTCTCTCAGCACCTTCACTGTTGTGTCCTGCCGTCTGTGATTTCGAGTCAGCCGCTACCTTCATCATGGTGAGTGAAATAGAATCCACATGCAAAAATCTATCATCTCTGGCTGCTCATTTACTCCAAGCATTTTCCCCAGGACAGGTAGGCTGATGATCTCCGCGGCAGGCATAGTACTGACGAGTGGGTGGCAAGAGAGACGTTTTAGCCGAACTCCTGAGACAGGGGGTTCAATTCTCGGCGATCACACTGCTTAATGATACCACTACTACCGTCTGCACCATGGCCACCACCATCGACGACATATCTCGCGTCATGGAGCTGCACACACCTCCTCTAGGGGGTGCAAAGCGCTATCTTACTGATGCTGCAGCAATGGTAACATACGAGGCTGTTGCCAATGACCAGGAGGAGGAGATCGAGTCGTTGATGGCTGCTGCTGACATTGATGACAAGCAGCAGTCGTCGAGTGGCACTTACTTACGCCAGCCAGCGGAACCCTCGAAAAAGCGCAAGCTAGACAGTGACATGATGTCGAAAAACTTGAAGACAGCCTCACAGAACATCATCGTGAGCAACACACTGTCTGAATACAAAAGGTGAACATCTTCACGTCCCAGCCATATTCTACATCTAATTGCCTTGCTTTCAGGCTTTGGGAGCAGTTCAAAAACTTCTGCTGCGACGTCGACAAGGTTAAGCACGCCAACGACGTCGAGGACCTCTACCCAGATCTCCCTGCCGACTTTCCAGAATGGATCGCAATGTGGATCATGGACAAGTTTGTGTGTTGCATTTGCCACCACGTTCATGCATGCTGACGGCGAATGCATTAACAGAGCCGACGACGTTGATATATTCACTGGAAAAGCAAAAGAGCTGACCATGACACGTGTCACATATGCCACCGCACAAAAGATGCGCGCCGCGATCAGCCACAAGTACGGACATGACCATGGACGTGGCACACAACCATGGCTGGAGGACTCTTTGCGACCAGGCCATTTCAGGGGAAACCCTTCACTCTCTGTCACGGTATCGCAATACATGATCAGCCTCGGTCGTCGGAAGGTCAGCACTCACATCCCAATGCTTGTGGCCCGTGTTCTCACATTCTAGGAACAGGTTCGCGCAGGTGAGGTGGTGACCAGTGCCCGTGCCATCGATGAACAAACCATGAAAGAACTGTACGAGCATAACATCAACTTTGTCGATGATGATCTCGGACCAGCATCCAAAAAACGGAAAGCACAGGCACCCCAGAACTGGGCTGGCTCGACCACCCGCTTAATGCTTCAGCTGATGTTCAACACGGCCATGCTCGTGTTGCTTCGCTTCGAGGAAGTCCTTCGTATCACCTGGAATGATGTTCAGTTTGAACACTGTCAACCACAGCATCTTCGGTGTGTCCGTCTCATGCTTCCCTTCCGCAAGACGCATCAATATGGGGGCATTGTGCCATTCTACTTGTACGAAAACCGAGAGAAGCCTTGGATGTGTCCAGTTCGCCTGTGGGCAGCTTGGTGGTGGCGTTGTCACGAGCTCAACATTGACGTGAATGGGTATGTGTTTCGGAAAAAAATGGGCAGAGATGGAGTTAGTGCCAGTCCGCACGATGCAATGGTAAGGAATGCTTGTGGTTTGCGTGGTGTGGCCGCGCTGCTGATACATCATGCCCTCAGACCGCGGACTCCTTCCTGGAGTGCTTTCGCAACAATCTCCTGGACATCGGCATTGATCCGCGGCCCTATGGCACCCACTCGTTCCGCCGTGGAGGCTGTCAGTATCTTGCAATGGTGCTAAGGTGGCCACTCCGGCAGATCTGCACATGGGGAGGCTGGGCGGAGAACTTCGACAACCCTGGAACGATCTTCAAATACCTCCTCTCGTGGAATGATGCACCTCTCCTCCAGAGAGAAGACTACTTCAACCCGGACCGAGCAGGCAGTGACCCATGCACAAACTGTGGTCGCACTTGCTCGTGTGCATGAATCAGGCAGTGGGCTGTAGTTGCAGTTGATTGACACAATTAAATTGAATTAATGGGCATTGAATTTTTTAAAAACCACTCGACTAAGGATTCTAAGGCCTTCAGGCGTGACACAGTGTGAACGCCACGAGAACACGTAGCTCAAGCGTAGGCTTGACACAGCGTGAACACAAAACACCATAATCGAGATAAGAATGCGTAGTTCGAGCGTAAGCATGACACAGCGTGAATGCCAGAATATAGCACAGTGCAGCTCGAGACACGTAGGCTTGACACAGCATGAACACGAGTTCCTGTAGACTAGAGTAAAGGTGAGGGGTAATACAACAACATGCTCAGGTCACGAACTCACTCGCTTGGTCTTCGAGCATGATAGTGACTCGGCAATGGTGGGGGGGGACCTCAAGCCCAGTCCTCCTCACGCTAATGGCAGCTGGGCATTTCACACCAGCGATAGATGCAGGTGGAGGTTCGGAGGGAGATCCAGGGGGCGAAGGATAGAACATGGAGGGAGAGATCCAGGAGGCGAGGGATAGAACATGGGTAAATATTAAGAACACCAGATAGGACTGGGCGGAGAAGGCAGTAGGCGAGGGATGAGCGGAGAAGGCGGTAGGTGATGGGTAAATATTTTTAAAAAAAGATAGGTCGAGCTCGAGGTGGAGAAGGCAGTAGGCGAGCAAATATTAAGAACACCAGATAGGATGAGGATGAGCGGAGAAGGCAGTAGGCGAGGGATGAGCGGAAGAAGGCAGTAGGCAATGGGTAAATATTAAGAACACCAGATAGGACGAGCTCGAGATGGAGAAGGCAGTGGGCGACGGGTAAATATTAAGAACACCGGATAGGACGAGCTTGAGCGGAGAAGGCAGTAGGCGAGGGATAGAACAAGAGGGAGGAAGGGTGAACATTAAGAACACCAGATAGGATGAGCTTGAGCGGATAGAAGAGGGAGGAAGGGTAAATATTAAGAACACCAGATAGGACGAGCTTGAGCGGATTGTTCACCTAGGAAGGAATAAAGCAAAAAGTGTTCGGCTCCAGAATGAGGGGCAGATGGTAGCCAGTAGTTGAGAGTCTCGTCGACGTGCGCTAGCGCGACAGTGACAACAGCACACGAACAAGCGGCATCACCAGTCAACCGTTTTCCTGAGGTCATCGATGCCAAACGCGGAGACCTCCGCCGCAGAATGGCAACCTCGCCCACAAACACAGAGACGGCGAGCCAAAAATATGAGCCACGCGTGGCAGTATGTCACCCTAGGTAGGTAGGACGGTAAATCTCGAGACCGTGAAGTTATCAGGCGGGAACACTTCGTACCTTGGGTTTGGCTGGCGCGCCTGCGAGAAAAAGAGACCAAGCAGACAGCTGCGGGTCGAGAAATTTGCGGTTTCTGTGGGAAATTTACGGTTCTTTGATGGCATCAGCTCGCTTGGCCCTTTCTGGCACTCAAGTTCGGCTCTCACCTTGTCAACACGTCAACCCAACCCAAACTTGAACTGATGCCGTCCTTCCCTTCCCTCCTCTGCCTCCAGCCTCCCAGCCTGCCCAGTTCCATATAAACCGCGCCAGTACGTGCCCGGCGCAGCCGCCCGTCGATGGCCCTTCGTTTCGAACGTGTCGGACCGTTCGTTCGTCCTCGAACGCACTGACAAGTCGTCCTCCCGCTCCCCGCCAGCACAGCACGCGCCTATTCCCTTTCGGGAAGGCTGATGTAAGCCTGTGCTGCGACGGTGAATTTCCTGATGCGAAACCCTTCTTCGCACCTTTCCCGCCGTGAGAACGTCCGGGAAATGGACACTCTCGTCTGCGCAAGGGTGTGAATTGATGTTTAGCTACATCAGAACAGCTTCAAATGAACCAAGCAATACGTCGCTAAACTTGAAGAGCAGGACCCTTTTGTTTGTACCGCACCACAAATTTGGCTGCGGTCTACTACCCATCATATGAAGATAGCTGTAATATTCGTGGGTAGATTCACGGATCAGTGTTCGCCATCGCAAATGTGGTGGTGCCAGGGGTCCACTTATTGCTAATTCTCAGCATCGTGATTTTTACTTCATCCCTTTACAGCTGTTTGCAAAAAGGTTGACAGTAGCGCCATTTTGAGAAAGAACAAAACAAATAAATAATCACCACATCCATACATCGCAAATTGACCGTCAAGTATCGGAAAATCAGCCGCAACATCTAACTAGCCACAATTAATATTCACGAGCGTCAACACCTTGCACTCGAAGACATTCTTGCTTGCATCAGATTTTCGGAAAGCACGTTCTAGCATCCTCAAGCTCTGGCATGAAATGGGAGATGTTGTTATGCATACATTTGCACGTGTTATTTGACCCTATGTACATGGCTATTATTTATTTGTTTTGTTCTTTCTCAAAATGGCGCTACTGTCAACCTTTTTGCAAACAGCTGTAAAATCTCGCTTTCCCTAAGTCAGAATGGAAATACTATTCTCTTCAACACCATGGCTGCATGCTATTCTACCGAGGTGCGCTTTGAAAACTTGGGGAATCTTGGTTGTATGACTGAACTGGGCTTGGAAGACTACTGATCCAAGACCACTTGGGGAAGAAGAACCCCTCCCCGAAGCCCTTCGTGACATACCACATCCGATGAGGGTGCTATGTTTTTTTGCGGTTGGACGCCCCGATTTTAAAGACCATTGGAAGTCAATGCAATCAGATCAAGCTTTCGAAACCGTTAGGACTAGGTTGTGCTCTATCCTGGCCAACACTATCACAGCAGTAAGCTATCAAACTTCCTACGAGCTGAAGACGGCGCTAACATACTTCAAAGGCAGCCGTCCTCATCGCTACAAGTGGTGTATTCGTCACCACAGGCTCTCCTGTAACATATTTTGACTACTCATCACCTGCCCCCTATTTTCTACTCTTCGTATCCCTCATGTTGGCCATGATCGCAATGTTGACATCTGGCCTGAGCATGCTACGCTGGCTCCATATCGATCGACAGTGGACTCGAGAAGTAAGGATTATTCTCACCAGACCGTTTACACTGGCTGACCTCCGAGTCATCATCATTAGCAACTCAAGCCAGGTGGCTACTTCGCCATCTCCTACCTATTATCGATAGTCAGCCCCATGTTCTTCCTTACCTTGTCCCTGAATTGTTTCGTCTTTGGTGAGTTGATCCGTGATGTGGTACTCTCTCTTGGCCCTCATGCATTTCACCCCCCAGCGGTATTGATAGCAGGATTTTGCTCCCAAAGCATCATCTTTTGTACCGTCTCTGCACTCTGGCTGGTCATGTACATCGCCAACATCGGGATGGTATCTATGGAATTTATGATAGATCAACGGCTTAGGCTGTCAGTGGTACTTGTGCGCGGGTATTGGAAAGCGCCATTGTCGTGCTGCGGAGTGAACGGGCTGCCAAAGATTTCGAGTGCGCAACCGCGCACTTGAATAGTGGGCCTCACCCTCCAGATAGATGATGCCATGCTCTTGCCATGAGTGGGACCATAGACGGCCCTCATCTGATTGAAGGTACGTATCGTGATTACCGGTTATAACGATTTTGTGCTCATGTGGAAGGGAGACTAGCCAGTCGAAAGCGTCCTGGAGCTCACGAGGAGCCGGAATGGGTAAGGTCACCGGCGTGAATGAGGATATCACCGGGTGGAACCAGGGACGATATATTGGTGTTGTGAGTGTCTGAGATGCATATGGTGCGGACGGGAGAAACCGAACGACGTGGTGCTGAGTCGGTTATACAGCTTGGAGGCTAAATAAAGGCTGGGATTCGACTTGGACAGCTCCCATGGACTCGGAGCCTTGTGATTGACGATCACATCCAGGCCAGACATGCTCGCTTGAAAAAGATTAATGCATGCGTGAGCAATGGAATCATGCTTAAGCTTAAAGGCGCTGGAGATCAAACGCTGGCTTACTAAGCGTCGTAAATTACCGCTGGGTTTCAAACTATGCTTTGCGCGTCGCGTATCGCTGTCTCGGACTAGGTGGAGGCAAGCGATCCCTGTTCTGGCAAGAATTCGGCCACGTCCGTGCAGAATGTGATATCCTGAAATCTCCGTCACTCGAAAGCATCATCTTTTGTACCGTCACTGCGCTCTGGCCGGTCACATATGTCGCTAACATTGGGATGGTATCTATGGAATTTATGTGGAAGTATACGAAAAGCGTCAAATCAGGCTAGATAACGATCGCCGAGTGATTTCCACTTTCTTTCTTTCTTGTTTTACCTGTGGTGGAGCGTACGTTATATATATATGGCCTGCCTAATGTACATGCAACATGCAACATTACTACTGTGCTCAAAATGTGACGAGTATATATGCAGTCTGTCGCTTGTAGTTGTACCAATCCTTCAAGAGCGTTTTACGTGGAATCGAATCATATCATTATTATATGTGGACCATAGCGTGAACGCTGAAGGGGAAATTCTGGCTGATTTTTTAAATCTTCGTTGGCCAGACCTTTGAGCAGGTGTCACTTGCGCGCACCACCCTCGCCGCACCGATCATAAAAAGTCCATGAATTGCATCAAAAAAACAAAAATTAATGGACAAAAGCATCAAGTACTAAAAAGAAAGCATAAAACACTCCAAAAAGCATTAACCATCCATTGCATGATATCGTGGCCCGCACCCAATCCTCTACCCTCTACTCTCAACGTCTGGGCGGTCTGCCGTACCCCCTCTGTCACGGGCACCTCGGTCCTCTATCGAAAGCTTCTACACATGACATGACCTCTACGTCAGCGTCTGCGTCCATCCGCCAGGTCAAGCAGCATTGAAAGAGGTCATCAACGTCCCCGATTCTACGAAGACGACGCCTCAGAACACTCCTTTAGCTCTTCTTCCACAGCTTGCCGGCCTGCAGCTGTAAGAACTGGAATTCCGGAAGTGATATCTTGTTCAAAGTACTGGGGTATAAACCTGTGCATCGTTCAGCCGTAAGACCAGCACCGAAAAAACTAGGGGGAAAGGGAGGATGAGATACTCACTGTACGCCTTTCCTCTTCCTCTCACCCGCCTCATCCCGCTGCTTCTGCTCAATAGCAAGCTTCGCTTTCGTAGCCTCCCCATACTCCTTCGCAAGCAGCCTCGTCGTCACCGCGTCCCATAGCTTCCGGCTCTCATTAGGAAGTTGCCGCTCTAACGGGCGAACCTTCTTCGGAACGACAAACAGCGTCGACAGATCTACAAGAGTCGCATATTCCGTTTCTGATAACGACGGCGAAGAAGAAGCAGCAGATGGTGATGCAGCAGTCCGCCGCCATCGTATATGATTCCGCCAACATCCATCAAATACAGCTATGACGCGAGCTGTGGGGACGTGTTTCACTTTCGTCCATTCCTCGTGTTCTGTAGATTCTTCGTCGTACGTATGTATCACCCCGTCGACCAAAAAGTGCGCGCGGCCTAACCACGACTAGTCATGTTGTGAGCACCCTCCCATTGAGAGAGAAAGAGAAACACACCTCTTCTTTATATTCAATTACAGCACGATACGACACTCCACCTTTCCCCCCTGAACAAGTCACGATCGTGCTATCACCAACAGTGATATAAAAGCTCCCTCGCAAGATGCCGTTCACATTAGCCACGGGGTGCGTGATGTGGTACTTCTCACCCTTACCCGGGCCAGAGGTGAGGTTGATGTAAATGCCCTTGTTGAAGGACCCAGGGGCGACTCGTACAGCCGTACCGCTCACCTTTGCGCTGATCTGATCGATACCAGCCATTTCCATCCCACGCGATGGACATGAGGCGTAGTAGGCGCTAACCGGGGGATGATGGGATACCTGCTCTGTGACGTACACGACCCGAATATGGCTGTCTTCGGTTCTTCCATGTACGGGAGAAAGTGAGAGGTTGGAGAGACCGGCGTCGCCAAGGGACGTGGGAGCTGTGCTTGGTGATGTCTTGCCTTTTGAAGTGAGGCTAAGACCGCTGCGTGTGCTCTTTGAGCTCTTGCCGCTGCGATTACTCTTGACGCTTATGGTCTCGCTTACTGCTGGGGGTGGAGAGACTGTGGTGTGTACGCGGAGAATTGGGGGCTGGGTTGGATCGGAGGAGTAGGAGACTGGAGGGATGTCCCAGTGCCCGCGGAAGTGCTCGCCGAGGACGCTGTTGTAGGGTTTGCAGACTTTGCCGTGCTGTTGGAGGAATCAATTTTAGGAATGTTGTTGGAATCGATAAGTTTGGACGTACGACGAATTTGAGGTCCTTTGTGAAGATAAAACGCACGACGGCTAGTATGCGCTCGAAGGGATCGTTGGAATCGTTGATTCTAAGATTGGCACGGGGCACAATCAGCGTCCGCACACAGTCACCCACAAAGGGAAAGAGCAGGACTTGGTACTCACGCAGCGAATAGATCTGGTCTATCGAGGTAATGCCAATATTCGAGGTTGGGAAGAGGCTCGAGGAGGGATGCCGGGAGTGATAGGCGCCTTGATTGAAAGTTTAGTGATGGCACGGATGAAAGGAGCGGGAAGTGAGACAGACATTGCAGCGATGTCCTTTACGCCCAAACATTTCTTAACGAGCTGGACGATCATACTGAGCTTTCCACCTTCGCCTGCGTCGCCAGAATCAGGCAAAGAAATGGTCGGCTCAGCGGCTTCATCGTCTTCTAGCACCTCGCCAGAGGGTATCTTGATGACTGCTTCATCCACCATGATTGATCTTGTACGGTTTGAAGAGGATTCGGATGTAGAGTAGGAAAGAAAAAAAAGAAAAGAGGGGATTAGATTTGTGGGTTGCTTCAAGAGAGACCGCAGTGGTGTTGAGAGAGCTCAGAGGAAACACGTGCGTCCGAGTTGTACGAGTATATTATGGGCGCTTATTTACAGTACAAACCCTCGAATCCTCAATTCGCAAATCCATTCAAAGACAGCGCATGGCAGTACTATACATGGATTCTTCTAGATCAGTAATACCTCCATGCAACCTCACTATGGTCATCAATGCTCCAAGTACTGTATATGTGGCAAGACAGCGCGATGTATTTATTCAAAGCGCGTGATCCACCGCAAGAACTTGAGCACGCAATGCCGTATCTAGGGCAATGGGCAGGTCTCCGGTAAGCGCAAAGATCACATCACTAGCGTCAGCTCGTGTATAGACACCTGCTTGCAACATGGGGAACCGACAAAGGGCATCCTCGATCACATACACATGTCCTGGGGAGTCCCCCTTAATTGGCATGATGAAGCCTTGTTCGAGGACAGAACATCAACGACCCCCGCAACGGAGGTGATATTTGCAATACCTTACCAGAGAACCAAAGCTCGAGGTGGCATTGCATCATCTCATGCAAATATATGCTAGCGATGTAGCTAATACATCTGGAATCATCGCATCAGCTGAATAAAGACATACTGGTATCGAGACCCACCAATACCATGAACTCCGAGAATGCAGCGGTAAACGCTATCAGTACAAACCCTAATCCACTCAAGGACCCACAGGAGTAACATACAACCCCTTCAGGGACTCTATCGCCATCCTCGCGCTCATCCTCAACTTCCCGTCCTCACCACCCATATCAGCATACCCAAGCCCCATCTTCTCCGCCGCTTTCCGCACACCCTCATCTTCCCTCCCCGCATCTCCTTCCCTCTTTTCCCGTGCCCACCACCGCACCGCGCGCTCCCGCAGCTCAGGCCGGCGCATCACAGCAGCTCGCGTGTATTTCAACAGATGTGCGCGCGGGAGGGAGCGCTCAAGGTGTGCGAGAGCAGGAGCAAGGGACATACTGGGTGGTCCTGGCTGTTGCGATACAGGGAGGAACTGCGTAATGACCGGGAGTAGAAGGGACAGCGCTTGGCGTGCAAACTGCATTTTATCGTGCCACTGTTCATACCAATTTAGTCGACTATGTCTTTGAAATGAGAAACACATACCATGAACACCCTCATTCCGTCCTTGGGAAGCGGAGCAGCGCTCACACTCGCCAAGACGTAGCATTCTGCCAGGGCCGCGCATACTAACACACCTAAAACATACCCCCTCCATCTATCTCTTCCATTTGCGCCAGATGTGAGCAACAACAGCACTGCAGCAGTTCGGACATATGCGAGAATCGCGCCCGCGAACACAAATAGTGCATAATCGCTCGCAGAGGTGCATGGGGCGCAAGTCTGCAGCGCCCTTTGACCAAACCTGTATGTAGACGAAAGTGGTCATGATTTTGCGATAAAAACGCAGGATTAAAACGCACCGAACGAACCAACCCCTCGATTCATCCGTCTTGAGTCGACTTAGTAAAAGTTCGAGATCAGGTGGCATTGGGACGGACACAGCAAGTCCTCCATCTCCTCCTCCACCTGCTCCGAATCCAGCTTCTAATAAGAGCAACGCACGAATGCGCTCTACGGGAAGAGTGAGGGGAATACGTAGGCGCGTGAAAAGGTTGGGTGGACGTTGGATGAGACCATATAGGGAGTACAATGAGTGGATAAGAACGACGCCAGGGAAAAGGTTTGCAGATGCGTGTTTGTATATGCTATGAAATTGGTTGTGTATGTAGAGCCATGCTAAAAGTATAAGTAGGGACGTGAACAGGAGTGTGTCGATGAATACGCTCATTACAAGCTACGGAACAATAATGAAGCAGCGTGTATCCTCGTCGGAACATGTTCGGAATTCGGATGAACGATCACGTGACTAGAAACGTCTTGTTCCACTGATTTCATGCTCTTATAAATTGCTGCCACAGCTGAAGATATCGAATTAACAGTACCGGTTCGATGACTTGGCCTCATGTGCGTGGCTAACACAAAGACGGATCGTCTTCGGAGAAGAGGCTTTCTGCCGAGCTGCTCAAAGTTCGGATCCTCCTAACCGAAAGAATACATCCACCTCGCTATGACTTTCAAAACACTGGTTCAACTTGGAGTGTATGAATCAAAGCATAGCGCAAAGCTCCCGTGGACGATCCATCGGACGCCAAACCCCCATATCCGTAAGAATCTTCTCGGTGTACCCTGCTGCTCCAGAAAGCCGAGCGGCTTTGTAACATGGCGCATGTTGAATACCGAGGTAGTGCGGACTAGGTAGGGGCAAGCGATTCCTGTTCTCAATATGGATGCCACTCATTTTTTTTTCCAGCCTCTACCAATAGATGCATTTCTGGTCAAGACAATGATCTTGGTTGCATTGACCGTCAGCCTGGAAGTGTGTTGAGAAGATACAGAGGTCCGACCTCTGGCAGCCTTGACTATAAGGCCAAAATGACAGTTCAGGCACGATTCAGCGGGTAATAATTACTCACACAAACGGACGAAATGTGCAGAGTTAAATTGGGCAAAGGTGGAGCTCGATATCGTCAGCACGGCTGTTGATGTCTTTCGCGACGTTGCGACAGCTAGCATCACTTGGAGCATATAGCACTGGAATCGAGGCCATACGAACGATGGGTCTGGAGCGTCCAGATGCATGCTAGAGGCCGCCCGAGCCCGCCAGGCAACACAATGGATATACGCCTATTTAAACTCGGGGTCAGAGGGGAACGTGTCGGGGAGGTTGGGGGGAAAGGGTCAATCCATGGCAGGCCAGTCGATTTGTCCCGTTAATATATATGATATTGGTAATGGTGTGTTTGGATTTAGTCTTGAATAAACGGTTGACTTGATCTTGGAAGGCTCTGGATCAAGCTTCAAAGCTTCAGAAAGCTGTGGAGGAAGAGCTAAAGGAGGTTTCCGAGACGTCGTCTTCGTAGAATTGGGAACGTTGATAACTTCTTTCAATGCTGCTTGACCTGGCGGCTGGACATAGACGCGTGACGTGGAGGTTATGTCTCCATCCATTTTTGTTTATTTTTTTTGATGAAATTGTATGATCAATGTGGCGAGGGTGGTTGGTGTGCGTGCACGTGTTTATATGTCATTTGTGTTCGACGAAGGGGGGACAAGTATTATGACCTACTCAATAGGTCCGGCCTACGAAGTGAGATTTTAAAAACCGGCCAGTGTTCCCATAAGCGTTCACGCTACCATGGAGAATATGATAAATACTACGATTCGATTCGACATAAAGCGCTCTTGAAAGATCTTCATAACTAGAAGCCAGACTGCATAACTAGAAGCCAGACTGCATACATATAATACTCGTCAAACTTTGGGCACAGTAGTAATGCGGCGTGCTCCACGTACATCAGGCAGGCATATATATAACGTACACTCCAGCACAGGTAAAACAAGAAAGAAAGAAAGTGAAAATCACTCGGCGATCGATATCTAGCCTGATGTGACGCTCTTCGTGTACTTCCACATAAATTCCATAGATACCATCGCAATGTTAGCGACGTATGTGACCAGCCAGAGCGCAGTGACGGTGCGGAAGATGATGCTTTGGGAGCAAAAGCCTGCTATCAATATCGCTGGGGGGTGAAATGCATGAGGACCAAGAGAGAGTACCACCTTATGGAATAACTCACCAAAGATAAAACAATTCAGAGACCAGGCGACGAAGAACATGGGGGTGACTATCGACAATAGGTGGGAGATGACGAAGTAGCCACCTGGCTTGAGTTGCTGATAATCACGAGGTCAGCTGGTTTAAGCGATAGTGAGAGAATAATCCTTACTTCTTGAGTCCACTGTCGATCGGTATGGAGCCAGCGTATCATGCTCAGGCCGGATGTCAACATTGCGATCATAGCCAACATGAGGGATATGAAGAGCAAAAAATAGGGGGCAGGCGATGAGTAGTCAAAATAGGTTACAGGAGAGCCTGTGGTGACGAATACACCACTTGTAGCGAGTAGGACGCCTGCCTTTGGAGTATGTTAGCGCCGGCTTCAACTCGTAGGAAGCTGGATAGCTTACTGCTGTGATAGTGTTGGCCAAGATAGAGCACAGCCTAGTCCTAACGGTTTCGAATGCTTGATCTGATTGCAGTGACTTCCAATGGTCTTTAAAATCGGGGCGTCCAACCGCAAAAAGACATAGCACCCTCATCGGATGGGGTATGTCACGAAGAGCTTTGGGGAGGGGATCCTCTTCCCCAAGTGGTCTTGGATCAGTAGTCTTCCGAGCCCAGTTCAGTCATAGTACAGCAAAGATTCCTAAGTTTTCAAAGCGCACCTCCGTAGAATGGAATGAAGCCATGTCGTCAAATAGAGGAATACAGATGGACTAATGCACTTTCCATACTGACTTAGGAACAGGGAGATGCGACATTTATAACTAAAGGGAGCACAGCACCGATTAATGTTTCGTTTGAACTTACGGAACTAGAGCGTTGAAAAGTATTGCATGCATATGACACTGGCATGTAGATAGGGTTCTCCCGGGGGCTCCGGACGTGCTGAAATTTCCTTACTAGTACTTAGCCTTATTCTGACATGTATATACAGGAATCCGAAGATGTCGGTTCCTCGTTTACTGATGTCCCTCCATCACTCGTTTATTGATGTTACTCCATCATTCGTTTACTGATGACTCCCTCCATCACTCGTTTACGCCCACCCAGCGGCAATCTCGCCAGCGTCCGGACCGAGCGTTAGCTCGGTCCCAGCCCAACCACTGATTGTCTGACATCAACATTTTGCGATAGACGAAGCTGAAGTCAAGAACTTCGCGTTCATTCGATCAACATCAAGTTATATGGACTCTGGTACCACTTTCATTATCAAAGTGCAGAATGGTGCCGGGGGTAAGATCTCCGGTCACTAGTGGCGATACATGGTAGTACTGGTCTCTGGCACACCGTGGCCCGGTCGATACATGGTAGCACTGCTGTTCGGCCGGAACCGTGGCCCGTTTCGTAGTTGGCAGTGTTAACCTAATTTAATATTAGCATCGTGATTTTTACTTGAACGCGCCCCTGCAGCTGCGAGTTCGAAACTGATTGGGAATGATTGAAACGTTCCAGAATCTACAGAGAAGAAGGGCTATATATGTTATGTCTTCCAAGTTCCGGTTGTTAAGTCAGCCTGACAATGGTACGGGCACTAATCCATCTTCACTCTTCTCTTGGACGCATTAATGACCTCGGTCTATTCCACCGAGGTACGCTTGAAACAATGAAAATGTCGAGAAACTTTCTGAAACTGCGACATCTTCAAGTTCTGTGCATTAATATTGGTATACTCTATGGGCCGTGCTTTATATATATACTAGTTCGTCACAGTTGTTGTCAATTTTCTGATTGACTTGGATCTCCTTCGTTTGTCATTGGTAAGACGGTACACTTGGTGAGAAACGTGTTCGCGACGCGGGTCAGTTGACGACACTTTTATATACTTGATGCAATACAGGATGGTGTTGTTCCCCACGGTGTCGAGAATGCACGACGAATGTATGACGAAACTTGCGATTGGTTGTTTCCTGAGGAATTCGCCGCAGAATATGACGGGCTGATTCTTGAAGTACAAGAGCATCTTCCTCTATCGTGACGGTCATCTCGTTGAACCTTACTGCTTCACATTCTTGCAGATTTGAACCAGTTGAACTGAGTCTCTTGCCTTGATTGCGCCCAGCCGCGTGCTACGAAAGCTTGTCCTCATGATCTGATCCACACATTTCTCCTTGTTCTTCCCTTCCAGAACTCGCAGACCGCAGATGTCTTGGCATTGCGCATGCAGGTGGTGACGTAGAGTAATTCATTCCATCTCCTGCGGCTTTCCACTCAGAGTGGCAGAACTCAGCCAAGCTGAGACCGCCCAACAAATGAGTATAATGACCACTGAAGAACAAGCCGCAGACGTCCACTTACTGCATACATATAGAGTGAAAGGGCAGATGGGACACGAGGCACTTACTAGGAAAACAACCCCGTCAACCCATTCACTCGCGGGGTGAGACCGACTTCGCATTTGCTTGGCGTCACCCTGCACGTGATGAATGCAGTGAATAATAGGTTCCGGCGACTCGGCTTTGGAGATATATACCGTCATGAAACGCTGAATGGTGAAGGACAGACATCAGAAACTGTCGTTAGGGATGGCCATAAACGTACCCTCCACTAATCCTCCGAAACAGCAAACATCATTCAAACAAAAACCCAATGAGGAGTCGCCACCCGGACTCCGAAGCGCAAGAAATCCTCATCAGCGTTCTCATCTGCAGGCAAGTTTCCCTCCGAGTCAGGGACATCCGTCACCTCACCGAGCGGGACAACCGCTTCTGCCCATGCTGGGACTTTCTCGGGGCGTTTTGGGCGTGCCCGTAGCTCCTCGAAGTCATCTACGATGGAAGGTGCATCGCGGGGTAATCCTGCCATAATAAGACGGTTGTACGCTTTCTCCATGATGTAACATAGTCCAGCCATGATGGCGTATTGAAGTGCCTCGTCTGTGTCTGTGGCGGAGCCTGTCTTGGGTTTGTTATCAGGATATGGATCTGGGAGGGCTGAGAGCGCCCAATCGGGTTGAGAGCGCGTTCAAAAGTATTCGAGCTCGTTGCGGAACTGGACTGTCCAGTCTATGACAAAAAATTGATAAAGGCGATAGAAAGATGCGGACGGTGTGTCGCTAGATGGAGGAGAAAGGAGTGGGAGAAGTCGGTTGAGGACAGGTCGAGGAATGAGGGAATGCCGCCATGACATGGGTCCGCGAAGTGGATACTTTCGAAGGACTGCGGTACGGACTGCGAGGAGTTTTGAAGGGGTTGGAGGGATAGGTTCGCGCAAACTGATCAGAAAATTGTCAATGTCGGTTGAAGCACAGAAATACATCGTTTGAGAGCTGGAATTGACCCACCTCTGCGCTTGGTCGTGTGACATGGATGAAGCTGAAACTGACCAACCTTGTGGGATGTGAGTGAACTACTCGTGTAGAAGCTTCTCGATCCAGAAAATGTAAGGTAGAATCGAGGCGTGACCACCATAAAATACTCACCAAGTTTAGTTAAGGCGGTATCAAATGAGAAGGGGCCGAAGTGTGTAGTAAATTTCCTGATGATTTAAACACACTTACTAGCTTACTAGCCTGACGTCGTGGGTTGATGGTACGCACACGTGGATAATACAAGACGTAACGTCTTCAAGGGGGGAGCCTTTCTGCTCGTGACGCGCAAAGTATGGATCCAGTACTAGACTACTAGTGGTGCACTTGCCCAACTAAGTACGAACTTGAAGCTAGTTTGAAAGCCAGCGGTACTTTACGTCGCTTAGTAAGCCAGCGTTTCATCTTCAGCACTCCTCCTCATGTATACGACCCATCGTTCATGCACGGATTGATATTTTTCGAGCGAGTATGCCTGGCCTGGATGCGATCATCGATTGCGAGGCTCGAAGTCCATGGGAGCTGTTCAAGCCGAATCTGAGCCTCTCCCTAGCGTCGAAGTTCCAAGCTATATAACCGTCTCAGCAGACAATCGCCACGTCGTTCGTTCTCTGCCGTCCGCAGGGGCACCTCCGCACCATATGGATCTCAGACACTCACAACACCGATATATCCTCCTTGATTCTACCCGGTGATATCCTCATTCACGCAGGTGACCTTACCCATTCCGGCACTCCTCGTGAGTTCCAAGACACTTTCGACTGGCTAGTCTCCATTCTACGTGAGCACAAAATCGTTATAGTCGGTAATCACGATACGTACCTTCAAACGGACGAAGGCCATTTATTGGTTCACTCATGGCGAGAGCATGGCATCATCTATCTGGAGGACGAGGTGCGCGGTTGCGCACTCGAAATCTTTGGCAGCCCGTTCACTCCGCAGCACGGCAATGGCGCTTTCCAATACACACGTACGGATACCACTGATAGCACAAGTCGTTGGTCTATCATTCTTGACGACACCGATATTCTCATCACTCACGGTCCTCCGTACGATCATCTCGACCTCTCTGGGCTTGGTTGCAAAGCCCTAGTGACGACTTCCCGAAACCGAACAGTCAGCGATATATACTCCCTCGGCTGCATCATGTACAGGTAAAACGCATACCCTAGATCTTGGTCGAGTCTCTTCTGAATGTCGCATTCTACAGGTCTTCTCAGTTATCTTGCATTCTGGTGGCTTGGACATATTCAACAGGTGTTCAGGCCCAATCCCAGGCACATAGGGTATCGTCGACTCGACTCTAGTGGTTTGTCCATTTATCGTTGACGTTTGGAATCCACACTGACATGTTAGTCACGCAAGCAGGTATCCTTGCATTGATGCTGTTTCATTTGTGGAAGAAGAGTGCACCCTCTCCCGTCTATAGCCGATTTTGTTTCATACCACGGAATTACAATTACATGTCAGTACGGTTTGATCCTCCCTGAGCTCTTGCTGGCCCGACTGATACAGGGTGATAACTACTGCGGGGAAACGATACAAATCCCGTTACGGTACATGTGATGTTGGGAATGGTGGGCTTGAATTTTGTCTTGAATCAACTGTTGACTTGATCATGGAAGGCTCCGGATCAAGCTTCAAAGCTCCAGAAAGCTGTGACAGAAGAGCTGAAGGAGTGTTATGAGGCGTCGTCTTCGTATAATCGAGGACATTGATGTCCTCTGTCAATGCTGCTTGACCTGGCGGCTAGACGCGGATGCGGATGTAGAGGTCATGTCATGTGTAGAAGCTTTGGATAGAGGACTGAGGTGCTCGTGACGGAAGGGGGGCACGACAGACCGCTCGGACGTTGGGCGTAGAGGGTAGAGGATTGGGTGCGAGCCACGATATCACGCAACAGATGGTTAATGTTTTGTGGAGTGTTTGGTGCTTTATTTTCAGTTCTTGATGCTTTTATCTGTCAACTATTTGTTTTGATGTAATTCATGGACTTTTTATTATCTGTGCGGGCGAGGGTGGTTGGTGTGCGTGCAGGTGTCTACATGTATCTGTGTCCGACGAGGGGGGGGGTGTGTGTATCATATGTCACCTGCTCAACAGGTCCGACCTACGAAGTAAGATTTTCAGAGCTTTCTCATAAGCGTTCACGCCGTGGCCCATGTAGAATAATAATAATGTGATTCGATTCGACATAAAGCGCAGTTGAAAGATTGGCATAACTACAAGCCACAGACTACATATATATACCCGGGTATTTTGAGCACAGTAGTAATGCTGCGTGCTCCACGTACATCAGGCAGGCATATATATAACGTACATTCCAGCACAGGTAAAACAAGAAAGAAAGAAAGTGGAAACTCGGCGATCGTTATCTAGCCTGATTTGACGCTCTTCGTGTACTTCCACATAAATTCCATAAATACCATCCCAATGTTGGCGACATATGTGACCAGCGAGAGCGCAGTGACGGTGCGGAAGATGATGCTTTGGGAGCAAAAGCCTGCTATCAATATCGCTGGGGGGTGAAATGCATCAGGGCCAAGAGAGTACCAATTACGGATCAACTCACCAAAGATAAAACAATTCAGGGACCAGGCGACGAAGAACATGGGGGTGACTATTGATAATAGGTGGGAGATGACGAAGTAGCCGCCTGGCTTGAGTTGCTGATAACAACGAAGTCAGCTGGTGTAAGCGATAGTGGGAGAAAAAACGTTACTTCTTGAGTCCACTGTCGATCAGTGTGGAGCCAGCGAATCATGCTCAGACCAGATGTCAACATTGCGATCATGGCCAACATGAGGGATATAAAGAGCAGAAAATAGGGGGCAGGCGATGAGTAGTCAAAATAGGTTACAGGAGAGCCTGTGGTGACGAATACACCACTTGTGGCGATGAGGACGGCTGCCTTTGGAGTATGTTAGCGCCGGCTTCAGCTCGTAGGAAGTTTGATAGCTTACCGCTGTGATAGTGTTGGCCAGGATAGAACACAACCTAGTCCTAACGGTTTCGAATGCTTGATCTGATTGCATTGACTTCCAATGGTCTTTAAAATCGGGGCGTCCAACCGCAAAAAAACATAGCATCCTCATTGGATGGGGTATGTCACGAAGGGCTTCGGGGAGGGGATCCTCTTCCCCAAGTGGTCTTGGATCAGTAGTCTTCCAGGCCCAGTTCAGTCATACAACAAAGATTCCCAAGTTTTCAAAGCGCACCTCCGTAGAATAGCACGCAGCCATGGTGTTGAAGAGAACAGTATTTCCATTCTGACTTAGGAACAGCGAGATTTTAAAGGGATGAAGTAGAAACGATGTTAAAATTAACAGCAGTGAGTTGTTCGGTGAGCATATGGGATGTAGACCCCTGACACCACTTGTGGGACGAATTGGCGAGCGCTTTTTCGAGTCGGCAGTTAATAGATTCCTCTTACCCTGTACCCTCCTGTACCACTGTTAGGGAAGTGATTGCGAGTGACACTGAATCTACCCACGAAAATTATACAGCTATATACCCAGCGGTGTTTAAATTTCTATTTCAAATCACATGGTGTACTATCACTTCCACTGCAATCGGCACCCACAATTTTGTGAAAGTGCCGACTTCTGTGGGGTGCCGATTGCAGTGGAAGTGATAGTATGGGGCTCTCAAGGAACTGACACTGATCCGCTTGCAATTGGTACACAGCTGTATAATTTTCGTGGGTAGATTCAGTGTCACTCGCAATCACTTCCCTAACAGTGGTACAGGAGGGTACAGGGTAAGAGGAATCTATTAACTGCCGACTCGAAAAAGCGCTCGCCAATTCGTCCCACAAGTGGTGTCAGGGGTCTACATCCCATATGCTCACCGAACAACTCACTGCTGTTAATTTTAACATCGTGGTTTTTGAACAATGAGTAACGGGTCTCCCAGCTGCGTCAATATGATTCGTGGGTATATTCATGGATCAGATCTAGAGCTGACTAGTTACTGACAGACAGTTCCGTACTTGCAGTGTTAACATCGTGATTTTACATCCCTGGGTGTACGGCTTATCTATCCTCACAGACCGCGCCCCAGGCTGCCAGTTCGAAACTAATTGGGAATGTTCAAAACGTTCCAGAATCTGCAGCTGGAAGAAGGGTAACCTTATATTATGTCATATCTTCCGGTTGTTTTCTCTTAGACGCATTAACGACCTTCCACTGAGGTACGAACACAGGATGATGTTGTTCCCGATTCCCCCATCGGCAAAGTCGAGAATGCGCCCCAAATGTACGACGAAACCTGCAATTGGCTTATTGTTGAACATTCGCCGCAGAATGTGACGAGCTGAAGTAAGTATAAGAAAATCTTCCTCTATCATGACGGTCACCTCGTGACCTTGCTGCTTCACATTTGAACCAGTTGAACTGAGTCTCTTTCCTTGACTGCGCCCAGCCGCGTGCTACTAGTAGAAACAGACAAGTGCAACTGCAAAAGCTTGTCCTCACGATCTGATCCACACATGTTTCCTTATTCTTCCCTTCTAGAACTTGCAGATTGCAGATGTCTTGGCATTGCGCATACAGGTGGCGACGTAGGGTAATTCATTCCATCTCCTGCGGCTTTCGACTCAGGGTGGCAGAACTCACCCAAGCTGGGACCGCCCAACAAATGAGTATATTGACCACTGAAGAATAAGCCGCAGATATCCACTTACTGCATGCATATAGAGTGGAAGGGCAGATGGGGCACAAGGTACTTACTACCTTGCGAGTGATCGGGTTGACGGGGTTGTTTTCTTGAGACCGACTTCGCATTTGCTTGGCGTCACCCTGCACGTGATGAATACAGTGAATAATAGGTTCCGACGACTTGGCTTTGGAGATATATACCGTCATGAAACGCTGAATGGTGAAGGACAGACATCAGAAACTGTCGTTAGGGATGGCCATAAACGTACCCTTCACTAATCTTCCGAAACAACAAACATGATTCAAACAAAAACCCAATGAGGTGTCGCCACTTGGACTCCGAAGAGCAAGAAATCCTCATCAGCATTCTCATCTATAGGCACGTTCCCCTCCTAGTCAGGGACATCCGTCACCTCACCGAGCGGGATGACCGCTTCTGCCCATGCTGGGACTGACTCGGGGCGTTTTGGGCATGCTCGTAGCTCCTCAAAGTCATCTACGATGGAAGGTGCATCGCGGGGTAGTCCAGCCATAATAAGGCGGTTGTACGCTTTCTCCATGATGTAACATAGTCCAGCCATGATGGCATATTGAAGTGCCTCGTCTGTGTCTGTGGCGGAGCCTGTCTTGGGTTTGTTATCAGGGTATGGATCTGGGAGGGCTGAGAGCGCCCAATCGGGTTGAGAGCGCGTCCAAAAGTATTCGAGCTCGTTGCGGAATTGGACTGTCCAGTCTATGACAAAGAATTGATAAAGGCGGTAGAAAGATGCGGACGGTGTGTCGCTAGAAGGAGGGGAAAGGAGTGGGAAAATTCGGTGGAGGACAGGTCGAGGAATGAGGGAATGCCGCCATGACATGGGTCTTCGAAGTGGATACTTTTGAAGGACTGCGGTGCGATCTGCAAGGAGTTTTGAAGGGGTTGGAGGGAGAGGTTCGCGCAAACTGATCAGAAATTTAATGTCGGTTGAAGCACAGAAATACATTGTTTGAGAGCTGAAATTGACCCACCTCTGTGCTTGTTCGTGTGACATTAATGAAGCTGAAACTAACCAACCTTGTGGGATTTGAGCGAACTACTGGCCGCTCGTGTAGAAGCTTCTCGACCCAGAAAATGTAAGGTAGAATCGAGGCGTGAGCACCATAAAATACTCACTAAGTTTAATTAAGGCGGTATGGGCCGGAGTGTGTAGTAAATTTCCTGGTGATTTAAACACACTTACTAGCTTACTAGCCTGACGTCCAAAGTTTGGATCCAGTGGTGCACTTGCCTACGTGCCTTACTGTGTACGAACTTTTTAATCGGGGTAAAATCTTGTTTTCACAAGTTTAATCAGACAAGGAGACTCAACGCTAGAAGCCGCGCTCGGCACCCTCTTTCAGCGACGCACCGCTGTGGCGTTGCTGCGCAAACGTGGCTAAACGCCCCTCTTACTGGTGGCTTATCATGGGGCATTTGCGCTCAGATGAACCGCATCTCCTGTTCTCTCCAAGTCTCCCCCTTGTCGAGCTACAGTAGTATTTTTCGCTACTTCTTGAACTCGTTTCACTCGTCGATCGTTGCACTCAATCCATAGAACTGATGAGCGTTACACAGCAAGCTTCTTCCTCACAAATATCATTATCTGCGACCACGCCTCAAGTGAGCCCCTCAAAAGACACCTTTCCTTTCGACTGTTTGAGGATCGTCGGTAACTTTCGTCGGGGAGCCACGGATAAAACCAATGCATTTATCAACCTTTGTGAACGTGCCTCAAAGATGGGACAAGGTGAGCTCGGAGAGCCAAGCGCTTCCTCGCTCGTCGCACCCTACCACCGCATGCTCGACACGATTGAAAAGGAAATTGTCTCGATTAGAGGTCAAAATTCGGGAGACAAAGAACAAGCTCTTGAAGATGGAGACCAATTTGAAGAAGAACAAGAATCCGAACATGATTCTTCGTCCGACGAGTTCGAAGCCGTCGCTGAGTCAGAGACTGTCAAGTCCTACACTGATTCAGAGGATGGTGAGCCCTCGAGGAAAAAGTCTCGAGATTTTAAACTCGACTTCTCAAACCTCTCTCACCCAACAGTCACTCGGAGAGCGAAGAAACTCTCTCGCTCTCTTAGAAAAACCAACGCTATTCTCGCGAATTGGGCCCATGACCCGAAGCGTGTCAAGCGTAAGTGGCTCGAGTCTCCTTTCGTCCCAGAGTTCCCTGAGTCCGAACTCTACAACATCATCCGAGGACGAGTCGTCAATTTCGACGTCGTCTTCTCAGGATGGTATTCTGATGAGCCTGAGCAAGACTGCGAAGAGAAGGTTGGAAAAGTCAAAATTAAGGTCGTCGGAGGAGCTGAGCCTGCGAAGTCCATCCGAGGCTCGCAGGACTGGCACGTCGCCTATTCTCTCTTCGCAGCAGCAATGCTTTTCGCCTTCCCTCACCGACAAGACGAAATTTTCGACTACCAAAACTACATACATCAAAAATTTGCCAAAAAACAGTCCGGATCTCATTCAAAGATCATCGCGTTTGACAGAGCAGTTCGAAAACGTGTCAGCAGAAGAAGGGATCTCGAACTCTCTGATTTCAGCCAATTCACCGACCTCTACGAATCGCACTGCATGCCTGACGGCGTCAACATCGGGGACGATTCCAATTCTAGCGGAGGCAAACGGAAGCGAAGCAGTCGAGAGTATTGTAAGCGTTGGAATTTTGGAAACTGCAGCCGCTCAGCAGCGACTTGCAACTACAAACACGCCTGCGTCAAGTGCAACAGCACAGACCATAATGAAAAGAACTGTGACTCACGAAGCTCTTGAGTCGGCTGGTGCCTCAAAACGTCCTCGTTATCTTCACGGGATGGCTTGGTTTGTCGAAGAATCATCTTTCAGTCCCTCGGCAAAATCTTCATTATATGCCGTGCCCTTACCTTCACCAAGCAATTTGGAGTACTCTAGCCAAGTTCTCTCGACTCTCTCGACTCGGCCTGACCTTTTCGCTATCGTCACTCCCATCAATATCAACTCTTTCGAAAATTTTCTGCACGACCATCCCAATCGACGATTTGTTGATTCTGTTTGTCTCGGTCTGCGCGAGGGCTTTTGGCCTTGCGCAGATACGTGCTTGGAAGGTTATCCATTAACTTGGGACAACTCCTTTCGACCTCTCACAGATGAAGGGCATAGAGCTTTCATTCGAGAGCAGGTTAATGAAGAAGTTCGTCTAGGACGTTTCTCGCCCCCGTTTGGACCCGGATTGCTTGACGGGATGTACAGCACTCCTATCCACGTCGTTCCCAAACCTCACTCAAACAAGTTACGACTCGTCGTTGATCATAGTGCTGGTCAATTTTCTCCTAATTCAATGATCAATCTTGACGGGACAACTGGAGTCAAACTCGACGGGATGCGTTCTCTCGGACTCAGTTTGTTGCAGTTTCGACGTGCTCACACAAATGTTTCACTAGTCATGTTCAAATCTGACGTGTCCCAAGCTTATCGTCGTCTGCCAATGCATCCTTTATGGCAATTGAAGCAGATCATCACCGTCGATGACAATCGCTACGTCGATCGGTGCAACAACTTTGGAGGAAGAGGGTCTGCCCTCATTTGGGTGTCGTTCATGTCACTCGTCATTTGGATTGCTTCTGTCGTTTTGCTCCTTGAACATCTCAAACTTTATATGGACGACTCCTACTCTTTCGAAGTGGAAGGCAATGTGCTTTTTTACGAGCCTTACAGTGCCTATCTTCCACGAAAGCAAGTTCTTCTTCTCCAGCTCTGGGACAAGCTCGGCATCCCACACGAATCCGCAAAGCAAGTTTTTGGTCGTCGTCTCACTATAATCGGTTTTGAGGTAGATCCAAATGCCATGACAATTTCCCTGTCAGACGAAAAGAAGAGCGAGATGATTGACGTCTTCCGCAATTTTGCCGTCGCTCGGCAACGACGAACCTTACGCGAGTTCCAGCAGCTCGCTGGGTCTGCAAATTGGCTTTTCAACGTTTTTCCTTTGCTTAGGCCCGGAATCTCCTCCATTTATGACAAAATCCGTGGGAAGGACAAACCTCTCGCTCAGATTTATGTTAATGTCGAAATCGTGCGGGAAATACACTGGATGATTGGTCACCTCGAATGTCAGCCAGGTATTCTACTCGTCGACTCTTTGGACTGGGATCCAGATAACGCAGCGGACGTTGTCAAAGCTTTCACGGATGCTTCTTCACATGGTCTTGGGTACTGGTTCCCTGACTGTAACTTCGGCTTCCAGTGTCCGTTGCCAAGTGATGCCCCAACTAACACTATTTTCTTCTTTGAAGCACTGGCAGTGTGCAGTGCCATTCATGGTGTTTCGGAGATGAATTGTGTACCTCGTCGTTTGGCTGTTTATACTGATAACACCAACACCGTGGACGTTTTTAACTCCATGCGTGCTTCCCCTCCTTATAATCGAATTCTCATGTCAGCCGTCGACGTGCTTATCAAACATCACATCGACCTACGAGTAGTTCACATCCCAGGATCGGAAAACATGGTCGCGGACGCGTTATCTCGTTTCAAAAACGATATTGCCCTTCAACATGTTCCTGATCTCCTTGTCGATTCCTTTCTACCCCCTCGAGTCACGCTGGGGGCGGAGAAGAAATGAACAAAGGACGTAAGTCCAGCCGTCCTAACAGACAGGCTTGGACTTCGGAGCGACTGCTCCATGAGCGCGCAGTCGCGCTTGGTTTCACTCTCGCAAAATCCACTTCCGCTTCTTATGACTCAGCGCTCGCCTCTTATATTGAATTTTGTAGGCTTCATCATCGCCCTCTGACCCCTACTTCCGACACATTGTCATTCTTCGTCGTTTGGATGTCTTCATATATCCTTCCCACTTCAGTCGACAGCTATCTCTCCGGAATCTGCAGCAAACTCGAGGATGATTTTTCGGAGGTCCGCGAAGCTCGCAAATCCCGTTTGGTTCAACGTACTTTGATTGGCTGCAAACGACGATACCATCAACCAGTCAACAGAAAGGAACCCCTTGCACGCGAGCACCTTCGTGTCGTTTTTGATCGTCTTCGCGAGTCGACCAATTACGATGACATCCTTTTTCTCACTCAACTTTACTTTGGCTTCGAGACGTTGCAACGTCTCGGAGAGCTTTGTTGGCCTGATGCCTTAAAACTACGCACATACTCATCCATTCCAATGCGTCACACTGTTTCACTCGATCACGACAGCGCATCATATTCTCTACCTGGCTCGAAAACCGACCAATTTGGTCACGGAACTCAAGTTTTAGTCACTCGTCACGCCGACGTTGACGACTGCGCTTTCTCTCTGTTTCATCTTTATTTGGATATGCGCGACTCTCAATTCCCCCATCATCCCGAGCTGTGGCTGCGTTCGTCTAGTGAGATTCCTACTCGCGCATGGTGGACCACGCGCCTTCGGTGCGTTCTCAAAAATCCTAATTTTAGTGGTCACTCAATGCGAGCGGGAGGAGCAACAGCTCTCGCGCTTGCTGGGTTCACGCCACAAATCATTCAAGCCGCCGGTCGTTGGTCCTCTGATGAATTTCAGAAATACATTCGCGTTCATCCTTTCCTGCTGCAAGCTATCATGCACAACGAGGACTCCGAATCGTCGGTCCTTTGACGTGCGACATCGCACATTTGTTATATTTTTATTTTTATTTTATTTTTACCTTTTCAATTTTCATCCAACAGATCATGACACACTACGTCGTGTCTGTCTAAGTCTTCCTGTAGCCCTTTAGCATTATCTACTCAAATTGTAGACTCTCATCCCCGGACACCTCGAGTTTTCAGCACCGAGTGTTCGGGGCCTTGCTCAAAAATGTATCTTATTTTTGCGGACACCCTCGAGCTTTGGTGCTGAGGGTGTCTCGCACCTGCTACCACTCTCGCATCATCGAAAAAAAAAGGATACAATCGATAAGGACCTCGTTTGATTAAAAGCTAGTTTGAAAGCCAGCGGTACTTAACGTCGCTTAGTAAGCCAGCGTTTAATCTTCAGCGCTCCTCCTCATGCAGTATACGACCCGTTGCTCATGCATGGATTGATATTTTTTCGAGCGAGTATGCCTGGCCTGGATGCGATCATCAATTGCGAGGCTCAGAGTCCATGGGAACCGTTCAGGCCGAATCTGAGCCTTTACCCAGCGTCGAAGTTCCAAGCTATATAACCGTCTCAGCAGACAATCGCCACGTCGTTCGTTCTCTCCCGTCCGCACCATATGGATCTCAGACACTCACAACACCGGTATATCCTCCATGATCCTACCCGGTGATATCCTCATTCACGCCGGTGACCTTACCCATTCCGGCACTCCTCGTGAGCTCCAAGACACCTTCGACTGGCTAGTCTCCCTTCTACGTGAGCACAAAATCGCTATAGCTGGTAATCACGATACGTACCTTCAAAAGGACGAAGGCCATTTATGGGCCCACTCATGGCGAGAGCATGGCATCATCTATCTGGAGGACGAGGCCCACACTATTCAAGTGCGCGGTTACGAACTCAAAATCTTTGGCAATGGCAGCCCGTTCACTCCGCAGCACGGCAATGGCGTTTTCCAATACCCACGTCCGGATACCACTGACATCCCAAGCCGTTGGTCTATCATTCTTGACGACACCGATATTCTCATCACTTACGGTCCTCCGTACGATCATCTCGACCTCTCTGGACTTGGTCGCAAAGCCCTACTTGCACGCATGTGGGAAATTCGTAGGACACACCCGCCAGTTTTTTTATCTGTTTGGACACATTCATGGCGGTCGTGGGGTCGTAGATCTGCTCTGGAACCCTGCTCAGTCGATATGGGAGGACATTGTGCACAAGAAAGGGGGTTGGCTCTACACCATGCGCCTGTTATGGGCGATGCTTTTTCTGTGATAGGAGGTCTGCGAGACCATGATGTACGGCCTCCTGTAGTCGTTGATATATAAGATCTCTCGACGTCTTGTGCGAGCTGATGCGCTTACCGGAACTAGCGAACATCAACATCAAGCATGTCGGTGACGAAGATGACGCTGGATTCCTGTCTGCAGTGACGACTTCCCGAAACCGAACAGTCGGCGATATATACTCACTCGGCTGTATCATGTACAGGTAAAACGCATACCCTAGATCTTGGTCGAATTTCTTCTGAACGTCGCATTCTACAGGTCTTCTCATTTATTTTGCCTTCAGGTGGTTTAGACTTATTCAACAGGTGTTCAGGCCCAATCCCTGGCGCATAGGGTCTCATCGACTCGACTCTAGTGGTTTGTCCATTTATCGCTGACATTTGGAATTCACAATCAAATGTTAGTCACGCAAGCGGGTATACTTCCATTGATGCTGTTTCGTTTGTGGAAGAAGAGTGTACCCTCTCCCGTCTATAGCCGATTTTGTTTCAATGGAATTATAATCATATGTCAGTACAGTTTGATACTCCCTGAGCTCTTGCTGGCCTGACTGATGCAGGGTGAAAACTACTGCGGGGAAATGATACAAATCCCACACCTCCTCGTGAGCTCGTCTTGCAGGCCCATCATCTCCGCTTCGGCCCCGCAACTTGTTTCCTGCGCTCGATCCGCAAATACGCCCCAACAACACTGACCCAGCCCTAGCGTTACGATTCCATCTTTTTGACTGAGGATATTCAAGCTTTCCGTCGATGCGATGCTTGTCGCAAAGAATACGCGAGTCGCTTGTCATCACCGATATTTGCCCCTCTTTGATACCATTGAAACGATGTGCAGATATGGCATCGTCGCTCCAACTGAGGTATATGTAAACGCGAATGTACGAGCAGCACGACGTGTGAGCGCGTTGATTTTCGTTCGAGCTCGAGTCCTGCTGATCAAAACTATCGCTCATTGTCCACAGGTCGTCAGTGTGCCGATCCTCGTTCGAGTTCGGGCCGTGCTCATCGTAGTCATTTCCTATCCGTTGACAGCAAGTAAGTCCAGTGATCCTTGAAAAGCTCGAGTTCGAGCCTTGGTAACCGAAGGCATTGTCCATCCGTTGACAGACAGTGGATGCAGTAACCCTTTGTTGTCTTCGAGCCTTGCTGACTGAATAAATTGCTGATCCCTCGGCAGAATGTCAGTATATTCATCCTCCGTCAACCTTGAGCCACACTCGCCAAAAAAAAATTATTGCTGAGCCCGTTGATAGTGTGAGTGTCTTCATCCTCTGTCGACGACCCCCTTGCTCATTCAAGCAATTACCAATCTGTTTTCAGGGTGTGGGTTCATTCTAATCTGCCCATGTGCAAATTTCTGCTGGCACAGGAGAACTATGATATGTGATAGTACGCTCTGTATTCTGTATCATGTTCGTCGGTCTGTCTACATCTCCCTAGTCTGTTACGTTGTACCCAAGGGAGACCGATAGAGTGAAATGTGATAGTACGCTCTGTATTTTGTATCATGTTCGTCAGTCTGTCTACATCTCCTCAGTCTGTTATGTTGTACCCAAGGGAGACTAGTAAAGTAAAACACGAGCAGCGCCGACTGACTTGCCGAAGAGGCTCTGCAAAGAAAAACGTTTTATACTAAGGGCATGGTTGTTCAGTGCATCGACAACAATGTCAGTGCCAACATATCAGCAAGGGGAAGCTCTCGCAGTTATGCTGTGCTGGTGATGTTTGCGCGGAGAACGACGCATCCCAGTCATTGGATTAACAGCATAGTCGAGTTCAGCAGGCGCAGGGTGCTGATCGGAAAAATGGGGGTTTGACAAAGATGTAGTCCCACGAATCAAGCTCGAGTGCGAGCTCCTATTGTCCATCTTCACTCGAGTAGTCACTCATATACATACTTGATACTGGTTTGCTTGCTTCTAATCTTTGCACTTTGGCAACTTGGCATCACAATCACATTCTTACTCGACAACTTCATATGCATTGGAATAAACTGGCACTCAATAACGCTGTCAGTTTATTTTTCTTCGCTTATCGTTCGAACAGGTTCAGCAAATAAACTGGCGAAAAAGTTGTTATTGAGGTCATTGAGTAGGGACATCATTTATCACTTGTCCTACGGTAGCTAAGGCATGCAGTACGTGAAAGTATGTGCTCCCCAGTATATCTCCATACATTCAATAAATTTTCTCAAACATGTACTCATGTAAATACATGTGAGCGGAACGATACGCAGCACGAAAACTGTACCTGGTGGCAGACCCAGTATCATTACTTCGCGAGTAACAACCGAGCCTTACGGAAAGTGTTATTTGCTGACTACTTTGTCGAGGGAAGGAATAAGGGCAATATATTCCGCTTGCTGCGCATCCGACACCTGACCGCTGAAGATCAGGCTCTCCAGAGGACACCTCGACCGTGCCAAAAGTGACCTCAACTGCATATGAGGCCATTGTACATCGTCGTGGCACCGCGCCTGAAGGACACGTAAATTGGGGAGTGTTAAAGCGTTGAACAGGCCAGGTAAAAGGGGTACGATAAAAGAGCTGATCACGATGAATAAGGATTGAATGTTGGCGTGCGTGAGCGGCTCCAAGGTTTGCGTGCGGCGGAACACTATATCAACCGTTAACGAGGAGAGGTTGGGACATAGACGGAGCAAGTGAAGGAATGCATCCGGATCAATTATGGTAATCTTGACGATCGTCAAGTGGGCCCATGCGGGATTGAAAGAAGATAAGTGTACGATGTCGAACGCCGGCAATTGCCAGACATCGAGACTACGCATAGTGAACGGCAGTCGCGAGATAAGTTGCCCGAATATACTAGCATCTGAAATTCCAAAACCACCCAAGACGACCAGCTCCTGAAGCGCGGGGAGGTCTTTAAACAAATGTTCAGGAATATCCGCTGCTTCGTCAAAGCCAATTGTAAGGGATGAGATTTGATTGATGTAAGGCTGAAGAAGGTTGTGGTGCTTGGATGAATACCAGCCCCTGAATGCTAATGAGAGCAGATATCCTCGTGATCGATTGAGCCATGAGCCATAGTAGACAGCCGCTTGCTCCCAATCTCTGTCTCTGAGGTCTACAACCAACCTGCACCATAAACTGGGTGTTCCCATAGCAACCTCCCTCCATTGTCGGCATATTCTGGTTAGCAGCATGGGCGCCAGATTCGATGCGGGAGACAAGTACTTGTGTTCTGGGAGACAGTGGTGAAAAATTTGGGATAAGATCTCAGTTGGCAAGCGCCAGAGAGGCGATACGAGTCCGTTGTGGAAAGTCATGGACTGGATGATCTTGTCCTTCTGTTCGACAAGTTCCAGGTGAAGAATTTTGATGCCGTCCATGACTGTTTCTAGCCCTGAGATGTGGAGCAAAACTGCATCTAGCTGCTGCTGGCGTTCGATGACGATGTTCCTGATACTCTCGCCTTTGAGCTCAACGGCGGAGGGATTGGTATTGGGGATATTGATTTGGGAGTACGGTGTCTTGAGGTCTGACATCTGCTAATGCTCAGTGTTGGCATCGGAAAAATGATCAGCTGCTAGACCTACGATTTCTTTTGACTGGGCGAGCTTAAACGATTGATTATTACTGGCAGGCGTTTTTCACCAACTGTGCACTTACGATGTTTTGCAGGGCACCGATGATATCCGAGTGATTGACTTGCGAGTTGGTTGTCTGCATGTTATTTGCTTGAAATGTTCAAGGAAGATGATGGTTTGAAGAAGGAAAGGCGATGTTACCACCTGTGGCTGTCACCTGCACATCTCCATCATGATTGTGCACAACAAACTACTGTCACATCTTGGTTACATCACAAGTTGTAGCTCCTTCGCTGCCGGCTGAGGGGGAAGTTGTCCCCGTGAAACGTCGCCAGGGCTCAGAGTCAAGAGAGGGAGTTAAAGAAAATAGTTATTGGTTTATGTAGCTCCATTATGGCCTCAGGATGAATCAATAGCAAAGGCTTGAGCACGTATTGAATCAAAAACAACTTTTACTGGCAATATTAATGGCCGCGTCAACAACCTTGCCCTAGCGCCGACATATATACTCGAATATTCAGTGAATCCACTCAATTCCGGGCTTGACGCGTGACGAGTTACTCTTGCACCGGTCGCGATTCTGCTTGAGAAAATATTCTATCCGCCCGAACTCGAGCGTCGTGAGGAACGCGAATGGACATTGAAACTGGTTTTCAGTGAACCTAGTTATCCGAGCGAAAGGGAACAACAAAGAGACAGCGCCCAGGCGGGTCATGGAGCTTTTGCGATGGTTGGACTGGGCGGCTGCCTTTGAAAGGATCAATGCACCTTCACTTTTCTATCTGGTGAGTGCGCTGCCGCACTGAGAAGCATTCTTATTTGTGATGGAACTATGCTGGTCAGCGACTCGGAATGACATTCTTTTGGTCACGGTTCCTGAATTCCCTGGATACCAGGGGCGTTCATGAAGGGTCCGACCGTTCGGGCAGTGTTAGAACGTGTAAGTCATGGTCCAGGTAGTGTCCAAAGTCTCTTGGCAACTCCTATGCAAGCTCTATGTCACATACCGTGCTACCCGGAGGCGCAGCAACAAAAGGTTATCAATGTCAGTTCCGTTTTCACTGATCGTGATCAAATGCTCTTGAGTGGGCAGGGGTTCAGTTGTAACATGGGGGGTTGTGATGAATGAACTTTTTGAGCACAGTCTAAAGACCGGAGCAGTATGCGCTCACGCTTTCCCGTAGGCGGTCCTTTCTTCTGTGAGGTTGCGAGCTGACGATCAGTTTAAACTATATAGGCATGTTGTGCCGCGTCAGTGCTCATACTATATTGTCGCAGCTCGCCGCAAACGTGTACATCACCCAGCTGGATCTAGCTGAATTCAACCTATCACGAGATGCGGAGGTGTGCAAATTTTGGTCTCGTGCAGTCTAACATGTAAAAGTCTTTCCCCCGTGCCCAAGCCTTCCAACAACTATGCCTATATCAGCAGATCCGGACACCGCAGCTCACGAGACGCTTTTTAACTTTCTCCCTCATGTGGCGATGCGTCTTCTCTCCGTCTCTGGCGGCGATGCCACAGGATGTGATCGAACACGATTGAAATGCGAACGGGGACTCTCATGCTTTTCGGAATCAGTTGTCACCACTGAGGCCGGTTGAGCTACTGTGTTCCTAACTGCTCATCAGTGCAATCCAATCGCCACTCTGAGCCCGAGGTCGTCCGACCAAATGCTGCTAGTTTTGCCTCCTGGATGATCTTGTAGTGAGTGTCATCATTTTCTGCATCATTCCACCGGAATTGCAAATCCATTCATACCCTGCATTGGGCGCAAAGGCCGGACCCTAGCGGACAAAGTTGAATATTGCTACATTCGTCTGCGCGCCCGGGTATCTGGTTCAAGCAGTACATCATCTATAACTAGAAAAACGCTTCGTAAGTCGAACATTTATGTCGCCGCACTTTGGAAACTCTAAACCATCAGGAAGATGTGATAACGGCCTCGTTGGTCCTCAAGCGATGAATTACAGGGAGATACCGCGGGAGCACTAAAAAGCCTGGCACCCATTCCCTCTCTGGAAACTCTCGGTTGGGCAGAGTGTTGGATGACGACGGTTAATCTTCACGACCGTCCTTACTTGGCTTTCTAACTCTAATAGACGTATATGCAGTTCATTTGATTTGCAATTTGCGGTACTCGATTTTGCGATTTTGCGCTAGTCTCAGGCACGTGCTACGCCAGGTCTTCCGTTGGCCCCGTTAATCCCCACTGACTTGCCTGTTTCCAGCTGGCTTCTCGTATTGGCACTACTGAAATCCCCAGACGCCGTCTGGGACGATATTTTGGCAATGTCTAGGCCCTGTTTAGTTCCGTTCCTTGTTACTCGGCCCGCGCCCATGATCACCTTCCTCCTGAGAGGGGTGTAGGCGTTAGAAGATTCGCATGTTTCACAATGCTTCTTCCGCGGGTCCCATGAACGACAGGTCTGCCAACTGATAGCCTGATAACCATGTCCATCTCGTCAACGAATACGTTAAGTTCCCTTAAACTATTCGATTATGGATCGCCCATTGCGCCATTGCCTGACGTTAGGCTTCCTTAGGCTCCGCGTCCATGACACGTGTGAATAGGGAAATTTGTCTTTTCCGTTGCCCTGCTATCCCCGTCGAGATCACACTTAACCTCAAATAACTCACTGCTCTTTTTCAGGATAAGCATATCTCGTCATGTCGCCACGAATACCGCGCATGTCAATGACAGATGCCAAATTCTTAGCTGGTAGTCAAAATTCGGCGTCCCAACTGAACAGCGAATCCAGTCCAAGGTAAGACAGGGTGAGAACGACGATCGGAGTGTGGAACTTATCAGTGTGTTTCTGTTTCGCTGGAGGGATCGGAAGCCGAAATGTATCCCAGGCGTGACATGTACGGCTTGTCAGTACCTGGGTCTCTGGTCCAGATCGCATAGGCTGGGATAACAGTACGGCAGGTCCGTCCAACGCAATGATATATTCTGTCTCATGATGTACATACATACTTTTGGATCTATATTTGCTATTTTGTCGAGAACTTACGCATAAAAAGGTTCGTCAAGTATTTTGAATGATAATGTTCGTGAGCATGACACTTGCTAAATGTCGTGGTGTCTAAGTGACTTAGACACCACCTGCGTTATACGGAGGCTGTGCAAAAAATGATGGTTCAACTGAGGGTCGAACTCAGGACCTTCTGTGTGTAAGACAGAAATCATAACCACTAGACCATTGAACCGACGAACATTGAGCGACCCCCCACCATCATATCCTCAACGATTTGGATAAATGAGTACTATTGTTATCGATTTAGTATGTTATCTCTTAAGTCTTGACAGGAACGACGGTGTGCACACTGCATATGCAGGTCCAGGGGCATTATCATCCGCAAGACTCGCTGGAACGGAGGCACAAACCCGCCTGAGAAAACTGGGTTCCACATAAGATCCACGCACTGGAATCCCGTTGACGGGGTCAGCATCGTCCCAGGCAATTGTTGTTGTTGGGGAACTCGGCAGCAATTTTCACACCAAACTCTCGTTCCTCTCTCAAGAGCCTCAGACAAGGGCTGCACCAGAGCTTGCTCAAGCCAGCCTCAGCTGTTAATCTTGTGCCAGAATCACTGGTGCATCAAAAGCCCTGATCATTATCAGCTCGTGAGTACTTCGGTCCGATTATCTCACATTCGAATGTTCTCACAAGAGTAAGAATGCTGTCAATTTTGCTGGTATTCTGCTGGCTCTACTCCACTGGAGTTCAGTGGACAGGTGTTCTAGCTCAGCCTGCTCAGCATGCCGAACGGCAAGTGGGCCATATCTCGCCACCTATACCTCGAGCTCCGGATCCTAGTCCGATGATAGGTGTCATTTTAACTTCCTCGCTTGCTACAACCTCCTCTACCTCGTCCTCATCCACCTCTTCGCATGTCATGACGTCAACGGCCGGCATAGCATCCCCTTCATCAACCCCAACCCTGTTCTCCATAAATGCCGTCAAGAATATGACGACATGCGCCCCAGGTGTCATCACCTGGACCTATAACGGTTCATCAGCCAATATCTTGCTCTTTATCTCGAATATCAATGTTGCCGATCCCTATACACAGGGTGGTCGCACCCGCCGCCAAAATACCGCTGGGCAGAGCGTCTCCTTGGTTTTAGCAAACATTAGTGCCACCTTAAACTCCTGGACATGGTCTCAAGTGACTCAGCCACAGGGCTGGTATACAATACAGGGCTCTGTAGCTTCGCTCGGTGCCTCTTCTGATCCGTTCTTTATTAGCAACGGAACCGACACAGCTTGCTTGCTCTCGTCCTCGTCCACATCGCCAGAACCCACTAGCACAGCATCACCGACCCCAGTGGAAGCTTACTCAACGACGCCCAGTACTGGCGAAATCGTGGGGATCGTGGTCGGTAGTCTAGCAGGGCTGGTGATTCCTGCCTTGGCTATCGCATATTACCTTCGCCGCCGACGTCGCCCTGCAATTCGTAGCCGCAAGCCGAAGGTGCAGAACGTGGGAAGGTGGAGTTCGTTGAAATCCAATGACTCAGCTGCCAGGTCACTAGCAGAAGGCAATGCTGGCTTTACCCACTCCCACGGTCATTCGGAGTCGACGGGCGAAATACTCACTGTCGCAGACAGTGGCAAAGCCTCAGAGACCACAACGCCGCTTGGTTCAGACGAATATCATGGGGAGGAGAAAGTAGTACACCCTCAATCACCCACGGGAATGATCCCTTTGGACGATATTGACACCCCCTTGTCGCGTCATGATCGCCGCATATCTGCTTATTCCATTCAAGATCCATCATTCCGTGGTGACGCTGGTCGCACCCGTGCCACCTCCTCACGCCATTCCAAACAAGGCCTCGAGCTGCAAGCAGCTAGAATACGCTCATCCATGGAAAGCTCCATGTACCTGCGTACCGAGCGCTTTTCATTGCCAGCCATAGCTGCCCCCACTCCGCATACACCCACATCTCCTAGTCGAGGACGAGACGAGTATCCACCTTCCCCTATAGCTGCCTCGCTCAGGCGCTCGCCTTCAGCAGGTGCTGCGTCTGCTCGCCGCAGTTCTCGCAAACCTGTGCCGCACTATGATGCCTCAGAGTTTCGCGACGACTTACGTGGTGCCGCAGATAACCAGTCAACAATTACCGTTGGTGAATCGTCCCATTCACACGGCACAGAATCGCTGCCTCCCCTACATGGCGTGTCAGGGCTGTCTCATAACCGCATGCATTATCTAATCCCTGACATGCCCCCGCCAAGGAACGAGTAGGCTGTGCCTCTCACTGGCATGCATGCATCAATCTTTCATGTTCCATGTATATTGAATTTACATATGCTCGGCGGACACACGCATTGCCTATCTATCACATGTTGCGCAGGATATTCGTGTATGCATACAACTGGAGGATGTCGTAGCTGTGCTTTGCTACTTCGGGGACTAGGATGTTGCGTCGTTATCTTTAATTTCAATTGCCCGATCTACAGGTTGTAGGGATGTATGTTGCTAATCTTACCGCCCGACCAGGGTCAATATGTATGCTTGCTTCGACACCACTGTATCGGGGAGGAAGGGGTGAGGGCATTTCGCTATCCTCGACGCGTGCATAGTACGTTGTTGCTATCGGCAGGGTTTCATATGAACATTGCTGGGAAGAACCGATAAGATTTGCGGAATCAGGCAACAGAACTGTAGGATCATCGGAATGGCTTGCATCGAGGCATCGGACTCACTTGGCGAGAGAATTGGTACCCTGAAAATTCCCTGGGTTCTATAATCTAATCACAAGACATAAACAGATGACGTCGTCTAAGGTATGTGGCGCGAACATGCAGGTACGGAGATGGGCGATGTGATGTAGATCGATTAATACACGGTTTGATCCTTCAAACGCGGGCATCATGAACGGCTAATGTTGATGCGTCTATGGTATAGTTGGGCGCGAGGCAGCGATATCGTTCAATAGGTTTCGTTGATCATCATGACCATCCATTTGAACTTCGCCGGCGCAAGGGCAGTGGTATTCGTGGACGCACTTCCAAATCTTGTACTCGTTTGGGATTAGAGAGTCCGACTTTTCGTATCTGAGCGAGTCTGGGTGATGAGAACGAAGGTCAAACGCCATCACGGTCCGCAACAGCGATCGGATACGATACCTTCTTAGGCCAGCCCATGCTACGAACAGTGCAACAGCTGATGAGAGGGTGGACATCGCCATGAAGGCATAGGGCATCTCCTCCATGTGGCTTTTCAACTGGATCAGAGAACAGTGTCAATGCGGGCATCAGAAATCTTGTGACGGGTGACTGACGTTCATACCGAATAAACCTGCGATTAGAGCTCCCGTGCCAATTCCCATAGTTCCGATGGATACCTAACATATCTCAGCTTTGCATCACTCAGGTGGGACGAAAAAGCTCACTTTAAGGTCCAATGCGAGTAGTGCATTGCGGTTAGAGTCTAAGATGAGTTCTACGATCTCCTGGGTGGATTGCACGTTGGCCTATTGAGGACGGTGAGATTTTCGGCAAAAAGATGTGCGCATGAAAATCCACCTCGATGTTTTCAGCTTCATTGGCGATTTCTTCTACTTGTTTGGAGAAAAACTCAAGAAGTACCTCAAGTTCCTCGTGTTCATGCGTGTTGCGTGGAATGCCATTTTTTCTTGTCAGTGAGATACATGGCATCCAAATCATCATCTTGAATATAACAAGTTCGAACCTTCAAACTATTACGATAGTTAAAATACTAACCTTGTTCGAGTACTTCTTCTAGAGCCTCTTGGACCTGGCATGGGAATAAATAAAAAGATCCCATGCGGAAGACAAAATTTTGAGAAAAAGTCGTACCAGCTTAGCGCGATTTTTGAACGCTACCAAACGTCTTGAGTAGTGCAATAGGCGTTTGAATTTGTCATGATTGATGTCATCCTCGAGCTCCGCCAATAGACCACCAACGAGGTTACGGATGAACACCATCTCGGCTTCTAGCGCGCTGAGAACGGAGAGAAGGATGGACTCGATTGCTCTATGAAACCCTCGATGTGGCAGCGCGGAAATGACCAAGTTGCGGGAAAACCTACCTGAATTCGTAAGGGGCACCGCTGCCCCGGGCCTTAAGGTTATGCTGAATGGGGTCAGTCAGCACACGTAAAATGTTTGATGGAAGAAATTGACCTCGAGATGGTAAAGGAACACAGAGTGAAGACGGGAATCATTGGACCCGTATGAGTCAAACAAAACCACAGTATCAGCCTTGACTAACGCCCGTATGTGAAGTATATTGATCTGGACGCCAATGTTATAAGCCAGGCCACGGAAATTTACACACAGCAACGCACTAAAACGGCTCCTTTGCGAATGAGAATTGTAGGAACAAGGTTGGGTATTCGTGAATCAATCTTCCGTAAATCACGAGGCTTCATTAGAGTTTCAGTAAGGGTCCAGCCCAAATCCTAGACTGCAGACATAATCCTTCTTACGTTTAAGCGATGCTCGTTGCACAAGTCAGACCGTTTAAATTGGCCAGAAATGCTCTTGATATTGCCTAAAGCGACAGGTGTGGTCATGCAACGAAAGGATAGGCTGAGAAAATGACAAGGTACCCGCATGATCCAGGATAGTGCCTGTGCCGCTGTGAGCCGCAAGAAGAACAAAGAAAACAAATAGTTGAATGGGAGAGAACGTACAGCGTAGCATGAGATCTGTAAGTTGCCTGCCTTTCATGACTTTCTCAAGGATGGCAGCTTTGGCTATTTCCTCCTGAGTATCAGACATTCCAGACGACTCATTCTCTTTCGGCCGAAAGAAATTCTTCCATGAGGCAAGATGAAAATGTCTGACGTGTAAAAGCAAGGCGTTGGGAGGAATTGACCTCTGCTGAAGTGGAGGAGAAGAAGTGGAGAGCGCGTGATTTTGATATCGGCCACATTGAGGAATGAGCTGTGGAGCAGAAGATGTTCGGCTCAATCGCATCACATTGCTGGTGTGCACACGCCTGAGAGCTGTATGCATTCACAGACGCAATTGGAGGAGTCAAGTGCAGATTTGTGTCAAAGACCTCCAAATGGATTCGGACAAAACCGTTATACATATTTAATTTTGTCCGATAACCAATTAGATATTTACTTTTGACGATAATTTGAAATTTCACAACCTTATTCTGTCACACAATTGTGACAACAAGCTGTACCAAATTTGGTCACTGGTCAGGCCTCAGGTCCGGGGCCCCTGGTCCCCCCATCTGACCCCAATATTTGACCCCGCATTCTTCCCCCAGGTCGGTACATGTTCCGCGGATGTTTCACCATGGAGTTGCGCCAGCAGCGTCGCATTAATCTGGCATGTGCAGGCGTTTTTGTTCCGAGTTTTGACTAGTAAATCAGTTCCTTTTAAAAAATTAACCGATCAACCACGTCCACCGGACGACTCTAGTCTTTTACGTTTTCTTTGTCTTCTTCAGGTGATTCCAGACCTAAGCAGCGGCCTCCAAGCCTTCATCCAAAATCATTCTCGGCATGTGCTCTCGCCATTCTGAGCAGATCTGACAGTCCCACAATCAGTAATACTTACCTTGAGAGATGAGGCAGCACAAATCAGATGAAGATCAGGCCGCCATCTGTTGAAGTTCTTTTTCAGGACCTCTCTTCGGTCACGGATCTATTACATACCCATTCGGTTTGCTTTGCCTCGCCTCTGTTTTCGCCTCTTTATTTTATGCCATGGTCTTCCTCTGATACCTCATTCCACCCACCCCCTCCACACCCCACACCATTATGTCTGATTCTCGCAGACTTTTGGAAGCCGCAAACGCGCTTTCTCAACTTCTCCGTCAGCACTCCATTGCCCACGCCTTCTATGGTAGCATTCTCACTGCTGTGCTCTCTGACAATCCACGTTGCGATGTGAGTAAACTGTGTCTTTAGTGCCCACACGCCCTCATACTGACGTGTTTCCAGGAAATATTCTGTATTGTTGAAGGCGGTTCAACACACCCCTTCCGTCGAGTCAGACAAGCCGTTGTGGGGAGTGAGCAGTTCACTACCACACACTCACCATGGAGCAATCGGTAGAGGAGTCTCCTACTAGTATGGTCTTTCTTGTAACCGAGTCTGCCTAGCTTGCATGCTACGTATCGTCAACTCATCCCGGCCATCGAGGTGAGCATGTCTTCAACACATTTCCAACGATGTCATTAATGACAGTGACATTAAAGATTGAAATCCTGCCCGCTGGCGAACATGGACCCCGACGACTGGATAATTCCACTATCATGCAACTACAAGGCATTCCCTTTTTGACCTTGTCTGAGTTTGTTCGGGCAAAGCTAAAGGCTTGGACGATGTAAGTAATTATTGTCCCATAGTCTGGTATATCAACTTACTCTCCACAGACGCGGCTCAGACCGTGATGCTCAAGACATCATTTACGCACTATGCCGCTACTGGAATCGATTGGATATCAATCGTGTTCCTGAACAAGATATGAACCACTTCGTCACTACCCATCGCACTGCGGCCCTATCCTGGGCAGCGCTGAAAAGAAAATATGGTTTGTGAAAGCGCTGGAGGGCATGAGTCAGGGTGGGTTCCTATCGGATTAATGCTGATTGCGAAACGTGTCCAAAGGGGTAGGGACTTTCCACTCAGAAGCGTAGAATGTTGTAATGTATCTTTGGAATTGCAGATGCGCAATTCCACGCGGCTATGCCGCTGAGTCCATTCTGGTCTGGGCGACTATATCACGGCTACACAATTTTCAGAGCCTCTGGTTCTCGTAAGACTCGTTGTACATGATATCATACTATGAATCACACATACGACATTTGCCCATGATTATGGCTCTGTGGTTCTCGGTAAATATAGGGAGTTTCCACTGACGACAGGAGCGTGTCTTCACTAATGTAGTCATGAAATGGCGTTGCTAATTCAGGGTAGGTAAGGCCTATGAAGTCCTCGGGGAGCGGTGTAGATATTCAGGAAATAGAACTGTGTTTGTGTGGGCTCTGCGCTTACAAGATTTGTCCAGTGGTTCCTACAGTTCGCGCTCCAACATTTGAATATAATGGGTTCTTGTAACCGTCGTAGGTTGCTAAAGTCAGGGGTCACAGCGAAGCAATGGATCTCTCCGCCTGCGAAGGTTGTTGGCTTCTCACGTTATCGTAGACGATCTCCGGAAGAGTTCGCATTGAGCTAGTCCGATGGTCCAGCACATCATGATCTGCCACAAAGTCAGAATAGTGATGCCCTAGCAAAATCGCGGAGATACAAGGGCCTTCGACAGTATGAATCACCAGGGTGCAGGTAACGGACTTCACCGTTCAAGCCAAGCCGAAGAACGTCCAGCCTGGAACTTTGTGAGTATCGTCTGTCTCTCACGCATTCAGCCGATACCAATCAGCTGGCTTGGTTTGTGTGATCAATGTGATGTCCTAATTTTTGTGAGCCTGGAACGGAGAAGGGATGAACCCGACCACACCCGACCTTGCTGTTCGATCGTGAGGTTCTATCAGAAAATGAGCAATTATTAAAGGGGATAATGATTGAAAGCTTGGAGTATTGTTGACGTCTGACAAGAAGGGGTGCGAAGCGCGAACTATCCAAAACCACTCGGCGTTGCAATGGCTTTTGAGCGGTAATTATTATTATACAAGAGTGTTGCGGAAACACAGGGCCTGCATGCCTCCCATCATTATTCCTGATTGCCGGGTCAACAATATAGATTTTCTTACCATTAATATAATGTAAGGCGTCAGGACACAGCGCGCGCGAGTGAACGGAAGGATAAACACAACGTGAGAAAATAGTGTGACACCACAATTCACTGTGACGGTAATCACCCGTGACGTGTCCGTGTCACGCCCAAGACGCGTAATACCCGTCCGTTGTAGTGATCCTCGTCGTTCTCCTTCACGATGCCTACCGCCGTTCATAAAACCAAGACGCCCGGAGGCATTCAGTCGTACTACCAGGCCAAGATTGAAGCTGCAGAACTTTTGATTAATCAAAAAACACAGAATCTGCGTCGATTAGAGGCTCAGCGGAATGCACTGAATGCACGAGGTGCGTTTGCATTGCTTGGATTCTAATGGAGGCATTTACATGACAGAATAACAGTGCGGCTGCTACGAGAGGAGCTTCAACTCTTACACGAACCTGGAAGTTACGTTGGGGAGATTGTAAAGGTTATGGGGAAGAAGAAAGTCCTCGTCAAGGTTCAACCAGAAGGCAAATACAGTATGCGCTGGGTTCTCGAATGTCACTTTATTCTGTATTTGCTCACGCACTTCGCAGTCGTTGATTTCGACCCTTCAATTGAGCTGTCCCAACTTTCCGCTTCACTGCGCGTGGCTCTCCGTTCTGACTCTTATACGATCCATAAGATATTGCCGAACAAAGTCGACCCACTCGTCTCCCTCATGATGGTGGAGAAAGTCCCAGATAGCACGTACGAAATGGTGGGAGGTCTAGATAAGCAAATCAAGGAAATCAAGGAAGTCATCGAGTTGCCTGTCAAACACCCAGAACTCTTCGAGTCTCTTGGTATTGCACAGCCCAAGGGTGTTCTTCTCTATGGTCCCCCTGGGACGGGAAAGACCCTTCTCGCTCGTGCTGTTGCACACCACACCGACTGCAAATTCATTCGTGTTTCGGGCTCGGAGCTTGTTCAGAAATACATTGGTGAAGGAAGTAGAATGGTTCGGGAGTTGTTCGTCATGGCCAGGGAGCATGCACCCAGTATCATCTTTATGGACGAGATCGATTCTATTGGCAGTTCTCGAGGAGACAGTGGTTCGGGAGGTGGCGATTCGGAAGTACAGCGCACGATGCTGGAGCTTCTCAATCAGCTGGATGGTTTCGAGGCCACGAAGAACATCAAGGTTATCATGGCTACGAATCGTATAGGTTTGTGGGCTCTCGTCACGCATTGATGTCTGCTTAAGGTGCCTGCCCTAGACATCTTGGATTCTGCACTTCTTCGTCCTGGGCGTATTGACCGAAAGATCGAATTCCCTCCCCCTGGCCCGGAAGCTCGCGTGAGCATTCTTAAAATCCATTCTCGCAAGGTGAGTTATCTCCATCCTGGATCTTCCGGGCGCCTCAGAACATGTTCATTCTTAGATGTCGCTGCAACGTGGTATCGACCTCAAAGCGCTCGCCGAGAAGATGGGCCAGTGCTCGGGCGCCGAAGTGCGCGGTATATGTACAGAAGCAGGTGCGTCCTTTGATAGTATTTGTAGTTCGCGTTTATTGACCAGAGAAATAGGTATGTACGCGCTTCGGGAGCGACGGCAGCATGTCACGCAGGAAGATTTTGAGTTCGCTATCGCGAAAGTGCTCAAAAAGAACCAGGAGGGTAATACTTCGGTCAATAAGTTATTCTCATGATTGTATTGCGTTTGGTATTTGCATGATTCTTTTTCCCATCCACCCGTGCTGCTTGACGGACTTTTGAGACTTGGGAACGGCAACGGGGGTCGAGTTGATTGGTGATCGACGATTGCGCGCTATCAGGGTACATCTATATTTGCTAGTGGTTCTTGCCACGACACAGATCAATTCATGGATCGACTCCTCATCGATCAACGGCTCGATCATGAATTGTAATACTGGTCTGAAGACGAAGTGCTGCACTTTGCCTTTGAAATCATTTGACATATTGGATGAATCTATAGGGACGGGCCGAGTTCAGGAGACTCACGTGCTTGTCGTAGTGTGACCGATTTTGAAAAGGGGCATATTGCTCCTTACCTTGCAACCCAAACTCGAGCCCATCGGTCTACCCAGTTTCATTGCTGGTTTGTGTATACGTAAGTCTGCTATCCCTTTGCAGTACTTGTGATAATTACTTAACAGCGAAAATAAGCATTGTTCTACAACTTGAAGGAGTGCAACAATGCCAGGATGTCTGTCACGGCTCCGTAGACTGTTCCCCCATCAATCGCACGAAAACGCTAGTACTTCTGCTCCCTGTTGCCAGATAGAGCCTGCTGTGCCCCGTTCCGAGCTGAATGAGTTCACCCCTACCTCCTTGCCAGTCGAAATTATGGAGCACATCTTCCGTATCCTGAAACCATCGCCAGACCTGTATGACCCGTGTGGCATCACTCACAGCCAAGCAAAACATGTGTGGGATATCAAAGCCGTCAGTCAAGTATGTTACCAATGGCGTGATATCACACTCGGCTGCCCTGCCTTGTGGACTTATGTTGCCCCTTTGCTGTTTGGCTATGAATGGACAAGGGACATACTGGCCAGATCCAAGGGAGCTCCTTTGACCCTCGACATACGTGGTACCCTCACGTTTCCACATTGTGTCATCCGTTTAGCAATGGCGCATCTCGTTCACACCCGTATACTCATCATCGATGCAAAATTCCAGGATTTCCTTCGCTGTGCTTCTGGTCCTGCCCCTCTTTTGGAATCCATCACCATCAGTTCCTCCAACCCCACATCAATTATAAACTCAGCCGACTTCACCATCCCATATTGTACTCTAGTTACATTTGAAACTCCTGCGCTACGGAAACTCATCCTGGATGATCACATCACGCTTTCTGGTGCCAGTCTAACCATGATCAAAAATCTCAGGCACCTAGAAATCAAAAGTGTAATGTTCACCCCCACACTTCCCCAATTCATCAATATACACCAGGCATTGTCGTCCCTGCAAACTCTTGTACTGGATGTCATTGATATTCATGGTTTAGTGCCCTTGGGCACCATCAACCTGCCTCGTGTAACAAGTATCAAGCTACGGGGGTCCCCATTTGAATGCGCTTGCTTGCTTCTGCGTACCAGAGCCCCCTCCATAACGACACTCGCACTGGTATGCCACTCACAGACAGCCATCGACTTTCCTAATTCTCCTCGTGGTTGGCTCTGGACTTTTCGCACAAATGGCAACAGAGATCACAGCACAGCAACGTTTTTTTGCCTGCTATCGACGGACTACAATATTTCCAGGCCATTACAAACTGGACATATGGCTGACCGAGATGGAATCCTCACATGTACAAGACATCGGTATCAATGCAATTCGTCATGCCGTATCCGACATTCCCTTCCCAGTGCAATTGTCCACCTTGATGAAGTTGTTCGAAACAGGGGACTTACAGGGCCTTGACACCGATGAGGTGTGCCGGAGCACACAAGGATGATTAGACAGCCTGAAGAATGTTGCCATCCAACGGAATTTTGATGGACATTCAAAGTGATGCGAAATTTGCATACAACTAGCCACGCCTGTATCCCACATATTAGTATCAGCTGCATAACACTCGATCAGAATCAGCAAACTTCCACTACTGCAATTCTCTGCTAACATGTGTGTAGATACTCATCAAACGTCCTCACCAGCCGCTCGATCGGCTGCCTCGCAGGCGTCGCACTATCCAAAAAGCTCGACCCCCCAAGCATCCCAGCCCTCGCCCACCCATCCGCCATCACGTTTCCCCACAACACCAGCCAGCACATCGTCCACATCCATCCCAGCCAGCCACCCGTCTTATTTCCCGCAACAGCACGCTCGAGGACCACCCCAGCGCCCATCATTCCAAATGGCAGCAGCATGCGCCACAACTCTGAAAAAGGGTCGATGGCGAGTAGTGCGAGGTGGTGAAAGAACCCAGAGGCGAGGAACGCGCCTATGACGCCCCCGACGCGTCCGAAGAGCAGAGAAAGCGGGCGTCCACCGAGGAAGATGAATGACCGGCGGAACCACTGGTGCCAACGTCGGCTCCAGAATTCTCTGAGAGAGGTGGCACTCCAGGGAGAGTCGAATGAGGGGGGATATTGGTCTGGATGTTGCCTAAATAACAGTACGCCAAGAACTGCGGTGAGCTCGTAACCGGCTCTGAGTACTGAATAGACGCCGAATGCGCATAGGGTCGCTATGATGCTTGATCGAAGATAACGGAGGTGCAGGGGAAGCGATTCGTCGAAGATGGTTCCGCCATCGACAGAGCCGAATGTATGTGGTGAGAAAGATTGTATGGCAGAATGAATCGCGCCGCAGAGAAATGAGTGTTTTAGACCGGAGACGAGGGTGGATGTGGCAAAGGCCAATCGTGAGGATGTAGGATGCGTCTCGGGCGGGACGTAAAGTCCCTGCGACCAGTCCCAGCCATAACCTCGAAGGCTGCATGCCAAATCGAGTGGGTCAAGCACGGAGTTAGGCTTTGGTACATCGGTTGACGATCGCTGAGCCACACGAATAAAGGGTTTCGTCTGCACCGTCCATTCAAGGGTGCGTGCTGCAATACAAAACATGGATAACTGAAAGAAAAGTTCAACGCTGTGGCAGTTAATGCGGGTACGACGGGAACTCACTTGAAGGTCGATGTTCCAAAATTGAAGTTTCGGTTGCCCCATGCACATATCTAGCGATGTTGCAGCGCGAAATGCGAGGATGGCCGTGATGGGCCATAACGCAATGCGAACTGGCTGCGTTTGGGGCTGCTGGACGAGAAAAGCTGTGGCGAAGTAACATATAACTGGTGGAAGGACATCAGAAACGAAGTTCTCAGTTGTGAGTGGTATCCTAGCTGTGGGGAGACGCAGGCTGTCTGGAAAGGATAACATGTTGGCCGATTATCAGTGGAGGGGAGTACGAGGCGAAATTCGCGGGGGGATGCCTAGAAGGCGTCCAGTCCAGGGTTGACTCGCCGAAAACGTATATATATAAGCTACATATCAGTTGGGAACCGAAAACCCGAACTCAATTCAATGCGGAGCTCGAGCCGCATCGATGGAGTACATAAATGATGATGAACATATCAGAAACTTGGCTACAAGTACTAATCAAGATCTAAGAATAGTCAATCATGTACATTCTATTACAGTAACAAGTTGAACAGTACCCTCATCATGCCAGTGACTGACTCTGAGCAACCCAGGTTGCTTTGTGCCGTCGCTGCCTCGCACGTTGGCTCGCTGACGACAACATGGTCCAATATAACCAGTTATTGGCACAGGCTTCAACTATTTGACTCATCCTAAAACTGTGCACAACGCCGCAGACTAGGTCACGGAGAACTTGTCCTCTTGGAAGGTCATTTGGTGCCAACAGGAGGAGGCGGCTTTCATAAAAACTCAAGGTGAGAATATCACGGTGCTTTGCAGTCACCAATGAGACTCCCCAGACCCTACATGGATCGCCGGTCACCATCCCAGTATCAATATTCTTGCCGCCAATCCATGCATATGGTTTTTCTTACCCTGCGGCAACTGCTGGCCCGATGTGGGTGCTTGTCAGTCCAGTTTTCGGACCGGCTCCGCGTTCTGTTCAGTCTGTGGATGTACCTTAGATCCCTTCTACTCCACCTTGAGATCTGGTTTTCCCGTGGTGCGCACCGGTCTCGCCTGCTACCCATGAGTTCAGAATCCCTGTCTCTTATATGCCTTTCTCTCCTTCCCTTCCTCCCCCGCCCTCAAGCCAAGCCCGAAATGAATCTTACTTCATGTCGGAACTGAGCAAGGCTCCGAGTTGGAATAGCCTGAGTGACCATTGATACGGACGCTGTTAAGTATGTATAGGTACTGCTGCTTGCCTATTTCTCTCTTCAACAATGTTGCTCTCCGCGTTCGCCACAATCCTTGTCGTTCTCCCATTTACCTCAGCGGGTGTCCACAAACTAAAACTCAACAAGCTGCCACAAGTCTTGCCTGGTAATGCGCTCGAGACTGCCTACCTCACCGAGAAATACGGTGCACAGACTCATAATGAACAACTCCCTTTGATGGGTGCTGGTGGCGCCGGACGTAACATTCGTCCACCAGTCGAGCAAGATAGTTTTGTCTGGGACCAGGAATTCATCAACGGCGGCCACAGTGTCCCCCTCACCAGTATGTAATAATGTGTTTTCCCTTACTATCGTGTTCACGCTTCCCAGACTTCGTCAATGCTCAGTATTACACCGAGATCGGGCTGGGTACTCCACCTCAATTATTCAAGGTTATCCTCGACACGGGGTAAGGAAATTGTTTTTACCATACCCCGAGGATTCACCAGTCCCTAGGTCAAGTAACCTCTGGGTCCCCGGCTCCAAGTGCATATCTGTTGCCTGCAAATCTCATGCCAAGTACGATTCCAGCGCTTCCTCCACCTACAAGGCGAATGGCTCTGAGTTCTCCATCAAGTACGGCAGTGGTTCGATGGCTGGCTACGTCTCCCAAGACATCCTGCGCGTCGGAGACCTCTCTGTTCTTACCCAGGACTTTGCAGAGGCCACCAACGCGCCCGCTCTCTACGGCGCCAAGTATGTATATTTTGCTCTATACCACTAGCACGCCACAATTAATATGTGATCTAGATTCGACGGTGTCCTCGGCCTTGCCTACAATACCGTCGCCGTGAACCGCATCGTTCCTCCTTTCTACAACATGATTGACCAAGGCATCCTCAACGAGCCTGTCTTCTCCTTCCGCCTCGGTGACTCCGAAGCTGATGGTGGTGAGGTCATATTTGGTGGTATCGACGACAGTGCATACACCGGTGACATCACCTACGTCCCTGTGCGCCGTAAGGCATACTGGGAAGTCGAGCTTCAGAAGGTCGTATTTGGAGACGACGAGGTAACACTTAACGCGACAGGCGCTGCTATTGACACTGGTAAGTCCCGGCTTTGTCTGCCTGACTTCAACTCCTCACCAAATCACATCCAGGCACCTCCCTTATTGGACTCCCCACCGACCTCGCGCAAAAGTTCAACACCAAAATGGACGCCACCCGTTCCTCGAACGGTCAATATCAAGTCGACTGCGCCCGAATCCCCTCCTTACCCGAACTAACGTTCTATTTCGGCGACAAGCCTTACACACTGAAGGGAAGCGATTACGTAGTAGCAGAGAAGGGGGGCAAGTGCATATCGTCGCTCATCGGCATGGATATCAAATCCGCTGGAGGTTCATTGTGGATTATTGGTATGTGACATTTATTCCCGTAAGTTTTTTTTTGTTGATAAGTGCATCCAGGTGATGCGTTTCTCCGTCGATACTACACGGTTTACGATCTCGGTCAGAATGCTGTTGGGTTCGCCCAAGCTGTATGAAGGTTACAATATAATCTGATACTCCGGTGAAGCGTGGATATTTACCCCGAGGTACGGCACTGCGCATATACTTACTAAATTTGCCATTTTAAACTCGATAAATTAATCATGAGTGCGAGAGATTGAAGAACAGCACAAGTATACGCGTCTAAGTGGCCTCGGTCTGAAGTTCGTGCTATAAGTATACTGCATGGTAGGAGGACCCCTGATAATGCCTTTGGAACCCGGGTTGGCGGAGGCCCCAACTTGTCCGGATGGATTTTGTCCAATTTTGTCCAGATCCCGTCCTGGGTCACCCATGAGCGCAAAATTTGTCCGGATTCCAACCCGGGTTATAAAATTTTTCAAAAACGCGTTTTTTGCATGTTGGAGTAGCTAGGATCATGTAGCGCAGCTAGGGAAACACGGAAATACTAGTATTCCTCCTCCCCCTCATCATGATCCCCTTGCAAGACCGTCTGATTTACTACTCGCTTGCGGAAAAGTTTTGCTGCTTCGGTAAGTCGAGGAGATGCGTGATGTAGCGTTTCGAATGCGGAGACGTCAGCTGGTACAAGTTCAAGTCCCGAAGGTGTCACCTTAGGTGCAGAAGTGAGAAGGCAAAGAAAGGCAGTGGATGGAAGGAACGCAAATTGACGGCACTGAAATATGGAGGTCGCATCGGGCAGGGAGCGGAAGTACTGGCGGAAATGTTGTTGGTAGAGCTGAACCCCCAAGTACGAGATTGCAGCAATAGCATCCACGCTTTCAACAGCGCCGTGCTTGCCATTCTTTCCGCCACCTTTTGAGTATATTGCAACGACTTTCATGAAGTTAGTTCAAACTCCAGCTTTACGAAGTGATAGAACTTACCGCGTCCAACACGTAGTCCCCATTGCTCCGTGAATACAATGCCGAAGTCGCCATCTTTGAGTGGGCGAAGTAAAGTGATACGAGCGTCGTTAAGAATGGCAAGTAGAGGCAGTCTTGCCGTTTTGAAGACACTTTTCCTGCGCAGCATTGCCTGATGACAGAATCAGCACAAAAACGAATGAGCAAAAATCACACCCACCCTTTTCACCACCGCCTTCGCTGCATTAGCGGCGTTAGCAGAATTACCTGCCTGTGGAACTTGTTCTGTCCAACGTGCAGCACGTTCTAGACCGGTACCAATCGCACGACCTTGCTGTTCCTTGAGAACCACCTGGAACTCGCGTATCAAACGCCGCCGTTCTGATAGCACGTTCCCCGCTATGTCATTCAGTTGGGCACGACCCGTGCGTATACCCTTTTTAGCTTGTTCAGTCTCGTGATTGCTCCGAATCCTCACAAGAGCATCAATATCGAGGGCTTGAATAGGAAAAGTACCGAGACCCATAGGCTTGCTCAAGTTATCGGCAAGGCGCACGGCGGGAAGTGACAAGCAGTGCTCGATTTGAGCGAATTCATGCGCACAAATCTCGGTGTCGTCTTCGTCTTCGTCTTCAGCAAATTTACGTCTGGTTGATTGATGAGTGAGTACTAATGAAGAGATGGACAAATAGATGCTTACATGCACTGTTGCTCGTCAGTATCTAGGGCAATTGCAGCGAATGTTAATTGAAGGAGCTTGTTCCGTTGTTTCTCGGTACGGGAGATGTCATCGTCTTCGGCGAGTTTCATTAGTGTGTCGAGTAACTGAGCTTCGCATTGCTCCTCGGCATCTGCATCGCGGTCAACAACAGATTCATTCTCGGATTCATCACCCCCGTTATCCGAGTCGCTAATATCCATTCCACCATCGAAGTGAACAATACTTGGCAACACAATTGATTGTGTTTGCATGAGAAGGCCGGGGCTGATGCCACATAACGCCAATAAGCTCTGTGCCTCGTGTGCTGCATCTTGTGAAGCTTCCTGTATATCTGTGTCAGAGGGATATTGTGACAGTTCAGGAATGTCAACAGTGTGATCGTAAAAGTAAGTTATCGTGTAACCTTGAGCACGAGCCTTGAAATTGGGCGATCGTTGCCGTAGGACTTCTTCTTGCAGCTTGGCATGAAGCTTCGGAATGGCATAATAGGCATCGAGCATGACAAAATCCTTCTTGATGTTCCGGAGGTTGGCAAAGGAGTGCTCGCAGGGTTCACTGGTATGAAGCCAAGGAAGGAGAGGGTGGTCATCGGGGAGGTAGTCATGATAGACGATGACGAGCGAAATTAAACCATCAATGAGCCTCATGACAATGTCGGTCGACTCGCGTGACATGAAGTACTTGTTTTCTTTGTAGCCGATTTTGGCCAGATAAAGTCGCCAGCCGTCATAAAAATAGCGTGCTCGAAGCACCATTTTGACTCGCTCGCAATGAGAGATGCTCCGATGCTGATAGGCGTCAACAATCTCCCCATGGATGAAAAGAAAAACTATCTCTCCAACATGGTCAGGGTGGTGCTCAACAAGGAACTTTAGGGTCGCTGATGAAAAAAGCCTCGCAGCAGCATTGTCGTCTTGGCGGTCTAGCTTCTCGACATCCCGATGATACAATGGTGTCCCGTCTTCAAAGGCCATGGCACGTATGTGAGCGAAGAGAGCTGTGTAGTTGCCGAGGATGAGTAGACGAGCGCCAGAAAAGAGATTGTTGCGAAACGTTTTTAAGCCGTGCTTCGGGTCTTGGATATTAACCAAGGCCTGTCCATGGTGTACAGGAATCTCCAGCCTTATTGCGCTCATGCCAGCAAATGGACTCTCGATCCCATAGACGATGACACTATCTGCATCTCGCACAACAATACGCTGGACAGCACGTTCGACCTTGGTGCCATCACACGCATACGAGACAATGGGGATTTGATGCCTCCGAAGGCCACCAATGATCTCTACATCAGGAAAAAGCCCGGTCACTATATAGTACTATATAGCCAGGATAGACCGTGTAGCTCGGTAGTCAAGTCCCTTCTATATAGTATGTGAGGCAAATATGTAGTACTATGTAGTACTATATAGTGCTATGTAGAATTGGGTAACACTACTATGTACTACAGAAGTAGACTGTAGTTGCTTCGAGTTGTACTACAGGCAGCTATATAGCACTACATAGTTCATGTAGCGCTACTACTGCCAGCTACAAGCAGCTATATAGTCACACATATATCACATAGTAGTAGTAGCAGCACGCAGAATCACGAAAACAATGGAATTCAAATGCCTACGAATCAACAAATCAACATATTTTACAACTCCCTAGCCTCCGCATCATGCTGCTCCTCAAGTCGGTACTCTTGGATGGCATCTTCGAACGCGGTGTCACTGATCCGGGATGCAGATGACGAGATAGTAAGGCTGTCAACGCCTGCATGGAAACTTCAAAGCATGAAAGTTAGAATATAGTTTTCAAAAAGGACGCTGTTCAACGCACCGAGCCGTGTCGTGCAGATTGACACGAATTCTTTCGAGGAGTTTGTAAGGCGCCGTGCGCTCATCGAAGCGCTGCAATGAGCCGAAATGACCATGGTAGACAGTTCCATAAGTAGCCGATGTAAATTTAACATCCTCCTTCAGACCTTGTACCCATTCGTCGATACAACATTCAATCTACCAGTGATTCATCAGCGCCATCAACTTGAATATAAGAATAAGAGACTCACAGTTGTAAGCACAAGAGCGATAACTTCGACGGGCATAGGATTAAAATATTTATGGTGGATGACACCCTCGTCGTGTCGATTCGCAAACCACATGACATTGATACCCAGTTGCAGTAACTCCGTCTTGTAGATTCCCTTCTTCGATTCCCAATCCTATTAGTTCAAGGAGTTAGGACTTGAAATACCATGTAGATCATCAAAACACGTACCTTGAAAGCAAACACAGATTCGACTTTCAAATACTCTGCCAGATCCCTATTCTGTCTTATCACAGTGTTGGAATTGCTCGTCCGGAAACCGAAAAAAGATGCCGTCAGTGAACGCATTTTCGTTTTGAGTTCCCCGCGAACTTGTGATGTGCGGGTCAATAGCTTCGTAAAGTATGATATAAATCAGATGAAGAACACACGGAGATCAGACGACTCACCATTTTGACACCTGCAGGTGTCAGTTTGACATTGAGGCCTTTGATTTGACACGCCTCGTGCCAGGCTGCTTTTGCCAACGTGGTCTCGACAGCAATGTTGTCGGGAAATGGCGCCTGGGTGACTACCATACACCGGAAAATAGAGATTGCCGTCACAAGAATCTCCTTGGACACATCATCGAAGTCGCTGGCTTTCATGCGATGGCGTGAGCCATCAGGATTTTTCTTAATCTTCGGCAGTACCATGGCATCGTCCGAAGTCACGTCAAGTGGACACTTGGACCCTCGAGCTATTGGCGATAGCTCTTCAGCGATGTCGTTGTTGTCCTCGTCATCAGTGCGGTCTTCAGGTCGAGAGTCTGAGCCACAGTCTGTTGACTCATCCGAGTCATCACTGGCACTTGGACTCGGAGTCGGAGCTGCTCGATAGTAGCAGAGGCGGATTAGTCTTAGTATAGAATCAACAGAGTAGACACATACCTGTGGTAGTAGCCTTGTGGGTGGCACTAGCGTTGTGCAACACCGGGGGTATTTTACCAGAACTGAATGTCAGGACCTTGGGCTTGAACCGGGACAGTTTGGACGGCATATCGCGATCTGAGAACTAAATAAATATTTTATCAGTGATTATTCTGAGTTGCATCAAAGAAAACGGGTGAACGTACCATAGTTTCTTCTTCCCTATCAGTAGTAGCCTTGTGGGTGGCACTAGCGTTGTGCAACACCGGGGGTATTTTACCAGAACTGCATGTCAGGACCTTGGGCTTGAACCGGGACAGTTTGGATGGCATATCGCGATCTGAGAACTAAATAAATATTTTATCAGTGATTATTCTGAGTTGCATCAAAGAAAACGGGTGAACGTACCATAGTTTCTTCTTCCCTATCAATGTCGCTATGCAGCTCGGACGGCTCTTGCTCGAAGCCATCAGGATTGGCTTCGTAAGCAGCCCTCAGTGCTTTTTTCTTCTGTTTATCTAACTTCTTTTCCTTGTTTTCTTGGCGATGGGTGACGTGCTGAGACTCAGAGACTGTAGAGTCGCTAGTGAGTGAGACGTTCTCGCACAATATTGTCAGGATTTACCGCGGTAATTCTCTTTTTCGGTCGGCCGTCGCTGTCGACCACTTGCGGTGCGAGTAGGTGGTTGCGCTGGTTGCGCGTCCTTGGACTTTGCGTGCTTCGAGGCGACCTTGCGACTGGTAGCCATGGTTGTCTGAACACAAGGGAACATTAGAGCACATTTTAAAGCGCAATGAAAGACACAAACAAAGCCATCTAAACCTTGAATTTTTTGTTGATTTCAGGGCGTGTAAAGTTCAAAGCTAAAGCTGACGGACGGAACATGATTTTTGTTGATTTCAGGGCGTGTAAAGTTCAGAGCTAAAGCTGTGATCAACGGACGGAACATGATAAAAGGAGCGAGCATACCGCTACTACATCGCAACATTTTCCCTACCATGGTTATCTCAGTCCACAAGCGGTATGGAGTCTGCATCAAACACTCACCGGCGTGCTCTGACAAACAGATTGTATAGTCCTGCGTCACCAGCCAAAACTGCTACCTATAAAAATGGAGATGTTACTGTCAAAAGGTTAGCTGCATGTCTTTGTCACAGCCCCAATGCTCACCGGCTTGCAGGCCAAAGTTCAATGAGCCTATGTATCCGCTTCCTCCGCCGTTTCGCCAAACACCCGGCCCTGTCATGGTTCCTCAGTCCTACTTGCAAAGACTAATTTTGGAGCGTTGGGAGGCGGAATTGAAGAGTTGCGAGCAAGCCAAAAAATTGCAGCTCTCGGAAATGGTGCCAGGTCCAGCTCTTACCTTACTGCAAGCAAACTTGCGAAGACTCATTGTAGAGCGCTGGGAGGCAGAAGTGAGGCGTTGTGAGGAGGCCAAACGGGCGCAACTTTTAGAGTTAGTGCTTGCCGCCCATGGTATATCGAGACTAGTGTAGTGTGGCGTCTCCAAGACTAGTGTAGTATGCCGGCAGGGCCTGCCTTTGAAAAAAACCATAAAAAAATGTTACGAAGTTCAACCTCTGAAACACTCACCATGCCTCACTGCGGATTCTGTACCAAGGAGATTCCCACATTGGGAGGTGTCAAGAAACATATCGCAGGACGCCCTGACTGTAGAAGGCAATGGGAGCTGCTGGTTGAAAATCAAAATGACATTGGCGTACCTACAAACCAAGCCGCTGACACCAGCGCTGACTATCACGCTGACTCGTATTCTCCCCATCGCCGCTCACGCTCTGAGTCTTCCAATCCCGATGCAGACAACCCAGCAGCGCCAAAACATCGGCGGGTGACCATCGAGGAGGTTGAAGATGAGGACAACGCACGATATTTTGAACAATGTGCTGGTGCTGGCCAAACACTGCGTGAAGGACAAACCGGCTTTGAAAGGCTTCAGCAGTATCAGGAGTGTATGGGCGAGGACAAATGGGCTCCATTTTATGATGGGTACGTACCAATTCATGTCTGTCGCGTCTGCAAGGCAATTAACTTCAGGTCGCAAGGGAGGAATGGGGACTCGCCGAATGGCTTGTTAAAAGCCTCGGCCAGACTCGAACAGACGAGTTTCTAAAATTACCTATAGTAAGTGTAGTGTTGAAAGATGAAGAATTCGTACTAACCATAGTGCCGATAGACACAAAACCGAACGAAACCTTCTTTTCACAATAACCGATCTTTCCTCCAGAAAGTCGACGAGCTTCCACACGGAGCAGCCTGGAGTTGCAAAAAGGTTGAGGTCCAGGGAAATAAAACTGATGAGAAGGGCCAGCCGTTGCATGAAGACGTTGAAGTTTGGATGCGCGATCCTGTGGAGTGCGTCAAAGACCTCATTGGAAATCCACTGTTCCGCGATCACATGGTGTACACACCTGCGCGAGCATACAAGGACCCTGCAGGACTTCACCGAGTAATTGACGACATGTGGACGGCGGACTGGTGGTGTGACAAGCAAGTAAGTACACCCAAAAAAGCGAAAATGACAAGTACTTACCTATGGTGTCTAGAAACTGTTGCCGATCGGTGCGACAATTGCACCAATCATTCTTGCATCAGACAAAACATGTCTGTCGCAATTCCGAGGTGATAAATCAGCATGGCCCGTGTACCTAAGCATAGGCAACATTGCGAAAGAGAAGAGGCGGCAAACGTCAGCGCGAGCAACGGTCCTTATTGGATACTTACCAGCAGGAAAGCTTGATTGCTTTACTTCAGATACACGCTCCCTTGCCGGTTACCGACTTTTCCACCATTGTATGTCCCTGCTCCTCCAACCCCTCGTTGCTGCAGGTCGAAATGGTGTCGAAATGGTCTGCGCCGACTCGTTGATCCGTCAAGTCTACCCCATCCTTGCTGCTTATGTAGCCGATTTTCCGGAGCAATGTCTTGTCGCGTGTTGTAAGGAAAATCGGTGTCCAAAGTGTTTGGTCGCTGCAGATGAACGAGGTGATCCGCTGACTTCACTGATGCGGGACCCTGATGTGACAAAAGATATATTAGAGAAGCGGAAGAATGGTCAGCATCCGATTCAATTTGACGACAATGGGTTACGCGCCGTCTACAATCCATTCTGGGCAAATCTCCCTCACACCGACATCTTTCTTGCCTTCACGCCTGACCTCCTCCACCAGGTCCATGAAGGTGTCTTCAAAGATCACCTGGTTAAATGGTGTCTTGAAATTGTCGGAGAAGAAGAATTGGACGCACGCTTCAAAGTAATGCCAGATTACCCTGGTCTTCGGCACTTCAAGAAAGGTATTTCGACCGTGAGACAGTGGACAGGTACATAGCACAAAGAAATGCAACGCGTCTTCATCGGTCTGCTCGCTGGTGCTGTCCCAAGGTAAGCCATGCTCAACAAATTTAAAGTCTGTACTGACACAATTAATTTCATTTGCTAGTCGAGTCTTATTGGTTGCGCGAGCGATTCTGGACTTTTCATATTATGCACAGCTTCGAATGCACACTGCTGAATCCCTCGATGGTCTGGAGAGCGCGCTTGCGGTGTTTCACGCCAACAAGGACATCCTGCGGGAGCTTGAAGTTCGCGAACACTTCAATATTCCTAAATTACATCAAATCTCACACTTCGTTAAGTCAATCACTCTATTTGGTTCCACCGACGGTTTCAACACTGAGCTTCCGGAACGACTACACATCGATTTCGCAAAAGACGCCTATCGTGCCAGCAACAAACGTGACTATGAGGAGCAGATGGCCTTATGGCTTCAACGGCAAGAAGCCGTTTTCCTGCGTAGTTCTTACCTTGATTGGTTGTCAGAACGATCTCAGTCAGCCACAGTATCCAGTCACACAGATCCCAACCGCAGATTTGACTTGGATTCAGACTCGGACGCCGAGATTGAAGAGTTGCAGTCTGAGTCACGCAGCGCTGCCCCTACAAACGCAAGTCCATCACTTCCTATTGATGTGCCAGTGGTCCACGTTCTCGCGAAGTCTCCTGCACACCCTCGTCAGTCTGTTGATCACCTCATCACCGCACATGGTGCCACCATGTTTCTCCCTGCCCTCAAATCTTTCCTGCACGAGCAATTGCCACGCAACAACATTGTCCCCGGTCCACATGACCGTTTCGATGTTTATCGACAAGTTGTCGTAGTCGCTCCCCCTGATCCACGCACCGGTGACTCACCAAAACGGTGGCGCATTAGAGCGACACCTGAGGTGCAGCCTGGTGCTGGCCGCCAGAAACCTGGCTCCCCCGCTAGATTTGATATGGTGCTGATAAGTGATGGTGTTCGGACGTCGAATTTGCAGACATTCGAAGGTAAGCAACACTTACTATTCAAGGCCTTAATGTCACGACTGAAATGGATACTGTAGGTGTGCGAGTTGCGCAAGTTCGCATTATATTCACCCTGCCTCGTCAGTTTCAAGTTGGGACGTTCTCCCGAGCGCTAGCTTACGTCGAGTGGTTCACGCCGCTTCGGGAGCCAGATCCCTCCTCTGGCCTACGTCAAGTGTCACGTTCGACTCGTCAGCTGCACCGGAATGCAGCCGTGATACATCTAGATGAAATTGTTCGTCCGTGTCACCTTATTCCAAAGTTGGGACCATCTGTTGACCCCGGGTGGACGAGTGCGAACATCTATGAGATGGCACATGAATTTTATTTGAATACTTATATTGACCTTGAGACATTTTGTATTTCCGCTCTTAGTGACTAGAACTACTACTACTGCTACTGCGCTACAATGACTACAGGTTGCTACTACCACCACCTGTTGCTCTACATAGTCTTAGTTTCGGCTACACCAGGTATGTAGTACTATATAGTACCCTGGTTGCCTACATAGTACTACACCGCCTATGTAGCACTATATAGCTGTCACTATGACTATGATGATTTGGGGTTTTTCCTGATGTAAACTCCATTTTGCGAGAGATTCAGCGTTGTGGTCAGAAGCGAGAGGGAGCGCAGCCACGATGATTGGAGCAATCTTAGGGAGTGGGACTTGTAAGCACCAAAGACGCATTTTCATTGCAAGAGTTAACTTAGCCTCCTCGATGATCTTGCGGAGAGCATCCGGGTTGGCAACGAGATATGGTTCACCAATCCCCCCAATGAGATAGTGAGCTTCTTTCTCGGCATCCCAGAAGATACGCCATGCAGAATATAGCTTGGTGTCGTCACAGCATAGAGATGTCGGGCCACGATAACTCAAGTCTGCGAGATGGTCTGCGACCAGCTGAAAGGTACGTTCGCATATTGTCATCGGAAAACGTGGCCGTCGACTCTCTTTCTCTCTAAAGCTTCGCTCTGTACGAACGGGGAGGTGTTTGGATAGAAACCGAAGTGCTTGTGGACTATGTATCCTGAGGACATTGGAAAATTCGTCCCAGCTAGGCGAGTACTTGAAGTTTTGCATGCCGACACCACGTTCTTCGCGGTCAAGCTTGGTCACCATGGCTTCGACGAGGCCAGTGAAGACATTGAGGTCTGTATATTTTCCCTGAAGGACACCAGTAGCAAATTGAATGCAAGGTGTTCGCTCCGCACTCTAAGACCTGAATTAGAAAAGCACATCAACGAGTCAATAGATTGAAACATACTGCAGCTGTTTCAAGGATTTCTCGAACTCCAATGGTGCGAGCGTATATCATGGCGAGTGCAGCTGAGCGAAATCGGTGATTGATATGGATGAAGTTTTTGTCTTTTGGAATTGGCCGCTTGATTGCTCGTAGAAATTTGTCGAGTGAGAGGAGAGAATAGCATTCAATGCATGGTTGAGGACGTCCGTCAGTACTTTTTACAACTTTTTCACATTGTGTGGAGTAGACCCGAATTCGCTGGTGGTCATTCTTCCACTTCCATCCTTGACTTTGCTTGTCCATAACAATCTGCTTTCGCATTTTCGACAATTTGCCAAATGTCTTCGAAAACAGTTCATTGGCAATCTCCACGACTGATTTTGAGCCTCCTCCAGGGACCGCAGATCGATAAAGATAATTTTCTATCAGAGGTTCAACCTGTGACGAAATGCCAGGACAAGGAAGACTGGGTGTCGATAAGGTGGAGTTAAGGGACGTCTTGGATGTGTTGTTGTTTTTCATCCGTATGTCAAACTTCTCTGTCCACTGAGTGACTGTAGGCATTCCAGCAGCGGGAGTTGACTTTTGATGAGCACACTTTTTCGTAGCATGCTCTCGAAACCTTGACACATCATATGGTTCCTTCACTTTGATGGTGCGCCCACATATTGAATGTCGGACTGTCTGACAGTCGTCTTCGGCCACGGCATCTGAATCGAGTTCACGGATCTTCTTCTTCCAAGTGGCCTTCTTCTTCGGACATGGTTTGAACTCACCGCTCCTTGCTGCAGCACGCAAACCACGCGAAGCAGTGGCAGATTGGCTTATTCCCACTGGGCCAAAGCTTTCTTCACCTAATCTTGCCTTTTTCACCACCTCCACCACTTTGTTTTCGGTGCCCACAAAATCTGTCTTTGAACGAGTGCGTTTCCCCCCGACTTTTGGCACGTGGCTTAACCAGTTCAACAGGCTCTGCTTTGGAACCTCTATCTTCGAGTCTCCCATAGTTGCGCTCAAGTCGACACTGGAATGATTCACCACTGGTTCGATCGTACTGGCTAGTGTGCTGGTGCTCGATGTTGCAAGAATCGGAGGAGCGCAAGAAGACGGGTTGTTGAGAATGAAGGATAGTGAATTCTTTTTATCGACTTCACCACCATTGATACTTTTCCGAATCTCGCACTTCGCAAACATGATCATATCAGTATGGCACTTGAAGCAAATGGCAAAGTACATCCTCACATTACTCAGCCAATCTCTTGCAAGGATCACAAACCAGGTAGCTCGTGCAACTGATTTCGCTTTTGGTTGCCAGAGCTCATCTCCAAATACAGCGTGTGCAATTGCATTGGTGCTCACGACCCCACATGAATATGTGTCATTTTGTGACGCACATGTCAGGCCTTCGTTGTCGATACTAAAATGTGCGTTGAATGCACGCAGAAGCCATTGCTGCACCTGCCTCGCGAATTCATCAGGTGGTGGTATTTGTCCCCGCAGACCCTTCAGTCATTTTCCATGTAGAACCCTGGCCCAGGACATGCCAAAAGGCCCTAGAACCATGGCTAGCCGGTCACCGGCCGGAGTTCATGTACTATGTAGAACCATGGCTGGCCGGAGTATATAGAACCATGACTGGCCAGTGTAGATATATCAATACTGGTATTCTTATAATTGAAAGCAATACTAGTAGCTAGCCTTATACCTACTAGATGTAGAATCAAGGCTGGCTGGTCATTGGTGTCTGAGTTGCATATCAGCTGGCTGGCTTCTATAGCATGTAGAATCAAGGCTGGCCAGTCATTGATGTCTGAGTTGCATACTGGCCAGCTGGCTTCTATAGCATGTAGAATCAAGGCTGGCCGGTCATTGGTGTCTGAGTTGCATACTGGCCAGCTGGCTTCTATAGCATGTAGAATCAAGGCTGGCCGGTCATTGGTGTCTGAGTTGTACACTGGCCAGCTGGCTTCTATAGCATGTAGAATCAAGGCTGGCCGGTCATTGGTGTCTGAGTTGCATACTACTGGCCAGCTGGCTTCTATAGCATGTAGAACCATGGCTGGCCGACTACTACTGGTTGCTAAGTTTCTCAAATCTGGTGTTCAGGACCCTTCCATATTATTCCCACACCCCGCATTTTCGATTTTTAGTCACCTACTGTGGGAATTACCCCACAACACCCAAAACATCGACCATTTTTGGGAATCTCCACAATATCAATTATTCCCACACCTTTCTCACCTCACTGTAGCTTCACCACCACACCACAACAGGTCCCCCTTCATATATAAGTAGTAGTTCAGTATATATATGTATAATATAATATAATAGGCCGCTTTTTTTGTCTATTTGTGTGCCTGCTCCTCCTCCAGGGCCTTTTCAAAATAGGGTAGGGTACAGAACATTTTCGCACTTTTGCCCCTTTGATAGGGGTGTGTTCTATTATATTCAGAACATGTTTATGAGCATATATGAGTAGATTCCCATCTTTATTTCACCCTCTGAGGTGTCCTACATCAATAGATATAGCACATATGCAATAAAACACAGAATATGCTCCCATTGAATTATTTCTAGGTGAACAGACTTGGAAAAATTATTCCCAGCATCTATTCAACAATAGGAATAAAGTATCAGGAGCCCAGGACTATAGGATAATCCCCTGTTGCATGGTGTGCCCCCCCTCTCCTGGTGGTTTACCCCCTGTGAAATTTTTCCTGTAGGACCGGACCTCAATTGAGGTAAGGGGTCTATTTCTATGTATATCTGAGGTAGTTCTATCACATAGCTGACCCAGGACACACATAGGATCCTGCTACATGAACAAAAACATAGAAAATCGCATTTTTGACACTTTTGATGTTTTTCAGTGTCTTACTCTTGCACAAGTGATACACCCTGTTCATATATCATTATCAGAGTATATATACTTGCTCTTTGTGACAAGGATCAGCTCAAAATAGGCCAGGGGCTCAAGTTAGTGTGAATGCTTGCTATTTCTACTGATAAGGAGCCCATACTTTCAATACATCGAAATTTAATAATCAGACACCTGGTGTAGATGTCAAATATATTCAGTATCATAGGCCTAAATGTACAGAACAATCTAACAAGAAGTGAGTCCTGAGGAAGTGAAATAGATAAGGAATTGAGTGTGGGAAAGTTCAAATACCCAAAACATCGAAAATGGTCAGTTGGGCAGTAGTTGGACTTTAATGCTGGGTCAACTCAGATATATACCACATTCCTTCCACCACCCTCTAACCTCAGGGCAGCATGTAGCATAGGTTCCTTCAGTAGTTTACAATGTATCTTACATATTTTTAATGAAATATTTGAGCTGTACCATATATAAATGTCACTGTGTATGAAAAGATGTCAATTGTCACTTTTTACACATATGTGATGTTACTTGTCATTCAGTCAGTCCTTGATGGATCTTTCTAAAACTTCATATTTATCTTCAGGGGCATATATAGGATGTACCCCAGGTCTTTGATCACTTATCACAGGCTTGATTACTATGTAGGCTTCTTATCAGTAGAAATACCTCCTGTACATCATATATCACATTTGCACCCTATATAGGGCTGGTCCTTGTCACAAAGAGCAAGTATATATACTCTGATAATGATATATGAACAGGGTGTATCACTTGTGCAAGAGTAAGACACTGAAAAACATCAAAAGTGTCAAAAATGCGATTTTCTATGTTTTTGTTCATGTAGCAGGATCCTATGTGTGTCCTGGGTCAGCTATATGATAGAACTACCTCAGATATACATAGAAATAGACCCCTTACCTCAATTGAGGTCCGGTCCTACAGGAAAAATTTCACAGGGGGTAAACCACCAGGAGAGGGGGGGCACACCATGCAACAGGGGATTATCCTATAGTCCTGGGCTCCTGATACTTTATTCCTATTGTTGAATAGATGCTGGGAATAATTTTTCCAAGTCTGTTCACCTAGAAATAATTCAATGGGAGCATATTCTGTGTTTTATTGCATATGTGCTATATCTATTGATGTAGGACACCTCAGAGGGTGAAATAAAGATGGGAATCTACTCATATATGCTCATAAACATGTTCTGAATATAATAGAACACACCCCTATCAAAGGGGCAAAAGTGCGAAAATGTTCTGTACCCTACCCTATTTTGAAAAGGCCCTGGAGGAGGAGCAGGCACACAAATAGACAAAAAAAGCGGCCTATTATATTATATTATACATATATATACTGAACTACTACTTATATATGAAGGGGGACCTGTTGTGGTGTGGTGGTGAAGCTACAGTGAGGTGAGAAAGGTGTGGGAATAATTGATATTGTGGAGATTCCCAAAAATGGTCGATGTTTTGGGTGTTGTGGGGTAATTCCCACAGTAGGTGACTAAAAATCGAAAATGCGGGGTGTGGGAATAATATGGAAGGGTCCTGAACACCAGATTTGAGAAACTTAGCAACCAGTAGTAGTCGGCCAGCCATGGTTCTACATGCTATAGAAGCCAGCTGGCCAGTAGTATGCAACTCAGACACCAATGACCGGCCAGCCTTGATTCTACATCTAGTAGGTATAAGGCTAGCTACTAGTATTGCTTTCAATTATAAGAATACCAGTATTGATATATCTACACTGGCCAGTCATGGTTCTATATACTCCGGCCAGCCATGGTTCTACATAGTACATGAACTCCGGCCGGTGACCGGCTAGCCATGGTTCTAGGGCCTTTTGGCATGTCCTGGGCCAGGGTTCTACATGGAAAAATGACTGAAGTATGTGGTCCCCGTAAGGAATCCCCTAGTACACTCGTAAGTTGTTGGTTTTCTTTGTGGATATACTGACGCACCAATAGCAATGTTTTTTTTGTTGAAGTCGACAGCAACCGCGACCCAATGGTTACCGTGAACGTGAACAGGGAACAACAGCAATTCGTAGTGTAAGGTAATAATTTTTTCTTGACATTTGGACAGCAGAGGATGCACGTTGCCGGAAATCGTGAGACCCTTGATAACCTCTGCGAGTCGGGAGTTTTCGATTAGAATTCGTCTTCCATGGGACTGTGCGTGGGCACGGTGAGCAAGGTGCGCCATCATTGAATCTATGAGCTCGTCCGTTATCCATCCCATTCCAAGTAGGTGCGTGAACTCTAATGTTGACGTGGATCCACCACCTTTACTATTCCACGGCACGGCAAGGAACATATCTTGGACATGCGCCGTCATGTCAGGAGCCTCTCCAGTCATCAACGATGCTTTCGCAAGCCACGCCTCGCTCGTTCTCCATGCGGACTGTGCACGAATGACAGTCGTTAACTCGCGCCACCATGTCAAGGTCCATAAAGGCAGTCGATCTTTGCCATCATTATACCGTGGGTCTATCAATGACCGAGCTCCATCAAACCATGCTTGATCGAAGGCTTTGTTGATCTCTACAAGGAATTCAGCAGAGGGAATAGGCCGGGTATTTAGGTAAGAGAAGTCACGGTCCGGAAGGTCATGACTGAACCAACACTTGATCTTCACAGCGACAATAGTTGGGGATCGAGTAGGCAAGGATATCTTCAGAAAATCGGCAACAGGAAGGTGATGAGAAGGAATGTGTTGGGTGTGGGTGGATGGAATAACGAGTGCATCGGAACGAGCGTTGAGTACTGACATCGGAAGTGTATTTTTATCGTATATCTTTCCCTTCCCAATCCACTCGTGAGGATTAAAGATAGGAGGTTGTATGAGATCAATAACATCATTCATGTTAGGAGTGTTGAAGAAAAAGTATGGTTTGTTTTTTTTCACTCAATTTGCATGTCTGACAGGCCAATCTGTCCAATATGAAGCCTCCGTCGGACAACACACTCCGAATCATAACGATTAATATTGAGCAGTTTTGTGGCAGATGGTAAAAAGTGTGGTTCGAACTCCAGAGCTCCACCGCTCCAGCAGTCAAACGTGACATCATACATTACACCCACTACACTATTGTACCATGCGACAAGAACACCGTGTCCGGATGGCGACCTGGCTCGCAAACAACCTTGCTGATGTCCGGATGGTTGACCCAGGTAGACCCAAAATCAGACCCTAAAAGTCCGGATTGTAACCTGGGACAAATGGTCATTTGGGTCGATTTCTGTCCGGATCGATGACTGGGTTCCCAAGGCATTATCAGGGGTCCTATGGTAGGGCGTCTAGGCGGTTGTGGTGCATGGAGCGCGTTGCTTCAGTCACATCCGAGAACAATGATCCTTGAGCTACATCAGGAAAATCCCGGATGACTTGAGGCATCTTTTTTTGACTTTAACAGTAATAAAAGCTGTGAAAAGAGCTCGAGTGCACAAGACGCCACAAGGCCACGCGTATTCTCGAAATCGTCTTAGCTCACCTTGACTCGACTTTTTGAGCATTGCTCAAGACAAAAAAACTCGCCAAAAGGCAGCACATGATTGATTCAAACTTCGCCAAAACAGTAATTGTAAAGTGTCACAAGGTGTACCAAGACGTGTTCAAGCAGAACAAAGCCATCTAAACTCGAAAGAAAGCGATTAAAATGCGGTCTAGATAGATCGAAAAACAGCTGCAAGGCGCCGGAAATGCATGGACAAGAGATACGAAGAGGGGGGAAATTCGTCACAAGGCGATTCAACAGTCTGAAAAGATAATTAATACGGCTAGTAGGATGACCGGCACGATTAAAGGAGCACGTCAGATGTCCGCACGGTCGTCCATACCATCCACCGAGTCAGCGCTGTTGTGCTTGTCGAAGCCAGGTTTCTTCACGAATTTGTAGGCCATTGACATCGTCAGCTTTGTTGCCTCTGTGTCCTTCTTCTGTGCCCCTTTGATGAATGCGGCAGTTTTTTGCGCCCCACTTGGCAACCGAAAACGCATGCTCAGTGCCCGATTCCTTTCCGGTTGCTCTGTTCAGTGTCTTGGGTGTCTTCAAACGAGCCTTTCGCCCTACAGCGGGCGCGTCAGGGACATCAATGGCGACAGTGTTCTCGGCAATAAGAGTGAAGGCACGTTCGAGCTAGTAGTAGTATTAAAAATCAACATAAATGAAAGCATGTGGACACATGGACACACCGAGACGGCACACAAACCGAGGGCTCCAATGATGCCACTTTCCGCTAGAGTATCAGTATCAAGAGCAGGTACATTAGCATGCCCAGCGATCCGGGAAAGATGGGCAGAGGCGAGAAGTTCTTGCACAAAGGCAGAGCGGAAGGTTTCAGACTTGTCGATGTTCTCAGGATCGGGGTACAGAAATGCGTATTGATGGAGGAAGAGTTGCCCAAGCTCCTGTGGCGGAGTATCTCTGTTTAGATTGAAGAAATCGACCACCAGCGTGGCTGCAGTCGATCCAAAGTTGCTGCGCCAATCACTGACGCGCTGAGTGACCTAAAAAAAAGTAATTAGAACACCATCAATTGAATAAAAGATGAACTCACAACACCGAAAACTGAGCCAGATATTGTAACCTTGTACCGGATGCTCGGATAGACAACCTTGAAAATTTTGTGACACGCATGGAGAAGGTTTGTATCGCTGATTGTCCAGACGTCGTCCTGAGCACCGAGCCAGAGCCAGACCGTTGGTATAAATTCCCTGGCCCATTTGCTGTCTTTGTGGCAACCTGGAGGAAGGTCACCATTGACATAAGTCGAACGTGCCTTGATTGTTTCTTCTACCCAATAGCCGTCCTGCTTAGGCTTGGCGGTGGGCGCTGAATGCTGGGACTTCATGGGTGTCTTCTCGATCTTTGCTTTCTTAGAGGGCGGCGCTTTGCTAGAGAGCGGTGCTTTGCTATGGGATGTGGTACCAACTGATGTCTGCAACAGAGTTAGTAGCAAAGATGCGAAACGAGGGGACAAATACCATGGCTGTAGTACGTGAAGCTTTCACCGTGGTAGCTTTCTGCACTTTGACTGGAATTGGTGCCTCCGTGAGCTCTGGCTCTATTTCGTCAACCTCCATGTTGTCTTCATTTGAGGACACCTCGACAATGTCATCCATGTCCTCGTCCTCTTGTGGAGTCAGTAGATCATCATCTTCAGAGATGTCGCGAATCTGCTCAGCCATTTGCTTTCTCTTCGCAGAAGTGGGTCGAGTGCTGGGCCGTTGAGCTAGAGGTGGCGGTACGAGGTCTGGATCAATGTCACGGGATGTAATTTCGACAGTAGACTTAGTAGAAAAAATCAGTATAAGCGAACTAGGATCAACTGATGGTCACCTGTCTGGTTGATATCTTGCCCTGAGTAGATACTGCAACATCACGTTCAAGGGAATCATCGACGTCCTCATCTCCGAATCGTCCGACCAGATCATCCGAGTCCGTCAATTCTTCATGTGTGTTGGGTACACATTTAGGGGCCGGTAGTTGGAGATCACAAGGATTTGAGCGTAGAGAAGTACCAGTTGAGGTATGCGACACCTGAGACTTCGAGAAGACGGTTGAAGGAGGAACTTGACTGGCGGTGGTTAGCGAACCACTTTGAGTGGTTGGATTCTGCGGATCAAAGTAGACATTCTTTCTCCAATTCTGAATGCGGCCACCCAAAGTTGACTTGGCCCTTGATTCCAACGTTAGATTGCGAAAGAACAGTGTAGACTCGGTGAGCATGAGCATGAACATGATGGTTTGAAAAGAACAAACTCACGGTAAGGAGTTGCCTTTCTCGTTTGTACTGGCACGTGCCTGATTGTGATCAGCCGTTGCAGTCACGGCAATGTTCTTGCGAGCCTCGATAATGGCAGTCTTGAGTGATCGTATGTTTCGTCCTTTCTTTCTCTTCCTGTCATTGTCAGAATCTTCATCACCCGCCAGGATATCGATATCTTCGTCGACATTTTCTGAAGGCTCCTCAACCGCTCCTCTGCTTTTAGCTGCACTGACACCAACCTCTGCTGGAGCAGCTTGATCGCTCACAGCAGTAACAGCACCTCGTGCCTTCTTAGGTACAGCACGTGGCTTGACGGCCTTGGGCTTTGCCGTTGTCACCCGGGCCTGGGCCTCCTCCATGTCAACCTGCATTTCTGCAAGCCTGTTAAGCCCCGCTATAGCCAGTACTTCTTTGGCTTCCTGAGCTGCTTTGAGGCGCTTCTCATCGGCGGCCTTTGCCTTGGTAGTCCGGCGCTTCGGTTGGGCGTCAAGAACAATTTGACCAGGGTGAGTGGTAGCGTTTTTGGCGCGGGTGCGACGGGTCGGCTCAGCCATTAAAGATGTACCAGCGAATACAAGAGCAGTGGAAAATTGAGTTGGGTGAGAGCAAGGGTTCCCAAATGGTCCGAAATGAATTTGTACGTGCCCTCCAAATGTGCCAAACAAACACTTTGAATAATATGTAATTAGCCTTCAACACTTGTGCGTGTTAGCAGTACACTATCTGCAAAGAGCCTCACTCTGGTCCTCAGCACTTCTCCTTCTCACTTTGCCGCTATTTATTTTCCTCAGCATGCCAGAAAACGTGCCTCGCACTCAGATTGCTCGGCGAAACTTCAGTGCCTTTCAAGTCCCTTGTGGACATATGGGGTGCAAACGTTTCTTCAAGACCACTGCTGGACGCACTAAGCATATTCTATCAGCCCACCCTGTTGTGTCCCCTCCAGCCTCTCCAGAACCGCATCATGACGACATTGCCGACAATCCTTTTCAGGATGACTTTGATCTTCTAGGTCAACCGGACGGTTCTAACGAGGAGTTAAGAGCTTCTCCCCCCCCCAACGTACACGCAGAATTTTTCGGACCTGGAAACTCCCTCTATCGCAACTATCATACTTTGTTAGATGGTTTGTTTTCGCATTTCTCCTTCTGTTCAGACTCTGACTACAAGCTATAAGGGCGACCTTGTGACGCCCATGGTCATTTTCTCCCTGAGGGTACTGCACCTCCTCCTCCGGAGCCCAAATCTCGGAATGACTGGACGCCATTTCGAAATCGGGTGGAATTTGAAACCGCCGAGTATTTTTATATCCGCAATCAGACTCCAGCAGGACAGGCCGACCATCTTCTCAACCTTTGGGCCACAACACTTCTCCAACATGGTGGCACCCCACCGTTTGCAGATCACAAAGACCTTTATGCAACAATTGATTCAATTGCACTGGGCGACGTGAAGTGGGAGGGCTTCTCATGCGCCTACACAGGAGAGAAACCTGATGGCTACCCACCCTGGATGGATGGGAGCTATGACGTCTGGTACCGAGATCCGCGGGAGGTTGTTCGCAACATGTTGGCGAACCCTTCATACTCTAACGAAATGGACTACCGGCCTTATCGCGAGTACTCTACCAATGGAGATGAGCGGCAATTGCGAGATTTCATGTCGGCTGATTGGGCTTGGAATCAGGCGGTAAGTGTTTTTGAACTCGCCGTTCCTCTTCCCCCCCTCTTCTCTGCGATAGACTACCAGAACTCACCTTTCCTCTTCCCCCCCCCTCTTTTCTCTGCGATAGACTACCAGAACTCACCTTTCCTCTTCCCCCCCTCTTTTCTTCACTATAGACCACCAGAACTCACCGTTCCTCTTCCCCCCCTCTTTTCTTCACTATAGACCACCAGAACTCACCGTTCCTCTTCCCCCCTCTTTTCTTCACTATAGACCACCAGAACTCACCTTTTTTCTTCCCCCCCCCTCTTTTCTCTGCAATAGACCATCAAAACTTGCCGTTTTTCACATTCTTTCTTCACTATTCTTAGATATAACTAACTCTATCTATTACAGGATATCATTGCTGGAGACCCAGAGACAATTGGCTCCACCTTCGTGCCCATCATCCTCGGAAGCGACAAGACGACGGTTTCTGTTGCGATCGGCAACAACGAGTATTATCCCCTCTATCTTTCAATAGGGAATGTTCGCAACAACGTTCGCCGCGCACATCGAGACGCACTTGTGGTCATTGGGTTCCTCGCAATGCCAAAGAGTAAGTCCATCGGTTTGGCAATCCAACTCGCTAATACTGATTTTCAACTGTCTAGCAACAAAGAAACACGCGGAGGATCCAAAGTTTCGCAAATTCCGTCGCCAACTATTTCATTCCTCGCTGTCTAGGATACTCGCATCACTTCGGCCTGGGATGTCAACACCTGAAGTCACAAAGTTCGGAGATGGTCATTTTCGGCGCGTGATTTATGGCCTGGGCCCATACATTGCCGATTACGAGGAACAAGTCCTCCTTGCATGTATAGTTCACTTCTGGTGTCCAAGGTGACTGTCATTTACCTCATTGACATTTGCACTCGAACTGACACTCTTTTAGATGCTGCTCACATCGTGACAGCCTCGACACTCCCTCGCTCCTTCGATGCCGCGAATACCACGAAGCCCTGTTTGAAGCGGGTACTTACGGAGAACTGTGGGTAGAGTTTGGAATAGTCGCCGACTTGATTGTAAGTCAATTTTACCCCGATATTAACAATCTACTTACTAACGCTTCTGATCTTTAGCCTTTCACGAACGACTTTCCGCGTGCCGACATCCACGAAGTGATTGCCCCGGACATTCTACATCAAGTTATCAAAGGTGCCTTTAAGGATCACCTGGTGGCGTGGGTGGAGAAGTATCTTGTCCTTACTCATGGGAGGACTGAGGCAGACCGCATCTTAGATGATATTGATCATAGGTGCGAATTTCACACCTTCCTACTATGTCATGGACTCATTTCTCGCACAGAATAGCAGCTGTTGCATCGTTTTCGGGTCTGCGCCGCTTCCCGCAAGGGCGGGGCTTTAAGCAATGGACGGGGGACGATTCTAAAGCTCTCATGAAGGTAATTTCATTCCACTTACACGTTATTTGCGCTGATGAAATGTTTTTAATTAGGTATACATACCCGCAATCGAGGGGCACGTACCGATAGATGTCGTTCGCGCATTCCGCGCGTTGCTCGAGTTCTGCTACCTCGTACGTCGAAACACTATCACCGAGAACACCCTGGACGAGATTCAAGACGCAGTCTCTCGTTTCCATCAATACCGCGAGATTTTCAACACTTCGGGCACTATTCCAACGTTCTCGCTGCCGCGGCAACACTCCCTAATGCACTACGCGCACGTTATTCGACTCTTCGGCGCCCCGAACGGACTGTGTTCATCGATCACAGAGAGCAAGCACATAAAGGCTGTGAAGGAACCATGGAGGCGTTCGAGTAAGTACAAAGCGCTCGGTCAGATGCTGGTCACGAACCAGCGTCTTAGTAAACTAGCTGCCGCGCGTGTTGATTTTGACAGTCGTAAGATGTTGGCTGGTACCTGCCTTTCAGCGGAACTCGAGGCTCTTGGTGAGTACTAGTTATTATTAACTTTCGTCTCTCAAACTGATTCATTCAACGGTGCGCACTGAATAGGTATGTCGGCCAATATTGATGTCCTCGATGATGAAGACCTTGGTGTTCCCCTGCCAAATCAAGCTGTCAATTGTGACAACGACAACGATACAGCCGTAGACCATGGCCCGACTGTATTACAAGCACACACTCGGCTCGCACGGACAGTTCGTAAGTATCTGTATCTATATTTTAGACTTACCGCAGAGTCTAACCCAGCTTCACATACAGAAACAAAGCGTGCGCGGAGTGTCTTGGCTCTCGCTGAGGAAATACACCTTCCTTCTCTCCCGGCCTTAATCCGCCGCTTTCTTTTTCAGCAAACACGCCCAAACGACACCCAGGACCCGCACGAAATCCCTCTTGCTGCCTGCCCCAGATACGAAGGGAAAATCTCAGTCTTCAACTCCGCGTGCTCAAGATTTTATGCACCGAGTGATATTTGTGGGATTGGTGGGATGCGAGTGGAGCATATCCGCTCATGTCCTTTGTGGCGGGGTGAATTTTCACGCTATGACTGTGTTTTCATTAACACAGGATCAGACACTGAGGGTATCCGAGGGCTTGAAGTCGCGAGGGTTTTCGCCTTCTTCTCATTCAATTATGGAGGAATCACGTATCCGTGCGCTGTTGTGCGCTGGTTTGATGTTGTTGGAGACACACCTGACCTAGAGACGGGAATGTGGATAGTTCGCCCGGCCTACAACGCCAACCGCACACCTCTGCACGGCGTCATTCATGTGGACACCATCTATCGCGCTGCTCACCTCATTCCTATCTACGGCAACCATTTCGTTCCCCTCGACATCACCTTGCACGTGTCTTACGATGCTTTTCGGGCCTACTATGTTAATAAGTATGTTGATCATCATGCCTTTGAAATCGCATCGTGATCTTTAATTCGGATTCTCACTGTACTACTCGTGACTTTTACATCTTGTTAGTACTTGTAGCGACTTGAATCCTATTTTTCTTCTCGAGTCCATTTACCGTCTTTGAGCAGTTTCCGTGCCTTGAAAAACTTCGACTTTTACGACTTGTCACGCCTTTGCGGCAATGTGCGACTTTTGCTTGAAGTCCAAGACTGATTAATAAGCTCAAAGTCAAATAAGAACTTCGTGATTTTACTGATGTATCCATCACTGTTAATTGCGCTCTCCAAGAGATACCTTGTAAAAGCGGGCCTGGGCTTCTTCGGAACCGTGATCGCACTCCTTTGATCGTTCACACTATTATGTAATAACATTATCTTTTACATGTCACACTCGTCATCTCCACTTGGTCTCCACAAACCCAAGTCAAGCTTTTTCGCGTAACCGACGACAATCTCCATGGCTGCGAATCCGATCCCTTTGTCCTCTCAGTTCTTTGTTGACCTTTCCTTGGAGTGCTTAAGAGAGTAGTTTCAACACGTTCTTTAGTACCTAGTTCTGAACCACCGCATTCCTATTGGAATATGGAAGCACCCTAAATTTGCACCTACTCAATTGGCCAGACTTAGCCTCGTGTTGGCCACGTTGCTCCGATACAAGAGGATACAAGACAGCTATCCAGCGGACGAGGAATAAGTACTTTGCAGTGCGCTCTCTTCTTGTCCTAGGACCTATTGCTCGTTCACTATGGTCAAAATTTGCCCGCAGTTGGAAGCCCACGGGGCTTGCACCAATCCCCTATGCAAAGGGTACCACGACGTCCACCTCTGCGAGCTATGTGGCGTTTTCTGCGCGTCTACCAAGTGGTACGAATCGCATCTCGCCAGCAAAAAGCATCGCCGTAAATTGTCTGGCCATGATGGACACCAGTACCATTGCACTATTTGTGACACTTCCGTTTCCGGTCACAGGTCTTGGGTCCAACACGTCCAAGGACAACGACACCGCACAAATGCGCAGAACCAAGGTGTATTGCCTGAGGTAGCTCCCGCTGTTCCTGAGGCGCTCCCTGGCAAGGTACTGTGTGGTGTCTGTGACAAACAGATCCCAGAAGGCTTGTGGGCTTCTCATCCTCAATCCGCCGAGCATCGCAGGAGGGAGGGCTATACCGCGTTCAAAACTGCCCTCGAGGAAGCTGAGAAGGACAAGCACGGCGTCGTTCTCTCAGAAGGACTAGATTTTGGGATTTTGGAAAATGCCGACGCTGCGCGGGGAGCATCGCGAACTCTGACAGTAGAGACCACGGTGCCCTCATCGCGGGTGACCATTAAGAAGGTATCTTTGTCCTCCTCGTTCGTGGGTGGGAAATCTCCGTGAGCTCTTTGCCCCTTTTGTTGATTTGATCACCGAAGCCAATGACGTCGTTGGTAGGTTTGCTATTACAACCACAGCGGAAGGGGCGGTATTGGGATATCGTCGCCCGACTGCAATTGGTGTACGGTTTTCGACACCCCACTCTGGGCGCATGGATGATCGTCTTGAAATCCTCTTCGAAGACACGGCACTGCGTGTAACCTTCGTCATCGCTAGGACGTTGAAGGCCATTGTGGGCAGCCAAGCCGATCATGAGCTGTTGAAACCTATCGCTCCCTTCCAACCTCGCCAACGGACTCGTGCACAGCCTGAGAAGGAGGTAGTGCCGGGCGTCCCCCCACCTTCTAAAACCATCATACCGTACACTGTCAATTTGCCTCCGGCAAAGATATCGGAGTCACTCTTAGCTGCATTATCGGAAACGTCAACTGGAAAGGCGCTGGACCACATCAGAAGAGTCTTCCTCCCGAGGGTCATCGATTCTTCGACGTATTCGCGTTACTTCAAGACACTGCTTTGGATAGAGGAGTACCGCATGGAGTGAGTAGAGTTGCATATTGATTTATCTCTATTCATACGAGCTTTCAAGGCATGATTTGGGACACTATGACATTCCTGACGCTCAGTTAGAACATCACAGACCGTATTATTAGTGAGCACACTGATATTACTCAAGGGTTCGAACTCATTGTGTTGTAGTGTGAAAGTTCCTGGGCTGGCGGAAAAACGCCCAAGTGTTTTGATTGGTTTGGGCGTCTACTTATTTTGTTCTTGCTATCATTAATCGTACTGTCAGGTGATCGTTTTCTTGTCCAAAAACACGGAGCTGTCGAGGGCCATTGGTATGAAGGCCATGTACATTTTGTTCAACAGGAATCCGTCGGGTTACGATTCGACAGGTCATTCGGTGGCTGGTCTGAGCAGCAGCGATATACCGTACGGTTCAAGCTCAACCGCATTCCTATGCGCCGTCAACACCAGGCGCTGGACACCGCATTTGCGTCCGATAAGTTTTTGTTCCCTCAAAAGGCGCACATTTTACCGCTTGCCCCTCGTCCTGGCGTGGGCCCTATTATGCCATTCAATTCGTTGATTGCTACGAACCCACCCCAGCTCCAAGCCGTTACATCTATCCTTCTACAGCAATCGGGTTCAGCACCATTTGCCGTTTTTGGCCCCCCGGGCACTGGCAAGACTATAACAATAGTAGAGGCTATGAAGCAACTGCTCAAACATAAACCAAATACACGTATTCTTGCTACAGCACCCAGCAACTCTGCTGCTGATATCATTGCATCCCGGTTGGCGTCCACCCTTGGACCCGACGAACTTTTCAGACTTTACGCACCCTCAAGGGACTTTGAACAGGTGCCAGATGAGTTGCGGCGCTACACGCACAGAAAGACGCTGGAAGGGCAAGACAAGGGCTGCTTCTCTGTCCCGCCCATCCCAATCCTCAAGCGCTACAAAGTTATCGTTTGCACATGTGTCTCCGCATCTATTCCGTACGGCATTGGCATTCCCCGCGGACATTTCACGCATATTTTCGTCGATGAAGCTGGTCAGGCGACTGAACCTGAAGTCATGATTGGGATCAAAACCATGGCCGACAATGCGACGAACATCGTCTTGGCGGGAGATCCGAAGCAGTTAGGACCTATCATCCGATCCAACATTGCAAGGGAGCTTGGGCTGGAGCGAAGCTATCTCGAACGTCTGATGTCGATGAATGCGTATGAAGCTCAAAGTGGCCATGGCCTGAGGTGATCATAGCCCATGTATTTGTTTCGTTTAGGTTACTGATCTATGAGCAGCGTCGTCAAGCTTGTGAAAAACTTCCGGTCCCATCCCGCAATTTTGAAGTTTCCCAACGAGCGATTTTACGCGAATGATCTTGAGTCATGTGGCAACAAGAATATCATACGCGCTTTCGAAGGCTGGAACAAACTGCCCTCGAAGAAATTCCCGATCATCTTCCACTCGATATCTGGCAAGGATGATCGCGAGGCTTCGTCGCCCTCTTTCTTCAACATTGATGAGGTTACTCAAGTTCGCAAATACATCGATCAACTCCGAGATGATCGACAGGTCAGAGTTGGTAAGCGAACACAAATTCAATTCCGTTCGAAATTTATAACAACACGACAGCCCACAATGAGATTGGCGTGATCACCCCCTATCACGCTCAGTGTGTCAAGATTCGCAAGAGGCTCAGTGGCGTGGCTGACGAGGTCAAAGTTGGCAGTGTAGAAGAGTTTCAGGGCCAGGTGAGCAAATTTCAAAGCGTGTGTCGTTCTATGGCCGATTTTAGCTATCAGGAACGCCGAGTCATCATTATATCGACGGTCAGGAGTAGTCGAGATTTCGTTGCGTTTGATCTCAAACATACCCTTGGCTTCGTTGCGAATCCGAGGCGCTTCAATGGTTAGTGGACCGGTTTTTTGCACGAATAATGCTCATAATGCTCTCAGTTGCTGTGACTCGAGCACAAGCTCTGTTGATTGTGGTCGGAGACCCAAATGTCTTGTCCCTAGATCCTCTTTGGCGGTCGTTCCTGAATTATGTACACTTGAACGGAGGATGGGCTGGGCCTGGGCCGACATGGGATACGACAGAGACGGTAGATGAGAGTGGTGAATACGACCAACATGTTCGAGCGGCTGCATTGACAGACATGAATCTTCTTGCTCGGAGGATTGAGGAGGTCGTGGCGGAGAATGTGCAAACTAATGAAGGTGACGACGACGACGACGACGACGACGACGCAAACTCTGACAGGCCATGGAGGGAACTGGAGTAGGCTCTCTTACTAGTACTGTAATAATATGTTCATAAAACACGGTTGTAAACTTGGGTAATTTCCTTTGCAATACTTTGTTTCATTGTACTGTGACTACTATCTCACGCTGTACTGGGCGGTGTTACTGCATTTGCCCAATTTGGGGGTACGTCCAAGTCGTCGTGGACCGAACCAAGACCGAACCTGAAATTTCCTCGACAACTCTTTTTTCGTGCAGCTAGGCAGGACCGTGTCTCCTCTCTTTCGCTTTCACATTCTTCTGTCGCATTATGGTCGAGGACAAGTACATCGGATTGGCTCTGGCAGTCTCCAGCTCATTAGCCATTGGAACAAGTTTTATCATCACAAAGAAGGTTGTCCATCTCGAGCTTTGTTGAACTTCCCGGAACTTAGTGGTCTTGGATGCAGGGACTTACTGATGCAGGAGCACGAAGCGCATCTGCCTCCGATGATTACACTTACCTCCGGAATCCAATATGGTGGGCTGGGATTTCCACTCGTGAGTCTTGTTAAATGAGCTGTCGGAATATCACATCATCTCAACGATTGTACAGTGGTGCTTGGAGAAAGTGATAATCATCTCTTACCCCCTTTGTTCAGCTAATAACGAAGCCTGTAGTCGCAAACTTCGCTGCTTACACTTTTGCTCCCGCAATATTGGTGACACCATTGGGCGCACTTAGTGTGTTAATCGGGTAAGCATGCTATAGGTATCACAACTCCATCAGCTGATGCTTCTGCAGTGCCATACTGGCGTCCTTCTTGCTCAATGAGGAGCTTGGGCATCTAGGACGGACTGGATGCGCCCTGTGCCTTATTGGTTCATTGATCATTGTTCTCCACGCACCACCAGACAAAGAGGTTCAGACCGTGGACGAGATTTTACAATATGCTATACAGCCCGGTTAGTCTTGGTCTTCTCTTATTGGTGTGACACTGACTGGTCCGCAGGGTTCATGCTGTATTGTTTCACGGTTTTCGTATTCTCGCTCGTCATGATATTTGGTGTTGCCCCACGCTATGGCCGATCCAACCCTATTGTTTACATATCTATATGCTCCGTAGTTGGTTCCGTGTCTATCATGGCCATCAAGGGCTTTGGTGTAGCCGTTAAACTAACATTTGGTGGGAACAACCAGTTCACCCATCCAAGCACATATGCGTTTGGCATCGTCGTCATTGGGTGCATCCTTGTGCAGATGAACTTCTTCAATAAAGCACTGGACACATTTTCTACCAATGTGTACGTCCGTCCGCACGTCTTTTTCAATGGGTGGTTCACCATTTCACAGTGTAAATCCCATGTACTATGTTGGATTTTCCACGGCAACGATAGTGGCGTCCCTTATACTTTTCCAAGGATTTAATACGACGGATGGCACAAATACCGTTACACTCCTCGCCGGGTTCATTGTCACTTTCCTCGGCGTTCACCTCTTGAATATCTCGCGGAAAACTGAACCTCCGAGCATGCCAAACGGTCACTCCACGCTAGAAAGTGGTCTCATGAATCCCCGCATCAGCCTCCAGGGCCGCATGTCTCTAGATGGTTGGGGTGGTGTATCTGAGGTACAACCAGACGGCGCCCTGCAGTCCTCTGGCCACGGCCGTCGTTCTTCAATATATCGCGCACAGAGCAACACATTGTTCAACGCCTTCGAGGAGGAGGAGACAGGCGACAACGTGCCACTGTCTCGATTGCGGGAGAGCGAAGAAGAGTACGAGTATGATAGTGATGTAGATGAACGGACTCGATTGCATTCAGAGCATCGCATACGACCAAGTGTCTCTCGAAGTCATAGCAATTCCCCGGCGCTGCAGGGCAGCGCACGGAATTCTCCTCGGCCATCATGAATTACCATAGTCTTTTACCCTTTTAACGGACCTTTATAATAGATATCAACTTCTTGTCTAACTTATTGAAAGCTCAATTGTGAAAGAGTGAAACCAAACAAACGCTTATTTGCAAAGGATGTGAGAACAAGTTCCTGGTTCAGGTGCTTGGCATAGGTTGTAGAACACATGTGGTGTCCATGCACACGCAGGGCCCCAAGAATACATCGAGATCGATATCTCCTGACCCCTGCATTTGCTCAGACCATCCGACTCTCATCTGGCACAACAACGACCATGGGCGCAAGTGGGACTCGCACTGTCAACACTACCGAGCGGCTGGCGAAGCTACGACAACTGTTGAAGAAGCCAGAGAACAAGGTCAAGGCTTTCGTTGTTCCTAGCGAGGACCAGCGTATGCACACTTAACATGTTCAGCAGAAGTGTTTCTGAACCTTTCTTGTTCTAAAGATTTTAGCGAGTATCCAGCACACTCGGACGAGCGTAGGGCATTCATTTCAGGATTCAATGGTTCAGCCGGTGAGAAGATACCATGATCTGTTTGACGATATCTGATATGAGAGTCATGGTAGGGTGTGCTATCATCACCCTCAGGGACGCTTTCCTCTTCACAGATGGGAGATACTTCTTGCAAGCCTCCCAGCAACTTGACAGGTACTGTCTAGCTCATTTGACTGTATGAGTCCTCACGAAAGATGTCCTCAGCAACTGGAAGCTTATGAAACAGGGCTTGCCAGGTATAGTAGTTCGTTCATCGTGTTGATGTCTTTTGACTTACTTGGGAGGAAGATGTGCCCACATGGCAGGAATTTCTCTCTAAAGTCAATCCTTCCTGTCCTTCTGGGACCCTACGCTGATCGAATACTACGACAGCACCTCGAGCAAGGGACACGGATTGGCATCGATCCTACATTGATTTCAGCTGGTACGGGTGTTACCACTTCTCCTCGTTGTTTAGCTGACATGATAGCAGTGGATGCCGAGAGTCTCAAAAAATCTCTTGAACCTAGGGGATCTGAGCTTGTATCTCTCCAGCAAAACCCTGTCGATATCGTCTGGGGCAAGGACCGACCCCCGCATCCTCATAACAGTGTTTTCCCTTTGGACGTTAAATATGCCGGTAAGCATGATATGATTACGCATAGTTTAAGACCAATACTTTGAGTAGGAGAGACATTCCAGAGCAAACTTCAGCGCTTACGGGCGGAGATCGCGAAGAAGAATGCCGTTGCCTCGGTTGTTACGCTTCTTGACGAAGTCGCGTGGCTTTTCAACCTTCGTGGTACAGATATTGACTTCAACCCTGGTAATTGCAGACACCTGTCACGCTGATTTAGTGTCTCAAAGAACGTTTTCCAGTCTTCTTCGCGTATGCGGTCGTGACCCCAACGCAAGCAATACTTTTTATGAATGACGCTCAGGTCCAGAACAGTATCAAGACGTCCATGGGCTCTGATGTTGAGATTCGTCCATATGAGTCATTCATTCCTTCTTTGAAACAGCTCACTAGGACCCTTGGAGCCAACAAAGAGAAAGTGAGTCAGCTAATGCATGCTTGAACTCAATTCTGATATTTTATCCGCTTTAGCCCATGTTACTGGGCGATAAGACTAGTTTAGCTGTGGTTGAAGCAATTGGACAAGTATGTACCCCGTGACAGTCCGTGATAATGACTAACTGTGTGCCAACTAAATACAGGAGAATGCCGTTCTCATTCCGTCGCCAGTAGCTGCCATGAAGGCAATAAAGAATGAGACGGAGATCGAGGGCTTCCGACAATGTCACATTCGCGATGGGGCTGCCCTAACCCGTTACTTCGCCTGGTTGGAGGAACAACTTAACAGCGGTGTTGAGTTGAACGAAAGCCAAGGCGCAGCTCAGCTGGAAGAATTCAGATCGTCAGTGTGGACGATATCTTACATTGCTGCAGCTCACCTCCTGGTAGTGAGCTGGACTTGTTCCGTGGACTGTCATTCGAAACAATCTCGTCTACTGGACCTAATGCTGGTGCGTGAACTTGGATGGGACTAAACACGCATTGATCATTGCACAGCTGTGATACATTATTCGCCGGACCCGGATGACTGCGCGATCATCAAAAAGGATCAGGTATGTTGTCCAAATTGACGTGAACCATGCTCACGCAGGGAATATCAGATATATTTATGTGACTCTGGAGGTGTGATACTTTCTGTTCACAATTGTACCTCTTTAACAAGACCATCCACCAACAGGACAATATCTTGATGGAACAACTGATGTGACTCGAACATTGGTGAGCAAACGTACCAGTGGTGAAGAGAAGCGTTTTATCTCAAGACTTCCTCACAGCATTTTGGCACCCCTACTGATGAAGAGAAACGAGCTTTCACACGTGTTTTGCAAGGTCATATCTCAATCGACACTGCTATTTTTCCAACCGGAACATCAGGTGTGTCTGCTTCCCCATCCCCCTTCTGACCAGCCTGATCATGTGTTGTTTAGGTTACATTATGTGAATGATCTGCTTCTGGCGGCGTCAGACAAAATTCTCAAGTTGATTTCACCTTAGTGACTCATTTGCAAGACGAGCTCTATGGCAAGAGGGATGGGGTGAGCAATCCGTTGATCAGCCTTATTGCAATCTCCTCATTTAATTTACAGATTACAGGTAAATCCTCATCGCTCAAAGTTGTTGCACTTTCATGACGCTGAAATGTAGACATGGGACTGGTCATGGCGTTGGCCACTTCCTGAATGTTCATGAAGGTAAGTTGAGCTCCTTCGGTATAGCGTAAAATATTGACGTGCTGCAAAGGCCCGCACGGTATCGGCACCCGCATAGGTGTGCTCCGTGCTGCACTTGTTAGTCATCCTGCTCACCTACACCTCCAGCGTATAACAGCACCTCTTTGAAAGTGGGCATGACCGTTTCAAATGGTGAGTGGACCGAGTATTAATGCAACGAACGAGCCAACATTCGCGCCAGAACCGGGCTACTACGCCGACGGACGCTACGGAATCCGCATTGAAAGCGTCGTCATCGTTCGAGAGGCTAAGACACCAAACAACTTTGGGAACGGGTACCTTTGTTTTGAACATGTGACGATGGTGAGCCCCGGATGAGATGGATCGCGTCTCGATAAGCTAATGCTGAAGTAGTGTCCTATCCAAACGAAGCTAATCGATTTCTCAGTACTGACCGCACAGGAAAAGGAGTGGCTCAACTCGTATCATGTGGAGACGCTGGAGAAGGTAGGACCTCTGCTCCGTAACGACCCACGTGCTCTTCAGTGGCTAGAAAGAGAGTGCTCCCCCGTGTAGAAGATGATCCCCTCAGATGCAGTCGTTTAATCTAAGGGCACCCCGAAAACAATTTGTACATCAGTGCTCTCATGAACGCCAAGCCCAACCGGAACTTATCACTCGTTGCACTCGATGGACACCATGAGACAGAACGGGCAAGTGGAAACCATTTATCTTGTTAATACATAAATGAAATGAATATGGAACACTTGGGATTCCGAGGGTGCTACATCTCCCCACCAGTTCTCTTTCCAGCAATTCAAGGTCCGAGGCATTGTCCATAGTCTACCGTGGCTGACTTCGAGCCTATCACTTTATGCAGGGGGGGGATTCCAGAGAGCCCCTAAAATTTTTGTTAGCTGGCGACCAAAAAAAAATTGAAACAACCTACAGTGACTCTGCCAGCACACCAGGTGGTTGAGTTGTCCAGCGTCAACTCTCAGGTATTCACCCACTACTTCTAATTGCTGCGACGTCTGATGTTGTACCCATTCACCGGAATCTCCAGCCCATATGTAACTTGGCTTGAAGTCCGACATAAATGACGGCTTTGAATACCAGGGGTTATAGGTAATGATGATTGGTTGACGTTGAATAAGAGCACCATCTGGAGGTACGGGGACGCCAGTGTTGGCAAATAGTATAGGGTGCCACCAATTCACGACCATCTGCAATTGGTAAAAAAAAATTGAACGTAAGTACTCATCAATATTGTCTCCCAAGCAAGCGATGCACCCCATCACGTCTTTGCCAACCTGCATTTTTATGCACTGCTCCGCATAGTGGGGCTACTGCTTGCATAGCAGTGTGCGGGTTGACAAAGAGCACAACGCATGGACGTTTCTTCCGTGCTGGTTTTCCCGTCCAGGAACCTGAGGCAATCGCGAAGACGATGCGTGTGGGTGTATACATCACAATGTCTCCAGCAGCTGGATGCGCCATTTGGCCTGGAGATGAAGCTTGAAGATGGGTCGAAATGAATGTTAGCCTCGAGTCTTATATTCAAGAAATGGGACTCAAAAAAAGAAGCTTGAAAGCTGTAGTTCTTATCATTCAATCAAAAGACGAGTGGGTGCAAGTCAGGGGTGCAAGCTTTGATGTCCAACAAATGGGCGCCCAGCGGAAGCATAGAAGTGCCACAGAAAAAACGGATAGCACATACCATCCTGCCATCAAGTACTGGTTTCCTGCGGCTCCAGGACCACATAGGGTCAAGACGGCGATCAAATAATCATTGGCCACCTTTTAAAAAAATGTCTGAGCGCTGATGGGATTTTACAAAAGACCTCGAACACTGTAAAAGCTCGAGTAACTGATTTGGCTCTCCAGGATGTACCTTCTGCACTTGAAATGAACTGCAACCATGTCGGCAACTATTGCACTCTTCCATCAGACCGACAGTATCCGCCTCGTCTGTATAATTGGCAAGACGGGACGGAGAATTGCTGGGCCAGGGAAGGCTTGCTCAAGTAGACCATTGGGAAACCTGGAGGATTGAGAGGAGAAAAAATGAGACTACTGGGACTTATGAATGTACGCGAAACATTTCTATTCCTTCTCTTCTAGGGGGAAACTCAACTTGAAGTGCGTAGAAATTTTGGATAATATCTTTACAATCCACATATTAGACGCTGAAAAGGTCGAAGGACTCACTTCAAAATGAGTCAACGGCTCCCGCACTTGAAAGCCAGTACTGTAGTACTACAGTATGCTGGTCACCAGTCTATTTGAAAGTGTTCCTCACCACTTGGGGACATTCGCAGGGGCCACTGATGGACAGATTGTCTCCGCCTTCATGCCCACTTCTAGCCCTGTTATCACCCCTATCTTCTAATGTGGCGCTACTTTAAGAACGTAGCGCTCGCCGTTATCCCCCTTCAATTAATCGTCTCGTTGTATTGCTCTTGCTGCTTTGATATCTGATTCGGCCCTTTTCGATCGATATCACGCTTCTGGTTCGCAGTCAGTCCAGCCTCAGCAATTTTGTGCTGTTCCTCTCAGACTCTGGCTGCGTGCGTGGCAGCCGGAAGGGTGACTCATCTCCGAAGTTGATCTCCAGGTGTTTTCGTTTTTCCTGCCAGTGACTCAGTCGTTTTTTCGCAGGTCCGCTACATGGTTGCGCCACATAATCAATCATTTTCCAAAGGCGATTCAATTCAAATTTATGACTCGAAGGAAGTTGCGCAGATCCGTGGTCTTATATACAAGGGGCTGAGCGCTCATCGCAACAATTGATGTGGCTGCAAATTTTCAGCTGTTCGGAATGCCTATAAACGTGACATGCTGTGTGTGCACAAGTACACGTCCGATTGCAACTCGATCGGATACGGGCAGTCTTGGGGGCTTTACAGGGACCTAGGAAGCACAATCATTTTCACCCGCCGAATTACGAGAAACGATCAATGTGATACGTACTAATCAGTGATCTACTGATAAGAAAAGGTATGTCCTAAGTACACTGAAGAAAATCAGAGACGATGACCATTACACACGAGCTCTAAACTTGAAGGTGACTATGACTGTTAGGGGCATAGCCATGACGAGTCCGTCTCCGGGTACAACCGGCAGTACTTTTGTTCGAGCAGCGGTGGGCAGAGGATGACGCCCCTAGCGATATCGACGGAAAATGATGATGAGCCGGCAAGGTCCTTTTCATTAGTACGTACAATTATGACACACCCTACCTTGTTTCTCCTGCAGATTTGGGAACCGGAGCGCATGTCCTATCAGACCTCAGGAGCTGCCACATCAGGATCTAAGGCCTAAACGTTTATGCAACAAATGGGCGTCACCCACAACTGTTCAGTTTCAACTCCGCAGCTCCCTGAGGCTACTTGGGTCGGGCAGCCAATGCCAATATCAATGGTATATTATAAACCCTCGCTCAAGGAGATGGTTTCGTCAAATGCCTCACTGTTTCGTTATCGCAAAATTTCTTCCTCAGCGTTCGGCTAATTGGACATCACACTATGGCCTCGAAAAAGCCGCGTCTTTGAAAGCTCTCCCTTTCCTGGCATTGCGTGTTTCGCGAAGCGACGATGGGGTGCAGGATTTGTGCCGTCAAGGACAGTTTCTGTTTGTTATCTCCCCCGAGAAGCCAACAGGAGTGAACGATGGGTGCTACTTCACCCTAGGATCGTCGCTGAACATAGAAAGGAAGATGTTGCATGTTGAACCTCCCTTGCGCCCCGGTGGGCGTACTCTCTACATTCATACTTTTCCGAGGCTTCAAGCGGATGCCATTCCTATTCTGAGGCTTCAAGAGGATGGGCTATTTGAATTCTCGCTAGCGGCCGTGCCTCACCTTCCGCATCGACTCGACGAGTCTAGTTTCCTCGCTTTCTGTGGTTCGGTCATGGACGTTTTCGAGAAATTCGTAAAACGCGCGAATGATGCGCGCTCGTCCGGTGGAAGCGAGCTCGTGGAGGACGGGTGGGATTCGTGGAGTGGCGAGTCACCCTATGAGTATGTGCGTGACCCAGGGGGTTATGTTTTTGAATATTTGGAACCACAGAGTTTCCGAATGTCAGCCGCTGCTGTTGGAGCGACATCCATATATCAAGATTTACTACTGTACAAGCAGTAAGTCGCCCTCGACTAGTGACTTTCTCAATACCCCTCAGACGTTTCAGAATCGCTGCAGACTATTCATGGATGGGTGTCACTGCTGGCGTGAAGTGGGCTTTGAAGTCAAGAGACGTAGGTCACGATCGGTATGAAATATTGCTCACGATTTCTGACAAAAGGTTCGTTTTCGTAGCATTATCGTGCGTGTGGGGTCCGACGAAGCGGTGCGCTGCTGCCAGCTTATTCGTTTGTCGAAAATTTGCCGACCTTCGATGAAAGTCTCAAGGCACATGCTCTAACTCTCTGGTCGACGAAGATTCCCATTGACGGTGACCCAGCTGTTGAAGACTCGGATTCAGAAGAAGGGGACTGGGATGATGGACCCGATGTTGATTTCGGCGTCGTCCCGGACTACATGCCTCCTGTGTCCGCCCCGTCCACTAGAGTTATCGCCTTTGATATCTTTGGTACCATCCTGGTGAGTTTTTGCATTTCAGTATCATGCGTGCGAGTTGCTGAGACACAACTTGAATCAGGATCGTGATGGTGCCATTAATGATGCCATGGGGCTGCTATCACCAACGCATCCAGACAAACGCCGTTTGTCTGAAGTGTATCTCGAATGCGAACTTATGAGACACAGAGATCATGCTGACGCACCCTATACCGACATCGTGCGGCACGCTTTGGAGGATGTCTGTGCTTTTATGGAAGTGCCGCTAAGCGAAACGGTCCTCCGGGAAGCTGTCCAGACTATCCTGCAACCTGGTTTATATGCCGATGCAGAAGCAGCTGTGAAGACGCTCCTGGATCAGGGTTATGTGCTGGTCGGTCTTCCGATCCCAGACGTGAAATCATTTGTACTTCCCCAACTTCCTTCTGGTCTTACTTTGCGTGATCAGCCTTCGCCACTTTCAGATCTTTTTGGCCAAAATCACTCAATGTTTTCGGACCTCTTGGAATGCGGTACTGCTGATAGGACTCAGGTTCTTGTAGTGACATCCAATCATTACCGAGTGATGGAACCGGCAAGCGTGGCAGGTTTCCCAACGGTTCTGGTCCAACGTCCTGGATGCATAGGATCGGGAGTGAAGCTTGGGACAAGTGACCCAACCCTAGCGGTTGACGGACTGCAAACTCTACACACGCAGCTACAAAATCCGTCTGCTCATCATCCTTTACCAGTGGAACGCACTCCGGCTCGGTTCAAGGCCTTCCGCGTTTGTGGCATGTATCAAGTGACGAAATTGCTTGGAATGGGGAGCTTTGGTATGTTCACATGCACCCACGTTTTCCCAAAAGATATGGCTGCTGATGCGCTTTGACGTGACAGGAAATGTGTCAAGTGCTTTTCACGTTCTCACCGGCTCGGAGGTCGCAGTAAAAATGGAGGTCCCATCGGACACACCGACTGCGCCCGTCGTGTTGCCTTATGAAGTTCTGGTGTACGACCTGCTACGCGGACACCCAGGGATACCATCGTGCAAATGGAGTGGTATTGATCGAGGATCCCATATCTTGATTCTCGATCAATTAGGTGCAAATCTTCAACAGGTGCGAAGACTATGCAGAGGCGAGCTTTCTTTGAAAACGGTAGCTATGCTCGCTGTTGAAATGGTCAGTGTGCTGGACACCTTCCCTGCTCGTTTGGATTGATTTACGTACATTTTTCCAGTTGGATAGAATTGAGTTCGTGCATTCACGAGGGGTTATCCTGCGGGATATCAAACCTGAAAATTTTGCGATGGGTCTTGGGGAGAAGTCCCACACCGTCTATCTATTCGACTTTGGTTTGGCGAAGCTTTACGTCGACCCATTAACAGGAGCACATATCCCGTTCCGCGAAGGTCGCGTTGGACTGGGGACCCCGCAGTATGCGAGTTATAACGTGCATTTTGGTCGAGGTTCGTGGTGACTATACTCTAACTCCTGCTCGGGTTAATGAGGATGCAGAACAAGGACGGCGAGACGATATTGAAGCATTAGGCAACGTCCTACTATTTCTTTTGCATGGACGTCTGCCTTGGCAAGGCGTCTACTCACCAAGCATCGAGGCCAAACTACTTCGAATGGGGGAAATGAAAGCTGGTTCAGCATTTCGTGACCTGCTCGCGCGCTCACCTATGGAGTTCACTACGTACTTCGATCACTGCCGTGGTTTAAAGTTCGAAGACAAGCCGGACTATACCTTGCTAAGACTGCTGTTTAGCCAGATAATGGACAAGGAAGGGTGTACGGAAAACAGCAGCTTTGATTGGGAGGATGGAAATTCCCGCAAAGGCCTTCTGTTGCCTGAGGAGTATAAGTTGGATGTCCGATTTACCAAAGACGATGTGTCCACGCTACAGTACGTGCCAGTGGGTCATTACATTCAATACCCGCTATGCAGTTGAATGGTGCACCCCCATCCTCCACTTCGAGATTCATGCCTATGTATACTACCTAGAAATGAATGTGCATGTACTATACAACTTGAAGTAGAATGGTTTGTGACTGCGCAGTGTACAAGGGTGGTCTAACGCAGATCCTCCGCGGGTGTGCCTGGGGTCCTGGCGCAGTGGCTGGAGTCCTGGCTCGCAGTCAGTTGCTACTACGTGTTGTAGTTGGTCCTCGATAGACAGAGCCGTCGCCTCCCGCTACTTGGGTTTCCCCTTGCAGCCCAGCAGGAAAAAGAGTGTCTCAACTCGTAATACCGTATTACTGTAGAGATAGCTGCTGTGACACTAAGTGTGACTGTGTCACGTTCTGCACGTGACGAAGCTAGTGTCGTATCTCTAGAGCATGATGCACCGTAGTGATCTGCTTCTGGCAGCGTCAGACAAAATTCTCAAGCTGATTTCACTTTAGTGACTCATTTGCGAGACGAGCTCTATGGCAAGAGGGATGGGGTGAGCAATCCGTTGATCAGCCTTGTTGCAATCTCCTCATCGAATTTACAAATTACAGGTAGTTCCTCATCGCTCAAAGTTGTTGCGCTTTCATGCCGCTGAAAGGTAGACATGAGACTGGTCACGATGTTGGCCACTTCCTGAATGTTCATGAAGGTAAGTCGAGCTCCTTCGGTATGGTGTAGGATATTGACGTGCTGCAAAGGCCCGCACGGTATCGGCACCCGCGTAGGTGTGCTCCGTGCTGCACTTCTTAGTCATCCTGCTCATCTACACCTCCAGCGTATAACAGCACCTCTTTGAAAGTGGGCATGACCGTTTCAAATGGTGAGTGGACCGAGTATTAATGCAACGAACGAGCCAACATTCGCGCCAGAACCGGGCTACTACGCCGACGGACGCTACGGAATCCGCATTGAAAGCGTCGTCATCGTTCGAGAGGCTAAGACACCAAACAACTTTGGGAACGGGTACCTTTTTATAATCATGTGACGATGTCACGGTGAGCGCTTCGGATGAGATAGATCGCGTCTTGATAAGCTAATGCTGAAGTAGTGTCTTATCCAAACGAAGCTGATCGATTTATCAGTACTGACCGTGCGGGAAAATGAGTGGCTCAACTCACATCATGTGGAGACGCTGGAGAAGGTAGGACCTCTGCTCCGTAACGACCCACGCGCTCTTCGGTGGCTAGAAAGAGAGTGCTCCCCCGCGTAGAAAATGATCCTCTCGGATGCAGTCGTATAATCTGAGAGCACACCGAAAAGGATCTGTGGATCAGTGCTTTCATTAAAGCCAAACCGAGACTGGATTTATCACTAGTCGGGGGAAATGGATATTTCCAGAGATAAAGCAAGCGAGTGCAAACTATGTTACTGGTTAACACAATCTATGTGTTTGTGGCAACCCTTAAAAACCTCATTTCTCTTCCCATGGTCAAAGGTTCGAGACAATCCGAGGCATTATATTAATCATAGGTCGTGTCGACGGGTGACTTCGAGTCTAACCCGTCGTGCCATCCGGACCCGGGGAACGGTTGTATATAGGACGATGAGTCAAGCCTAAAAACTTCCATAAAATCCGAGTCGCCGCAACTTACACCCACAGTCACCCACAATTGGTGTTCAGCGAATCAATGTCAACTCCGCAACACAATGGGGGCCACTCCTGCAAATAAATTTTCGTGCGAGGTTTTCATTAAAATCCCTAGTCTCTGAATCTCCTAGCCAGCCACGAACCACGAACGAAGATAGTCGTTCCCTATCTCAAATGCCTCACTCTTTCGTGATCGCAAAATTTCTTCCCCACCGTTCGGCTACTTGGACATCTCACTATGGCCTTGAAAAGGCCGCGTCCTTGAATTCCCTCCCTTTCCTAGCATTGCGTGTTTCGCGAACCGACGTTGGGGTGCAGGACTTGGGCCGTCAAGGACATTTTCTGTTTGTTATCTCCCCCGAGAAGCCAACAGGAGTGAACGATGGGTGCTACTTCACCCTAGGATCATCGCTGATCGTAGAAAGGAAGATGCTGCACGTTGAACCTCCCTTGCGCCCGGGTGGACGTACTTTCTACATTCATACTTTTCCGAGGCTTCTTGAGGATGCGCAATTCGAATTCTCCCCAGCGACTGTGCCTCACCTCCCGCATCGACTCGAAGAGTTTAGTTTTCTCGCTTTCTGCGGTTCGGTCATGGCCGTTTTCGAGAAATTCGTAAAACGCGCGAATGATGCGCGCTCATCCGGTGGAAGCGAGCTCGTGGAGGACGGGTGGGATTCGTGGAGTGGCGAATCACCCTATGAGTATCGGCGTGACCCAGGGGGTTATGTTTTTGAATATTTGGAACCACAGAGTTTCCAAATGTCAGCCGCTGCTGTTGGAGCGACATCCATATATCAAGATTTACTACTGTCCAGTAAGTCGCCCTCGACTAGTGACTTTCTCAGTACCCCTCAGACGTTTCAGATTTGCTGCAGGCTACTCATGAAAGGGTGTCACCGCTGCCGTGAAGTGGGCTTTGAAGTTGAGAGACCTATTGTCTGAGGAGTATAAGTTGGGTTTCCGATTTACCAAAGACGTACACTGCAGTACGTGGACCGTTACATTCAATACCCGCAATTCAATTGTATGGTGCACCCCCATCCCCCACTTCGAGATTCATGCCAATGTATACTACCTAGAAATGAATGTGCATGTACTACGCAACTTGAAGTAGAATGTTTTCTGACTGCGCAGGAAAAAAGAGTGGCTCAACTTGTATTATGCACCGCAGAAACGCTGGAGAAGATAGGACATTTGCTCCGTAAAACGCATTCTTCAGCGCTCTCCCACTCAAACTCAGTTTTTCTTCCAGCAAGAACATAACAGGCCATGTCAACAATGACTTCGAGCCCAACACTGAATTTAAGCACAAGCTACCATCAGTACTATATGGCATGTTTTCTGCGTTCATTTGCGCTTGTTGGGCATCTTTGGGGCGGGTACACCTGATGGGGCAGGGAGATGACGAGGACGACGTGTACGAACTTCGGAAGGGGAAAGGGCCTGCTGGATGTAGAGAATGTCTAGGATCAAGACTTCTACCGTGTCTATATCCCGAACAAAGCGATGCATCCCACTCAACACCCCGCCCCAAATACCAAGGTAACAAACTCACTTCTGAAAACTCCCGTAATCGAATTCAAATCGGAGTTGCATGTCAAATCTATAAAACCTTGTTTAGGTTCGGTTCTGCAAATTCGTGACTCAGACGATGTAAGTTGCGCTGGCACATCCCCCGGATCTTCGTAGGTGCGTGCCGCACTGTTGGGTGTTATATTGACGTCACTTGTTTTCAGTATCGCGTAATTTGTCCGACGTGCGTATATATCTCGGTATGGAGATATATTCTACAAAACTGAGGTCCTGTCAACGGTGTTGAACCGAATCACGTAGGACTCTACAGCTTTCTACGTCCTGTGCTAGAAAAACCATGGGCCGACTATCAAATCACGTCAATCTTAAAACGAACATCAAGAATCGAAGCAAACCAACCTCGCCCTCTCGGCCCCTCGGGTTTTATTTGTAAACAGCTTTGATGTATGAGATTGAGTGCCTTGACAGCGTCGCGGGCCTCAATAACACACGATATGTTGATCTCGCTAGCGCCTTGGCTGATCATCTCGATATTCACATTACCCTGGCCAAGGGAAGTGAACATGCGTCCTGATATACCAACCAGGTTGCGCATCTGTTGGCCAACAAGGGAGAGAATGGCCATTTCACGGTGCACAGAAACCTGGGACTCCTGTTAATGGTTAAGGGGCCTGTGTCATCAACGGTACTCACGGTTCCACTCCTTTTTAGTTCTGCCACCAGCCGCTCCATAGTCGTTCTGGACAGATTGTCCTCGGTAGCCATGCTGACATGTACTTCGCTGGTGCTAATGAGGTCTACGACCACGCCAAAGCGATCAAGGGTTCCAAATATCCCAGCCAGGAAGCCGTGAGACACACTCTTTCGATTCGATTTGACGTTGAGTACAACAATGCGTTCTTTTATTGTCACAGCGGCTGGCAGTCGCTTGTTCCTGCGTAATTCGTCGTTGGACACAGAGAGGCCTTGTAGCATCGCCACTGGCGCTTCACAGGGACTATCGTCTTCTGGTGTTCCCAAATTTGGGTCGGGGTGAATAACTGTACCACCGCCTAGGGGGTTCTCCACGTTTTTTATTCTTATTGGAATCTTTCGACGAATGACCTGCAGTGTGAGGTATAAGCACAATTGAAGATCCTAAGATGACTCTCCTGACCTGCTCCATCGTGAATGGATGCACGACTTCACTGCCATAATAAGTCAGTTCAGCGGCTTCGTCGGGCGATATAATAGGTATTAATCGTGCCGTAGGCACTTTTCGAGGATCCGCTGTAAATATCCCGTCAACTTCCTTCCATATCTGCAGTTCTGATGCTTCGAGGCCAACAGCCAGAAGAGCAGAGAGCAAATCTGTGTATCCTCGGCCGACTTGGCGGAGCAGCGAACCCGGCACGGGGCCAAAGAAGCCGGTGACAACGGGTACGCGAGGTATACATCCTTTGATACGTTCTCCGACAGCAGCGGCCACGCTATCATAAAAAGCCTGATCAAGGGATCCTTCCGGTACGGTGTCGCTATCCTCGGATACAGGGATGATATCTTCCAGCGATACGTATTCTGCGTCGATTCCCTGTGAAACACAGATGAACCTCATTGAAGTATTGATGATACCAAAAACGTACTTGATCGCGAAGAACAGCTGTCATCAGTTTACAACCTAATCGCTCGCCGAAACCTATGATGCTGTCCCGCGAACGTGGTGATATTTCATTGATCACCTGGCAACCACACACACACACACACATTGATGTTAGGTTAGACACTGAGCGGCAGTGCAATGAATGCACCTGAGCAGCAAACAAGAAACTACGAAGCCAGTCACAGTCTCTTTCTATTTCGGCCTCGAGTTCTTGGAGAATCTCTGGATTTTTGACAGATGCTTTTGCAGCATTGATGTGCTCTGACCGTATAAGGTCGATGGTGACATTGAATTCCGGTTGAGACTGGCCAGTCTGGGGTGTTATCAGAGGTGTTAATGCACCCGTGCACGGAGACGAAGGCGATGACGAAGATCTGCGCATCGGGGTGGGAGAAGCGTCTGATGACCTCCTGAAGATACCATTTGTCGACGGAGTCATGGTACCGGAACCATTGTATAACTTGTGTCGTTGCCGCGCCTCGGAGGCAGCTTTGAGCAGGAGATTGGTAGTCCCCAGAGCCTTCTCGGAGCCAGATCGTGCGGAGCAGACGACAGCTATTTTGTGCTTGTCAATATGGCTCCTAAAAAGCGAAATCAAACACCCAAAAGTGCAGCATAACAAAGACTTACGACACGATATCACGAGCAATGTTGACTGAAAATTTGCCCACACTGGTACCTCCAAACTTCTGGACTATCCATTTCGATTCTGGATCCGTGTTGTTCCGACGCAGCACTAGGGGATTCGTAGATGAAGAGGCAGGCAGGGTGACCAGATCTAATTTTGATCCCAACATCAACATCACACGTTAACTCCAGAGATAGTCTACGACCACGCGGTGCTAGCACAAGAGCAGGGGAACACAACAAGCAAGAAAAAGAAATGGAAATGGCAGACTCTGGTTATATGGACGATGGCCAGCACTGAGTACTGATCAAGCGTGTTGCAAAACAAATTTGCCAACGGATGAAGAACTTGATCATTGACTCACCAGCTGCACTGAGAGACCCCTGTCACCAGTGGCTATAAGTGCCGGTAGTCTCAAGGACTTAATATCATATCATAGTACTGTATACATTGCCATAGCACCCAAATATATAAGTAATGGAAGCCAGTTGTAAGTGAAGCATGAAAATGGTAAACTTAATTTACGTTGCAATACATGTCCATGCTGGAGAGGCTGCTGATTTTAAAATCACCGAATCATGTCATTTCTAGGGCCGTGAGTCCCATCGTGACAGGATGCGCTCTTCGGAATCCATTTGACCAGACTCGACCGAGTCCGCCCTTGCCAGACCATAAACCCCGTCGTTCCTTGATTGTGAGCCTGACCTAAATTAATGGTCCACATGGTCTTCCCAGTGCACCAATGCAAAGCTTCGCACATAAGCAGAGACAGTGTCGGCTGTTCGCGGCGCAGCAAGCACGGCGGAGCAGTCGATGCAACGTGTCACTAGGTCATTCCTCCTTCACATAATCCGAGGCGCCAGGAACTATACGTTTACGTATATAGATAATGAAATGTTGTTCCTGGCACGATGGTCAGCGATAAGCTCAGAAGGAACGACTCGATGAGTGTTTCATGGTACCTGTATTTCCGATCTAGATAGGTCGGCACTGCCTCAGAGTTATCTCTGCTAGTCGAAAACAGCGCAAAGCCCTGTTGGAGCCCGTCCACACGAAACGCCAACTTCTGATCAGTGATTTCTGGAACGTTGAAATTTTTTGCCAAGATGGGAAAGATATAGATAACCCGCCGGCAAGATGTTGAAGACACGCACAATCGCGGGAGAGGCGAGGAAGGGCGCTCAATCTGAGTTGGGCCGCAGAACTACTGAAGTCACTATCATAGTGCCTGAAAATGACGCCACGGTTGCAGTGATTCAATTGTAGAACTCACAAAATTATATAGGCTGGGCTGGACGCCATATTGATATAATGTCCAGAGGTGCGAAGGTTCTGCGACGATGATATAGCGCACAATCATACTTATCACTGCATGACGCAGCGATGGATCGCCACCGAAAACAATGGCAATCAGGACTTTGGGCCCTGAGAACGTGGAGACCCCCTTGGGGCTCGGGCAGCCAAGGTTGTCTCGATCTGGAATGTTCGATGAAATCCGGTCCGGAACGTGTGGAGAATTGCCCGATGGATCATACTTAGCAGATCATGGCCTTGCACTTGTACTGGTTAGGCCGGCGGAGATGAGGAGCGCATAGGCTGTTTGAAGCTGCGGCGAGACGACAGGATCGGATATATATGTCTCATAAGCGACACGGGATCCATCCATATCTCGTGTCCTTGCTTTTGAGCGGTAATCCGACCAAAAAGGGAGTGCTCAAACGCTCTTACGGCGTGCGGTGGCTTTCAGGGAGGACTGCTATCGAAAGAGTGAGAAGGGCCTAGTCAGTTTTACCCACGTTCAGGAACCGGAGAAATGGAGGAGCCTCCTCAACGAGTAAGAGGCGGACAATGTGAATTTGCCGTTCACTGTTCAGCTTTCACCCTTTGACGTCGTGGCAGCCATACACGGCAAGGCCCCCTTGGCATTGATGTAGGTGCCAATAGCAGTAAGCCAGTTTGGTGCCCAAAAGAGCGCGGGTGGCCTTGTGCAGCATATGTGCCTTAAGTATCTGCCTCGCGTTGGGAGACGAGCCTATTCCTGGAGGATAATCAGGTACGACAAAACCCCAAGCAAAGGCCTGCTACGCCGCGTGTCGGTCAGAAGGTACAGAGGACATTGCGTATTCAGTTGAGCCATAGATTTGCAAGCTGGATCCTGACATAGCTGAAACGCATATCTTTAAGAGGTGCTCTGCTTGCGAGAGCAGCCATCCTGATAACGCTAGTGGCAAGTGACTAGTCAGACTCGGATATGAAAGAGCAGGAAAAGGCATGGCCGTGATGCGTTGATGGTAATGCCGGGATGAGGAGGGAACTTGTTACTAGCCTGAAAGTTGTTCACGTGTAATGCCCAAGCTGAGAAACAGGCACCAGGTTCTACCAAGTTGGTACTTGCCTGGTCCGGTGATTTCTCGATTGGTAGACTATAATAACAAACCAAGAACCCACAGAAGGTACCTGTTGCTGGCAAAAGGAGCATGCCCAGCGTCAACCTTCGCCAAGGGCTATAATTTGCAGTACGTCTTGTGCCTGGCAAATTACTGCATTGCTGCCGGACCCAGCTTTGCCCAGAGAACTCTCTGTTACCATCTTCCATCACTCGCTTTCTGTGGTTTTTGTAGCCTGGCATCCCACAGTTCGCCATGTCTGGGGCAGTTCCAAAATCTCCGCATGACTTCGACCCTTTAGACGAGGCTCTCAGGCCACCAATAGACGAGACTGAGGAGGATCGTGTTATCAGGCAAGCTCAGGAAGCAGAGGCACGCAGGGTGAGCCAGGCAATAGACGATTCAATACGAGCGGAGAAGCAGGCGCAGAAGAAGAAGGGTATAGTCAGACTTTTATTGTTGGGTCAAAGCGAATCAGGTATGTCCGACGTGGCCAATATCATTTACGTCCACTCACTTCAATAATTGCACGGTAGGTAAATCAACGACACTAAGACGTGCGTATAAACAACTCTACCAGGCTGCGTGAAATTGAGTCATTCTCCCTAGACTTCCAAAAACTGTACACTCCCACTGCCTTCCATGAAGAGCGGGTACTCTGGCGCAGCGTCATACAGCTGAACATCGTCCGGTCTGTCCGTACAATCCTCGACGCCTTATCCGACCTTCGGCTTCCTACCGTTGACAGTGGAGGTGAGGACAGCGATGACGGTGGAGCCAATGTACCCCAGGAACTCGAGATGTTGCAGATGCGCCTTACTCCCCTCCGCCATATTGAGGCACTACTCATTGCCAAGCTCATACCCCCAAGCGAAGATGAGGCCGCTTCCGTCATCGGAAGCAGTGCTATTAGCGCATACCACTCTCATCGCAGCCGAAGTAGTGAACGTTCATGGAGAGCTCAAGAAGTCTTCGTACGCCCCGGAGCCACATGGAAGGGAGCGCTTGCGAAAAGTTCTCGTACTCGACCAGTCTCATTAGGCAATACGGGAATGCATACCCGAGATGAAGCGCAGGAAGTTATTCATTCATGCAGCTATGACATCATGGCGCTCTGGAATGACAGGCTTGTTCGGGAGGTCTTGCGGAGGAGAAAAATTCGCCTTGAAGAATCTTCCGGCTTGTAAGCCTTCGGTCTCATCCTGCATTTAATTCTGCTTGAAACATCGTCGTTCTAGCTTCCTCAACGACTTGGATCGGGTCACGGCCCTACACTACACCCCAAACGATGGTGAAATACTCTCATGTTCTGGCACCAAGGGGAACTGAGTTGACCGTTGATATAGACGATGTACTTCGAGCGCGCCTGAAGACGGTTGGTGTTTCGGAGTACCGGTGTGAAATGGAGGCCGTGGCTGGACGTGAAAGTGGTACTGAATGGAGGATAGTTGACGTTGGAGGCTCCCGGTCGCAGGTACGTACTCTTTGCTTCTCTCATCCCACGCTCAGCCTTTTCCGACACGTCTTATCTTTGCAGAGAGGTGAGAAGGTCATTCGTTTTCAGTGTTAGCAGATGCTGAATCCCACCTTTTAGCAACATGGGTACCTTTCTTTGATGATGGTACGTTCTCAGTTTGTTTCACATGTAGTCTGTCTAACGCCTACGACACCTAGTCGATGCAATTATCTTCCTCGCGCCAATATCCAGCTTTGATCAAGTTCTTGCTGAGGATCGAAGCGTGAACCGCCTTGTCAGTCACATGTCGTGCTGTCGTTCTTTTTGGGGCTTACTATTTCTGTACAGGAGGACAGCGTGCTATTATGGAAAGCTGTCTGCTCAAACAAACTGCTGGCAAACGTTGACCTCGTTCTGTTCCTGAACAAGTGTGACATACTTGACGCGAAACTCACGTCAGGGATAAGGTTGTCGAAATATGTTCGCAGCTACGGAGACCGTCCTAATGATATGGAGACGGCCTCAAAATGTCAGCAGACTGTCTTCATTTAGCTCAGCCACTGATCTTTGTCGCAGACTTCCGAAGCAAGTTTAGCGCGATACATCGAGAATATTCACCACTCCCACGGAAATTTTATGGTTTTTGCACGACTGTTACAGTATGCTGATTCATCTCAATTCTATCTTCGGCTTCTGAATTTGGCTCTGTAATGCAGGACACGAATACGACTGCTGGGATTCTCGCCAGTGGTGAGTCCAACGTGGTACTTCCAATCATGTATACTGACAGTATGGTAGTGCGAGATATGGTCGTACGCAGGCACCTCAAGCAATCCAGGCTGCTATAGTAGCATTCTTGAGCTTGCTCTTAACGACCGGGCCTCTAGAAGATCGCCTGAAGCAATCGCTGCCATGCCCTCCATCTACGACCTGCCTCGACGCTCAACACGACACATTCCATCCCAATAACTAGATGCGCCGCAACATGGTCGTCCCCCTTTGCTAACGAAACAGTACTGGCATTTACGCCTGTCGATGATTCATGATTATCTCCTCGTCCCGTCTATCATTCTGCCTGCTCTGGAATGAGCAGCATCTATTTTTCTCAGCAGCTGTAGCACATAGTTCAGGAGGTCGCCCTATCTACTCATCTCACTCCATTTCTGTCCCGCGATTTACGTGTTTATCCATTGGTTAGTCCCTTGTTAACTACTGCATTCATGTTCTCTGGATTTTCAAGGCACCTACGGAGCTGCCCCATATTTACCACGCATTCGACATACCTGTTTACTTCGTGGGGGCGAGCGTGTACATGCTCATTCTCTACTGTACAACTGTACAACTGATGTGCTACCACTCCTCATATACATACCTGTTAAACCTGGCCAAACTCCTGCGATTCGGACACCCCGATGACCCCCTAAGTCAATAACCAAACTTGTCTACTACAAGACATGTAGCATCACAACATACGATGATTACTTCCCAGCAAGAAGCTTGCTATATATGCTTCAGGTAGAGTTCTAGATGATATTAATGCCGCGTCTCACACGCTTGCGACATCAAAGAACGGATTCCACAACGTTGCTGCTATATATGAGCGAGGTCTCCTCAGCACCAGTGTACCTATATAGAAAGAGCGAAAGCGCCTAGGCGTATTTGGATTGAATGTGTTTACCAGCTCTAGGGCTGTATGCTCGTTGATTGATGCAAAGCATGAGAACATGATATATTTACGAGATATGTTATTTCAGCGACCATATTAAGCCGTAGATTCCCCCAGAGTGATCAATGGATACGAAGTAGCGAGCTGCAGGATTGTGGCAACAATAGTGTAGGGATCCTCAATTTAAGCGAAACGTACAACTTCAATGACACCATGTCCCTTCTCCGTCACTACCGCTGAACACAAAACACCTCTGTACCCATCAAATAAAACTGGGTCTGGCCTGAAAGACAGGGGGTTGTTGATGAGGTCGTTGAATTGCCCATAGCCTGTGCTGTTTTTGTCCTGGTCGTCAATCATGAACGGCATGAACTGCCTCCCGTTTCTGCTGCAAACCAACCCCCGAATGCAGCCGTCATGCGAGGAATCTGCAAGTATTGTAGCATCGTGTGGTAAAGTCCACAGCTTCTCTGACGTGAATGATACACCGCCTCTTGTGTCCAGCAGGAGTTGAACGATGTTGAGCGACGCTACGTCGCTCGAAGCTGGCGCGAGGAGACTCAACATCAGGGTCATACGTGTCCCACCTGTCAAGGTCTCGTGCTTGGGTCCTCTTAAGACGTGCCACGTACGAAATCTGAGTTCGTGAGTTCTCATGACATGTGAGGGATGCAATACCCATACGACATCAGTGCTCCATTCTGATTCCGTTTGGGAGAGAGGAAATACTTGCAGCAAGGTCTCCAGTCCATTGAGGAGGCGTGCCACAAGTAAATGCGACGAAGTAGAGATGAAAGAGGTGAACATCCCGAGGTGACCCTGCAACAAAGGTTATCTAGCACTCAGAGTATTCAAACAATGATCTCGCAGCCCGAAAACTTACTCGAGGAAGTGGAGGTGTTGCAGCATTAAATCTCTGGAATGTCTTGACATCCAAGATAACGGGAGGATCATCCTGCTCCGGACCCTTGGCAGAAATGACTAGAAGGCGAGGACCTGTAGTGACAGTCCAGACTCCTGAGTAATGAGGGCGCACATCAAGCGTGAAAACATGACTAGAGATGAATGGTCCATGGTCAGGATCTATCGCGATTGTAAACACGTTGCTGTCAAAATTCTCTTGATAACTTGCAAAATAATCTTCATCAAGGGTAGAAACTCACAGCTTGCGCCGAGCAGCTCCGACCTGTGTCTCACTGACAGCGAAAATCAGCTCTTGTCCGTCTTCCGCGATCGTCGAAAAACAGCGGAAGAAATTCGCTTGCAGGTGTGGCTGGTAGAATATACGGGGTGAGGAGACCCAATCAGGGTCGCTGCTACAAGTGTCATAGCATAATAGAAGGGGAGGATCCCCTGTGATTAGCCATCGTCCATGGATAATACTGAGTCGTCCATGAATAATGCTGAGGTTCTGCTTCGTAGACTTTAATGTGACTCGAGAAGTCGGATTCGATAACCGTACGAATGGCGGCCAGTTGTGCTGCACTCTGGCGCTTCGTACAAGGATTTCCTGAAGATACGTTGTTGACTGTCCTTCAAATGGACCAGGGGGACGAGGTATGCGCTTTTCTTTGTATGATGTTCTCCAATACCATTCATCGTGCAAAAGCCTGTGGAATAATTTTGACACCTAATATCTGGTTGAGTTACGAGTCCACGAGGAACAGATGTCAGGTGACACGTCACCTTGTACAAAACCACCACATCCAGCACGTCGGCGAACTTGAGGATGATGAAAAGAACCTCATCAGGTAGATTCTGTATGTTTATAAGGGGATGAAAGTCGTGTCGGCCTGGCATGCCCATAGTTCCTGCTGGACTAGCCGTGTATCATGAGACTTGAGTGGCACACTAGATGGGATTACGGCCCTAACGGTATGTATATTCCTATTTTTGCTTTCACATTTGATCTTTCACAAAGTCAACGGGGCTTACATAGTCGTTGGGCGCCGACCTGAGCGCTTGCAATTGCTCGAACCAACATACTTATTGACCACAATCTACCCTCGAAGTCTAGTTTGCGACTTTTCTGTGGACCAACGAAACGCTGCTGGCACGAGTCGGACTCCAACAGGCTCTTAGAAGACGGAGGTCGGCAACCATCAACCCCATAAGATTATTCGTCATGAGAACACCATGTAGGATGGATCTCTCGGCGGACCTTGCGTTCCTGGTTGCTGACAGCCTGTACCATCAGCAGAAGATTTCGCTGTCCTTTCGAGCCCCCAAATGCCCCCACATCCTGCACTTTGGAGTTCTAATAGAAGGAACGACTGTTGATAAAGGTCTACCTAGGGGAGACCAAGTCCGCACAGCCCAGCAACAATTTGACAACTTTGCACCAAAGCGGCGCCTGCATAGGTCGAATATGAACTTCTCAGCTTCTCGGTATTCTGTAACTGGAATAGTGGTAGTACCTTCAGATCATACCATCCTGCTCGTGCGCTCGGTCATGACGCAGGCAGTGGGTACGGGCGGAAAGTCATGTTAGTGTCGAGCCTGGGATGATCTATTTGCTTAAACCATCACAGAGTAAACATTCATGTGATTCTATCGTGAATCTGTTGCATGTGGTGGCCTTCGGGAGAAGCCCTGGACATCAACGATCCATCAACTTCCAGTGCCAAGCGGCTGTGTCAGTTGATCTACCCAAGCCCATGGCTTAGCAGATTATGCAACTCGTTATCAATACAATTCTAGAATCTACATAGGCGTCTAGCATCACTATCACGAAGTCCGTCAAACATGTATAAGTCAACATCCTCACACGATATCCAGCACTAGTACTTCCATCATGGACTCACCTTCGACATACACAGATTTCCTCAATGGAAGTGTAAGTTTTCTATCATTACGCACCTAAATCACAGACTTATTTCATCTCTGCTTTATATAGTATGTTTTTCGTGAGTAGATCACTTCTGTGACGATTGAGTCAATTAAGGACCCATGATCTTTTAATATAGTTGCTACAATGGTAGTCTTGGTGCGCGTGATATCGCACACCATTTCTTCGACATTCTCATCACCACACACAGGTTTATGATTTTGTGATTCACGTTGACCACGAGGCGGGCTCTATCGACCTGGAACAAGTGCGGGATGCTGACTTGTTGATGACGTCCAGATTGCCTATTGGGAAAGCCAAAAAGCGTCGCTCACAACAGTCTCATATGGGCTATGCCAAGCACTCTCTCTTACCGCGTGCTGTGTCCGAATCCCGAGCAAGTCAATCTATATCATCTTGGCCACGGTGTATTCACAATAAACGCGCAGTTGTGTTCATACCTACCATGAAGAAGCTCAGTAACATGGTTAGTAAGCCTTAGTGTGCTCGATATCCTTGCTTACAATTCGTTAAGGAATGTACAATTATTGATCAGATCGATCTCTGTGTGTCCTATTTCGTGTTCTCATAACCTGCGCTGAAGTATGTCCTCTTGAAACCTTGTTATCTAGGGATTCTTGTGATGGTGCTCGTGTGCGTTGAGTGTGAGATAAGTGTACCAGACCTCATTTAATGTTGTCTCACAAAAAACGCCAGGTATCTTTCTCATTCGAACGTATGCATTGTGGGGTCAAACGAGGCGAATTCTATACGTTCTGGCTGGGAGCTACCTGGTGCGTTTGCCCGTGTCTGCATGCTCGTCCGGCTGAGATATGCTCAGGTAATTCTTGCGGGGGCGTTTAGTTGCCTCGCATTATATGGAGTCGCTATTGATAAATGTGGGTTCAGCACGAGCGTCCGTTGCCTCGCCGCTGAACACTTGCAGTCGGAGGTTGTGATTTACCTGCAAATACACAACAGCCTCTGGTAGCAGGGTACATACTCCTGGTCGTGCTAGAGATAGGTAAGTGTACCCACTGCATTCTATCACCTCGGTCACTCAGTCATTCATCAGAGGTCCTCGTGCTGTCTGTATACAAGGCATTACAACTGTATCGTGCAAGTCGTGGAACGCTTTTAGTTTTGCTTGTACAGCACAACGTTGGATATTTTGCTGCTTGTCTTGGTGCATTTCGCATAGGACACTCCTGATGGACATGGTCTGATAGCCTTCTATAGCATTAAACGGCCTCAACATGATAAGTGCGGTTGGAGTGGAAACTCATGTGAGTGTCTTTCTATCGACTTGTGGTCAGTGCTGACAATCGATTGCAATTAGGATAATGCAATGATGGAAGTGTAAGGTGCCCTTTCAAGTTGAATATACTACAAATCTTACTTTGCTTCTTCTCTCAGGACACAGATCATCCTGCAAGCGTTACTTGCTACCCGGATGCAGATCGACCTTTGGAAATCAGCCGGCGGACGGAGTAATTCACCGACGGACGAGATGACTTTAATGGAATTTGCTGAGGGACACAATATCAGGCAGGAGACTGAGTTGGTGAATACATGATTGATCAGGGTTTGAACGTCAATGCTATTTTACTTGTACTTATTGACTTAATATTTATGACAATAACAGAGCGGGGAGTATGGTTATCCCTTCCCCTAGGAAAACATGTACCATTGGCAGGGAAGCTACATTTAATGCTAGTGCAACTCGTCTGTTACTGAAGGTCTGACTGTGGCCCATCAATCCTTGGTGAGTAACGATCAGGTCGCAAGCAGTATCATACAACTACGCCGAACCCCAGGCCTGTACGTCAAATGACGCTGGCCAGTTTTCGGTGCCGGCATCGGCCAAAGTTCGGACAAACCGAACCCTGACCTAGATACATCCCTTGATCAACACTACATATGACGCAACCTCAACAATATTAATCCGCGCAAAAGAGTCTGTCTGACCTTTTCTGCCTTCTCAACCACTTTGCGACCATTTGTATGTCATATCAATACTTCTGCGCTGCTCTGGACCCTGGTGGCGCCGGCAGTCGCATCACAGCCTTAGCGGGGGTCAGCATCTGCGTGGTCAAATACCCAGGGATATCTCACATGCAGTTTATCTTAGGATACAAGAGCACTACTGATCAAACGGATTACCTTCAACGCCAAGCGGCTGGACTACTGCTCGCAGACTGAGCGATCATTCGGGCGGACGAGAACAAGTCGAGAACTACGCGCGGTGGAGATGCAGCTGAGAATGTGGGCGAGGGTGAGACTGAGGGCGTACGCGTGTGGTGGCAAACCAAATTCCACGATGTGCGGGCATGAAGCTGCCAACAACAAACACGAGCGGGGTCCTTGTATATATGCTTCGTCTTCTTGCTCACATTCCTTCCAGCATTATTATTCTTCGCTGCAATCTAAGCAAGAAGAATATGTCTATCATACAAGACAAGAAACACGAAGAAGACAAAGGACAATTAATCAATAATGAGAAATCCATTATGGGGTTCGTACGCATTTTCGAATCATTCACGTTCAGTGATTTTCTGACACATGACGTTACTCAGAGTTTAATGGAGGCTCTCAGGTTGCTCAGCTCCTGTGCGTCAATCCAGTGTCGGCTCCAATTACCTGGTTGCAGACCAGGATCTCGAAACACAACGACGAGCAGTGGGCCATTTGGGAGCCGGTTGCAGGTGACACTTTCATCATCACCCCAAACAAGCGTCCTTCGATTCTGTTTGGGTCAATTCAAAGTCTGGTTTCAAATTCCACTCAGCTTACGTGGTCGCAGAGCACAACGTCCGTCCCTTACCCCATCCTGCCGAAGGATTTCGACTGGCAGGCTAATGCCTTTTCTTTTTTCAAGCTTTCAACTGTGCATTTTGACGCAACGGCTCAATATTCTAATTCGAGGCATGTTTTCGTCTCTTCACAATAAGGGCTGATGCAAACAAAGTTGTTCAGGCGCCCATTTAAAAACGTACGAAGAGGACTCGCTGGCACTGCGTGGCGCCCTATCCGTGTGCTCCAGTGCCACGTCGACCAGCCGGATCAAGATCGCGGGAAGAGTCTCTATGATGAAGAATATATGCAGGGGGCAATCACGTATCAATCGGCCTCCTTGCACGATGTCCAGCACTTCCACCATGGACTCATCTTTAACATACATTGATTTTCTCAATGGAAGTGTAAGTACTTCTATCATTGCGCAACTAAATCATGTACTTAATTCATGGGATTTGAGTATATTTTTCGTGAGCAGATCACCTCTATGACACAATGTCATTTTATGTACCATGGTCTGCTGATGTAGTCGCCACAATGGTGGTCTTGGTGCGCGTGATATTGTGCAAAACTCTCTTTGGTATTCTCATGACTACACAGTCTTATGATTTTGTGCTTCATCTTGACTACGAGGTAGGCTCTGTCAACCTGGAAGTGCGGGAGGCCGACTGTTCAATGGCGTCCAGATTGACTATTTGGCAAGCCAAAAAATGTCTCTGGCAAAAGCCTCATACGTGCTATGTCGTTCACTTTCTCTTATCGCATGCTGTGTCCGAATCCCAAGCAAGTCAATTTATATCCTCGTGTCCGCAGTGTATTCACAACCAATTCTGCAGTTGTTTTCATACCTATCATGGAGAAACTCGATAAAAAGGTGAGTCAGCCCGGTGCTCTACACTCCTGTCTTATAATTCGTTCAGGGATGCACAATTATTGATGAAATTGATCTATGTATGTCCTATTTCGTGTTCTAAGGTATGTCCTCCTGAAACACTGTTGTCTAGGGACTCTCATAATGGTGCTGGTGTCCGTTGAGTGTGAGGCTCCATACCAACTCCTGTTTAATCATGTCTCACAGAGGATGCCAGGTATCTTTGTCATTCGAACGTATGCATTGTGGGGTCGAACGAGACGGATTCTATACGTGTTGGCTGGGAGCTACCTGGTGTGTTTTTCCACTTTTTGCCTTCTCTCTGGCTGAGATAGGCTCAGGTAATTCTTGCGGGGGGATTAAGTTGCGACGCACTATATGGGCTCGCTATTGTTAGGTGTGAGTTCGGCACGAGCATATGTCGCTTCGCCAATCTGATATATACTATGTTAACAGTCGGAGGTTGCGAGTTACCGACAGCCTCACAACAGCCTCTGCTAGCAGCGTATGTACTTCTGGTCGTACTACAGATAGGCAAGTATATCTACTATATATTAACTCCCAGTCGCTCAGTCTTCCTTGCATTTTCAGAGGTTCTCGTGCTTTCTGTTTACAAGGCATTCAAAATGTATCATGCAAGTCGTGGAACGCTGTTAGTTTTGCTTGTACAGCACAACGTTGGATATTTCGCCACCTGTCTTGGTGCATTTCGCATGGGGCTGTTTACAGGCGTTATCTAACAGTATTTTTTTTCAGCATTGAATGGTATCAACATGATGAGTGCGGTTGGAGTAGTAAGCCATGTCAGTGACTTTCTAATCAACTGGTGGTCAGCGTTGACAATCGATTGCAATTAGGATCATGCAATGATGGAAGTGTAAGATAATCTTTTAGGTCGAGTCCACAAATTTGACTGTGCTTCTCTCAGGACTCAGGTAATCCTGCAAGCGCTGCTTGCCACCCGAATGCAGATCCACCTCTGGAAAAGCATCGGTGGACAGAGCGATATACCGATGGATGAGATGGCATCAATGTCATTTGCTGACAGACGAGGTATCACGAGTCTAGTCTGAGATTGTGGCCGGTTTAACGTATTGAAATGTCTGTGTCAACTTTTGCGACATATGGCTGTCTGTATCCTTTTGAAATTCTGCACCATTGGCGGGGAAGCTTTGTTGCTGCTTGCAACCATATCAGACATTGCTGACGTAGTTCATTTTCATCGCCGACATCGTCTCATAGACCAAGGGAAATGAATTTGAAGTCTACGCTGGTACATTGATGAGCTCATATCTCTACCGGCATCCTCCAAATTGCCCAGGGGTTGCAAATGTTTCTGCTGGGACCCCGTCTGATCCTCAGTGTTCGAGAATACCACGCTAAGCTCGTGGTCAGGTCCAATGAGGGGAACAAACATGACGTCCATTGCTTTCCAGGCACCATTCAAGTATACAACCCTGGGTAGTGACCAGACTCTGAGCATGTATGTATTTTATCGCGAGAATTTATTTGGAGCTTCATCGGTGAATTAGAGAATACAGGCACTTCGTCACGGTATTTATCTAGTGTTCCGAAGTGATTTGGAGGATAGAACTAGATCTGGGCGAACCAACGTCATGTTACATCACTACTGGGACTAGTTGTCCACCCATGCATCAGGCCGGATGGTAGGCAACATACCTTGTCCCATGATCGACGATTCCGCCTAGTGGTAGCCCGACCACCTCGTGCTACCTCCTAATGTATTATGAATTGGTATACACACCGTACATGCTAAATATGAGTCCCACTGAGTGTACGTGCCTCCAGATGCGTGAAAATCAAAGGATGAGTTGCAGGGTATAGGCTTGGGTAATTATCAATAACAATGCCAGTGGATAGAATCCAAACGTATTCGATAAAGCGCTGGAAATCACCGGGGGAGGTGATGTGGAGTGGTTTCTAAGCAGAGTCTGGTCAGTTTTAGACATAATGCACGGATTCGCCAACGCTCACGTATATGCTAGACCCACACGGTGGTTTTCGCCATCAAAGACCTGTATAGAGCATCAGGTCTGGGCAATGCCGCAATGTTCAACGAATGACTGACAGCGTAATATTTCTCTAGAAACATCTGACCGAGAATGAAATCGAAGCCCTGACCGCTTTGGTATCCCAAGGGACCAATCGTACCATACTGTACTCCAGGATTTCCACTCCATGCAGAGTCCTGGTTAGTTGGGAGAAGCTGTGCAGAAACGTCCATTATAAACATAGCGCCACCAATCATAAGATTCAGGGGTTGCATGTTTGCGATTGATGATGACGGGATGACAATAAAGGATGTTTGGTTGTCATAGTACGAACCAGGAATGGCAGCCATGTATGTGGCGAAAAAATCATCAGCAAGCGCTACGACTAGAGGAGCAGCTTTAAGTAGGCGTCAGCTTGGATGGGAAGGACATACGTGAATTTCCAGTGTCGACAGTACCAGCAGTCGAGGTCGAAAAAATGGTTGTGTCACCGTAAAAGCAACTCGTTATATTGATTCCCCAAGAGTACCCTGCTGGATAGGTGCTTGTGACAGGGACATATGTAATATTTCCAACGAACTAGATAACGTCAAATAGTGAACGACATTGAACGAGAAAGCTTGTAGACTTACCAATGATGGATTGACACCGCCAAACGTGATCACTCCGTCTGTGGAAAAATTTGGATTTTATGTCATACTGAAAATGAGGCTGGTCTCACTTGTGTCATTTACACTGGATGCTGGAGCGAACGAGACACTCATAATCTGTGACTGGATCAAGCCCTGTTGTCGGGCGTTGTCCATCACAGTAGGAACGATTGACGTGATATTTTGGGACAGAGACCCCACGGTCAGGTTGACTGGGCCGACCCCTAAAATACCATCTACACCAAGCCAATCGGTGGAGGCGACCACGTCCCCGATCGACTGGTTGGTAATGACAATATCGGGTGTCAGTGTAACCGTATCGTAGTCTGCGACAATATGCTGCAAATTAGACAATGCTCCAAGAGAAATCGGAAGACCGCACACTCTGGTCCAGCCAGATATCCCAGACCATATGTCACCTCTATGTTCTGGCCTGTCGCAATACTGGTAGACGTTTTGTTGTACGGCTTGCTTCGCCTGTGGAAATATTGAGTCTACCATCTACTTAATTCCACTAATCGAGCTAGAAATACCCAATAAATGTTATGGAACTGCCTGTGTCGACCACAAGAGAATAGTATGTTGGGGGGTCCCCGACACCGACATCCATGACATACTGATAATAGTCCAAGCTGGTAATGAAGACATTCGTGATAGCGTTGCGCTTCGAAGTTGATGCAGCATCGGATGAGCCTCTTGAGCCAGCGGTTCTAATATCAACTTTGGTTAAGGGAAAGTTAAGAAGAGATGTCGCAGAAACAGAGTGATGGGAGAAGAACATTTGAGAAAAAATAAGTAAACATGTAAGGCAGCTCATAATGACATGCGGAATACGAGACCATCAAAAGAGCAAAGGCTTTTATAAAGCAACGTTAGCGCTTGAAGGCGAGCTGTGGTGAGGCAGTACCGCACTCCATGAACGGTTAAACAACACGTACACCATGCTAGAACAATGACATACTATCATAAGCGACAAGGCAACATTTTGTCCCGCTGGGAGCGACACCCGCGTGTGAGATGTGCAGAGGCTGTGAACATCGCCACAAATGGGGAAAGTTGACTTCATTCAAGGTCGAAACGCCGACAACGCACCAGGACTGCCACGAAACGAAGCGCCCGCCAAGTTCTTGCATCGATGATAGGCCTACATGAATGTGCAGGCTGATGATGATGATCTGATGATCTGATGAGTGTGTTGGTAGTACGAGCCAAAAGTACTCCGAGGCGCTCTAAGTTCTGATTACCGCCGCTGGTTGACTGACGTAATCTCAGAACCCCGGGCCGGATCTCTTGGCAAGTCGGTCAGAGCCGATCGTCCCTTCGCTTGTCACGGTGCGCCATGGCACAATCGAACAACGACGAACAGCTCAAGGAGATCATCGTTCTGGGTGCAGGTGGGTCAATTTGGATGTGACTGAAACAACGCACTCTGTCTCGAAATGCGCCCCGGTTGAACCCCTGCTAAGCGCCCAAATATTACTAGCTGACTGACTTTCATGTGCAGGTGTTGTCGGCCTCACCACTGCATTAAGAATCCAGGCGCAAGGCGATTACCGTGTCACGATCGTTGCCGAAAACTTCCCCATCGACCCCAAGTCCAGCCGATACACCAGTCACTGGGCGGTACGCTATCTTACTACCAGATACATTTGCCGCTGAGCGTACTTTGACGTGTAGGGTGCACACCATGTCAGCCATGCTTATGACGATCTAAGACAGCGAAGTATGCTGCTTTCTGACTGCATGAACATATATGTCACACCCTAGTCATCCAGAGCTTGATCAAGATACCTTCGATGTATTGTGGAAGCTATCAGAACCAGGCGGTGCAGCCGAAGGTTGTTTCTTGCGGCACCCCCACACCGAATATCGCGGAGACGACCTCGCTAATGCTGAATGGCTTCACTACATGCCAGGTGTATGCAAAACTTACTCAGATTCATAGCCGTCATTCTAACTCCTCGTATCAGTTCAGATATATAGAGAGCAACGAGCTTCGTGGTCCAGCAAAGACGGGATTCTCTTTCAGCACCGTCAGCATGAATACTCCGGTATATCTTAACTGGCTTTTGTCCGAATTCCTTGCCAAAAATGGGACCATCGTGCGCGGATCCCTGCAGCACATCAGTCAGCTTCTTGAGCGAGGAACCAGTCCTTACACAGGTGTCCAGTCGCACCGTGACGTCGACGCTCTTGTTATATGTGCTGGTATTGGCGCACGCGCACTAGGAGGCGTTGAAGATAAGGACGTATTCCCAATTCGCGGTGAAACTGTGCTCCTCAGAGCTCCCTGGGTCAAGTTCGGGAGGACCATGACCGAAGCTGATGGGACGTACACCTATTCGATGCCAAGGAGCAACGGTGATGTGCGCTTGCTCATAAACTCACCTGATCTGTCCTCTGATTATTCTATATAGGTGTTGTGCGGTGGCACAAGAGTGCCCAACGACTGGTATTTCTGTCGACTTATCCCATTGTTACATTCTCAGCGCTTGCAGGTACCCGGTCCCGCGCCCTGAAACAACCGAGGACATTCTTGTGCGGGCTCTGAAGCTTACGCCGGAGCTTGCACCCCCGCAGACGCGGGTCGATCGCGAGCCCACTGTTGAGGACCTTCGCCCCATCATTATTGAACCAGGTTGCGGCCTGCGCCCCGGGCGAAAGGGTGGCATCAGACTCGAAGTCGAGTGGCTGGACGCCCCCACACGAGGCAAGGTGCCCGTGGTGTATAACTACGGGTGAGTGACATCATGCTTATTCATGCTGCCCTAATAATGTGTGCGTCTAGACACTCTGGTTATGGCTTCTTGTCGTCGTGGGGCTCAGCGAATATGGCCGCGGAGTTGCTAGAAAGTGCCTTCAAGACGGGTGCTCCAGCGGATGCGACACCTGCATCTGGTGATTGTGCATCTGAGAATCCTGGGAACTGAGATGTTGTGAATTGTGGGGGAGCGATCTATGGCAAATGTAAGTTGAATATCTTTGCGTTCCACTCCAGTTACAAGGGAAGAATGCTGCAATGAATGCTGTACTACAAGGCGTATGTAGGTGTACGAGAGACACATGTAAACGATAGCTGTATTGATGACAAATGAACAGGACTACCCGGATCATTCTTTCCTGCATTCTAATACGAGGATACTTCGATGCAGTTTGTCCGAGTCGCCGACTACGAGCACTCCGATACAGACCCAACGGGACCGACCAGTCTAGATCTTGCAAATCATTTCAGCAAGCCACCTAGCACTTTCTACAATAGTAAGGAGCGCCTCTGTGTATACTGCTGGCCCGGGGGCACACCCGGGGCGTATCATATAGGTTAAAAGTTAAAAGCATCGATCAATAATGAGCTTTAGGGCCGAAGCTATTATGTTATCAGAGGTTTTCAAATTGGACCGATCCTGGCCGATGACGCATGTTCAATATATTATACTGTGTAGACAGTCCCGTTCATGGAACAGAAACACGGGTTTTCCAGTTCAACTGTAAATTAATGTACATCGATGGGCGCCAAATAAACCTTGATTCTGTACTGATCGTCTACCCTTAATTGGCATCCAGCTTCTGCTTCTCCCGTTCCACACTAGCTTCTCTCCACTTCCTGCCTTTGTACAACACCAGCAAAATCATGCACTCGATGACGACCACCACACACGCCCAGAGAGTATACAAACCACCGTCGCCAATACTATCCTAAAACCACCCTCAGATCCGATGTTCTGCGAAATATTTATTATGACGTCGACTCACTTGTAAAGGAACAGCAATCTCAGCAGCGACAAAAGCAGAAATACCACGGAAAGAACTATTACTCGCTACTGCCATCGATGAACGACCAATGTTGGCGTCGACAAGGTATGCCAGCGTGCTCGAGTAGATCCATCTAACCGTGGATCAGAGCAAAAAAAAACAATGTACAACGAAGTGAACGTACACGGATAAAAATCCAGCGAGGAACAGCATCACGCACACAGCAGCGATGTGGACTCGTTCTTGGCATACCCAGGCGTATCCGATCACAGACAGAGGTAACCACAGCATGGCGATTTTCGTGCTCTCAAGGCGCATCTGCATGAATCTGCGTCAGCTGCGTACTGAGCTGGATGATAGTGGTTGGATGTTCACCTCTGGGAAGCTGACCCCGCCGTTCGCGGCCTTTAGTCGAGCAAGTGTCCGGTCGGACCAACGACCACCCAATATACTGCCAAACATGCAGCCTGAGATAGATAGGATGTGTTAGGCGAGAGTTCACAATTCGCTGGTGATTCGCTCACCGATACCATAGGCGAGCAAAACAAGGCCAGTCTTCAATGCATCGTAATTATAATACATCGACAATGTTCTTGCGCATGTATATGTGATGCTAAAGCTAAACGCAAATGTTAAACCTAGCGCAACAGGGCATGAACATCGTTTGAAACAGCTTTCTGCGAGAATTAAGAATACTCACCTGACGCTGTCAAGATAACAAGGTTGTTCATGCGGCTCACAATTGATAGGTACGGAGGGAAAGGGTTGACATCAGTAATGGTCAGCTTTACTTCTTCGATGGCTGATGCCGGTATGACCATCTGCCCAGCTTCAACGTCTTTCGAAGCCGTCTTGTTTTCTCCATCTACTTCCGACTCCTGTGAAATCTTTATCTTTCGCAGCTTATCCGTTCCTTCCGACAACAGCTGCTCTCGGAGTCTTCTCTTCAACACGTTCTGATAAGTCACACTCCTCTCTTTCCTGAAGGTGTCCTTGAACAAGAATAGGAATGCTAAAAATATTATGCCTCCCCAGATGACCAAGAACCAGAAAACCGCCCGCCAGCTGAGGCCCTGCGTGAGTGCACCACCAAGGATTGGTCCCAAGGAGGGGCCAAGGAGAGGTGCAGAATAGTAGACGCCCATCATTGTACCGCGTTGATGTGGCTCGTATATATCGGCTAGAGTGGCAGCTCCGATAGCCCAAACTGCGCTTGACCTATTCCAAGTGAGCACAGACACGAGGGAGGGGTTGAGGAACTGTCCCACCCTGCGCCTTGCACGATTCGCATCCCGATCACCAAACCAATGGTTCTTGACACGGCCACAATTGCAGATCCAAGGATAAAAAGTGCGATGGAGAGAAGGTACACGAGCTGGACTCCGTCGTATCAACAAACGACGCGCTCAAGATAGCTAGAAATACAAACCTTGCGGCCCTTTATCTCGCTAATCGCACTCCAGATGATGGGACAATTGCCTTGAACGAGAATGAAGAGAGACAAACTCAGGCTGATGTCTCCGCTGGTGGTATGTAGCTGCTGCTCGATTTGAGCATTGGCGGCTATCCCCTGGCTGTTTAACCGATATTGGATGCATAGGATCAAGGACATGACCTACGGTTTTGTATATTCGTCGCCAAACCCGCAAACATCGACGCTCCGGATATGATGAGCAATACAGCGGTCTGTAGGTGTGTTCAATCAACGGCTGGTTACATATTAAGATGGAAGGACGGACCTTCTTCGTGTTTGACCATAAGCGAGGATCATCCTCAACCAATGTATGCTCTATGTCAAGCTTAACGGGCCCATTTGACAATGTAGAACTGGGGGAGTGCGTCTGTGTATCAGTATGAAATTCGACATTCCGGACCTCTATAGGCGACAAGTTCGTACTCTGGCTTACTGCCATGGGCGTAAAATGGCTGATGCACAAATCAAAGATTATACGGTAGTGTATGATTTTATAGACGGCCCATGGATGAAGCGAACATGGGTCAGTGCCGACGATAAGAACATACTGGATGGAATATGTTGACTAACTATAGTATAGTGTGTCGGACAACGTGGCCGATCGAGGTAGCATGGCTGTAGAAGCTCAACATTGTCATCGTTCTGGCTACTATCGGATGCTACCGACCGAAGGCCTCTGAAGCCAAACGACCTGCATTAGTTATTGAAGGTTAGATTTAGGATTGAAATCATCCAGAATTTGTGTCTAGCCTCGGAATGTCGGATATCCGGTCAGTGGGAGGTGAAGCCGAACTAATAATAGGAAGAGGTGGTCATCCAAGAGTAATCGTTCCCTGCAATACGTATCAACTGACTATGTATCAGTCTCACGAGCAAGATCGATTAGATATTCTGACCATTGTACGTCTTGAGGAGAACTTGAACCGAATTCAGCCCGAGAAGCCCGAGTCAGTGATCACGACCTCGAGTGTAAATCCTGTAATCAAAAAGTGATGGGAATATTGATTGTAGATGCAGCCGATTACACGTAAATTAAAGCAAGGGCCCGGGTCGTTGGCTGAACGTGATTCGGAACCAAAATGTAGGGCTTACGTAAACTTGGAGGACTGCACGTAGCCCACCTCAGGCAGCAGTTTTCGGAGGCAAAAGGTAGGCTTTCAGGCCGGGTTCCTATGTTATGGGAAACCAGCCTGAAAGGCCCATGATTCTCCAATGTAATTTAGGATCTGTTCTAAAAATAATATCATACCTCGTTGCCCTCCCACTACTACCTCGTTGCCCTCCCGCCGGGCTGCTCGCGTGCTTTACCTCCAGGACCTGGATACCTCGCACTGCTCTTGAGCCCCAAGGACCTCCCCACCTCAACGTGGATTTTTGCATACTATGTATTTTAATTAAGAAATAGAAATGTGCAAGTTGTTTCCTACCTTCATCTCTATGGCTCTGCGCTCAGATACTTGTGCAGCGCAGCTCACTGTGTCTGGGCTGGGTGTTCAGTTTGTCAGTCCACAGAAACCAAGAGACAAACACAGAGCCCAGACATTGGTTGGACTCCCTGGGCACTCGCACCTTCCCGCTACTTTATACCTTCTGTGGTGCCCAGCGTTCACTAGCACCATTTCCACTATGAGTCCCGTGATGTAACAGGCAGGTGTTGTACCTCTACTAGTAGTGCATCCTCTCATACATCTGCACATCCGAGTCCTCTTGTACTTCCAGCACATCCTCTCGGACCTCCAGTACATCCTCTCAAACCTCCTGCACATCTGCTTGGACCTCCAGCACATCCTCTCAGACCTCCAGCGCGTCCCTCTCATTCCTGCGCGCCCTTCTGTGCCTAAGTCCTTTTTTGATCTTCAAGTTATCTTCTAACTACCATGATGGTGCCTGCTATGTTCTACATGTGGCATCCAGCCAATGTCTGCGGGTTTCAACATCACTTTGTAAGTCCTAAAACTGTGCACGCCTGTCTTGGCTGACTGCTCATTCTGTTTCTCCTTCCTCATTGTCATACTAAATTTAGCTTCACGCGGAATCTCAGGTGGATAGTTTGTATGGTTTGGGTTTGGGTACTATACGTGTGTCTATCAAATGTTCTTGCCGTTTTTGCTAACTGATATCTCTATCGATTGCACCGAGTCTCAAACCACTTCGGATCATTGTGTTGTTCATCCGCTGTTCCACTCGCAAGGTCGACTTCCACCATCCAGCTCTTCCTCAGCACCCAACCGCATCCACTACTCCCCCACTTATTCAACGGAAAACAACTGGACTGTCAATGACGTGGCCTATCCTTCTTCAATGCTGGTTTTGTGGAAGAAATTCCACTCAAGGCCGGCACCGAGCCAGCTCTTCCTCAGTACCCAACCACATCCACTACTCCCGCACTTCTTCAATGATTGACAACCCATTGGTGTCGTGGCCTATCCTTCTTCAACACTGATTTTGTGGAAGAAATTCCACTCAAGGCCAGCACCCAGACAGTGTGCTGCTCTCCCGCATACTTCCAGCCCTTCAGCACACCCCCCAACACATCTCTCACATTCTCCCAATCCAACCACGCCCAACCACGCCCTACAGCACCACCATACCCTACAAACCGATTTCATGTGATCCATCCCGTCTGTAGTGTATTATCAGCGCAATGTAGAATGTTAATTGATCTATCTCGCAAAGATAAGATGACAATGACAACAATCGCACTATCTAACACAATCTAAGACTTGATTTTGTGACTTCCGTAAGACTATGAGCTTCGTCAGAATCTCCACCAATCAGATGGCTGCGCTACTGACGTCGTAAGTGTCCGTAACGCGCGTAAGCTAAGCGTTCATTTCAGTGGTTTTGCAGATGTGCCACTCGAATCGCGCATCTTTATAAACGGCCCAATGGGTGTCGGACTTTTGAAAGGTATGAGAAGATCAAATTTATTTATTGCTACCGATCACACCGGGCAGATCCTGAGCGCTGAACTACCACCTTCAATCAAATTCCAAAATTGTGGTTGGTGGTGGGCAACACGCGCCAACAAAGTGTACATTCCCACGGGCCTTAGACGCCCAAATAGCAGAATATGAGGCGGCACAGACGTCTGGGTACCGTATTCTCGACTTTCACCACACTCTGGCAGGAGTATTAATACTACCTGGCCATTGTAGAAGTACAGTTATGCATACTCTGTAGCCATCCGCCATGCTTCTTATATGCATACTCTGCTGGGGAACCAATGCCCGCCCCTTTCCAGTGCTCCCTGGATCGGAGATCTCCATGTTCTGCATGCTATTTTAAACCTGTATGTTATATTTCGCATGCTATTTTAAATCTGCGTATCAAGAGGGAGATCTGACTATACTGCGCCCTGTGCTTCTGCCCTCCGTGTTCCTGGAAGTACTTACTACCTTCTGTGTTCCTGAGTATCATATCTGTACCCTAATAGGGCAAAAAAAGTGAATCTGACGGATAGCAAAACATATCAATATTGTTGATAATAACGACACTACTGAGATAGCAAAAACATATGCAAAAATGTCCTACGTGGGTGAAATGACCAGAGAGAAAGCAACAAGACCAGGCACGACACTCCAGATGGAGATGCATCGTGCACGCATTGCTTGATGGATGCCTGCCTGCTGATGGGCATATGCACTCGCCCCTTTGTTCTCCATCTCATCTAGCCATGTCCTTGGGGTAGCGTGGTCCTTCCACCAATCCGTTTGCCACTCCAAGAAGGCAGACACCCGCCGCATTTCCTCCTGGAGGAGCTCGACTTCCTCAGACCACTGGCTGGCCCGTGCGCGCGCCTTACACCACTCTATACGCATCACTAGAAAACCCTCGACTTAGAAGGGCCTGAACTTGCTCGAATAGATCACTCACCATCGGATAGTTCTTCTTGCCCAGCACCATGGTACTGCTTCCATATCCACGAGATAGCCACCAGTCTCCGTCCCTCAGTCTGGGATTCACTGGCAGCTTGCTCTTTCGTGATTCCCGTATATCACCTTTCTCCAGCTTTGGGAACTGGTTCATCCACTCTACCTCCAAGAGCGCCTCAGCCAGAACTTCGAGTGCACTCCAAGCAATGTTATACTTGGTCATGGCAGCATCAATCTTCTTTTGAACGGTGTCGATGATACCTCACGATCGTGTGTGAGCGTGCTGTCCCATAATCCAATCTCTCTTGAATCCCATAAGGTGGCACTTGAGACGCAAATTCTGATGAAGTTCGTGCAAGGCCTCGTGAGCCTGAGCAACACGGAGCTGCCACTCAATCTGTGTGAGGTTGGTATCGCAATGCATGGGTAGTCTGAGAACTGCAGAAGGTAGCCACAACTTGATGTTATGGACTGCTTCTTCCTCAGACTCAGGGCCCAAGTTGTCAGTCTCTCACAGTCGCGCAACATACGGCATATAGAGAGTTTGGATTTTCACCCAGTGGTCCAGTCGGTGGCGCAAAGTATTTGTCCGCTGCTGTAAGGCCGAAAGCTGGATATCAGTGGAGTGCATACCGACGACTGCCTTATCAGAGGCAAGGCGGCGTCTAATAAGTCATTGATTAGTTGTGTGTCTGTCCACGTAATGAACATTGTACTCACTGCTGCGCCTCCAGATCTGTTCCAGCTGCTATTAAGACACTCGGCGACACTTCAGCATGCAAGGAGACATCCAAGCCACATTTGAGCTGATCCGCTTCAGCTTGCGAAAGTTCAAGGTGGACAGAAGCTTGAGTTACAGGGACAGCGGCCGATTCGAATGGATTAGGTTTGGAGCGGTCAGCCTCCCATTCTTCCACCATTTGATGCCATGATGCAAGGCTCTCTGTTGGAATGGCCTCCTCGAAGTCCCCCAGGTCCAACACATGTTGGTTCCGCTGTGGGATAGCTTCCTTCAACTTTTGCAAGAGAAAGGGCCCTGTCAGAGAGGTCAGATACCAGGGAATATTAGAAATCAAGCGGGCATACCGAAGTTGCAGACCTTGCGCCAATTCCAATCACTGAAATGGTCGTCAAGGGTATCCCACCTCGAGCCAGGGCCCATCTCACATGTACTGGTTGCCACGGGATTAATATTTGACCATGCTCTCTCCAGTGCTTCCCCATCCGTTCTGGCCATGCCTTTAATGAGATTGAATGAGAAGGTGGTTTGACAAGCGGGAATGTGTGCTGGGAGGTGGAACTTGGGTATGAGGAATGTGATTGTCTTGCTGCCAGGAGAAAAATGAAGCGTCGAAGGATAGCGTGACATGCATGTCCAGAGGTGTTTGCTCCACTGGCACACAATGTTGTATGATATATTAAAGACCGCCAGGTCACTGGAATGTGTCAACATTGAGAAAAATAAAAAGTCCATGTTCACGTATCTGATAATTCATTAGTGAGAGTCAACAGAATACAAACGATACTCACTTCTCGCCCTTTTGGAGATCTCCAACGGCAGACGGCCGCTTGAAGTTGTGCCTCGCACAGACGACAGCGCCAATGCCTGTCGCTGCGAGGCCGTGCACATTCTTGGAATCCGCCAAGTTCACCGCATTGTGGCTAGCACAAGAGCTTTTCTAGTAGGTAGAGTTAGAACTCCAATAGAATTAACGAGACCATTACACCTTACCTCTTGAGTTTGTCCAGCATGCTCGGCCAACAGCCCTTTGAAGCTCGATTCCTCCACGAAGTACGCCCACCCCGTGCTCAGGCTTGGATCCGCTTCTTCCGATGACTTATTACAGTGGCACATTCGGAAGTTTGCATCGATTCCAAGAAACAAGGCAAATAACCATCTATACATAGGTAAGCTGACAGCGCACACAGAGGGGAAAATAACTTACCTGTCATTTGGAGGAGCACTCTCCCAACCTGGCGGGAGATTTCTGCCAGGTTGAGGGCAAGCAGGGCATGGGACAGCGAGCTCCCCAGGCTTCGTACCCAGTACTCCACGGACATTGTGGGCACGACCAGCTCGCTTGAGAGCTAGCAAATGTCGGTACTGTCGACTCATTCCCAAGAGAGCCTCGTAACGGTCCTAGAATTAATGTAAGTTGATGGACGGGGAATCAAAAATAATACATATCAATACATACCTTGGGCGGTTTTGTTCCCATATTGTCTGACAGGCGAGACAGTGTCTGCCAATATTCAAAGGCAGAGCCTTTGGACTCGAAAGTGTACATTTGAAAATTGTCGAGAAGACGGAAGGTGGTGGCAGTTTGTGGATCAGTTTTTGTTGCAGGGTACCATCGTGAGCATAAGATTTGGATCGTACGTGTCTTGGCAGTTGCACAATTACAGAAAAAGAGCGAGACATTATGTATACCATTTACATATGTCCAAAACTGTGAAGTCGAATGCGTGAATAGGATTGTCGCACTGGATGCCTGCTGGGTGGCCGAGTTGAATAAATAGACCCAAATCCCGAAGGGAAATCTGCTGAAAGTATGTGTCTGTCCAAATTTATGCGATAACTGTGAACTCAAGTGATAATGGATGAGGAAAAATTACCTCAACATTGTGCAATGGCATTGCACTGTGAAGTGACACAATGCAAGACCGACAATAGAGTTGGAGCCCTTCACAATCTCTGCAATGAACTGTAGGTTCATTCGCACAGTCTGGTAGGCCATGACATGCGTGGCTCCAAGGAGCATCTCCTCATGCCTCGAGCCTGATGAATTCCCTCAAGAAACTATCTCTCTCCTGTACCCATAGTTTTTGGGGATCATCCTGGAATGCGGTAAGTTATCTTCATCAATAAACGGGAGATTGGTCAATGCACCCACCCCTGCAGTACGATCTCGTTTGCTTTTCACAGGCTCAGTGTTGGTGTTTTGTTCCGCTGTCTTGTTACTTGAGGGTCTTATATAGAAGCGTGTAAAAATGCAGTGACAACACAACTACACTTTCATAAGACAAAAGTTGCCAGCTCCTCAAGTTCACGGTCAACGGATTTTCTACTTCTCGGTTGATAATGTGTTGTTCGTGGGTGGTCAAAGAGTAAACAAGTTACCTCTCCTTTGCTTGATTTCTGTATCTGAACAGAATAACCCTGGTGTTCTGCTGTGAATATAAATCTGTTAGGTATGTTTCACCCTAGTAGGTCGTGTTTCAACCTATGAAAGTCTGTTTCAACTTTGTCGTGTTCTCCTGTTACGTGTCTCACTTCCTGTAAAAGCAAGATTGCTGACTAGAATATGTAATACTCAAATAAAACAAATAGATGGTTGTATAGGTTATCCCTGTAAGATAGTATACAACTTGATTGACAAAATACGATGGTTTTCAAAGGTAACTCGTAGACCTTCACTTTCTTCTGGATCTCACACGTTGGAGACAGAAAGCGGGAAAACTCCACACTTCAGATTCTTACGTTCCTCACGATTGGGAACAAGAATGGAAAGGGAAAAACTTATTTATTTGGTAAGATTGGTGTCCTTAAATACATTTTGGAAACCCTCCTTACTAAGCATGACTCATCACTGGATTGGTAAGAATATGCTTACAAACCAAGCCTTTTGGTGTGCTGAATCAGCTGCTTACTAAAGTACATGAATAAAATATTACAAAGCATGGGGAAGAATTACAAAGCATGACGAATCAATGACAAAACATGATGAGTCAAGCTGAATCCTTACAAATCAGATTTTTACCAGTCACATGACATGCTTACAAACATATCTGAGTGGCTGAATAAGCTTAAACAAATGGAAAGAGGCAGAAACAAATAGAAACCTATAAATACAACTAAACAATACGAAACTTAGCTTATGATAGTGAGAAGTATATTCTTGTACACTCTCCTATTCATCTCCTTTGTATACTCCTTTTATGTATGTCATGGTATGAAGCGTATACCATGCATGACACCGCCATAAAGTCAACGTAAGCGTCGTCCACAGCATCGAAATTGGTGTCTAAGTTGAAAGTCTCCAAGATACTTCCATCGGCCTCTGTACGCTGCAGGTGTTGCCATTGTGACTTTGGGTGCTGGGTAGTACACAGTTCTGACAGAGGGACGGCCCATGTTCGTAACATCGACAGATGTGTGTGCGTGAAGATTGTGGCTACTGTCGACATTGCGCCGGTGTTTTGCAGCTGGGTTTTGAGCAGCAGCAGCTTGAGCAGCGTGTCGAGCACCATTTTCTTCATAGAACTGTTTCTCCAGTCTGGTGAGCTTGCGCCCATAACGGCCTTTGACCATGGCGCTGATGAAAAAAAGTGCAAATGCCTTATGACTAATATTGTACATAGTAAATACTCATCAACCTGCCTGCCATATCAACTTCTCAGCAAAGAACGCCTCATCGAGGACATCTTGCCCTTGTTCCATCAGACAAAGCATTTCCTCCTGTGAGCTCAACCACAAACGAGCAAAACTAAGCAGACACAAGCATTCTGTTTTGAGCTGCTGAGTGCAAGGTCCATTGAGATTGTCAACCAAAGTGGACAGCGCCTCAGCTTCTTTTGTGAAACTTTGTGCTGTATGATGAGATCTATCTAACAAAGTATCGTTTCAACCTCGACGGTCTTTTTCTTTTTATTCAGCTTCAATTTGTCCTTCTTCTGGACTTTCGAGTAGGCGCTCGTTATGCTTTTATCAAGGGCGGAATGGAGGTCCAGATATTCCTGAACCAAGCCGATCACGAGCAATGGCAGCAAGATGTTCTGTCCTGGCCTTGTTCATGGCTACCACAGTCCGTAATTGCTGGTGAGCATGTCTGAGGGCTGTGGCAATTGGGTCGTCGACTTTTGTCGAATAATCAGGCTACGGCAGGGCTATGAGTGAAACACCGGTACTAAAACCAGTCAGCGTACTCACCGGCCCACCAAGGAATCTTCTTTCTACTCCCAGATGCACCATCATTAAAGCCGTTCAACATTGGGGTGCCTGCACCAAACAAGTATTTAGTCCACAGGAGTAGGGACCAGCATGCGAAGACATACTACTTAGCCTGAGAAAACTAATGTGTAGTGTGGGGGTGACAAGTGTAGGGGCCCCGGGTCGTTCAGCAATAATCTGTTTTACTTCCGTTTCGTCTGTTTTCTGGAATATGTTCGGCAGCGCTGTCGATTCAAACACGGGTGAGAATAATCAAGATTGTACGAAGAGGTTGTATGCGCTTGGGGCACGCTTTGGTTTGTCTTCCTTGCACTGTGGGTAGTAGAATCAATTAATTTCAACGTGTTTGTCACGAGTCGCGGAAATTTCCAAGATTCTGTCACGGAAATGGTAGTCAAGTTTTTTTTCAGTGACTATGGAATCACTGGAATGTTATTGACTTTGTTGGGAGTCACTGGAAGTACAGAAAAAACAGTGATTATGAAGTCAACAAACCGATGTTCAACTTTTATTTTGCTTATATCTTACTTAGATTACTACCAATAGACAAAGCAAGGCTAGCAATAGGCTTGTCCCAACAAGGTCTATAACTTTTGTTAAGACATCAAAAAAAAAATTGAAGTCTTGTGGAACTAGGTGTGGTATATATACACAATACAGTACTAACATATAAATGGTCTGATAGTCTAGTGGTCAATGCTGTCAGCGCTGTGCTCCTCACACGTGATCTCTCGTGACATCGCTGGTTTGAATCTCTCCAGCGCCAACATATTTTTTGGTTTTCCGACTCTCACTTAAATTCAGTGAGATTCTCTATGAAAATTCTCATAGAGTAGGTTGGTCGTTTCTGTGATAAGATTCCAGTGAGTTATTCGCCAAATTTCAATAGAAGGTCTCTAAGGGAATCCAGTGAGTCAAATCACGGAATTTCCGTGTGTTTACTACCCACAGTGCTTGTCTGTGGCGAGGTGAGTAAGACGAAGAACACACATAAAGGGACAACGAACCAGCCTTGGAGGTTTTGGTGTTTGCGTGTTTTGTTCCTTCAAATTGTCGCATTGAAAGTGGAGGAGTGAGGAAAGGCGAGCGAGGAGTATACTTGCGGAGGAATGATGTTGGGCAGGAAAGACAGCAGAGTTTTTTGAGAGGGAAGTTGATATAGCTCCGGCTGCACGCATGTACGGAATCCGAAATGCTAATGCATTAGGGCACCTCAAAAAATGTGCGAGAAAATGCATTACATTGTGCATCATCGTTAATACATTACACCTGTCTGCTAACTATCCTATGATATTGCATTAATATGACAGGGTAGCCTGTTTTATCCGTGTACGTTCACTTCGTTGTACATTGTTTTTTTGGTCTCATCCACGGTTAGATGTATCTACTCGAGCACGCTGGCATACCTTGTTGATGCAAACATTGGTCGTTCATCAATGGCAGTAGCAACTAATAGTTCTTTCCGTGGTATTTCTGCTTTTGTCGCTGCTGAGATTGCTGTTCCTTTACAAGTGAGTCAACGTCATAATTTTTTCACAGAACATTGGATCTGAGGTTGGTTTCAGGATGCTATTGGTGATGGTGGTTTGTATACTCTCTGGGCATGTGTGATAGTCGTCATCGAGTGCATGATTCTGCTGGTGTTGTACAAAGGCAGGAAGTGGAGAGAACTTGAAGCTAGTGTGGAACGGGAGAAGCAGAAGCTGGATGCCAAGTAAGGGTAGACGATCAATCGATGCATCAGTACAGAATCAAGGTTTATTTGGCGCCCATCGATGTACATTAATCCACAGTTGAACGTTGAACTGGAAAACCAGTGTTGCTGTTCCATGATCAGGACTGTCCACACAGTTGAACTTGAACATGCTGAACCGTCATCGGCCGGGATCGGTCCAATTTGAAAACCTCCGATAACATAATACTTCGGGTAAAGCTCATTATTGATCGATGCTTTTAACTTTTAACCTATATACGCCCCGGGCCAGCAGTATATATAGAGGCGCTCCTTACTGTTGTAGTGAGTGCTGGGTGGCTTGCTGAGATGAATCGATTTGCAAGATCTAGACTAGTCTAGTCGGTCCCGTTGGGTCTGGATCGGAGTGCTCGGAGTCGGCGAGTCGGACAAACTCCATCCCCACGCTCAGGCTTTAAATTGAGGCAAGTTGCGTGGTTCTCACGTCGTTTCGTCCGTACACCCAACCAAAACTTTCTCTTAGTCTACATGAATTTTTGGATGGTTTATGACTATCTATGCAGAGAAGCCGCTGGACGGTTGGTTCTCACAAGCAACATCAAGGTTTCACGTTCGTATTTCAAGTTGAAGTACGAAAGCGAAAACCCTGTATGTAGCTTCTTCCTCTCATTTAACCTTTTGTCCAGCACAGATTCGGATATGTCGTGTGCAAATAGGGCGGCGAGTTAAAGCTTAGAGCTGCGCAGCGCGCACGCTAAATTTCTGGGTCCGACATGTGATATCGAGTGCGTATTTCTGCTCTTCATGCTTTCATGCACAATTTTCATGTTCATTCGTGAACCATCGGCAGAATTCACCTACTCACCGAGTCCCGATGGTGGGGGTTGAGTACTAGTACCTAGTAGTGGACGGGGTCAGGAAGAGTCAAAGGAGTGTAAATCGGCTCTGGAGAGATGAATGCGAGAGGATGAGCGTTTACTCTGGCAGTTTCTGCACTTCACGAAAAAGGCTTCTTTTGAACGGGAAGTTAGAGACATCGAGGAAGTCCGACGGTTAGGATTATTTGTATCCCTTGATATTATCAACTCATATGATCCAAGTCTGCTCTTCGCCTTCTTCATGCACAATTTCAATGTAGAACATGCTCATTCTCTTGGTCACAATCAGGGTGGGCTATACTTACACTCTGCGCGATCCTACCTGGTTTGCGTTCCTCTTCGCAATATTCAATGGACTGATATTTCACATCGTTCACCGCTAGGAACACCAATGGTTATGCAACAAGCACGGAGGGATAAAGATGGAAAATCCCACAAAGCTCTGGTGCGCAAGAGGCTTAAAATTCCGAATGATTATTGCTTCGAAATCTCTTAAACTACATGTTACCGACAATTTCACGACGCTACGTTGGGCAAACACTACTTATACATCCATCACTGAAACAGATATATCTCCATCACCCTGATCCTTCTTCTCCGACATTGAATCCCCGTCTCTTTGTTCACCTTCGATGAACGGTGTAATGTTGGCTATGGGTCCACTGAACCAATGCACGCCTCCGTACACCGGACAATAATAATAGGAAATTGCCAGAAACATGAACCCTCCGAGTACCACAACTGTATAGTTCATCTGTTGTGGAGTTGTTTGCGGGGTCGCGGGAAAGAAGAAAACAGTGATCACAAAGACCATCCAAGACACAGCAATCACAGCGATTGGTAAGCTCTGCACATGTACATTAGCTCAAGGATACATCGCTGCTGACCGACTCACCAGTTTCCCGAGATTAAATGGACCGGGTTTAAAATCATTTTTGAACGCAAAGCGGGTGGTGATGGGCGTAATGTAAGCGACATATGATGCGGTGACAGCAATTGAGAATATCGCATTGATGGCTTCGATACTCACGAACGCCAGGAGTCCAATTGCCAGAATACAGATGGCGTCGAACCAGACTGTATTGACGGGTGTTCCTGTGTAGCGATTTATGCGGTACAAATATCGTGAAAAAGGGAGGGCTCCATCACGAGCGAATGCGAAGGTCTGGCGAGAGCCGACCAAGAGGCAGTTCGATGCCACCATGTATCTGCTCCACGATTAGGTCATGAATGCGTCATATGCCGCTAAAACATACTCCGCTGAAATAATGAGACACCACAGTCCCAAGGCCTTTCTCTGCCCGAGCGCATTGAATAAGATCTGCGCCATAGGCTGGCCTATAGGGCCATTTAATACGCCGCTGACATCAGTGCCCATGCAAAAGGCAAGGGAGACGTTGATTCCTGGATAAGAAATGTCATCGAGTTCAGAGTGACATGTCATTCCACATACCCCAACCAAGGACTGCGGCCAAGGCAATGGAACTGGCCTAACTGGGGTTAATACAACAACTGGACATTTTTTAGTGTCACTCACGATTGCCCATGGTATCGCAGAAGCGGCGTTTGAGGCTTCCTCGCTCATATGGACACTAGCATCAAAACCACCTGGTGGGTTAAAATGGTCATGGAGTGACAATTTGGGAGAAGATAATCTAACCTATTGTGTAAAGAGGAGCCATTAAGCTCAAGATAAACGCGAATCCAGATGGCCAGCCGGACACTACAACTGATCGTGAGCTGTGATTGCAATCGGATGACAAGACATACGGTTTGTGAAATCTCCTAGCGCAAAACTTGCACTATTTCGGTATTCTGATGACGTTGCGATCGGAAGGGCAATAATGATTATGAAGCAGAGGCTGCAGAGGATTTGACGCAATGATCATGGACAAACATACAACACTTACCACCCATTCACCAACGTGTACAGTCTCTGGATCCTCGCCAAAACTTTAGTGCCGAAACTCACGAGAATAGCATGTGAGAAAACCAAAGCTGCAAATATACCGCTGTGACAAGCAAGATAAAGAGTATCGTGTCTGGAAGAGGACAAGCTTACTAGAGCTGCCCGGTAGTAGTTGCGAATTCCTGATCTGAGGAGGCAATACGGATTGCTGCTGTGATTTGAATCGCACAAGCCCAATTTACGGAAGCTAGCCCAACACGTTCAGGGGCAGGCTGATCAAAAATGAAATTTGTCTTACCGACTCCCGTGATAATCTCTATTGTGTTCGAATCTGCAGATGTCAAGACTGGATGCATATCACATCGAGATGCAGGACTTACAGCCAACTATCCACGACAGAAAATTGCGGCATCGTGGGGAAGCAAGCGAGTAAGTCCAATAATATAGCTAGATTTTGTTGAATCAAGCGCGAAACAGCGACGACGTTAAGGACATACACCACCTGAAGTAGGTGCTGCTGACGCGAGCTCTGCCATCGCCAACCCGATGCACATGATAAAAGGGCAAGCAATTGCCCACTGCGGAGAGAGAAAGTGAGATCTTTACAACATAGTAATCCTCGCATATGATGAAAGCTTACACCCCAAACCATGGCGAAAGGCCCACCATTTGGTATGGCATAGAAGAGTACGGAGCTGAATGAATTTTTATCAGTAAAGGAGCGATGTCAATAGGCTTGCGTCATGGCTCACACTATAGAAGGAGCCACTCCTATACAACCGAACGCAAGTCCAGCCACCTGTACAGCTGTTGGATTGTGTTGCATACACGAAAGAGTCTGACGTCAGGCTCACCTCTAGTGGAGTGAACTCCCTGCGAAACTCTTGCTTGTATCCCAGCTCAGCGAGAGTCGTCTCATCCGCGCTTGGTTGCGGGTGCAACTTCGAAATAGCAGAAGCTCTCATGGCCATATCGTATCGTTACAAGTGGGCGATTTCGAATGATCCTGAGCTACCGCATGCATTTTAAAGGAGGCTAATACCCAACCGGGAATTACCCTCAGTATCCACATTATGACCGAGAAGCCCTGATGATGCATACTAAAATCAGAATTCATAACAGAACCCCCCCTGCGATCCAAACGGAAATTGAACCAAGTAATAACTGTTTATCCCAGCTCAATACGGTCCGGACCTTATCTGCGTAATCAACCTGGTTCTGGCTTGGAGGACCGAACAACTGCGAGGAGGCTGCTGGGGAGCTAGTAGGCCAGGCCATCCGGCCATGGGTTTCGTGCTGTACAGGTGTAGTTACATGCACCAAAACTCTGCTGATTGGAATAAGTACACTCACGCTAGCAGCTTTTGAAATCGTGGCCGTATTTTTCAGCAGCCTGTGCCCGAACAGTAGCGAGATATGTCTTCCCCAGTTCTTGAGTCATGGTTAATGCGTTCCGTACTATGACTCTGAGCTAAGGTCGAGAGTAGTAAGGGATGAATAGACAGCAAGGCCTTTTCTGTTCACCTCACCGACGTAACCGAGGACGCCGGCGTTTCAGGCTTGGGCGTGGCTAAGGTGAGAGGATATGAGACGAATGCAGGACTAGGGAGATGTTAGAGAGGCCTTCCCAAAGTTCGGCGGGGACAACGGATAGATTTGAACTTGGCAGATTTCTGGCCGGTGACCGGTTTGTGCCGAGGGAGGAAAAAACATGCCCAAAGGCACAGGAAGACACGACTGACACTCCAAGGACAAGAGGTACAGCGTGAGTGCTACAGACTACAGCGGCAAGCTCCAGCAAAACACGATCCTCCGGAGGCGCCGTGTTACGCTCGGCGTCACAAAGACGTCTGGTATCAAAGATCCAAGTATAGTTCGATTGCACAAGTAAAGCTAGAGTCTGCAGGCCCTGGTCTGCGTAGGTCAAGTTAAGGAATACATGCGATAAGTAAAGGGTTTAAATAAGGGATGAGACGAATGTTCAAGCGGAGCTTGTAAATGAGGAACCAATCAGAAAAGAGAAAGAGAATCGTACGATAGAATATGATAGAAGGTGATGGAAATGAATAGAATATAGGAGAAAAGAGTAGAACCGTAACATTACCCCCGTTTTAAGGGAAGTAGTATGCACTGAATACTAAATAAAATGTCAAAGGTGATGCGCGCGCTTGTACGCGAGTAAAATGTCAGAAGCGTTACCTAGTTGCCTCTCTGTCATCCATTCGTTCTCGGAACTCGGGAAGCCTTTCCAGC